CAAATTCGCCTTGCAACTTAATTCTCTTGCCCGTAGTTCTTTTCTTTCGTGTCTCAAGTATCTCTTTGTACTCTTTTACCTCCTTCCGAAGGATGCTGAGTTCAGCATTCTGACTTTCAACCAGCCTAGTCATTCTCTTGGCATAGCGTCGAGTTGGTGAAGCAGGAGAGTCACAAGTTGCCATACTTGAATTAAATACTAAATTTGCATGCCTTAGTTCAGTTCCATCTGGAGGAGAACTTCGGAGTATTGAGAGATCCAGAGTAGTGATATTGGTTGAGTTTTGAGGAGTGCGAGGTGGTTCGGTTGGTGGAAGTGGAAGGTTAGCCAGAACTCTTTCTGGGAGAAAGGGTATTAAACCTGCTGCCCTCCACCCACTTCTAATGTTTTGAGGTATAAGACCCTTCTCTCGAATACACCGGAAGATTTCAACCCAGTGGGAGCGCTGGATTCGCTTTATTCCTGCTCGAGTATACCGATCTACTTCCTGAGCATGAAATCGCTTAAGAGGTCCATACACCCCAACATCAAGTGGTTGGAGTAGATGAGAGCAATGAGGCGGTAGAATAAGAAGGTCGATGTCATTCTCAATGCACAGTGCAATCATATCACCAGTAATGTGACTAGAATGGCCATCCATAATCAACATTCGCGGGTGATTTCCAGACTTTTTGTGTGACTCAGGCTCAAATACCTTCCGCAACCACTCAAATCCATGACTGTTTGAAGTCCAGCCACTATTACTTGTTGAGAAGTGCCAGTTTGTAGGGGTGTCCTTTGGAATCCAACTTGAATTGGTATTCTTAGCCTTGAATATAATCATAGGTGGTAAAGCACCACCGTCTGCATCAATGCATTCAAGTACAGTTATCCACTCCTGCTTCCCAGCTGTGACCTTCCAATTGGATTTCAAGGTAGAATCAACAATTATTCGCGTGGATTGAGTCTCTCCAACTGCAAAACCTGTCTCATCCATATTATAGATGTTGCATGGCTTGTACTTTCGCTCTTCAATTCGTGCTTTAAACGCGTCAAACCAAGCTGAAATCTTTATAGGAGTGGCTTCTTTATGTCATGCAGACTCTAGTTGTCTTGAGTAGACCCCTTTAAAGTTTGGATGTCGTTTTAAGAATCTATAGATCCATTCATGGCCTATGGGGGTAGGATTGGTCCGAAGAGTGGTTTGAGAAGACGTGATTTGGACGCGTCGTACGCGAATTTCTTCAGCCATTTCCTTGATCAACATAGGAGTTGCAGGAAAACCCGTGGCAGTGAGACGTGTAATCCATCGTGCTAGTGTATTTTCTTCTGCATTTGAGAGAGCTTGTTCAATTTCGTGAGCTACAGCACGCTGTAACGCTGACTTCTAAACGATAGAAGGCACAGAGGTTCTCTTGCGTAGTTTACTTATCAGAGGAGGCAGGGGATCAGACACAAAGGCTTCAAGTAACACGTTACTAGTATATAACAAATACTGTATTGAGTTGAGCACGAAGCTCCTATCTAAGGAAATACTATCTACTTATATAGTGGCGTCGTGCCTAGTGGACTCCTGGGAACTCACTCGAGTCCTCAGAGTCCTGGACTCTTAGGATTCTTCTCATCATCCTGCGAGTCCGTCACGTGCCTAGTGGACTCCTGGGAACTCACTCGAGTCCTCGGAGTCCTGGACTCTTAGGACTCTTCTCATCATCCTGCGAGTCCGTCATGTGATACTTTCAGAACTACTATCCCCCGCTGCCCCTCCAGGTACCAGGGCCGGTCTCATGCGACCTCCCTCCTTCCTGTCCTGTAGTTGGCCAGCCTTCTTGTTCCGTCGTAACACACGCGTTTTCTTCCCAGACATCCTATCAGCAAGAGTTGACTTAGGAACTTCGAAGTGGTCTGCAGCAAGTCTAATTGATTTGAATTCCTTCAATTGGAGCGCAATGACAGCCTCTTGGATATTGTCTTCAATCTGAGCACGACTGTATGGTTGTGGGATGTTCATGGTGGAAGGTATGAAGGTTCTGAGTTGGTAGTCGGGCATTTTTGTCCGACTACCCCGTATGTCCGACTACCCCATACGTTACGTTAACCGTAATAACCGTAATAACCGTAACAACTGTAACAAGCTGTGACAAGCTGTGAGCTGTAATCGTAACACTACCCCTGTAATGGTGGGTGCACCAGATGTGAGAATCTAGCCACCCAAGGAAGGGATGATTTTACTAAGACAACACACTGTCTTAGGAAAAAGAGCCAAAGGGTCGTAGCTTAGACTATTCCACAACGCAGCAATCAGGTGTGTGATGTAGTGAAGTGGTTCAGACAAGTTGCAACAAATGTTGAGTCTGGGAACTCAGGGGTAAGTCAGAGGTTAACACCTCACTGACTTTTCAGAAACAAGGAGTAACAAGATGAATGCTTGGAAGCTTGCAAAAGACGTGGAAGTATGTGATAGTCGATTTACTGTATTGTCTGCTTGCCCTTTCTTAAGGAAAGGGCAATCCTATTTATGCTAAAGGAATGTAGTTCTCTCATTTTCCAAAACTTTCCATGACTTACCAGGCTTGGTAACTGTAGTCGACATAAGAGAATCCCATAGAACCATCTCTTAGGTTCGTAGCCTATAGGAAGTAAAAGGAGGTCCAAGGTCAGAGTACCCCTATAGACAAATTATGTCATAGACAAATTATGTCATAGACAAATTATGTTATAACTTAACCAATCTTGTGGGTAACTAAAGAGCGATGACATGTAATGAATCATAGAGGTTCGTAGGAGCTTTTAGAGCTATCGTTCATGCTCCTAGGCCTCTAGTTGGTAGAGATATGTCATGTGGTAGTATGAGTGATGTCATGTAATGAATCATAGAGGGTTGTAGAGATATGCTATGTGGTCATATCGGCCCAGTAACTAAGGAGCGATGACGTGTAATGAATCATAGAGGGTTGTAGCAATCGTTGAGTAGTATTGCTCTTGTTGTTGGTGTGACAAGCCAAAATATGTATAGTGACTTGTAGGTTTGAGGAGGAGATTTCTAAGTTTGCTCTTGAGTTTGATAGCAAACTGAGTGCAACGAATGTCAGTATGACATGGTAGGTCGATCCTCTAAGATATACTCACCATTGCTCAAAAGCAACGACAATAGCTATCAGCTCCTTGTCGTGGATGTCATAGTTGAGCTCCACAGGTGACAGTTTTCTAGAGTAATATGCAACTGGCTTAAGCTTCTCCTCTTTGTCTGGCTGACTTAGACAGGCTCCAATCGCAAAGTCAGAGGAGTCCGTTTCGAGGACAATCCTCTTTGCAGGGTCGAATGTGACTAGGATAGGTGCTTCTGTGAACTTCGTCTTAAGTTCCTGAAAAGCAGCCTCTGCCTTGCTTGTCCATTCGAACGTAAGGTCTTTCCTTGTAAGCTCTGTGAGTGGTTGAGCTACCTTGGAATATCCCATAATAAACCTCCGGTAGAAGTTGGCAAAGCCTAAGAAGGCTTGTACTTCTTTGACCATGGTTGGTGTTGGCCATTCCAACACTGCCATGACCTTTGCTTGGTCCATTTTGATGCCATGCGTTCCGACAATGTAGCCTAAGAATTCTACTTGATCCTTGTGGAATTCACATTTTTCTGGCTTGAGGAGTAACCAATGCTCCTTTAACTTCTGTAATACCTTCCGAACATGACCAATGTGTTCCGTTGGGTCTCCTGAGGAGACTAAGATATCTTCTAGGTAGTCATCGGAATCCGTAACGACAACTTCCCGTCCTCGCGCAGATCAGTTCTGCGTTTACAATGTCGGTGGTGAGGGAGAGACTGAGCGCCGAGTGACTGCACTGACAATCGAATACAAAGCTCCTCATAAGTTGACCTTAGGGCATATTTATAAAGGTCTTGCCGAGATGAACCTGGACGAGGTTGTGGAAGTAAGCAAGAATGAAAGTGTGGCAATTCGCTGTCGTCGTTTGGTGGCCGCTGTGATCACGCCAGGCTTCTCATATATGGTGAAGGCTGGGGTGGAATATGGCGAGATCTACACTGGTGAAGCAACGATATTCTTGCGCATTCCTGACGATCCCTCGACCGTGTACTACTGTCTATCTGTTCCAAAGGGAGATGTTGGGGCGTCCACTAGCTGGGACGAGCGTGGAAACGAGCTTAATCGATTGCATATGACCGCGGTTGGTCAGGCTGTAGCGTTTACTCTTCGCGCGCTTAAAACGCCTCCACGTAGTGCACAATGGATAAGGAAAGCTCTGCTGCAGCTCAAGACATGGAATGTCGTCGTTAAGGAGGTCGAGGATGCCGTCGCCGATGATGAAGTTCCATCTTCGGAGTATCGCCCTTCACCAAGGGTCACTCAGGATATTATACAGTCACCGATCCAGTTCCGACCTCGCAGGAAGAACATATACGTGGGAAGTTGTGCTTCGGTAACGTCTTCTTTCAGCAGCGATGATGACAACCATCATGCCGACACACCAAGTCGTCCTCAACCACCTCCAAAAAGCGGAAACCCTATTACTTCCCCTAACCCACCATCACAATCTACCAAACGTGGTGGGACCGAAGGTGGTGGGAAAAAGGGGGCTTCTAGCGAGACCCATCGGCAAAAGAACTTAGGTCGATTTTGTACGCCAAACTGCCTAATGGGTATGGTAGATGGGGGAGAACTCGATTGGCGGTGTCCGAATGTCAAGGAACATGGAAAAAGCCGTCATCAACTCAACCGTAATACATTCATGCGACATATCCGCGAGTTGTTGCGCAATCAGCTTGACTATTGTGTGGCAATGAACGTTCATGGAGCTCGAGGAGCTTTTTTCAAGGTCGAGTTACCTGGATTTGGGTACACCGTTGCTACGAAAGGCACCGGGATTGAGTGTGTTAAAGATCTGATGCACGAATCGACAATTTACCGTCGTCTCCTTCCTGTTCAGGGGAAGTGCGTACCTGTGCACCTAGGAGAGACGAAAGTGGACAGTATATATACTACGCAGGAGCCGTTCGTATTGTCTATATGATGTTTCTAAGCTTTGGAGGATTAAAATTACGATCGCCAATCTCACAAACTCTCGCTGACGACGCCATCTCCGGTCTGCATGCCATACATCAGTTGGGAGTATTGGAGGGTGATCCAGCAGCTCGGAACATTCTCGTCCACCCGGATCGGCCAGGAATTACCTGGATTGACTTTGAACGAGCCGAGTTCGTACACCCACGAGCGGTACTCGGAACTCTATCTCCAAATCGGAAACGAAAGCTTGGCTGGTCTCACGAAGAAGGGAAGTGTGAGAATGGAAAGAGCAGCAAGAAGATATCTGCATCAGAGATAGGTCAAGCTAAGACGGAGCTGGCGAGATTGGTGGTGAAGTAGGGAGTAGTCATTTCTACAGATGCCGACCTCATTCAGCCCGGAACGCTTATCAGGAGCCGAAGAAGTCTGATAGCAGGATGAACTCTCTGGAAGTCGTCACTGATGAGCCTCGTCACCGACATTTCCGTACGAGACAGTGCCAACTCAGCTTACGTTGAATGTTGCACATGTCCTGGATCGCGACATCAGTGACCACTCTCTCGATCCGTGTCTCGGAATGGTTTTGCAGCACGAATCCAGGCACTTTCATCCACCCAAGGCAATTACCTCAGCCACATCGACGTGTTTTGCATCGGAGAAACTGGACGGGTAGGGATGGTCGCCAGAATCTGGGGTACATAGCTTCGCTCCACAATAAGGTCCCATTTCGTTTCTATATGCAGGCCATTCTAGGAATCTGCGGTCTAGCCATGTTCTAGCTCGCCTCCTCGACAACAAAGCTATAGGCATGTTATGCTGAGGATTTGGTACTATCATCATTGCGGTGTTGTGATATTGGCAACTGTTTGTCGATGAGGTCGCAGCTTGGTGGAGAAATTGACATTGGGAGCTGGGTTATTCCGATTCAAACAGTTATCCTTAGTACGCTGATCCCTTATGGATCAAGCACCCACTTTTGCACGTCAACTACAAAGCAAAATGAACTCTGTTTGTTATGATTCCTGTTTTTTTATAGGGGCCACCCGATCAGTGTCTGCTTGTTTCGCTCAGACATTTTGACCCGTATCCCGTATCCCGTGTATAGTGATGTGTCGTGTGTCTGGATCGGATGAGTTGGCCGCCTACGAAACTCTGGCAGAAATGCTGTGTAATAGTGGCCATTTTATTGGGCGATTTTATATTCCTATGTCACTGATGAGTGCGCCGTCTTTCATGTGTAACGAGAGATGCGTCGCTGTAATACTTGCGTTGACTGTGGAAGGAGCAGATGTCGTTTGTACTCAAAATACTGTTGCCTGAGGCTATCAAGGCGGCGGGATATACTAAAATCCGCCAACTCATTGCTCATCTTCCCATCTTGAGCGCCATAACCAGCTTTTCGAGCAGTCGAGTAACACACCAGGTGGCTCTTTTTGTTCGTTAGTGATGGCAAAGCTCCTTTTATCGCATTCAGCGCGCAATACTTCATAGGAGCCAGCCGTATCTACATTTTGAATCTCTCCGAGCCGCTGATGGATCGTCTCCAGTTGCGACCGGTCGAGACGAGCTCGGTCAAGGCCAGGGCCTTGGAAGATGCTCAGCAGATGCAACTGAGTGTCGATGAGTCTGCTAAGAAGGCTGGAAAAGCCCCGCCAAAGTATGTTCTGACTGAGCTCATCGGCAAAGGTAGCTTTGGTCGTGTGTATAAAGGGTGAGTGGTATATCTCCTACCCCAATGCCTCGTACAGCAATTAATCCTCTGTATATCACAGCAAAGATACAACCACTGCAACAATTGTCGCTGTGAAGATCATTGACCTAGATGAGAGCGATACCGTCAATCCTCGCAGTGCAGACTCATACAGCGAATTCTTGAAAGAGATCGGTGCCCTAAAACTGTTGAGCGAGAACAAAGCGCGGAACATCAATCATATCATTGATTCATTGTTGGTTGACCAGACCATGTGGATGGTAACGGAGTATTGTGGAGGTGGAAGTGTTGCGACGCTAGTAGGTGCTCCATGTTTGCCCTGCGAACCTACGTTTATATTCGGAACTGATCAAATCACAGATGAAGCCTACACCGAGGGGCCTACAAGAGAAATGGATCGTGCCAATACTTCGAGAAGTTGCGGAAGCTCTCGGATGGGTCCATCGGGCAGGTATCATTCATAGGGACGTCAAATGTACGCATTCATGGCAAACGCTTCGTCTACTATACTGATTGTCTCAGGCGCAAATGTTCTTGTTACGGAAGAAGGAGGCGTACAACTCTGTGACTTTGGCGTTGCAGGTATTGTTGAGACTGCAGCAGATAAGAGATCGACGTTTATAGGAACCCCACATTGGATGGCGCCCGAATTATTTGTTTCAACGCGAAGCTATGGCAAAGAGGTAGACATTTGGGCGTTCGGATCTATGGTGTACGAGATGGCCACGGGACTTCCTCCAAACGCTGCCAACGGTATCTCATACGAAAATTTAGGGAATCGTTTGAAGACTAGTATCCCAAGACTTGAAGATGGAGACTACTCGACACAACTGCGAAACCTGGTTGCCATTTGCCTTGAGGAGCTTCCAGATTCTCGTCCAACGATAGGCCAGATTCAACAGCACCCTTACATACACGGCACCGGCTTGAAGTATCCTACTTCCACACTTTCACAACTAGTTCGAGCATTTAGGTTGTGGGAACAACACGGCGGCAGTAGAAAGTCTCTTTTTATGCTCGGTGGCGCTCCAGGATCGTCAGAAATTTTATCGCCCCAAGCTGATAACGAATGGAATTTTAGTACTACTGTTGCGTTCGATCAAGAGGTTTCGAGAGAATCTATCTCTCAAGATATTTATGAGGCATATAATATGCAAGTGGAGCTTGATGCCAGTCTTACCCAAGACACTACTCGTCCAAGTCAGCGTCAGAAAGGCTCTAGACGTCGCCCTCCCCCCGAAGTTTTCGACTTACAGGACGTCATAAATGTTTATGGCAGTTCTGTTGATCTCAGCACTGAGTTCGCAGAAAAGACTTCTAAACCCTCCCGCCAGCAACAAGCAAGAGAACGTGGCAGACGCCGCCCACCGCCAGAGTCATTGAACCCAATCAAGGCGCCCCTTGAAAAACTGTTCGATCCTAATACAATCTCCAACTACGAGGATAACTCAAGGATACATTATGGGCGAGATTTTGTAATGCCAGTCTCTGACCTTCCACTGAGAGAAAGGGACGACACGGCTCAGATATCTATCAGAGACACGATGATCGATTTGGGCGGGCATGACATTGAAACTGGGCTATCGAATTTCCCAGATCTTACCATCCGACCTGACCGAGAAATTCACGCCAGTGATACTGATGTCACCGATGACATCGAATACAGCTACGACGATAATACTATGCACGGGTTTGGAAGACCACTGTTATCAGATTCAGCTGACAACCCGAACCGTCGCACCCGAGATTGGAAATTTCCATCCGCTCCAGCAGCCTCCTCAGACGTGGAAACAAGCCGCTTTCCAAACACCGCAGCTCCAGCCCGCCCCCCTGTCACGCTTGGATCCGGTGGTCGTCCGAAACTAGTGCACCACCCCACAGAACCGCTCGGCGTCGGATTTAACAACTTTATGGCGTCTGCACCCACTTCCCCGAGACAATCCATTCGAGAGTCTCTGATAGACCTTGATTTCGGTCTTCCGGATTCTGCACCGGAGTACGTTCCAGACTACGCTCCAGACTACGCTCCAGAACCATCTAGACCATCTACCGCTGATTCTACAACAAGCAACGAATTTGTTTCAGGCAATCCTTTCGATTTGGAACGCCATGCGTCGACTAGTTTCCGCAATGCACCAAGAGAGCCTTCCCTTTATCTTCCAGGAGATTCGGGCTTTGCAGGCCATTTCCGTGCCCGAAGTAATCTGCAAGATGTGGCAGATATATCCGACTTCTCAGGCTCAGATGCCGGGCAATATGGCCCACGAAACGGCCACGAATATGGCCAGAGATCCCAACAGATGTTCGACTACTCTGACGCGGATTATTCACAGTCTTCGATGATGGAAAAGCCTTTCAACCCGCCCCAATCAGCTCCATCCTGGAATACATCTCAGGGCGTAGTTTACGGCATGGATCGATTTCCATCGCTGCCAATTCCGCCTTCTATGGGGGCACTAGCAGGAACATCATCATGCGAAGAGATGGCGGGCGAGCTCCAACGTCTTCTTGGCGGCCTGACCACACAGCTGGAGGCTTACCGAGATGTTGCCGAATCTCTCCCTCCAGGCCAAAACGCACCCAGTCAGCGCGAAAAACCCACTCGGATGGAATGAGATGCGCGCTGCATGGTTGTTTTATATGGATTTTCAAAGAGACCCAAGTACGATGTTACCAAACCGATACCACGGATGAATTGTAATTTTTTGTCAGCATTGAAGGGAACTTCTACGAAACGAAATCGGCACTTTATGTACGTTGGGTCGATAATGAGTGTATACATGAACCAAGTGGGTTTAAGGCGGCTATAATCTTTGTTGATTGATTAAGGCCTGCCTTTGGTTTTTGTCTCATAAGACTTGACTTGAAAACTTGAGCGGTTCAATAGATAGCGACTCCACACCCGAGTCCAATGAAACTTTTATTTTACCTTAATTGCCTTTGTACTGAATATACCACTGTTTGTGAAGTTGCACCCCTCCGGGCTCCACTCGAGAAGGTTTTTGATCCAAATACAATATCAAACTACGACGATAATAGTCGGAATCATTATGGCCGCTCAACGCAGCAACCAGTCTCTGACTTGCCACTGCGCGACAATATGGCCCATACGATTATCAGAGACACAACGGTCAACCTCGGTATCCATCATGACTCAGGGAATAAGCTTTCTCCTGACTTACGGAGGTGTTGTTCATAAGTTTTGTGAGTGGGTCGGGCTAGGGCCCCCTGCGTAGGCTGGCTTGGCAATTCTGGCCAAAGTACCGATTCTCACGCGTCACGAACACTTGAGTGTGAGAGCAATCAATTCTGTAGAATAATGAGTAGAGTAGATACCTAAACCCCTATATAAAACTATACTATAAGCCTAGTACTCTGTGTGCATACCATTTGCAGCAATTACTGCTGCCATACGTGTAGGCATACTATTAAGGAGAGCATTAAGCTCAGCTTCTCCAACTTGCTCCCACGCTTCCTTAACAGCTACACGGAGCTGGTCGTAGGACATATGTTCTGGATGATTATCTTGTAGATAATTCTTCATAATATGCCACACCCGTTCAATTGGGTTGAGATCTGGTGAATACGGGGGCCATTCTATAGGGCAAATACCACGGGATCTCAACTCTTCATATGTTGCACCTGCTCTATGACCTGGAGCTCCATCTTGCATCAATGTAAGGCCTGGGTGTAGGCGTAGCCAGCCGTGGATTAGAGGGACAGTATGAGCCATATAGGACTCAGCTCCTATTTTCCCATATTCCTTCTCCCAAAATAGTATAGGACCCTTTCCAAGACCACCTGAGAAGCAGCCCCAGAACATCCAACCTCTAGGGATTGTTAGTAAATCCTATAGTAAATAGGAGTCTCTTACCTTCTCCATTGTACTCTATCTACAACACATGTCTCATCCCACATTTCCCCTGCTTTTCGAGTAACCCACATACGAGTATGGCGGCCTCCCGTTACCCACGTCTCGTCAGTCCAAAGTATCCTATTCCAATCATTCCGTACCCAATCCTTATGTTCAATAGCCCATGAAAGTCGCTTTTGTCGATTTGTCTCTGAGATAATAGGCTTCCGCATAGCAACCCCTTAATAATTATTAGTCTATAACGTACATGTATAACGAACCGGCCAAACAAGCGAACCGGCCAATCCATTTTACACCTTAAATCACGAATTTCATAACTTAATATCTCAACAACCCTTTAATAATAAGTTATAAAAATATGTACTTAGCCTTTTATAAGCATTTAAAGTACTCTATTTGATTTTTAAAGCAATTAGTATTGTAGTTATTAAGATATTGAGTTTTAGCCCCCACTTTTGACCTAATTCTTAGTATCTTAATAACTACAATACTAATTGCTTTAAAAATCAAATAGAGTACTTTAAATGCTTATAAAAGGCTAAGTACATATTTTTATAACTTATTATTAAAGGGTTGTTGAGATATTAAGTTATGAAATTCGTGATTTAAGGTGTAAAATGGATTGGCCGGTTCGCTTGTTTCGCCGGTTCGTTATACATGTACGTTATAGTAGTAAAGTAGAGAGGGATACTCACATCGATTATAGCCTCTCACAGACAGAGCGCGGGTTAGGACAAGCCTGTAAGGACACAGGGAATACGGCTCTCCGTAGGTGCATATGGGAGTGCGAGTCGGAGGTGATGCTGTATTCTATCCTATAGGTCTACTACGAAGGATACAAAAAAGATAAAGGGGGAGCTTACAGCTTCCTACCCCTTAAATATCCGTCTCGGGTCCGACTCTAATCAAGCTTAGCGTACCCTCGGTACTACTTAGTCGGTAATCCGAATCGACCCCGACTCTAACCCCTATGTTGCTGTACTACTATGTTATCTACTGCGCGTCCCCTTAGGGGTCCGAATGCACCCCGTGTAAGGAGGCATCCTTACAAAGCCGTGAGCATGGAATATTAAGAATGTGTATTATATTTGTATATGGCATACGCCTATTCATGCGAGATGAGGCTATAAACTCAATAACCTCTTGAACTTGCTCATCGGATAGAATAAGTGGCCTACCCGAACGCTTCTTCAGAGTTGGAGGGCCCTGGCAAGTGTCATACTGACATTCGTTGCACTCAGTTTGCTATCAAACTCAAGAGCAAACTTGGAAATCTCCTCCTCAAACCTACAAGTCACTATACATATTTTGGCTTATCACACCAACAACAAGAGCAATACTACTCAGCGATTGCTACAACCATCTATGATTCATTACACGTCATCGCTCCTTAGTTACTGGGCCGATATTACCACATAGCATATCTCTACAACCCTCTATGATTCATTACATGACATCACTCATACTACCACATGACATATCTCTACCAACTAGAGGCCTAGGAGCATGAACGATAGCTATAAAAGCTCCTACGAACCTCTATGATTCATTACATGTCATCGCTCTTTAGTTACCCACAAGATTGGTTAAGTTATGACATAATTTGTCTATGACATAATTTGTCTATGACATAATTTGTCTATGACATAATTTGTCTATGACATAATTTGTCTATGACATAATTTGTCTATGACATAATTTGTCTATGACATAATTTTATGACATAATTTGTCTATGACATAATTTGTCTATGACATAATTTGTCTATGACATAATTTGTCTATAGGGGTACTCTGACCTTGGACCTCCTTTTACTTCCTATAGGCTACGAACCTAAGAGATGGTTCTATGGGATTCTCTTATGTCGACTACAGTTACCAAGCCTGGTAAGTCATGGAAAGTTTTGGAAAATGAGAGAACTACATTCCTTTAGCATAAATAGGATTGCCCTTTCCTTAAGAAAGGGCAAGCAGACAATACAGTAAATCGACTATCACATACTTCCACGTCTTTTGCAAGCTTCCAAGCATTCATCTTGTTACTCCTTGTTTCTGAAAAGTCAGTGAGGTGTTAACCTCTGACTTACCCCTGAGTTCCCAGACTCAACATTTGTTGCAACTTGTCTGAACCACTTCACTACATCACACACCTGATTGCTGCGTTGTGGAATAGTCTAAGCTACGACCCTTTGGCTCTTTTTCCTAAGACAGTGTGTTGTCTTAGTAAATTCATCCCTTCCTTGGGTGGCTAGATTCTCACATCTGGTGCAATACCATTACAAAATGCTTTCCACCACGAGATGATGCGAAGCGACTCCGATCAGACTAGCATCTACGAAATCGATCAGATCATTCATGAAAAGGAATTGGACGAGGATGCAGAAACTCTTCACCTCATCCAACAGAAACTCCCGCATATGCACCGAAGCTATGCCGATGTCTTTTCGAAGTCGGAATCAGGTCGGATCCCTCCACACTGCATATACGACCATAAGATACAGCTCGAAGCTCCTTTACCAAATGCCTTCTCCCCGCTATACCGACAAGGCACCGAAGAGCTTAAGGCTACCAAGCAATACCTGCTGGAAAACCTGGAAAAGGAATTCATCATCAACAGCAACAGCCCCTTCGCATCCCCTATCCTATTCGTAAAGAAAGCGGATGGCAAATTAAGATTTTGCATCAATTACCAGAAGTTAAATGGTCTCACCCGGAATGATCCCTACCCCATCTCGCGTATCGACGAACTACTAGGATGGGTGTCGAAAGCCAAAATCTTCACGAAGCTAGATATTAGATAAGCCTTCCATCATATACGAATGCACCCTGACTCAGAAGAGTACACTACCTTTCGGACTCGCTATGGAACCTACAAATGCAAAGTGTTACCGTTTGGCCTGACAAATGGTCCCGCAACCTATCAGCGGTATATGAACGATGTCCTGATGCAATATTTGGACGACTTCTGTACTGCCTACCTAGACGACATCCTAATCTATTCCGAGGGCCCTACGTAACACGTAGACCATGTGCATAAGGTCCTACAGCATCTCTGAGAAGCCAGACTTCAAGCCGATATAAAGAAATGTGAATTCAACGTTACCCGGACAAAGTACTTAGGATATATCCTTACTACTTCTGGTGTCGAAGCGGACCCTGACAAGATCGAGCCCCTTCGCAACTGGATCCGACCGACTACTGTTACAGGTGTGAAGTCCTACCTAGGGTTTTGTGGCTTCTACCGGCAATTCATTCGAGATTTCAGCAAAATAGCAAAGCCCCTCACAACTATCACTAGTCCCTCGGAGCCGTTCCGGTGGACAGACGAATGTGAGGATGCGTTCAAGGAATTGTGACGACAACTTTTAGCGGTACAGGCACTTCACCACTTCAACCCCGAATTGCCTACGAAGCTGGAGACGGACTCCTCTGATGGAGTGGTAGCTGGTGTCCTGTCCCAGGAACACCCTGACAAGCGATGGTACCCCGTAAGCTTCTACAGTCACGTCCTATCCGGACATGAGATCAACTGGGAGATCCACGACAAGGAACTATTCGCAATCGTGAAAGCCTTTGGAAAATGGAGGCCCGAGTTGGCTTTGGTACGCCACCGAGTTGACGTCTACACTGATCACCGTTCATTGGAATATTCCATGTCTACCAAGATCCTCACAGCGAAACAGGTTCGGTGGATGGAGCTACTCTCTGACTTCAATTTCTGCATCACGTACACCGCAGGCAAGAATAATCAGAAGGCTGATATTCTGAGCCGAAGAGACCAAGACCTGGTAACGCAACAGAAAGTCAAACTCGACAGTAGAGCGAGGGTATTGCTAGGTCCAAGCCGCTTACACCCCCGTATCAGCGCCGAACTAGCAGAGAGCTACGTGGCATCCATTAACCTGATAGACACCCCCAAGGCACAGGTGCCCTTCAATTTAATAGAGGCGCTATGTGTGGACAATCAGAAGTCGTTCACCGAGACTCGCGCGAAACAACCCCTACCAGACGGATTCACGATGAACAACCAGCTCCTCCTGTACAAAGGCCGCCTATGTGTGAATCGCCACACCGACCTATGTACGAAACTGATCCGAGAAGTGCACGATCAAGTGTCGTCAGCACATCCAAGTGGTAGGAAAACCTACCAATTGCTTGCTCCAAAGTATCATTGGGTCGGGATGGAAGCGGATTGTTTGCGGTATGTACGAAACTGCGTAACATGCCGGCTTTCTCACACCAATGTCACTAAGCAACAAGGATTCCTATACCCACTACCTGTACCCGAATATCCTATGCAACACCTCACCATGGACTTCAAGGAGTTCCCAAGGGACAAGCACGGATACGATAGCATCTTAGTGTTTATGGACCGATGTAATGGTGGGTGCACCAGATGTGAGAATCTAGCCACCCAAGGAAGGGATGATTTTACTAAGACAACACACTGTCTTAGAAAAAGAGCCAAAGGGTCGTAGCTTAGACTATTCCACAATGCAGCAATCAGGTGTATGATATAGTGGAGTGGTTTAGACAAGTTGTAACAAATGTTGAGTCTGAGAACTCAGGGATAAGTCAGAGGTTAGCACCTCACTGACTTTTCAGAAACAAGGAGTAACAAGATCAATGCTTGGAAGCTTGCAAAAGACGTGGAAGTATGTGATAGTCGATTTACTGTATTGTCTGCTTGCCCTTTCTTAAGGAAAGGGCAATCCTATTTATGCTAAAGGAGTGTAGTTCTCTCATTTTCCAAGACTTTCCATGACTAACCAGGCTTGGTAACTGTAGTCGACGTAAGAGAATCCCATAGAACCATCTCTTAGGTTCGTAGCCTATAGGAAGTGAAAGGAGGTCCAAGGTCAGAGTACCCCTATAGACAAATTATGTCATAACTTAACCAATCTTGTGGGTAACTAAGGAGCGATGACATGTAATGAATCATAGAGGGTTGTAGAGATATGCTATGTGGTCATATCGGCCCAGTAACTAAGGAGCGATGACGTGTAATGAATCATAGATGGTTGTAGCAATCGTTGAGTAGTATTGCTCTTGTTGTTGGTGTGACAAGCCAAAATATGTATAGTGACTTGTAGGTTTGAGGAGGAGCTTTCTAAGTTTGCTCTTGAGTTTGATAGCAAACTGAGTGCAACGAATGTCAGTATGACAACTCATCTACGAATATAAAGATAGAACCAGCTTTAAGTTCTAATAATGCCCATTTCAGAATCTCAAGCGTACTTTAGGAATAATATTATCAGGATATGGCTTTAGAAGATGTTTTTGCGTACAATTAGGCAAGGGATCTATGTACTTAAGTGGTTCTTTGCAACTTGTTTAACAATAGAGCATGAATATGATAATTTCTCCTTGTTGAAATGTATCAAATGGATTTGCCAGAAGTAAAGAGCATATACGTAATGACTCTTGAGAATCTTTCTGTATTGTTTGAGGTCTTCTACTCTAAGGCTTTAGGTTGAGATGTTTAAGAAGGTTAAGAATGTCTTATTTCCTGCCTCTTCTACAGTTTGTTGCTATATATGTGTAACAGAATTAGCTGAGATTCCAAGCTTCTTTTTAATCTTAACTATATGAATCATTCATAAATATGCGTAAGGTAATAATTGCTACATGTAGTGGAATTGAAATTTCAGCCATTGTACTTAAAGATAGTTGAGAGTTGGGTATTATTGTTGTAACTGAGTACTTACACTTCCTAATATAGACTTTTGGGCCGCACGAGTACAAGGGTTCTAAGTTATTACTCGACTCATGTAAGCCATACGAGCATGACTTCGTCATTGCACAACACAACATTATTATACACCTTTCCCTCATATGTTACACTCGTTTTACAGCCATTAGACGTATGAGTGTTCTAGCCTTATAAGCACTAGCATCGAGTAGCTGTGCTTGCTGCCATACAGGATATAGACGTTACCTACGACCTACAAGCCTTCATAAGAGATCTCACACCTCTCTCTCTACGGAGATTTTCGACCAACAGAGGCTTTAAAATACCTCTGGTAGCGCTGAAGATCAAAGGTTCCCTCCTCGAGCTCTTTCCTATCAGAATCTCCTGCCCAGCATAAGGTTCTACAGCGGCTCAAAACCTCTCCGCTGTTCAGTTCAATATCGCAAGCACACCAAGTATAGGCGGATGTCTCATACTCCTTCAACCGGAGATAATGTGATTCGGTGGTGACTCTCCACATTGACCCCGAAACCCTCCCGCCTTCGTGTGGTATAAGTGCTGGATATATACCCCACATTTTTATAAAAAACCCGCAAACGGATCCGCTTTCAACAATCGGCGCCTCTGGAAGTTCAAGAATAGGCTGTAGCACTTCGGGATCCATGAGGGAGCCATAGAAGAAGAAGGGGCATGGTTCAAATGGAGACTCGGCGCCTTTGGGGGCGGAAACTGATTGCGTCGCCGGTTCTAACTTCTTCGTCCTTACAGATACTGCTGATCTGAAATAATTGGCCTTTGAGTTCGGGGGAAGCGGGGGAGCCGGACGGACCACTGCCTCTTGGATCAGCTGTGCCATTTTCAAGTTGCACAATGTTTCAACGCGTTTGCTTTCCCACTACCATTGGCAAACATCAGTAGACGTTGAAGTGGTGCATCGCGTGGTATGTTCCAATGAAAAAGGCCTGGGTATTGCTAGGCTATAATGTAAGTTGTGATCTTGCTCTAATAGTACCTGGGAATGACTCCCTTGAGAATGAAGCATTATGTAGAGACCTGGTGCCTTATCTTATTGTACGTGGGTCTCACTTCGGGACTAGAGTGTGCCTCCAGTACGAGGCTACGCCGCAAGGCTGACTCTTTCTCCCAGTCACAAGAGCGGCCACAACTCTCATGACCATCACAATTGAAATCGGGTCGTCAGCCTGTGACCGCATCTTCGAGTTGGCATCCTGGATATGGCTATACCGTCTCTATACGAGCACCATCTATTCACTTGTGAACGAAGCGTTTAGAATCACGCTGTGTGCCACAGGTCCAAGCCCATCCGCCAACTGTCACCTGCCGTTTTCATTTAAACGGCCAGCAAATTACTCATCTTCAACAACACCTCGCGCGAGGCTCTCGGGGTTGTTGTGATCCTGCTTAGGTGGCCGTCACATCTATATTCTACCAAATAAATCTGTTCAAGTAAGCCTCATCAGTATGCCGCTTTACCCTGCCGCACCGTCACCTAAACGGAAACGAGATGAAAAGCCACATTCGCCACAGCAGAGAGTCACTTCGAGACGGTTAGATACACTCCCAGAAAAGTTAATGTCATCTTCTGGAGAGGATATCGACACGGGGGTTCAGACTCCACGGTCCAGGGTAGGCCATAGCTTTGGGGAGCTGGAAATAGAGGGAACTGGTGGGGTCAGCAGGCTGGACCTGCTTGGGACGTTTGGGGCATCATCGAAAGTTGACAACGGCGAACCCAGAAAACAAGCCAAATCTTCTCGGAATGGATTTAAAGAAATCCCGGAGACACCCCAGGTCTCCTCCAATATGGTTTCAGGCCCAACTGGTGCTATACGTTTTGATAGGAACGGTGCATTTGGCAGCCAGCATAACAACGTAATATTCACAGGCGCCAACTCTACCAATACCCTAACTACACTCAGTACAACGCTTCCTAGTCGCCCAAGTCATAAGCAGCCGGCCTCTCCACCTTCGCCTGATCCTCCACCACAGCAATTCTCACCGGCGCCCTCGCCTCCCGTCACTCCTGCGATCTCGCCTCTTCAGGAACCTCCATCGCTTCACTGGGAAGAGTCCGAAATTACTGGTCATAACCCCAGTGATCCCGATGATGATGGCGAGGGGATCAACGGCGTCGGTTTCAAGCCCACCGCTGCTATTACCCGGGCTCGTTCTGAGCGTCGTCGCAAGCAGTTGGCTGACTACAAGTCCCGTGAAGACAAGGAGGCCAGAGATGAGAGGGCTAAGAGGGCTGCACTGAGGAGGCAAAAGGGGAGTGAGGGTGTGGCTGCTAAGACCGAGGAAACTCAAGTCTCGGAGAAGGAGAGAAGGGTGAGGTTCTCTGAGGCCGAAAGAGCGATCGATGTGCTCTGAGAGTTGTTCGGCCTCTTGGGAGGTTGGAAAGAAATTGAGGAAATGAATATATGTCTTTCTTGGCTTTAATGGCATTCTTTTGCATCAAAGGGCTTGGATGGGGACCTGGGAGCTGAGTTATAATATATAATATTCATATAGCGCGGCGTTAGGCTGGAGTTGAAGCAGCTAATGCGTTGGTTCCGTTTAGCATTTATAGGCTCGACTATTTAATTTGATTACTATGAATTCATACTAAGATAAATATTCCCAGATCTTTCCTTCCTTTCATAGCGAGCAATATTATGATATGCACCTGGCTTATACGACCCCGCATACGTCACAATGCGGGGTTGGTTAGTGTAACAGCTGACAATGCCATGATCAATAACCATAAGATCATTCTAATAGCCTCAAAAATACAAATATAACCCATATCCATCTATACCACCCAACTAATACAATGGAATCCGACAAGAAGACAATAATAGCATTCGCCTCTACGGCACCCTCCTCTCCACCGACTCCATCGCCAAAGAACTCCCATCCCACTTCGGCGATGAGAAAGCAAAGACCCTCGCGCATTATGGCGACGCTATCAACTCGAATATACATGGCGGTTGAATAGCATGTGTAAGTCCCTCCCTTTTCCACCCTCCGTATCTCCCAAATACTAAAACAATACAAGCAATCTACAAAGACTTCAGCTCCGTAACCCGCGCCTCCCTCACCCACGCCCTGTCAGATCTCTCCCTACCGTCTGCTGCAATTGACTCCCTAATGCGCGCCTACGACTCCCTTGATCTCAACCCCGACGCCGGGCCCGGGCTCATCTCCCTCCAGTCCTCTACGGCAATAGACGCATACATCTTCTCCAACGGCAGCCCCGCCATGCTCAAGGCCTCCGTCACAAAATCGCTTTCCCTAGCTCAATTCCAAGGCATCTTCCAAGACATCGTAAGTGTGGAGGAAGTCAAGGTATACAAGCCTGATCCAAAAGCGTACCAATATTTAGGCGGGGTTGAAGGCCGCGTGGGTGGATCGGCAGGGTTTGGGGTGGATAGATGGATTGGGGGAGTTGGTGGGGGGGAAGGGGCCGACGGTTGTTGTGAGGGGGGTGGATGAGGCTGTGAGGGAGATTCAACGGCAGGAGGGAGATAGGAAAGTAGTCAAACCAAAAAACTAAATTGAGCTCTGATAATAATAGTGGTTTGTATCATATCTATGCGTAATTATATCTATATTCGTGTGCCTTCATGGTGGAGGCACCCTCAACCTTGTCTTCGACCCAACACCAGCCTGACTTCGTTATGTGTCAAATTCTTGAGTTGCAACTCCTCGAGAACCCCTGTCGCCCCTGCGTTGCTAGCAAATGCGCGGTCAGACGCATCCGTAAAGGACATAAGTCCATCCTGTGCCTTCTCCGGGAGGTTGAGCAATGTTGCCGCCTCTCGTAGCTTTGGCATTCCCAAATCCGATGACGAGCCATCGGTGATGTAGTTATCGATCAATGACCACGTAGCGCTGAGGTCACGGTAGAACTGAGCAGCTCCGTTTCTAGTGAACTTTTCGCGCATGAGGACATCGCGCCATAGAGACTCTCCCAGGAATTCAAAAACCTCGCCGAAGATGCCGCGCAATGTGGCCGTGGCTAGTGCGTTGTGAAGGAAGGACATATCTCTTTCTAATGTCTGTAATAGCGCTTCAAATTCTGCCGTGATGTTCATTGGAGCTTGTACGCCTGTATTCAATTAGTATCTAAACGGCCTGACTGGGGAAAATGGTATCTTACCATCTTCCGAAATATCCACTGCAAGCCAGTTGGGCTTATTAGTATATGCTCTTAAAGTAGTAGGCAGCGAATGTTTGATAGACTCCGTCATGAGTAGCTGGGCGTGGTCCCGTTGCTTTGTGTATGCGCTTACTGTCTCGTCGAATACGGCGCCGTCACCATCAGAGCCAACGGATACTGATGTACTATTTTTCACGACTTCGTAGCTCATAGCCTCAGCCAAGTTATCGCCCATACTCCTTTTCTTAGCACGCTCCTGGAGCTCAATCCAAAGGCCTAGGAAGAACTAGTATTACGTTAGTATGATGTGTGGTAGCGTGGTATCTGTAAAGAGACTTACCAGGTCATTGCTCCAATCATTTAAAGTGTTGATAACAAGATCTGAGCTTCCGTGGACTTTGCATAGACTCTCTAAGCCGCCAGTTCCTTCCATTTGTGCTTGTTGTTCTTTTGTCACGCCGTGCAATGCCCGACCGACAGTAGAAGTTATAGCAATATAGGCATCCAGTGAATCTTTCAGCAGGCCGTGATATTCATCAAGAATCCTGATCTGGATATCAATAACAAATCTCATTTGGAACGAGAATTTGGGCAAGCCCTGGTATTGCTTGGTCACATTCCCAAGCAGATCCATGACTTTCGAAGCGCCGTATGTAGCCTTTGTTGTATTTGGGCCAGTGCTGTCATAATCAATCCTTGAGTTGTCATTAGACTCAATGATACTTTTATATCTCATCACAGCAAAATCCTTCTCCACCTCGAGCCACCTAAGGAACCATTTGTCGAGAACTTCCCGTGTGAGGCCTTTCCAGCCTTTCTTCGAATTTCCACCATCGTAGCTGAATTTCAATCGAATATCTTCGTCAAACTTCATAAGTGAGACCATTAAACTGCTCAAAACCGAGGGTTCGTTGGCTATCGAAACCAGGAGCGTATTAACCCTCTCGCGCACCACAGGTAGAAGTGCCGTAATAAATGCGGCAACCGGGTCATTGTATGAACGGTTCATTGTCATTGTGCTGCCGAAATGTGACATCAGGATTGGCCCAACATTATCAATCAAGTAATCTTCACGGCTTTCAATCAGCTCCACCACCCATTGTAAAAAGTAAGCTGGATGGAGCTTAGTGTTGCTAGCTTTGGTGCCCATAAAGTGATACCGGAATTGCTGGACAAAGGGCTTAGTCAAGCAAGCCATCGGCAATAGGATCATTGGCTGGCGGGCAGGGGCGTTGAGAATCTCCGGCGTCTGGAGCTCCAGCAGTCGTTGAAAGCTAGCGGTCCATGCTTCTGTAGGAGCCTCGCTGGCTGTAGGCCAATCTGTTTTCTTCAGAACACCCTCAAAGTTATCCACCATCACTTGTTTCATCTCAGACCAGAGTATATTTGCTCTCTTTTCGACATGCGTTACAAGATGCCCAGCTGCATCATCGGCAGGGGTCTGTAGGCGACGTAGCAAAATATACAGTTCCTTTAAGCGGGCATACGGCTTCAAAGCCTCTTTCGGGTGCTCAGGTAGGAAACTCCGCGCTTCGTTGGCGAGGCTATCAACCTCTTGGAGCATTTCCACATAGTAGTATGCGAGGTCGAGACGTCGAAGCTTCTCTATCGGAGCTTTGAATCTTTGCACCGCTTCATCAGGGGCATCCGAGGCAGTAACTATGGTGAGCCGATTATCTATTCCCGACTGGATATCTTGGAAAGCTTTCGTTCGCTGTAATAGTGTATCGCTATGGGAGGCATCTGCTTCGTTCGATTTGGCAAGCTTGCATCGAGCATCTTGGAGCTGTACGGGAGTTTCAGTATATAGATTTTATGGGGAAGCTTCAGCTATATTCAGGGATACTGCTACTGACCTGGCTCAGCAATTGTACTCGCTGTTCTTCGACATTGGCAATCAATGAATCCAAATTCTGGAAATCCGCAGCTGTTTGTAGCTTGTCGTTCAAATAGTCATCGAGGCGAATGTCGTGTTCTCCTTCGGAAATATTGCTACTGTTCCTCACTACGGCAATAGGGTTTCTCTCTTTTCTAGCCACTGAAGCTGATGCCATGGCGTTGAGTTGGAAAATAAGTTAATTGTGCATCGTGTTCTATACCCCAGATTCGAAGCTTGGGTTGGCCGTAGCGGGGCGGAATAATGACGGGTCCCGGCGGCACCTCAGGTCCCCTGCAAGTCGCGTACTCATCGCGATTTCCTGCCTATGACGTCCCTACATGCACCATCATGGAGACAGCGTAGCAACGACAGAGGTCCAACAACTTTCCATGTCTTCAGAGTAGCTTGACAAACTGATCATTCGATCGTTTTAGCCAGGCGACACATGGATGCGCAATACGGGCATTACAGGTGGCGAGAACACAAGGAGGCTCATGGCATATGCGCATTATCAGAGTGGTTACTGGAGACCAGAGGAATTAAGATCATGAGTGGGAACCTCAAATAATGGCGCCCCCTGCAAAGCGACCAAAGCTCAATAGTAGCAAATCTTCGCCGGCGAAGCAAAGAGGGCTAGACTATTTCTTCAGTAAACAGAAGGGGGGGTCTCCAGCCAAATCCAGCCAAAATCACCAGGATGCGCACGCAGAAGATACTACAACCGAGCTTACCGACGAGCAGCTTGCTAGAAAGCTTCAAGCTCAATGGGATGAAGAAGACGCGGGGTCATCGACAGTCGCGGTGCCGAGACAAGACGATATAGGCTCTCCTCTTGTGGCATCGGAGCAGCTGAATGATGATGTCCCAATAACAGACACCGATAATGCTGAACAGAGGCAAGATAATAAGGCAGGCGAAATCCCTAGCACTGTGTCTATGGGGACGAGCTCGTTTATGAGCAAAGACAGCAGCTCCAGCAATCTGGCCCTCAAAGTCAAGAATAATCTAGCTCTACAATCCGCTGTCTCGGAAGAGGATTCGATATCCAGTGGCATTTGTTTTGACGAAAGTCCTCTCACATTTGATCCGCATAAATATCTCCCGGACCTTCAAAAGCAGTGGGCTGGGCACGGTGGTAATGCATCTTATGCCCTGGTCATTAGATGCTTTGTTCTGGTAAATAGTACGCAAAGTAGGATTAAGATCGTGGATACTCTAGTTAACCTACTGAGAACCATCATTGAAGGGGATCCAAGTAGTCTGCTACCTACTGTATGTATATCTTCCACAAAACTCCGCAGGTTGTCTCCTATCCACCGAATCATGTATTGTAGCCCCCTATTCGGGTCCAATCTCAGTTTTTTGTATCGCATTTGCCGTAGAACCCGTTCTAACAAGTAGTAGGTATGGCTTGCCACAAATGCAATATCACCACCTTATATATCGCTTGAGCTTGGTCTGGGTGGTTCAGCTATATCCAAGGCGTTAAAACAGGCATGCGGTTTGGATAGCAACTCTCTCAAGGCACTCTATAATAAAGTTGGCGACGCTGGAGACGTGGCATTTGAAGCAAAGAAGAGGCAAACCTTTACCCTACGAAAACCAAAACCTCTGACGATCAAAACGGTCTACGACTCTCTCGTCCAGATAGCAACCGTTCAAGGCACAGGGAGCGGTGAAAGGAAACAGCGGATTGTGGACAAGCTGTTACAAGATGCCAGGGGCCCGGAGGAAAGCCGATACCTTGTTCGGACGCTCTGTCAGCATCTTCGCATTGGAGCAGTCAAAACTACGATGCTTATAGCTTTGTCGAGGGCATTCTTGTTGTCACGTCCTACAAATGCAGAGTTTTCATTGAGGTCACAGGCAGAGCTAAGTGCACTCAAGAAAGACTCTCTAGCGGAAGTATGGTCCAAGGCAGAAGAGACGGTGAAAGCTTGTTTTGCAAAAAGGCCTAACTACAGTGACCTTGTTCCTGCACTCCTTGAAATCGGAGTGTGTGACGAGCTCCCTATCAGGTGTGGCCTTGGGCTCCACGTGCCTCTGATGCCTATGTTGGGCAATATCACTCGCGATCTGTCTGAGATGCTCACAAAGCTTCAGGGTCGAGATTTTAGTTGCGAGTTCAAATATGATGGGCAAAGGGCGCAGGTGCATTGCGACGCCAACGGGAAGGTTTCGATTTTTTCGCGCCACTTAGAGCTCATGACCGACAAATACCCAGATCTCGTTGCATTGATACCCAAAATCCGCGGTGATAGCGTCAATAGCTTCATTTTGGAAGGGGAGGTGGTCGCTGTGGATCGAGATACAGGTGATCTTAAGACATTCCAGACGCTCACGAATCGCGCTCGAAAGGATGTGGCTATTGGAAGCATCACAATCGATGTTTGCCTTTTTGCATTTGATCTCATGTATCTCAATGGTGAGCCGTTGTTGGACAGGCCATTTCGAGAGCGACGGTCGCTGCTGAGAAGTCTTTTTGTCGAGCTACCACGACATTTCACTTGGGTACAGAATATGGATGCAACATCACAGGATTCAGAGACAATTCTTGAGTTTTTTAAAAGCGCAACGGACGCCAAGTGTGAAGGGATTATGGTCAAGATCCTCGATAACCTTCCAGATCCCAGCCTCGACGTAAAGCCCGAAGACGAAGAGACTGTTGCAGATGCCGATGAATTACAAGCTTCAGCGGTAATTTCCAGGAAGGGGAAACAGAAGAAGAACCGTGAAAAGGAACCAGAAAAGGAAAAACGTGCAGGCCGGAGAAAGGCTCTGTTGTCTACATACGAACCAGACAAGCGACTTGACTCTTGGCTCAAGGTCAAGAAAGACTACAGCGCAACCTTCGATAGTCTAGATCTCATCCCCATTGCCGGTTGGCATGGTCAAGGGCGCAAATCCAAGTTCTGGTCCCCTATCCTGCTGGCTGTCCGGAACGAGACGACAGGAAGTCTTGAGGCCGTATGCAAATGCATATCGGGGTTTACAGACAATTTCTACAAAGCTAACAAGGAGTTTTACGATGAAGATGGCCCGAATGTGTTAGATAGCAAGCCTAGCTACATAGACTATACTGGAGGTTACCCGGATGTCTGGTTCGAACCCAAAGAGGTCTGGGAGATGGCGTTTGCAGATATTACCATCAGTCCCGTGTACACGGCGGCGATTGGTTTGCTCACAGAAGATAAAGGCGTTAGTTTGCGATTCCCCAGGTTCCTGAAGAAAAGAGAAGACAAGGGAATTGATGAGGCGAGTACGAGTGACTTTCTCGCTGGTTTGTGGAGGAAGCAGGAGGTCAGAGTCACAAAGGAGGTACAGAACGATGTGGGCAATTCTGAAGAATAGAACGCTCCAGCTGTCGGCTTTGCGATACATTTATTTATGAGGCATAATACGGTATAATTTTGTAACTTAGGTGTGTGAATAGTTATAGTAAAAGCCAAATATATAAATATTATCGAAATAAAACCAGTGGCTTTATTTTGCTTGACAGTATAGTAATAACTATATGGAAAATCGAATAGTAACACCACAAACCGTATGCTATATTTCAGCAAACTTAAAACTACCAGTGGAAGTAGTTATTATAAATATAATTTATATTATTCGAATACATTAAGTGCGTTTACTACCTTCATTCAAGTACTCGTATGATAGTTTGGTTTACAAGGCTGGGTCACGTGGAAAGGGGTCTTCACCATGATTGTGAGGCAGAAACATTTTTAGCGGATCGCGAACGCGACTTTTCTTATATTTCGATAGAGGTAATCGGCTATATAGGGAGGAAGACGAGCTTGATAATCCAGCCCAACACGCAAAAGCTACCTCCATTCGATATATTTTTCACGAATATAGCTCGAACACACAATCGTTTTCATATAGAGCTTATTGACCTACCATAAACCCGCAGCCATGTCGTTCGGTGGCCAGACCCCGACCATCATTGTGCTCAAGGAGGGTATGTCACCTGAAGCTCCTTAGTCTGGATATTAGCTGACATTTGGTACAGGAACGGATTCATCGCAGGGAAAGGGACAAGTTATATCGAATATCAATGCCTGCTTAGCTGTTCAAGAAACCATTAGAAGCACCCTGGGCCCATACGGAGGGGATTTGTTACTGGTGGACGAGAATGGCAGACAAACGATCACAAATGACGGAGCAACTGTCATGAAGGTATGCAAGCGTCAAGAAAGAGTTAAGGCCGTCCGAGAACAACATCTGACATATCATAGCTCTTAGATATTGTTCACCCCGCAGCCCGAATTCTCACAGATATTGCGCGATCGCAAGACGCCGAAGTTGGAGATGGAACGACCTCCGTCGTGGTCCTGGCTGGCGAGATCCTGAAGGAGATCAAGGAGCATGTGGAGCAGGGCGTGAGCTCGCAGACTATTATCAAGGGACTGAGAAGAGCTAGCATGATGGCGGTCAACAAGATTAAGGAGATTGCTGTCAACACAAACGAGGGCAACCAGAGGGACACATTGAGCAAATTGGCGGGCACAGCAATGAGCAGCAAGCTTATCAAGAGGAACACAGGCTTCTTCACCAAGAGTGGGTATCCCTAATTTCATATCGAAATATTTATGCTAATATAATCTGCAGTGGTTGTCGATGCCGTCCTGACTCTGGACCAAGACGATCTGAACGAGAACCTCATTGGCGTTAAGAAGATTCCGGGTGGCTCCCTCACCGATTCTCTCTTCGTCAACGGTGTTGCGTTCAAGAAGACCTTCTCTTACGCCGGTTTCGAGCAACAACCAAAGTCGTTCAAGAACCCAAAGATTGTGTGTCTCAATGTAGAGCTGGAGTTGAAGAGCGAGAAGGACAACGCTGAGGTCAGGGTGGAGCAAGTTTCCGAATACCAAGCGATTGTCGACGCCGAATGGCAAATCATTTACAACAAGATGGAGGCTCTATACAAGTCTGGCGCCAAGGTTGTCCTCTCCAAACTCCCCATCGGAGATCTCGCCACCCAGTACTTTGCCGACCGCGACATCTTCTGCGCTGGCCGTGTCGCATCCGCCGACCTTGACCGCATCATCCAAGCCTGCGGAGGTTCCATCCAATCCACATGCTCTGATATCCACCCCGAGCACCTCGGTGTCTGCGGCCGCTTCGAGGAGAAGCAGATCGGAAACGAGCGCTTCAACTTTTTCGAGGACTGCCCCGAGGCCAAGACCTGCACCCTCGTCCTCCGCGGCGGCGCCGAGCAGTTCATCGCCGAAGTCGAGCGCTCCCTGCACGACGCCATCATGATCGTCAAGCGCGCCATCAAGCACAACACCATCGTTGCAGGTGGCGGCGCCTGCGAGATGGAGATCTCAGCCTACCTGCACCGATACGCCGACAAGAGCATCTCGAACAAGCAGCAGGCGATCATCAAGTCGTTCGCCAAGGCGCTCGAGGTGATTCCGCGCCAGCTGTGCGACAACGCCGGCTTCGACGCGACCGACATCCTCAACAAGCTGCGCGTCGAGCACCGCAAGGGCAGCACCTGGGCCGGTGTCGACTTTGTCCACGAGGGCATCGCTGATAACATGGAGAAGTTTGTGTGGGAGCCCGCGCTTGTCAAGATCAATGCCATCCAGGCGGCGACGGAGGCCAGTTGCCTGATCCTGAGCGTGGACGAGACGATCAAGAATGAGGAGTCGCAGGCGCCGCAGGCACCCGGCCAGCAATTACCGCCTGGAGCTGCGCAGAGGGCGCTCAGGGGCAGAGGCAGAGGGATGCCAAGGAGATGAACGGGCGCTGATGAGATTATGTAAAAGAGAAAAAAAGCGGATGTTAATGTATATTAGAGGTTCGGATACCATAGATCTGAATCCTTATATCATAGTGCATAACAACTACAGCTTTCAAACAAGTATTTCGATGCGTGAGGCTTCATATAAATTATATCTTGGGAGATTCTCTCCTGAATTGAAATTCACAAAAGGGAGTGAATCACGTGACTCTCACTGTTGGCGCGTAAACTTGCCCCATCCTCACTCGCCAAAACTTGCCGAAGCCTGCACTTCGGTAGCCCTAATTTTGTTCCATGAAGCTCGAAAACTTCAGCGCCAACGGACATCCCACCTTGACCATCTACCGCCCGTCAACGACAAGTCCAGCTCCCAACCACTCCCACCTCTCCACCACCTCACCATCAAACATCATGGGTATCCCATTCGATTACGCGCCGGAGCGCCCAGAGCATATCGAGGCGATCCTCAACGGACTCGACCGCTACAACCCGGAGACGACGACCATCTTCCAGGATTACGTCCAGCATCAGTGCGACGACAAGGCCTATGACTGCTACGCCAACCTCGCGCTCCTGAAACTGTAGGTCCCTACTTTCTCGTATCTTCACCCTCCAGGCAACAGTGGAGGCCTAAATGATGTATAAAACATATTGTCAAAGACCTGTAGGACACCGGAGATTGAATCCCTCCAGTCCAACGAAGTATTATTATTAGCTCTATCTGAACGAACCTCCACTGTTGCCTTTCCCTACACCTTTCCCTACACATTTTTACAACCCTCAGCAGCTATGCTATTACCCCTGGAAAGAGCCCCCCCCGCTAACGCACTCCCCCCAGGTACCAATTCAACCCCCAACTCGCCCGCGACGAAACCATCACCAACACCCTCGTCAAAGCCCTGACCGTCTTCCCCTTCCCCGACTTCTCGCTCTGCCTCCACCTCCTCCCAGCCCACATCCTGCAACCCATCTCCACCTCCTCCGCCCTCCCCGCCGCCGGCGACGCCCCCCTCTCCGAAGCCGTGCAAAAGCTCGCCGTTCTCAACAACCTCCTCGCCGGCGCCTCGTACGCCAAGTTCTGGTCGACCCTCGACTCCGACGACCTGTACGCTGATCTCGTCGCCGACGTCAACGGCTTCGAGGAGCTGATCCGCATCCGTATCGCTATGACTATCTCGCAGGCTGTGCGTGAGGTCGAGCGCTCGGTGCTGGAGGCGTGGTTGGGGCTGCAGGGGGGGGCGCTGGATAAGTTCGTCAGCGAGGTGTGTGGATGGCAGGTTGAGGGGTCGGTGGTTAAGGTGCCGCTGAACAAGGAGAATGAGGCCAAGGGCACGATGGTTAGGGAGAATGTCAAGATCGACCAGTTCTCGAGGGTCGTGAGGAGGGCGTATGAGTTGCCTGCTTAGATTGGGGGACGAGTGGGCTGGCTGGCGGGCGGGGGGGGGATGGGTGTTTTGTATTGGAAGAGCATGGATTGGCGTTTAGGCTGGCGTTGATGAGCAGACGATGACACATGAGTCTAACCGAGCAACGAAGTAGAAAGAAATATCTCCCTCGAAAGAGCATGGAACACCGTACTCCAACCTATTGTGTTTAATGATAAATACCAAATTATGCAATCAAACAGATACCTAGAATCAACCTTCAAATCGAACCAAATCCAATGACCATAAATTTTATTTAATAATATTCATATCCCCACTACCCCTCCCACTTCCTCCCCCCGCCACCATCCTGCCCCAAACGAAACGCCTCCTCCCCAAACCCATGCCCCCCCCCCCATCATGCAACCCCCCAAACCCCATCGCAAACTCCTCCCTCAACCCCCCCATAACCCGCGGATCCAGCTCCAACGCCGCAGCACCATCATGTAAATGCGCCTGCGCCATCTCCCCATGCCTCGCCTCCGTCTGAAACGCACTCGGCGGCTGCCCCGAGTACTCCAGCGCCGTGTAGTATGGCTCCCCATCTAGCTGGTGGGGAGGGGTCAACGCCTTCTCCTGCGGGACAGGGGACGGCGGGTCATGGAAGGCGTCTACATCCCGATCCTCCTCCTCCTCCGCAGCGGCCCTCTGGTGCCCCGCCCCCATCGCAGGACTATTCTCCAGCGCCGCAAACTCCTCCGCCTCCGCCTCCCCCCCCACCTTCCTCTTCGCCGGCACCACCCCCTTTGCCGCCTCCTTCTCCTTACACTCGCTACAATTGCGAATCACATCACTAACCGTCTCCTTAATCCTCACCCAATGAAACCCCTCCGCAATCGCCGTCGTCGTCCGATTAATCCCCCCATGGCCACGCTCATGCACCTCCCGCGCAATCGCCCACTGCCTCTCCACCCCCGGCACCACCTCCCTCCCCTTCAGCATCAGCACATCATCCTCCCTCATCCTATAATGCGTAGCAGCGCTGCGCAACCGGCTTTTCTCCGCCCGATCCGCGCCGTGGGGATAGGCTCCGTACTTGAGGTAAAAGCGGATCTTATCGAACCTCTCCTCCCCCGCCTGCTCATCCAGCGACCCCCCCAATTCACGGCCATAGATCAGCGCGTCAACCAGCCTGTCCGGGTACGAGCGCAGATTGCCGCAGCCGGGGACGCGCCCGATTTTCTTGAAGCCCAGCGCGTCCCAGATCCGGCACGAGGCGACGTTGGTTTCGTACACGAGGTTGAAGACCGAGTAGGTGTAGCCCAGCAGAGGGGCCCAGGCGAGGTAGGCCTCTCCCATGAGCCGGCCGACGCCGCGGTTGCGCGCGGAGTCGGTGACGAGGAAGCCGGCGTTGGAGATGTGGCTTGAGCGGCCTGTGTAGTTGGGTTTGATGTAAAACGACCCGAGACACTGCGGCGCCCAATCGTGGCCTTCTGTCACGGCTGAAGCAGATGCATAGGTCCCAAGCAGCATCACAGCGCCGAAGTTCTGGAACCAGTACTTGCTAAACGCGTCGGCGGTCATGGTGTCCATCATAGGGTAGGTATCCCCCCCCTCGATCTCCTTGTTCATAGTATCGCTCAGATACTGGAGGAGGGTGGGGGGCACGCCATACCGCGAGGAGAAGGGGACGATGGTCGCGATGGTGGTGCGGTCGCGGAGGGTTACTTGGCGGGGGGTTAGGTCGGGGGGGAGGGCGGGCTGGGGGTCGTGAGGCTCGGGGAAGGGGGAGGTGCCGGAGCGGCGGTAGATGGTGGGGGTGGTTGGGTCGTCGATTATGGCGGGCATGATGAGGTTTCTCTGAGACACACTGCTCTCTTCTTCTTCTTGAATAGTTAGGGCGCTGCTTTGCCTCCTATTCTTGGAATTAGTATTTTGCTTCACATCACATGATTCAGGGGTACTCTCAACCCCAGCACATAGGCCGAGTCGACTTACCAATGCAGGCTTTTTTACCGCTTCCAAGAGAGAGAGGGAGCCAAGGACTACCCAGCAAAGCTACGAGCCACGGGGGCCGGTACAGTAACGAATCTGTCGTCTCAAGGCTTGTTTACCCCTTTTTATATCACGGGCACATCACCAACCTTGTTCACACGCCCTGCATTGCACAAACGTTCCGATGCCGTACTCAGAAGTGCGAAGATGGTTGTTCTCAAACCGGGACGGCGTTGAGCGACCGAGGCGTACTGGTCAGAACGGGGCTATTATGTCAGCATGTATTTTTGGGACGCGGCGGTCGCCCCCGTTTCGTTTCGGACCATGGCAACGATATATACAACGAGCACTATGGAGAGGTTAACTGCATTGGTAATAATGTCACGGCTTTCTTATATCTATCTCAAGCACCTATACGAAATAACCCCCACCTTCACTCCCCCCCCAATCCATAGCCCCAAGGTATCTCCGGCCCCTGCCATTATTATGTTATAACTCCTCTGCCACCCATTTCCCCCCCCCCAAAAAAAACCCCTTATGAACGTCTCTCCCCCAATCCCCATCGTAGCCAAATCCCAACATACATAAAACCACAGTTTAACCGTCCCCTGGTCAACGCTGCCCAGCCTCTGGACCAGCCATCGGCCCCGCCCACGGACATTAAACTGATGCGGAGAGCACCGTTGAGCCAGATATCTCAGAAAAGATATCACAGTACAGCAGAAAACCCCAGAACTCCAACGTAGAAAAAACAGCTCCGACGATAAGAAAGAGACGACGCGCGAGAGAAGACGGAAGTTAGAATTCGCATGCGGTTTGGTTTTCGCTCTGTTCGCTATCATTGATCGTACACACTCCAATTTGGGGGTATTGATAGGATATCATTTTGTATATATTAGTATAAGTACTTGGTCGGTGGTGGTGGGCGACCGGGTAAATAGAGCGGGATATTGAGGTGATATCATTCATATTCCAGTTGCGTTCGGACGATGGCACATGCGGCGTTCCTTACCACCCCTTCTTTCTGGTGAAGCGCTTGTTGAGGAGCGCGAGGACCTTGGGGACGTTGAATTGGACGTATTCGAGGTCGAGTTCCTCTTGGCCGTCTTTCTGCATCTCGAGGAGATCGTCAAGCTTCAGGTCAAGCTCTAACAGTCCACGGTTGCGTCCTGGTGATGCAAAGTTAGTATTCTGTAGTGGGAAAGCATTCCGTAGTGGAAAAGGAATTAAAAAGCGCTGCGCACCCTTGTAATGCAAACTTATAACAAACGTTCCAGGTAACGGACTCGTGAAGTTGAAGTAGATGTTTGCCCTCCGATTGTCTGGCACATTGCTCTTTTGGATGACACCTTCCTTCTCGAGCTGTTGGTGCGTGAACTTATACGGTCCCAGGACCTTCTGCTGCTGCTGCTTCCTGCGGGTGCCTTCCGCCTGACCTCGAACATTGTGCAGGTAGCTCTTGTATGTCTCCAGCTGGTTCACGAGATAGGTGTTGTGGTCACGGATAGTCTTGAAGACCTCATCGAGTTTCTGCGTCTCCAGAACAACTCCATCCTTCAAAGAGCCGAGATGGTGTAATTCCTGCTCAATCTCATCACGGAGGGTCGCAAAGCCATCTCCCCTATCAATGACGTGCATCTCTTGTAGCTGGGACAAGAGCTCCATGGCGCGAATCCCCTTGCGGACCATGACAGCATCGTTCCGCGAGGTCGCTGCTGCATCAGCGACTTTCTCGAGACGCAGCGGGCGGCTTGCTACGTGTGGGTCTCCAGGTATCGAGCGCATGATCTGTACAAAGGTTGACTTTGCCTCCATGAAGAAGACCTCTTCCTGAGTGATATCGAGCGCAGCTGTGAGGTCATCGATGGCAGTCTCCCATTTGCTGAAAAGCGGCAGGTTGATGGCTCTGTTGTCCTTGCGAGGAAGTTGTGCTGGTGCTGGGCCGAGCTCAGCAAGAATAACTGCCAGATGGGAGTTGTCATCCTTGTTCAGCTCCACGCGATGCTTGTCGAGGAGGGTGTGCGTGGCGTAAACCTCGTTCAGTGTGATGGATAACTCGAGATCCTTCTTTGACAGAGCAACGTAGTTGTCCATCTCCAAACTCTCGTAGAAGTCCTGGACCTCGCACAAGTCAAGCATGAACTTGTTGATGCGCTCCTTGTTCCCCTGGATGAATGGCTGCAGCTTTGCCATGTATGGCTCCTTGCCGTAGGATGGCTTGTTGGCCAAGTTCTGAAGCATCTTGGCGATAAGGGTCAAAGTCCGCCTGGGCTTCTCCGCAGGTGTCCCGTCGATCAACATATATGACTTCGGGGTGACAATTGCGGGGTTGATGAAGCGCAGGAAGAAGAATCCACCGATGAGCGTGCAGATAATCTGGTCGTTGGCAGCCGGGTACTTTCTCTTTGTGAGACTGCGAATCTGCTTGCAGATCCATCTAATACCGTAAGGGGTCTCTTCAAGTCCATCGATGATCGTGGTGAGGAACCCATTGGCGATTTCCATCAGCATACCAAGACGAGGTTCGATGATGGCTTGAACCTGTGGGTTCTCCGCAGCCTGCTCCGCAGTCACACCTCTGGGTAAGTTATCTGGCAGCTTGTTGTGTTCTTCCTCAATCTGCTCAATCATCTTCTCATAGACCTTTAGGGGGTTGATTTCCAAATCGAGATCTCTCAGGTCAATGAGACCGTTGATTCTATCTGCCAACACAGCCTTGAGGTAACTTTGTCCTGGACCTCTCCGAGTGTACGTGGTCATCATTCGAGAGACGGGCGTGTTGGCACGAAGCAGAGACGAATATTCAGGGGTATTATCGAATTGGTAGGTTAGAACGGACTAATCCAGTAAGTTAGCATGGCCCACGTTGAAGCCAACCTCGCGGAGCGCATACCTGGAACATAGTCAGGAGCAAATGCTCTTCTCGGCTCTCATACTGGTTTCCGTAGATTGTGAACATGACTGTCTGCAGGAGCGCATCGATCTCAGCCATGGTGACAAGCCGGCAAAGATGAGCAACATGCCTGGGCTCAGACTGAAGCAGGAACAGCAGGTTGCCATACTTCTGGGTCTTCTCGTCGTTGGGAAAGAAACCTTCCTGCAAATCACCAGCATCCTCAAGATGGCTTGCGACCTCGTTCTGCTCCTCCAGCGCCATGCGGTTCTGAATCAGGAGCGCGATGCGCGAATCCAGATATCGGACGTCCTTCTCAAGCACAAAGTTCTTCTTCGACTGCGAGGAGATTTTGGACTTCAGTTCGCGCAGAATCTTCTGCGCCTTCGCCAGGTCATCCTCGATTTCCAGATCCCGCTCATTTGCGGACATGCTCATGTATAGTGCGGTCACGGAAGAGTACCTCTTCGACAGCCTCGCCGACCGGCTGCCGTCGTTGACGCTCGACATTGTGTTTTGGCGCGAGACGGGTTGGAAGGAGGAGGAGGCGCTGGACGCACGCGATAGTGTCTGTAACATGGTCGCCATCACACCCTGTGTCGCTCGACGAAGTTTTGTGAACCGCTCTGGAGGACCGGGGCAGTGGTTCTTTTGTCCGCCTTGGTTTCAGAGTAAGCGCGGCGAGCCCGAGGGTGCTATCGTACAAGCGCAATGAGCAAGAATAGGAGTGCGGTCGTGCTGTAGCGCACTAAGTCTAGATCCCGAAAGGCGAGATGGATGTGGTGCAAGCCAGGTGGTTCAGCTGAGGAATGAAGGCTGTGGATCGACCGTGTCAGACGCAAGACTGAGATTCGACCAAAAAGAAAATAAAGCAGGAGCGCGGACGCTTAATTGTAGTATGGAGGGGGTTTGATTTCGCGGCGAGGAATTGGGTTGACAAGATGTCTTTTGCGGCAGGTTATAATTCGGGTCTGTGAAGACCTTTCGTTGTTGGTAATGGAGGGTGAGTGTTGAGAGAAAGTATCTTCTTTCGGACCATATGCAGAGTCGATTACTGTTTGGGAAATGTTGCGGTAGGACAGCGTAATAATCGGATTCGTTGTGAGTTGTGAGTTGTTCGTTGTGAGTTGTGAGGGGAGTGTCTGAGACGGAGAATGAATCGGTGGGGGGCTTGGGCCACGAGGGTTTCTTGAGGCAACCAGTCAGGTTGAATGCTGGGTATTGTGTCGGGGGCGACGTTGATGCACGTCGGGAGATATTGGAATTTTGTATTCGCGCGCGAGATCTTTGAAAACCAGCGACTTGGGATGGGATGGGATGGGATGGGAGGGGATGGGATGGGATGGAATGGGATGGGAGTGAAAGAAGGAGGGGAGGGAGGATGTGGAAGGGTAGAAAGTGAAAGAGGGTGAAGATGGAAGGGGGGGAGGGGGAGGGAGGGATTAAAGAGGGGGAGGAGGGATTAAAGAGGGGGGGAGAGGGATGAGGGATGGGGGATGGGGGATGAGGGATGAGGGATGGGGGATGAGGGATGAGGGATGGGGGATGAGGGATGGGGGAAAAGGGGGGAAAGGTACCTAGACATATGAGGGTTAGAGTACTGTAGTAAGTAACAGGGACTAACTTAAGTTACTGACTTGGTTAGTTAGAGGGGGAGTTGTAGTTGGTAGTTGGATAGTTGGATAGTTGGATAGTTGGATTTTACACAGTTCCTCCTCCTCCACCACCACCACCACAGCCACAGCATCTACAGCATCTACAGCATCTACAGCATCTACAGCATCTACAGCATCTACAGCATCTACAGCATCCAATCCAAACATCCAAACATCAGCATCCACGGCCCATAGCACCGCGATAACCACCCCGTCCACACCCAAAGACACCAAAGACACCAAAGACACCCAAAGACAACCAGATACCAGATACCAGATACCAGATACCAGATACCAGATACCAGATACCAGATACCAGATACCAGATACCAGACACCAGATACCAGACACCAGATACCAGACACCAGATACCAGACACCAGATACCAGATACCAGTACCAGACACCAGATACCAGATACCAGATACCAGTACCAGACACCAGACACCAGACACCCAATACCATCATCACCCGCGCTTACGAGTAGGCTTGGCCGGACTTGTGCAGTCAAAAGCAAAAGTCAAATTTCTAGTCGTGTCCCAGAAGCGGATGTGGATGTGGTAGGTTATCCCCCATCCCGCTCACCCGCTCACCGCGGGATCAACATCCCCCCCCCCCCAAATCCATCTACATCATATTTCCCTCCCATTCCCCACTCCCCATCCCCATCCCTCCCTCTTGCCTAACTTACTACCCCATATCCCAATTAACACATCACATGCCAATCCCCCCCCCCCCCCCCCCTTCTCCCCCAATCCCCAATCCCCCAATGTCAATGTCTCGGCTCTTCCCTCCCCCCTGCCGCGTCAAGACTCTGACTGACCCGCCGCGCTACAGCGAGCGAATCCTGCCAGAAAAAAATGTCTTACCATAGTAGTAGCTAGTAGCTCCCCCCCTCGCGTCGCGACAAAAAAAAATGGTTTGTTCATTTTCCGCCGGCTAAACGGACCGGGGGTTGGCAGAGCCAAGACGAGACAGGTCACGGCGGCGCAGGGGTTACTGTAGCTAGCGAGGCCCCGAGAAAAATAACTGTGGGTCGCCCCCCCCCCTCCCCCCCCCTTCTTCTTCACCGGCCTGGAAATAGAAAAGATGGCAGTTGAGCTCTATTCCCAGCTCCGCTCAGCTCGGCCAACAACAAAGACGCTCATCCCCTCCCCCATCACCCCAGTTTCATCCCTTAAACGTAAAGCTCTTCCCCGGCCTCTCCGTCTGCACCCTCCTCATCCCCGTCGACGCATCCGCGCTCTTCTGGTAGGGGTCAAACGGTTTCTTCCCCCCCTTCTTGCCCCCCGCATACTCATTCGTCCGCTTCTTATTCATCACCGACTCCGCCTTGCTGTAATCGAACGGCTCCTCGTCATCCTCCTCCTTCGCCGCGCCACGGGGGGACTCCGCGTCTCCCCGTTTCGCAGCCTTAGCAGCCTTCTTCGCCGCCTTGCGCTCTGCTTTCTTCAATGACTTCTCCTTAGCGGCGCCTTCGAGGGGCTCGTGGAGGGAGATGTCGTATTCCCCCCCCTCCTCAGCCTGCCCCTCCACCTCCTCCTCCATATCATCACTCTTCCGCTTTCGGCCCCCCTTAATCGTAAATGCCTCCTCCTCAACCACCGGCGCCTCCTCCTCCGGTTCAGGAACCTCCGGCTGGGCAAGAATACTATACTCCCTCACGCCCTCCGAGAACGCCTCCTCCGCAAGCGGCGGCAGCGGAATAGCGAGCCTAATATCCTCCCCCGCCTTCGTGAGCGTAGCTGGTTCCTCCCACGTACTACTCCCGAACGCGCGGCCCCAGAACGCCGACTGTGGACTCCTCATGTCGCCCCCCGCGTCGCCGGAGAGGATGGTAAGGACAGATTGCCTGACATCTCCCGAGGCCCTAGCAGATCGCGCGTTCGCAGCCGCCACGGCGCCGACGGAGTCGGGTTTGAGGACTTCCGCCATGCTCGGGCCGTCCTTTGCGTTCGTCTTTGCGGCCTTGATGAGTTCGAGGAGCTCGCCGGTTCGCGCTTTGACGTTGTAGGAGATGGGGTGGACGGTGCCGAGGAGGGAGGCCATGTCTGTGGGCATCACTTTGGCCACGCTGAGGAGGGTGTGGTTCGCCATCACGAAGTTCGTACTATCGTCGTCCTGCCGGGCGATCTTATCACGCCACGCGTGCACAGCTCTGAAGACGGCGAATTGCTCGTTGTTGAGTAAACTAGGTACCTTGACGAGCGCCTGGAACCAGCCTCCCGGCCCCTTACCCGTGGTGGCGTTGTAGCGGGGCGAGTCGTAGCGGAAGAGGGACGTCTCTTTCGATTTCCTCAGCACGATCTCGAGGCGGTTTTCCTCAGCGGGTACGGGCTTAGAGCGCTCCACCAGCTCGTTGCGCATGTTATCGTAGATGTAGAGGAGGAAATGGGTGTCGGCGCGGGCGTAGAAGAACATTCCCTCGGGGAGCGGGCGAATGCGCCAGTCGGCCATCTGGTATTTCTTGTCGGCGTCGAAGTCGATGAATTTTTTGAGGAGGAAGGCGAGGCTGCCGCCGGCGTAGCCGAGGGCTTTGCAGGCGTGGTTGGTGTCGAAGAGGCCGACGATGTAGAGGCCGAGGTCGCGTTGGAGCCAGAGGATGTCCATGAATGCTCCGTGGAGGACTTTGAGGATTTTCGGATCGGTGAATACTTCGTTGAGGACTTGGAGGTCTTGCCTCCATGGCTTCAGCGTGTCGACGATCCAGTCCTTTTCCCGCGTACTGATCTGCATCAACGAGACGAGGCCGGTGTACGAGCGCGCATCGTGGTGCTCGAGATCGATGGCAATCTCTTTCGCTGTCCTAAGCTCTGCCAACATCTCCAACACGCCCTCGTATGTGTCCACGAAAGTCGCAGATGTCGACTCGACGGGGAGGTAGGGTATCGGATCGGCGTTTTTGTAGACGGAAGCTGGGTATTTCAGCTTCTCGATTTCGGTTTCGTAGGGGTGGCGGTAGTGCTCTTGTTGGTGGGCGTCTGCGACTGGGCCGAGAGACTCCTCTAGAGGGACAATCGCATGGGGTTTGGAGTGAAGCAGCGGTTTCCATGGGCCGGTCTCGTGGTTGGCGGGCTTGTTAAGGAAAGAGAGTTGGGGCTTGACGAGGTTTTGGGTTCGGAATGAGTTATCCAGTCTTCTTGATTTCGGGGCAGAGGACTAGTATATTTGTTAGCAATGGAAGAAGCAACTTTTTAGAACTTTGTCGCATACATTTTCAGCTGGAGATGCTTTTCTCTGTATAACGCCAGTGTACTCGTCGAGGCAGATATCTACGCGCTCCAAAAGCGAGTCCACCACGTCAACGACTCCGCGCCAATTGTTATCGACATCGTCGACCTCCTGTAGTACTGGCGCATTCGACTCCGTGAGTGCAGCAGCAGATTGAAGGATCGAGCTTGACAGGCCCAGCAGTCGTGCGTTCTGCTCGTCCAGCGCCGTGCCAACTTCCGGGTTGAGAGAGCGATGGAAGCCCAGGTCCTCTGCGGAGATTTGGCCGACGGTTCGTGTTGTGGAAATCAATGCTGCTTGGATCGCATCCTGCAATGATTTAAACCCTGGCGGACCCTCCATTGTTGGCGTGGAGTAAATTAATTACTCGTGAACAGAAAATCTCGGGGTTCACTTGGGAGCTTGCTCGGCGTGGTTCTCGAATTTCACAACAAAAAAGTTTAGCCTTGCGCAAAGTCCGGGGTTATTAGTGCCGATGGTCCCGGAATACGTCCACCCAAAGCTGTCAAGGACGGCCTTCTCAGCAACAATATCAAGGGCGACAAACACAAAAATGTCGGCGTCTTTAGCACCTGAGTGCAATGAAGTTAAGGAGTTTGTCAAAGAAGTATTTTCTCTCAAAGCTGCATTACTGACATGAAATCAGGCGCTACGATACCTGCTTTCTGAAGTGGTATAGTGAAAGTAGGCGGTCCTCGCCACCTTTAAGCTACCATGCAACTGACCTACCTCCTCAGAATATTTGCGAGGAAACGGCGCCACAGATGAATGCGCTGGTCTTTTCAAGGAGTACAAGACGTGCTTGACGGTAGCTGCTCTACCGACTCTACGAGTTGTTCTGTATACTAACGGTTACAGGGTGCATTGAAGAGCCGCGGCATTGACAAGATGCTCGCCGATGCTCGAGAGGATCACAAGGAGAATGACGCTGCAAATCTTCGGAGGAAGTAGAAAGACTCCAGTTAATCATCGGAACCCTGTGCTTGCAGGTCATTCCCTTGTGGTTTCGGCGTTCAGCGCTATATACTGTACTATTATATTTGCAACTCTTCCTGGCATAGTCAAGCAGAACATTTAGACGGCGTCAAGGAGATCTCGCCCAGCATAGCGAATTTACAAAAACCTCCTATTCAGATCAAGGGACTGTAAACCCATCGCCGCTGCAGGTAAAATAAGGGCCGTCATCGCTGCCTATAATTGTCATATTATGGCCTTTCCACAAGCCAGTTACTCAGGAGTTAAATACAAGTAAATAAATTCCCTCAACCTGAATTACCAGAATAAATTCTCTCACCACTCATAATCATATACTCATACCAACATGCAGTACAGTATCACTTGCACAGTGACCGGTATCACGTGACCATGAAGCTTAACCTGCGTCACCCTGGACTAAGTTATATAATAGAATTACAAAGTACACACTGCCAAAACACTCGCCAGCCCAGCATTTTGAGGTGGCCGTTCATATCTCAATCATGTCGACTGTCTGGTTCTCTGTTTGATCTTTCTGTTCCTCGTCGTCACGGCGTAATCAACAATTAATTACTCCTCTGTTTACCTCTTCAACCGCTCACTCCTTTCTGAGCGCAGAGCTCCTGCCGCTCGACAGAAGCCAGCAACCCTTGCTCGTCCCACGACCGACCTGCGCCGTGCCATTCCGTGATACCAATGCGCCATTGTTTGCTCGTCGAAACATTATCCCATGATCCAGCAACTGCTTCATGCCCTCTTTCTCCGTCCTAACCTTTGGCATCTTCGTAGCTGGCTACATCACAGCTAGGTGGGATCTGGTCACTCGACTTCATGAGCTTGCCATTTTTGCCTGGGACCACGGAGTTATTGTACGTATTTCTTGCCATCATTGGCTGTGATTATCTGGCTGACCATGTTCACTATCAGACTCGAACTGCAAAGGGCGTTGCGATCCTCTCGTTGTTTTTCTTCCTCTTCATAATACCAGTGGGTAGACTCGCACACAGGGAGGCCAGCTTGGTATAACAATTCCCCCCCTTGACAAGACATTCACGCGCTAAACAATATAGCATCCGCGATCGACTAATACCGGCATCTCGGCGCGCGAACAACTTCGAAGACGGGGCTCCTTCTGAGGAACGATCGACTGTCATGCTAGAGCATGATGGCTTGATGAGAATCTTCTGGCCTGTGGATATTCCTAGGTCAGATTCACCAGGCGTAATTGTGGGATGGAAGAATTCAGACCTCGATGTCCTGGTTGTGGCCATACTCGAAGATGTCGAGGTTCGGAATGTGGAGAATGCGCTGAGAGTCGCAACTCTCTTTCGCGGCGCAGACCATAGCATCGAACGGATATACGAATTATGTAGACTTCCTGCGATGCATGTGCTCGGCACAGTCAACTCCAATGCGCCGACGGAACCCTACCAGATAAATGCTGAAATATCACTACACGGATTGGCGCCGCGCATTTCGTGCGCGAAGGCACAAACCATACAAGTCATTATGTTCGACAGACCACTTCCGGGGAGGATGCAATACATATCACTTACGCCAATACTATTAGCCTTGGGAGATAAGACGGAGCAGATTCTGGGCGGCATAGATGCTGAGGATGAGAAGGCAGAAGCAGCGAAACGACAACGAGAGCAAGAGTTGGTGGAAAAGTTGAAGCTACATACGGTGACGAAACATCAACCTTCGGCGAAAGAGCTTGCTCTACCTCGAATTGTCAACCAGATAAATTTCGCTTGGGAATTGGAGAAGCTGCTACAAAAAAATATATCCCTCGTTGGCACTCGGCGACGGAGAACTTTGAGTGTCTCTGAACGTGTCATCGAGTCAGCTTCAACGATGAGAGATTATGTTATCGACGCCGTATGGCGACTGATAACGGTTTACATCTATCCAATCATCCGAACTAGTTTTGTGATAGCTCTGCTGTGGCACAGGGCAGCCGCAGAACTTCTTCTGGTGCTCCTTGAATACAGGCTCAGGCCCGAGTATGCTGCGCTTAAAGACATATCTGCGACTGCCCAGCAGGTTGAGATCCGACTTCTACAGTTTTGCTACTGGCCCATGCAATATGTAATGTTGAGGAAAAGAAAGGATGACTGGCAGAGTATCGCGAAAAGCCACGCCGATTACATACGGTTCTACAACAGTCTGTGGCTTGTTGCAAACGATGTCATTATTGGCATCGCGATTGGTTCTGCCATCATTGATAATGCAGACTGGCTCGCCGAACAGATTAGTGATGTGTTGGGCACATACACTGTGACATCGTTGCAGCAGACAATATCGTGGCTCATGGACTGGCCAGCTGGACTGAAATTGAACAATGAATTGGCTCAATTTCTTGGCGACCTTTTCCTCTGGGTCATTGATTACTGGTCAAGCTGTGTGGACGTTCTCCGGCCCATCCTGCCCCATCTAATATGGTTCATCGGATTCTCAAGCTTTGCTGGCGCCAGTATGCCAATTGCTCTCTTTTCCGACTTTGTATCGCTCCTTACGATACACATCTACTCCTTTTATATCGCATCAGCCAAGATCTTCCACTGGCAACTCACTATCATCCTCTCGCTCTTTCACCTCTTCCGTGGCAAGAAACACAATGTGCTTCGCAAGCGCATTGATTCCTGCGACTACGACCTCGATCAATTACTCCTGGGCACGATTCTATTCACACTCCTCTTCTTCCTCCTCCCAACTGTCATTGTATTCTATCTCACGTTTGCCATTGCACGCATGAGCATTATCAGTCTCAAAGCCGTACTTGATACGGCGCTAGCCTGTTTAAATCATTTCCCACTGTTCGCCCTGATGCTGCGGTTCAAGGATTCCCAGCGTCTACCAGGTAAGCCGTGATTCACTAGACGTCGCCATCATACCATTACTAACACTCATTAGGGGGCATACGATTTGAACTCCGAGATACCAATAAACCCTCCATCGAAGCCCCACAACGCCCATATTCCGACACCACTCCGCGCCCCGAGCCCGAGTCTTCCGATTCAGAACTGCCTTCAATGCCACCAACTTCATACGTATACCTAAAGTCCGTACCCCTAACCTTCTTGACCATGTTCCAGCAGTACTTCCAGCTCGGCTCCCGCATCCGCAAACACTACCTATCCCCCCGTGTCCTGCTCTGTCTCATGACCGGTCAATCCGTGCCGCCGATCCACAGGAAGAACCTGTACAGCCTGCAGTATGGCATGTTGCCCGCGCGGCGGGCTGGTGTCTGCGATATGTGGCGAGCTATGACGGTGTGGTCGTCAACGGCGGAGGGGATGAATGGGAAGGCGCAGAAGAGAGGGAGCTGGCCGATGATGGGGGGTGCGGGGGTGGGTAGGAGAGATAGGTCGAGGAGGGGATATAGCCACCACTAAATGGGGATGTGGGTGAGGTAGTATTAAATGCGATGGGATGAGTGAAAATTAAACGCTGGGCGGGTTGGGATATTTGGTTAGTAAAAGAGGGGGGGTTGTATATGATGTGCCACTGCAACTGCGGTTGTATGATGGCATAAGAATCATAATGTTAATACGAGAAGCTTATTATTTTTTAACGGTCACTTTTTATGCTTTGAGACACGGTAGACTAGTGTGACTGGATAGTATCTTGCGGATCGGACATGGTGACATAACCCTCCCTGCCCACCAAACTTTCTACAAGTACAGTAATTTACAGAGTGACTCTCTCTATTGTTATTTATACTTTTATAAGTCGAAATATATCCGCGGTCGTGACTCGTTCAGTCCTCGTGAGGACGCTTCTTACGTGCTACTTGTTTAGTTCTCTATTCCATCGTCGCTGATAGCAAAGGGCCCGTCTAACTCTTGACCAGGAGGCTGTGGCCCGTCATCTCCTCGGGCTGGGAAAGTCCCATAACCTCCAGGATCGTTGGTGAGACGTCTCCGAGGACACCGTCTTCGGTTGCCTTGAGCGACCAGCCCTTGGGGGCGTTCGCCATGATGAATGGGACCTTGTTGGTGGTGTGGGAGGTCTTTGGCTTTCCATCTGCGAACTTCATCTCTTCGGCGTTACTACACGATGTTAGCTTGTTATTGTTAACTCCAAAGATCGTAACTTACCCGTGATCAGAGGTGATGAAAAGAACGTAGTTCTCCTTCTTGCACGTCTCGTAAATCTCCCCAATAGCCTTGTCCGTGGCCTCCACTCCCTTGAGGGCAGCCTCGTACACGCCAGTGTGGCCAACCATGTCGGGCGGCGCGAAGTTGTTCATGATGAACGGGTACTCCTGCTCCTGGATTCTCTTGGACACCTGCTTGGCGACGCCAGCAGCGCTCATCTCTGGGGCCAGATCGTAGGTCGCAACGGCCTTGTTGGAGGGGACGAGATCCTGAGACTCGTCACGCTCCTCGAGTGGGAAGACCTTCTCAACACCACCGTTGAAGAAGAAGGTGACGTGGGCGTACTTCTCGGTCTCGGCAATGTGGACTTGCTTGACGCCTTGGGCAGCAAGGGTCTCAGCGAGGACATTTCCCATGTGCTGCGGCTTGAAAGCAATGGTGAATGGGTAATCAAGCTTGTACTGGGTCATAGTCGTGAGCCTAATGTTCTTTGGGTATGCGAAATCCGGCTTTGGGGAACGGTCGACATCGCCGAGGAGTTGCGTAATTTCGCGGACACGATCGGAGCGGTAGTTGAAGAAGAAGACCTCGTCGTTATCCTGGATGCGGCGCTCTTTTCCACCGACAATGATGGGCTTCAGGAACTCGTCGTTCTCATCCTTGCTGTATCTCTCCTTGACAGTTGCGACGGGGTCGCTGCTGTCTTCACCCTCTCCCAGAACCATGCCCTTCAGTGCAACCTCAACTCTGTCCCAGCGCTTGTCGCGGTCCATGGCGTAGTAGCGGCCAACCACTGTGGCAATCTCTCCGATGCCGATTTCCTTGGTCTTGTCGACGAGCTGCTGCATGTAGCCGGCGCCAGACTTGGGGTCGGTGTCGCGTCCATCGCCGAAGAAATGGATGCAGACGTGGGGAATGCCAACCTCCTTGGCCACCTTGAGGAGAGCGTAAAGGTGGTCTTGCTTCGCGTGCTGGGAATCAGTTAGTACCTTCAATCAATCAGCAAGACGGATATGACTTACCACACCGCCGTCTGAGATGAGACCGCACAAGTGCAGGCGCCCGGTTCCGTTCTTCGCATTCTGGAATGTCTTCATGATGATCTCGTTCTTGTCCAATTCGTTGTTTCTGATCGTCTGGTCGATGCGGACAACATCCTGCCACACCACACGCCCGGCGCCGATGTTCAGATGCCCGACCTCGGAGTTACCCATAAGGCCCTCTGGCAAGCCGACCGCGAGGGATGAGGCCTCTAGCCCAATGAAACCGTCGGCATACTTGTAGAGGTCGTCCATGACCGGAGTGTTGGCGTTAGTGATCCCATCGCCATCTTTCGGCGACGACTCGGAGGGGATTCCCCAACCATCAATCACGACTAGATACGATTAGCTATGCCAATTCAAGAATAACGAGGGCGTGTGGAAGATCGAATACTTACTGAGCACAACTTTGTTGTCAACTTTAGCCATATTGTCGGGTGTTGGGGTTGTCTTGAAATAACGAAGGAATCGGAACAAAAAAGTTGAGCTGAGGTTGAGGTGGGGGTGGGGTTGTTGCAAGACCCCTCACTCAGTACATATGTCACCCCTCTTCGGCGACAACACAATCTTCACTTCCACTTACATCGCTATATTCGTCGTACCTGGCCGCTAATTTCATGCCACAACCACCCCACCAACGAAACGCAGCGGCTGTTATCTAACAGGCGGTCCTACAAAGTCATATCCTCCGCAAATCATTACCAAAGAGCAAGACGGGTTTCGGCCCCTGGGAACCGGCGAAAATAAAGAGCTAAACTCGACCTACCACCCCAAACTAAGCTGAGCCTCACTTTATAACACCACCTTAAACAGCAGCTCGCCATGTCGACCTCACCCTCTTTCTTCTCCGCCCCCAGCGCCCCGTCATCATCCCAACCCACAACCCTCTCCGACAACCTCTCCCCCGCCATGCTCGACACCATCCCCGTCCTCACCTCCATCCTAAGCCGCGTCCAGCCCCCCACCTCCTCCAACGCGCCCGGCGCCTCCCCCATGCCAGCAACCTCCTTCGGCACCCCCTCATCCACGTCGAAGCCCTCATCATCGCAACTCCGCCCCGACGCGACAGCCGCGCTGAGCACGAAAGAGATCCCCGCCGCGACGGACGCGTTGAAACATAGATTGCAGCGCGCGAGGGTTGAGGTTGCACAGTTGCCGGGGATTGGGATGAGTATTGAGGAACAGGAGGTGGAGATCAGGGCGCTGGAGAGCAGGATTAGGGAGCAGAGGGCTGCGTTGAATAGTTTGAGTGAGGTGGGGGGGAAGGCTGGGAAGGGGGATACGATTATGGAGGGGTATGAGGATGGGAAGTGAAGATGGGCGGAGATGAGGGCAGGATATACAAACACTCGCGCCCCATGTGAAGGTGGTGACGCGCCGATGAGCAGCATAGGTGGCATGCGGAGAAATACAGGCAAAGCCAGGCTCCAAGTGGATATGAGACATCCAGCCCTGCGGTGCTTGCCTGGGTAGGCAGTTGCAGAAAAACAGAAAGGCAGAAGTGGACTTTGAGGTTGGGGCGCACGGGCATACTGGACAGCCCTCGCACGATTCTTCTCGGCCTCGACATGAGGATCACGAAGGCCGCGTTGCCAGAAAATATGGATGTCTACGAAGGCTGACAAAACCTCAAATATCATGATGTTAGACCTAACAAATCGTCTCCAAATTAATGAAATATTAATCTAACTCATAGAACATGCCATTATAAGTACCCATAGTAGCCCTTCCCTGCATAATCTGGAGATGTGCTCATATGAGGACAGCCTCTCCGTAACATATTCCAACTAGTTAGGAGTACCGACCTGCTTGAGTATATCCTCAGCTGCCATCCCAAGCTTCCCAGGAACTACAGTGGTCCAAATTGCTTCCGGCAACCTCTCCGATTCCACAAGAACACTCCAGTTAGGGCTTTTCTCTGCCTTGAGCCACTTGAAGTCATCCACCTGATCCCAATGGTTCTCCACGGGCTCATCTGACGGCACCTCCTGCACAATGATAAGCACCGTATATAGTTGCATGGCGAAAATGGGTCACTTACATAGCACTTTGGAATCGGAGCAAACCTTATATTCTTGCAATCCTCAATAATGGGCCTGCTCATGCAGGAAAGGTAGACATCCACATTATTGCAATCGTGCATCCTCACCTGTCGACTCGAGACCACCACAACCGTGTCCTGAACGTTGGTAATGTGTGTTGCACCTGCGACCTGGCCAGCCACAATGAGGGAATTCGTTATATTTTTCAGCGCCAGGCCTGCGAAGGGTTGGCCATTGGCAGTTGATATGGACATATCCACAATGCATTTGCTGAGGTCGGTAAGGGATCCTGAAGACGTGGCATGGGCTGCAGAGGATGGGAGTATGATGTGTAGGCCTTCGTGATCAGAAATGGTGACTGAATTGGCTTGCCTGAAACTGGGAGCACGAATGCGGGCAGAATTCTCGGAAATCTCAGCATTATAATCCTTTGAGGGAGGCTGGACACTGGTCGCTGCTGGCCTAGAGGGGTCACCATTGTTTGACTCGGATGCCTTGTTCTCCGAATCTGTCTTTCGTGCTGTGATTGCCGCGGCGGCAGCGACATCCTGGAGAGAGAGGGCAGATTCGTTCTTCTTGATTTTAAAAGCAAAACGTGACTTTGGTGCAAACTTTGCGCGGGCTTCGTGGAACTTGTCCGTGAGGCTGTTGATTGACTACGATAGGATTAGAGAACCGTAAACTCTTGAAACTTGAAGTAGGACCGACTGCTGTGTATGCCCGTTGATCATACGCGGGGATGAAGTCTAGTGCATCATAAACTTCTGTGGTGAGCCTGGAGATGCTGGCCAGACAATAGTCAATGGCGTCCTGTCTTTCACCGCCAACAAGTGCGGTACGCTCAAGCCTATCGATCTGGTCTTGGAGGTCTGCGAATGGTATCAGTATAAAGCAACTTCGCGGGCTGCGGACCATATACCGGTGATCTCTTCCTGGAAATAGCGGTAAAAATTGTCCTTCAAGTCTGCATGAGATTTGGAAGCGTCGTTGGATGGCTTTCTTGGGAGAGTCCCAGTGCCACCGACAGCTTGTTCCATTTTGAGGTCCCTTAAAAAAGCGAATAGATAGATGTACAGTTTCTGTTTTGAAGGGCTGATATTAGGTCAATTATAGGCAACTACCTTCTAAATGGCAAAGCGTAACCAGATAGATTATTCAAGAAGCGTAAATATAGCTTTTAGTCTTTGGTGTTGATTCTGAAATAAGGCGAGATTGATGATATCGTTGGAGTTTATATGATTGGAAGTGGCACCACTTCTCCTCCCACAGGGTCCAACTGCACATCAAGCAAGGTTTAGCCAAGTTTGAAGTCGAGTCAACAAAAATTACCTTTCTGGACCAAGTATCGGAATATCCTCAACGTTTGTCCCAATCACCGCATTGCTGTTATAAATCGCCGGTACTATGTGTTGTTCCTGGTCAGATACTGGACACAGCATGCCTATCGGGGTGCGATGGCGGCACGAGGCGAAGCGTACAATTGCGGGGTTACCAATGGAACAGAACAGTTCTCGGACCTCCATCAGTTTAAATTACTAGTTTGAATCCACGGCCATAGGAGCCTCTTCTTGACTTTTGGGTGGCACGAGTATATGAAGTATATTTTCTAGAAGCCTGTGTCAGATCTTCACGATTCACGACAGTATTACATCTACTACCATTGCCGCCCAAAACTGTAAAAGGAGGACTATGCACAGCAGCTATATTTACAGAAACTATCTGTGATTTACTTGGAGCTACGGTCAATAACCCAGTTCCTCATAATACAGCTGAAGAGATAAATTCTCTTCAAAAAATATATCCCTTTGTTAAACAAAGGGATATATTTTTTGAAGTCCAGTTACCGGTTGGGTTCGGATCATTTGTTATATATGTACAGTACATAAAGTGCAATCGGTTGTCTAGAAAGCGAAGTAAACAGGAAATCTAGGACGAGGCGCCAGGCACATCAATGCCGTACGCCTCCTTGATCCTCTCCTTCCTCCTGTCCAGGTAACCAGGTCCATATACTCCTGGGTCGGGTTAGCAAAAATTGAGCGCGTAATCAGCCCATATAGCACAACGTACCTCGGCCCTCTCCAACTTCAGAAATCGTCTCCTCTATCGGGCGGCGTCTGTTCTTCCTCATGTATTGCTTTCGGTCAAACTCATCAGACTCTGGGTCTCTGTTCCAGCCGTTAATTCGGCCTCCTGTGTAATCGAAAGCGCCCAGCAGAATCGCTGCCATAGTTCCATAACCCAGAACAGCCGGTAGCGAACCCTCTGTGTTTTGGTCAGCAAGGAACGAATTGATGCCTCGCAAGGCATTGGAGAGGATTCTCACGCTTGAAGCCAAGCACTGAACCCGCAAGAAGGCCACCCAAGGCCGGGTTCAAGCTGTCGTTCTTCTGCCTCAAGTTGGCGGCTGCGAATTTCGTGAATTCATATGTACCGCCCATCGCCGCTGGATTCCCATTAGCTGCTTTTCACAAGCCTGTCGAGAGAGGCCACATACCGAAAACAGCGATTGTCGAACCACTCCTGGTGAAGACTCCCCATGGGCCAACATTCTTTCTGGCGAGAGCATTCTGAACTGCAGACATGAACAATCCGGCGCCACCCGTAATCATTGTACCGGTAATCGCGGCACCAATGGCATCCTGCGGATGATATACCCCTTCGTGCGCACCCATCTTCAACGTGTTGTGCTGTAGATCTGCTGGTGGAGGTTGAGGGTGTTCAATTTCAATCGATTGAGCTCACTCTGAAGCGGGACGGTGGACGACGCTGTACGCTGTAGCCGCGGAAGATGCCGCGGAAGATGGCGCGCGCTAAAGTCCCATTCCCATGCTGTTTTGGCTCACCTTAACCCTCAGTCAGGTACTGTGTTACAGTAATTACAGTAATTACAGTACCAGTTCGAGTATACTTTGTACTTTGATGTCTGCTTTGTATGCCTGCGCCTATGTACTGAACTGGCCTTCGCGGCAGCATCCTCGATAACATATATGTATATGTAACTCAGAAAATAATAGCTCAAAAGCTCAAAAGCTCAAAAGCTCAAAAGCTCAAAAGCTCAAAAGCTCAAAAGCTCAAAAGCTCAAAAGCTCAAAAGCTCAAAAGCTCAAAAGCTCAAAAGCTCAAAAGCTCAAAAGCTCAAAAGCTCAAAAGCTCAAAAGCTCAAAAGCTCAAAAGCTCAAAAGCTCAAAAGCTCAAAAGCTCAAAAGCTCAAAGCTCAAAAGCTCAAAAGCTCAAAAGCTCAAAAGCTCAAAAGCTCAAAAGCTCAAAAGCTCAAAAGCTCAAAAGCTCAAAAGCTCAAAAGCTCAAAAGCTCAAAAGCTCAAAAGCTCAAAAGCTCAAAAGCTCAAAAGCTCAAAAGCTCAAAAGCTCAAAAGCTCAAAAGCTCAAAAGCTCAAAAGCTCAAAAGCTCAAAAGCTCAAAAGCTCAAAAGCTCAAAAGCTCAAAAGCTCAAAAGCTCAAAAGCTCAAAAGCTCAAAAGCTCAAAAGCTCAAAAGCTCAAAAGCTCAAAAGCTCAAAAGCTCAAAAGCTCAAAAGCTCAAAAGCTCAAAAGCTCAAAAGCTCAAAAGCTCAAAAGCTCAAAAGCTCAAAAGCTCAAAAGCTCAAAAGCTCAAAAGCTCAAAAGCTCAAAAGCTCAAAAGCTCATGAACTACAGTGTACAGAAACAGCTATACATTAACCTCGCGTCTTTGCCTTCAAATTCGTTTTCAACTACATCATTTGTCCGCGCAACAACCCCTCACTGAGCTTGTTGACTATAACTGGAGCTTCAGACCGCATGCGCCGCAGCAACCCAGTTCGCCCCTTCACCGTAACCTTGCATAAAGAGAAAGGAAGAAAGGGCAAGACATAACCACATTCACCTTTATCCAATAACAAGGGTCTTTGAGCATACTCGGCGATAGTGTGGTTCATATTGCTGTCTATCCCCGGTGCCAGCTTGTGGTTGTTCACAAAGACAAGAGCAGCACATCTGCACCATGGAGGGCACATATGAAGGCACAGGCCCAGGTGAGCCTTTACTGTGCTTGTTTACCCAGACAAAGTTAAATGCTAACCTCTCATCTTTTCCCAGGGAAGACGGGTCCGCGGTTACTCGAAGACTTATTAGATTACGACAGCTCAAGGCCTCGAGCGAACGGCGGGAACCTCCTCATCGACCCTGCTCCGATCTACAAGCCAAACAAGAGCTACCCTCCGCGCACACATCCGAATGACTGTCACCACTTCTTGTGCCGAAAGGACTGGCAGAGCAGCATCCCCCCCTTCGACAAGAAACCTACGACGCAAACACAATGCTTCTCGGCCTCATATTGCTCATATTGTTTGCACCATTTCGACGTCGTTGTGGACTATACGCGGCAACCTGGCAAAAACATTCCTTGTCAAGCTGGCACTCCTCACCCTCTGCATCACTTCCAGTATGTTGGGTCGGAGTTTCGGACACAAGAGGAGCTTGGGAGGCCCGAAAATAAATATGACAATTATAAGGAGCAACACGCATTCGCATGCTCAGCGTTTAGTTGCCCAGCAACTGCAACTATCCGGATATCTCCTCCAAGGCTGAATCGTGCGCAGTCAGCATTGTTACTGAGTCCACAAAAGGTTTATGCGCGAGGAGCTAAAGTCATCGAGGAGGACCCTGATCGCTATGGGGAGAGCAGGCCTTCGTTTCCATGTGAAGTTCTCGCTGTGATCCGGACATACCTCACGCATGCATTAACTAACGCTCCGGGAGAGTCGAAGAGAATAGCTGCCCGTAACAAGAGATTCTTGCTTGCATTTGGTTACGAATGCAAGGACCTTCTCGAATACCTCGGATTCACCTATGAGCAGGAACGGGTAAAGAATGGTGATGTGAGTTTTGTCTTTATCAATTCGTTAATTCCTTTTATCTCATGTTTTTTCCATGTCTATGAGCCATACTAATCTGCCCAGGTCGAAGAGGAAGAAAGATTCTGGTTACTGCCGGCTGTGTCACCTGCAACAGAGGCAACTGATGCTGTGGTACCTAAAACAAACCGGAATTTTGTCGAGGATGTTTTATGTGAGGTTTCTCAGCGTCTTGCAGATCGCCCACCTGAAGAGCTTAAGCAGGGCAACTCTCAGATCCTGTATAACCCATTGCCAGCGCTGAAGGACCTACGCATTTCTTTGGGCATCCTCAACTTTCCAACGGACTCTAGAATCGTGAATCTTGAGGCGATTGAACACCCACATTATGCGAGCTTGGGCGCAACATCGAGTTTCTCTGACGAACTCATATTCTTTGCGTATAGCAGACAGAGGGACTGTGATCCAAGTCATAAACCCTATTATTTGGAATGTCTCCAAGGTATAGGCAAAGGAAGAGGCAGTCCATTCCTCGAAGAAGAATTTGTCAAGATCGTGTCACTGGGAGAAAACACACTCACCGAAATTGACGACGCGTACAAGTTTTTCGCACTTAACCCAGCCGTCGACCATGGAGATGATCATATTATCGGCGTCTATAAGTCGAGAATAGAAGCTGCTCCTATCCAGAAGGACGCTGCAAAGCTGTCACTGTTATTGATAGGTAAGGCAAGAAATAGTGCAAAGATTCAGGAGGTTGCAAATAATAGAGCCGTCACTTACGAAGAGGCTCTCGAATACCTTAATGTCACAGCAGACACTCCGTCCGACTTCATTGAAGCTCAAGCAATCGCTGTGGCCGCTGATGTCGACAAAAGTATTGTTGCACCCATGCTCAGTGTGATCGGAAACACAAGGAGAGATCTATCACTGCAAATAGCTGCTGCTTCCATGGAGGCAGGTAGTGTTACTTCGAACCTGACTGTGAAGGAAGCGTATAAAAGGCTTCAGATCCAAGATGAGAACGCATCTGAGGAGGCTGTCTTTGCATATTATCAGACCCTCATAGAGGATGCACCACTGGGGTCCAAAGAAAGCTTTTTGGAGGCTATTCGTGTCATTGCAAAGTCAAGAAACAGCTATTTTCTCTTCGCAAAGATCAGTGATCCTAACGCCGTCGTTGCACCGCAACGATCCACGGCAGATCAGCCAGTTGGCCTGGACAATATTGGCAACACTTGTTATCTCAACAGTCTTCTCCAGTATTACTATACAGTACGACCTGTCCGTGATGTGGTGATGAACTTCGAGGATTACCGGATGCCACTTACGGCAGAAAATATTGTGAAGAAGCGTGTTGGTGGCCGTGCTGTTGGCAAAGGCGAAATAGTAAAGGCTCAGAACTGTAAGTATTCGATTTCTGTCTCATCATTGAAGGGAAACTAATAGGAAATAGTCGCTGTAGAGCTTCAAACTCTCTACCAGAGTCTCAAATCAGCCTCAACTCAATCAGTGAAGCCAACGCAAGACCTTGCCGAACTAACGCTGTTCAGCACAGCAACTGAAGCAAACTTTAGGAGAGCATCTATCAGTAGCCCTTCTGGAATGCCAAACCTGGACAATGAAGAGAGGCCGATATTTGGCCCTCACCTCCCTCCTCCGCCTCCGCCTCCGAAAGACCACCCGCCATCTGTTCCAACGCAGCGAGCCACGGTGCCGACGCAACTAGAGCGTGATATCGAGATGACAGACGGACCATCACAAGAAACTCTTGATAACGACGATTCAAGCAGCCAGATAACCCTTGTTAATCCAGAATCTAAGAATAGCGAGGCACCCTCTGCGGATATGTGTAACGTTATCGACCTAGAACAAGATTTGCCTGGAAGGTTACCCTCAGCCGAGCCTCCAGCAATGGGAAATGTGTCCTTTGAAGCACCACTTGAAACCCTTGGCGCGGGCGAACAGGCTCGCCCCAGGAAGGATGAAGTAATGGCAAATAGCGGGTCTTTAACACCACCTCCTGAAAGCATGGAAATGGTCGAGCAGCGGCCACCGGTACCTCCTCGAAACAAGCCGGCTCCCATCAAGACCGGTGAATCTGAAGAAGAATTACGGGCGCAAAAGCTGTATTTTGGGGCACAACAAGATGTCACAGAGGTCATTGGCAACGTCATATTTCGACTGCAGTGTGCAATTAAACCAACAAGGATTGATCCTAAGTTTGGAGAGCAGATCGACGTTGTCAGGGAGACATTCTTCGGAGCCAATGCCGTGCATTTGAAAAAGGCCGATTCCTACGACGTCAAGATTGAAGATTGGGCAAATATTATTGTGTTTCCGGGCCTCGATGGCCAACGCGATATTTACGAGGCCCTTGACGTTGTTTTCGACGAACAAATTGTCGAAATAGACAATGCAAATGCGACCCAGTTTGCGTCCATCAACAATCTTCCACCAATCGTCCAGATCCAAATACAGCGCACTGCATTTGATCCAGCCACACAGCAAGCTTCTAAAAATCAAAACAGAATTGTCTTTGATGAGACTATCTATCTAGATCGGTACATGGAGGACGACAAGATTCTACAACGGAGGCGCGATGCTTGGGTATGGAAGAATAGGATACGGCTGTTAGAGGCACGCCAAAAAGCTCTACAACTGACTGATGTAGAGGTGCCAGTCGAAGGTGCATTACATGCTACAAAAGACTTCCTACAGTCGCTTGAGGATGACGAAGTTAGCGATATCGCCATCAACCCAGACCTGGCCAGTACTCTCGAAGAGCGAGCAAACGAGATATCCAACGAGATGGAGGCAATATCCAAAGAGATGTCGAGTCTCAAATTGAAACTCCAGGAGCAATTTACAGACTTGCGGCAGCATCGATACCGTCTTCAGGCCGTATTCATCCATCGCGGCACGAATGCATATGGACACTACTGGATTTACATCTATGACTTTTCTCACGATATCTGGCGAGAGTATAATGACGAGCGCGTTTCCATAGTCGAAGACAGGACCCGAATTTTTGGTCAGGTAAGCACCGGCGGTGCGACTCCTTACTACTTGGTCTACGTGAGAGATGAGGATAAAAACGACATTGTCGATGCGGTCTGCCGCGAGCTCCACGAGGAAGCGCCAACTGGAGGTGATGAGATGGTCCAGGTGTGGAATAACGGACACGTAGGTCATGACGAAGCTATCGATATGACCAATGGTGCCCAGCATATCGAGAATTACGAGCACTTCGAAACAAATAATTCCCCCTCCAGCATGGACTTGAGCGGGATAGGCGCATGGGATGGGATGCAATCGGGGTTCAATGGAAATAAGTAAGGCGCAGATCGTTGCGTATGCTTATAGACCTAGGAGTTTTGGTAAATACCAAAGGTGGACGGAGGGACGGAGTACATGGCAACGAGCTTTGAGGAGCATATGAAGGAGTTATTATACCATAGTGCGACAAGCGATAGATCAACGAATGGAATACCTCTTATATTGGTCAATGCCAACAATCCTCGCTTTAATTTATTGTGAGAAGGATGGATACTTTTAGAAATTTCCCAAAGTGACCAACTAAAATGTGTTGTGGATGAGGTCACTGGTGACAGACGTCAGAACCCTTAGTTCCCGATATCATCCCATTCTCAATCATGGCCGTCACAACCAGCCATTTTAGTATTTTAGGGGACCTTCCTGCACAATACTTTCCCATAAACACTTTAATAACATGAATTTCCCACACGAGACCCCGCTCATTCACACATGCGTTTCCTCGAAAGCCTGCGACTATGGTCCCCCGAGCGCCACCGCCGCCGTGTCAATCTGCCGCATTCTCATAATTCCCAGCCTGTAACTGGCGATCGTCAGACCCCACGGTGGTCAGAATTTGTTAACAGCATCTGGCGCCTGGTGGATACAATTTCAGATACCTTCGCTACGACACCCACTCGCCATGTTGCCCGTCTGAACGCTTATATATGGCCGCGTTCCCATCCCTGGCCTCCTTATTCGCCATCGCCGGCACTAGCACAGCGGTTGCATGGCTACGCTGCTGTGCACATATTTACGGTCATCTACCTGCCATACGCTTTTATTGTGTCGGTTGTAACAATGATTGTTGCTATCGGGCTACGCGTTGGGTTTCCCAACGGCTGGCGCTTCTCTATAGCCCTGGGGGTCTGCGGATGGGTGCCTACAATGCTGTTGGTGGGGCTATGTGCGGTTTTGAGGACAAAGATACGGATGGCAAGGGAGGTTGCCTGGGCAGCTTGGGGGGCGGAGGTGGATAGACGGATTTTGGAATTCGAGAGCCTACATGGGAGGGCTAGGGAAGACGAGATAGAGGCATTCATGTATTGGGTGAGAGGGGGAGAAGGACTTGGTAATTCTCCTGTCGCTGGGCGAGAACCGGATGAAGAGAGTGCCATTGGGCCGGCGCTGACGGATGAAGAGTACCAGACTGGCTGGGGAAGTTTGAGGCAGGAGGATGGGGGTCGTGGCAGTGATGACCCTGATGAGGAGGGTTGGAATATGCATGGGACGGTTTTGAGGGAGCTTCATATGACGGTGCATTGGCGGCAGAATGCGGATGACCAGGAGAGAGCGCATCGAGAGGCGCAGGAGGTGGCTCGTTTGAGGAACCACGTTGCAAATACCGTGGCTGCGGAGACAAGCTCACATTCTGAGACCATGGTGCGGGGTGATAATTCAGCAGTTAAAGTGGCAGAAGAGCCACTGTTGGATATTAACCTGAGTGATGATGACTTGGTATTATCATCCACAAGCAAAAACGACGAGAGTAAAAGCGTAATATCTGTGGACAATGTGGAAAAAGAGGAGGAGGATTATAAAGTAAACACGAGTTGAGAATTCAACATAGTCAAGATTTCCAGACAGCCGGCAGATACATACAATATACTCTATTTGATTGTCCAAACTCTAGCTGAGCGCCCTCATTGTCATCTCCACCACCACAAACGTACCGGAGCTGACCGGCATAGCCCTAATCATCGTAGGGAAAATTCCTTTCCAGAAGCCACCCATTCCCCCAGCTCTCCAGGTTTGCCTGAAGCAGTCCGTCATGGTCTTATACTTCTGCTCCTTCCCAAACCCATCACTCTGCATCTTACTCTTCACAACATCGAATGGGTAGCTCGACAACCAGAGTACCTCACCCGCCAAACCACCATACATCGCAATCTTCCACGTCGGAATATCCTTCCGCTCCATATTGTTCCTCGCCGCATCCTTGTTCATCATATACTCAAACGACATAAACCAACAACCATACGCCTGCGCCTCGCGCATCAGCGTCACAGCCTCACCACGATAAATGCCCTTCATGCCCTCATGCGCAACTAGCTTCCTCACACAGTCCAGCGGGCCAGAGTACAGCCTGTCCTTCCCGTGGGGCTGGGTTTGCAGCCTAATACGGACATGCTCGATCGGGCCCGAGATGACGGAGTTAGCGAGACCGGCGAAGGCGCCGGCACCGTAGTACTGCGCGTACGAGAGGTTGGAGGAGGCGAGTGCCGATCTGGAGGCGTTGTATTGCTCGAATTGGCGACGAGCGAAGCCGAAGGCACCGAATTGGACGGAGACGCAGGCGCCGATGCCGACTAAGGGCGTGAGGGTGCCTTTGTAGAAGGCGAGCGGGCCCTCTTTGGCATAGATGGTCTTGGCTGCCTCCAGGGCATTGGCGTACTGCGTAGTGGTTTGAAGGCGCACTTTGACGATATCAAATGGTTGACCTGGGTAAAGTTAGAATGAATCACAGAGCACATCTTCATAAACCCCGTAACGATTGAAAACTGCCATTATTCTTCGACGCACGTGAGACAAATACGAGTAAGAAACACGTACCAAGTAGAACCTGAGCAATTCCACCCATTGCGCCCGAGAACAAGTCCTTCGCCACGCTGGCGGACCTCTCGTCCGTACCCTCCAAATCAGCCATTGTATCTCTTCCGCGACGCTACTCCCCGTGCAAAGTTCAGGGCAGGCAATGCTCGGTGGGATGGGAGCGTGGGAAGAAGATGAACAAATAAATGGAAATGAACTGGAGGAGTCAGAGGAGGCGGGACGGAAAGCTATATCAAAAATTCGGCCAGATAAGCGCGAGACACTGGACGGATCTGCAGGTACTTTATTTGCGGGGGATTGGTGGAGTGAGTGGAGGGCCCAAATGATGCCATTTGTTCAGGGTTGTCGGGTGTTAAAACGACGACCAACCGGTAAAACAGATTGAAGGAACGGGAAATGGCCGCAAATGCACACGACATGAAAAGGCACCAGAACTGATAATTTCACTATGCAGCTCTCTAATGGCTATCCTTTACTTTAATTTACTGTATTTACTAACTCGTGGTATGGCTACCAAAAGTTATTTCTTTCGAGGCCAACTTCCATCAGATTGGAAGCCCGTTACTTGTATTTATACTATCGGGTTGCCATCTCCGAGTGCATAAGATCACCTCTTCCGTTCAGCCAACGTCTCCTCTACGGCAGCCCACAGATTTTCTCGCAGCTCTCGCTCGTGAGTGAACATGACCTCCAGTTTATCTTGTATCTTCTTCTTGCCAGCCCGAGACTTCTCTGGCAGTGGGAATCCATATCGCTTCCAGAGCAAGCCCGCGCATTCCTCTCTAAACTTCGTAATCGTTTCTCTGAGCAGCCCATCAAGTTCAACGCGCGCATCTTGCACCGTCGTAACTACTTCTGGGAGCAGCTCGCCCGTCGTGATAAGCGTATAATAGGCGCGAACGTCAAAGAGGCCGCCCCGATTGCGGAGCTCGGAGAACGTCGTCCACATCCGAGTGAAGTCGAGCGCCGCTGCTTGGCGACTTCCGGAGATTTCATAAGCAAGGATGAGATTCTTCAGTAGAACCAGGTTCTTTATGGCGAAAATATACGAATCAATCTTATCCTTCCTTGCAACCTCTCCCGAGGCTCGCATTATAGACAGGGACGTCTCGTGAATGATTTCATATGCCATTTCACCCATACCCTAACAATAAATTATTTGGGAGCAGACTCATCTGAAGGAGCAGACTTACCATGCCAATATTAGCGTCAAATGTCAAGTCGTTGTTGAGAATCAGCAGCTGAGCACCGGTTTTTAGAGGCTTGTAGGAATTTGAAAATCCATCGCCCAGGGCCTTATACGCCCGGCCATCTATATCTGTATCCGCAGGTTCGAGCAATGCGTCGCTAGCATCTTCACCAGATCGGTTTGCTTCGGCCGGTTGCTGCGTCGAGTTCTTTGGCTCAAGGTCTTCGGGTTTTGGAAAGAATCGAGATACATTGGCATATAGAATCTCTTTGATTCGGGTAAATATGACTTGGGTGGTCTGCTTCTTCAACTGGCCTGCCAAGTGTATTTTTAGCTCTCTGTTCCCATCTGGGATTTGTGCTCCATCAAACGATTCGTCGTCATTCCCGTCGGCTGAAGAGGCGTAGCTGTCTAGCCAGAGCGCGAGTTGAGTCGTTGTCGTTGTGTCCGCACGTTGAATATGAGGTTCGAGAACTCGAAAGGCCAGTGAACAGAGGTCTTCTAGGTATTTTGTTTGGGACTCTTGGCTCTTCCAGATCTTGTGTATATCGGTTCGGCCCTTATTATGTGTACGCCTGTTGCCGGAAAAAAAAAGGCCATACTTCGAATATTCGTTCATGCATACTTCTAAAGTAGTATTGAAACAGGCGCGAGCATATTTGCCAAACTTTGTCTTCGGGTCGTGATCCTCTGCAATTGTGCCATTGAGAACTTGACCCAGAACTTCGCTCATGAGACCTTTCCTTGACAGCACGTACTCATCCATCAACGATTTGAACAGAGTATAATAACCGTCAGCAGTCTCCTTGCCCCCCTGAAGATCATGCTTTATCGAATGATCATAGACAGGCCTTGCCATAAATATTATATGCTCGATTGAACGTTCCAGGCGATTCCCAGTAGGATGAATGTCGGGCGCCTGTATTAGGTATACTGTAGTGGTATTCAACTTAGCAGCCTTGCTCAATATAGCTCGAGCCTCCGTTTGTTTGGTACGAATCGAATTTGTAAACGAAATCTGCAACAAGCTGAAAGTTCGAGTAAGAAGAGTCTGGTATCGCGTAAGGTACGTCTCTGATTCTTTATGTTCTGGGTGTCGGCGCATAAACACTATACAGGCATCGAGGTTTGATAGTATCTCCACGAAACTCTCGTCGCCAATCATGGTGGATGCTCCCGGGGCATTCAGCCGCCGAGTAATGGGCTCTAAATATGAGTAATATTGCAAGTCCGTTCCAACTTCGTATGCGAGATCTTTTAAACGCTTCTGCTCCAGAAGAAGATCCTCACATTGCGACTGGAAGGAAGCTGTTTGCACCTCAACCGCTTTAAATGAGTCCGACAGATTCGACAGTAAATCCAAAGCTCTCGAGGTATCCTCCACCAAGTTATCCAAATGTCGTTCCGAAAGCGCCAGCTGGTCTCTGTAAAGCTGGAACTCATCCTGGCTCACATCTAACAGTACCGCGTCGTCAATCTCATATCTGCCCTCGTATGATGCATTATCACCACTTTCTAACAACCTCAAAGCTCTCAGCTCTTGCTCTCGGATCTTCCTGGCCTCCTTGGTGATCTGGGCGTGGGCAACATGGTAGAAATCGGTATATGACTTCGCCCTGCGGGCAATGGTAGCCTGTGGCGGGCCCTTACTTAAAGACTCCTCTTCATCCAAGGGCTCTAGGGGATTCGCTGGTTGAACGTCGCTCTCCTAAAACATCTATCAATCCCGCCCAATGTAATATGTGGTGGGAGCCCACCTACATTTGGTTGCTTCAAAAGTGATTCTTTCCGCCGGTGGGTAAGCTTATGCCCCGAGCTGTCATCTTTCTTCGGCTTCACGTCTGGCACAAAGCTGTACCAAGTGTCCTCGTACATTGCGAGTGGATTTCCACCAACAATGGGCAATATAACGGACGCTGTGTTGCCGCGAGGCCGTCGTATTTGGAGGGATGGGGCGGTCTGAGGTGGCAGTTACTAGTGGTGGACGGCGAACTGTCCCCTAGACCCAAAGTCCGCTAACCACAAGCCGTAAGGCATTTTGCTCGGCCGCCGTCATGACGGCAACAGGAGCTTTTGACTTTCTCAGCAGCACAAGGTAATATTCGGATCCAATACATTATGTCGATGGCGTACTAATTTTGAATTCCAGGTTCAGCCAAAATGCCCTTATTAACGGGAATCAGGCCCTTGTACCGAAGGCAAAACGCCTCTGCCATACTGAGAAACATTCGACAAGCACAAGGCTACGGCAGGGGATATACCAGTGATGGTGGCCCACCAACTCCTGACAGGTCAGCCGCTATACGTCGGACTGGACTACTGGTATCGGCAATCGTAGGAGCTGGAGCCGTATATGCGATTACCTATTCGAGGACACCACCAGAAGCAAAGGCTCCAAAAACTCACATCCCTCCTGCTGAATTGACATTCGAGCAAGAAAGGAAGAAGCCTGCATCTGCAGAGGAGAATAGGGAGGCGATTAGCCCCCAACACATACAAATCAAGAAGAGCTGGGAAAATCCAGGAGTATTTGCATGGGGATCGAATAGCGGCCACGTCGTTGCGCCGGAATCGAATGAGCCTGCAATTAAAGTGCCGAGGAGGATCGCATACTTTGATGGCCTTGTCTTGCGAGATCTAAAACTTGATCTCAACTTTGGAGCGGCAGTCACTGAGAATGGAGATGTCCTGCAATGGGGCGCCGGCTACTCTACAGACTTGCCGGGCCCAACTGCGACCCTTACTGGAAAGAACATCACAAAGATATCATTATCAGGAGATCGGGTCATAGCACTAGCCAAGAACGGCTCGGTGTTCTCTCTGCCCGTTTCCCGCAAGGCCCAGATTGAAGACTCTAAGCCGAAACAAAGCAGTCTCTTCGGATTGTGGAGCTTCAAGTCCCCTCTTAGCTACGAGGAGATCAAAATACCCAACCTCAGCTACGGAGAGAAAGTCTCCGATATCAGCACCGGCCAAGAGCACTGTCTTCTACTCACAAGCTCTGGCCGCCTCTTCTCCTCCGCCACCTCCCACGCTTCCTTCCCCGCCAAAGGCCAACTCGGAATCCCAGGCCTGATGCGCTCCGTTCTCCCAGCCGGAGAAGTGCTCCACCACCCCGCTCACGAAATCGAGGGCCTTAAGGGCACCCGCATTTCCAAGATAGCAACCGGCGACTACCACTCCGTCTGCGTCGACGACCGCGGCCGCGTCTTCACATTCGGCGACAACTCAGCCGGGCAACTCGGCATCGAGCCCACCCCCCAAAAATCGCACCTCGACGCCCCCTTCCTCCTCCCAGTAGATAAACTCTACACCGGCTCGAACCTAACCCCCTTCGTGACCAACGTAGCCGCCGGCGGCAAAGACACCTTCTTCACCGTCGACGCCAAGCCCAGCACGCCTAACCTCGACGGCTCCGGGGGTGTCCAGATCACACCCAGGATCACGGCTGATACATGGAGCTGCGGAACTGGGATACACGGCACCCTCGGTAATAACCGCTGGACGCACACCCAGGGTGTCCCGTCGAAGATCAAGGCTCTCTCCGGCCTCTGCGAATACGACGAGTCGACCAACACCACCGTACCCATCCGCGTCGGCCGCCTGAGCATCGGAACCACGCATGCCTCGGCGCAGATCTCCAATGTAACGAATGTCGTCACCGATGGCGATAATGAGACCAATTACGGCGCGGACGTGCTGATTTGGGGCGGGAATGAGTTCTTCCAGCTCGGGACGGGGAGACGCAATAATGTTAGCGTGCCGACGTATATTGCGCCGCTGGATGCGAGGCGGGATCGGGATATTGGGAAGAGGACGGAAATTAGGTTTCAGGTTGCGCCGAGGAAGAAGATTGTTGTTGGGGGACGGACGGTGGAGGTGGAGCAGAGGGTTGAGTGTGGGAGGGGGGTGACAGCGGTGTATAGTGCTGTATAAGGGTAAGGGTTCGTATTTATAGGTGTATTATTGACGGGGCGGAATCCGGGTAGGGATATGTAAAAAAAGGAGGGTGGATGGCCGATGAGGGTGACAGACCCAGTTGGTCGTGTATGGTAGTTTGAAGTTGGATACGAGGACAGTGGTGAGGCGAAGACGAGGACGAGCCGGATCTACTATCCCCCCCCTGAATGATTGTCACCATCCACTATTTTGTCAAAAGGCCTCTGCCAGTGATCTCATCTTATTTACGCCTTTTTACCTAAACCGATCGCTATAAGTGGGTTTCCACAAACTTCAAAATAGCGGGTCTTTACAATCATTCAGGGGGGGGGATAGTAAAGGTCTATGCTATGGAACAATCCTATCTCTATAAAGATAAAGGCAGATGTCCGATTATTGGTGTGGCGGAGGGGAGATATACTATCTATACCGCCTTTAATCTCGAAATTAATATATTCAACTCAAATATTATTTTCACATCTGATTCAATATTTATTGCAACACCGAGAGAAATTTAGAGAAGGATTATATTTGCTAAAACATCTGCAACACGGAAACAGGCCTAATCCTGCTAAGTTCTATGCTCCAAACTCTCCAAAAAAAAAACTAATTTTGTGTTTTTTTTATCATCCACCCTCCCCGTCTAGGCCCAGGCTCATCGTCTCGGATCGTACAACAAGTGACCATCAATTGTCTCTAAATCATCCCATCATAAACATCATCGAGCATTTGCACTGCCAGTGCAGCTCGTGATAGATGATATGTACCACCCCCCCAACCCCCCCGACCACGCCATTAAGCAGAACAGGTACGAAAAAGGCCGAGTAAAAAATCTCTATCCCTATAACGCCATGCCGAATGTTGTCCCATAAAGCAGAGCAGCTAAAGGATCCAGGACATCTTCTGGAACCTCGCTCAGTCCAAACGCCAGGGCACCCCGCCACCGCCGCCATCGCCGTCGTACACTCCACCTCTCCCGTCGTCGTAAGATATGCCCCAGAAGAACTTCCCTTCAATCTCATTCTACGCCACGCGCGTAGCCTAGATAGACAAAGATTCATATGGTACAAGCTAGAAGAAACTATTTGGCACGCTCGGAAGCAACTTTGTTGTGCAGACTGTCAAGTCCACCGCCAAAGCGGGAAACCAAACTCCAGGCAAAGTGAGTCGTAACCCCGTGGAATCAAATGGGCGCCCATCTGCTGAGAGAGTGGTGCTCGCCTACCCATCCTATTATTAGGGTTGTCCAAAAGAAATATAAATATGTACAAGGCAACAAGAACCATCCAGTCACTGCCAGACCGCAACTAGTGCGGTCTACGATGGTGGAGGTGCTTGGCCTCTGCCGCCTCTTGCGCCGTCGAATCCGCGGCCGCGGCCGGGTTGGGCTCCGACCCTCGCGTTGCCCCGGGAGAAGTTTTGGTTGCGTTGTTGACCCTGGGGTTGGTTCGATGGTTGGCGCTGTCCTTGAGACTGGCCCTGTTGTAATTGGGCTTGTGCCTGGGCCTGGGCTTGAGGCTGTGCCTCGCCGGGTGGGCCTTGACGTCCATTGCTGTAGTTTGCCAGTGCCTGACCGCCGCGCTGTTGAATCTGAAGTTGCTCTCTTGGAGGTTGCTGACGTGGTGCAGGGTTGGAAATCGGGCGCGGGATGCTCTCGGGCGAATCATAAACGTATAGATTCTTATCAATCATGGCGGGAATAGGCTGGATCTCTGTGCCCAGTTCCTTCTCAATGTTGTACAAGTTGAAGCGGTCGTCCCAGTTGATCAGGTTGATCGCCAATCCAAGATGTCCGAATCGACCAGAGCGACCAATACGATGGAGATAAGTTTCGGCATTTTTCGGGAAGTCGAAGTTGATGACAACGTTAACGGCCTGGATATCAATACCACGAGTGAGCAAGTCAGAGCAGACAAGATTGCGGCAGACTCCGTTACGGAAGTCGTGGAAAACACGGTTGCGGTTAGCTTGAAGCATGCGAGCGTGACTGTAAAAGCAAGAGTATCCTAACTCTGTGATTTTCTTGGCGAGGAGTTCGACACGGTTTGTGGAGTTGCAGAAGATGATAGATTGGTTGATTTGAAGCTTGGAGAAGAGTGTGTTCAGGCAGTGGACCTTCTGCTTCTCTTCAACGAAGGCGTAATATTGGGTGATACCGCGGAGGGTGAGTTCGTCCATGAGGTTGATCTCGTATGGCTGGTCCATGTTCTTAACGGAGAAGGCCTGGACGGATCGAGGGAAGGTTGCGCTGAAAAGCATTATTTGGCGGTCCTTGGGATGAAATTGAAGAAGCTGCTCAATGACAGGTGTAAATTCAGGAGACAAAAGTTTATCAGCTTCATCCATGATGAACATGGGGCATTCGCTGAGATCTGCAACACTTTTGCCTGCAAGATCGAGTATTCGTCCTGGAGTGCCGACAACGATGTGAACAGGCTCAGCGAGGCGAACAATATCATCTCTTAACCCTGTACCACCGGTTGTGACCATGACATTTACGCCAAGATGTTTCCCAAGGGTCTTGCAAACTTGAGACGTTTGGAGAGCAAGCTCGCGGGTTGGGACGAGGATAAGACATTGGATTTTGGAGCTCTTGGGATTGATGCGTTCAAGCGCCGGGATAACGAATGCAGCGGTTTTGCCAGTTCCGTTCTTTGCACGGGCAAGGATATCTCGGCCCGTGAGGGCGACTGGGATAGCTTCTTCCTGGATGGGTGATGGCTTCTCAAAGCCCGCCTCGAAAATCCCCATGAGTAGGTCGCGCTTGATGGAGAACTCCTCAAACTCGAGGCCCTTGGTTGCGGTAACATCCTAAATAGTTTAGCAACATGTCGCTTCTTCCAGCGAACGTGATACCGACCTCAGTTTGTTGTCTGTTGTCCTTCGCTGGGATCTTCAGTTTTTTTTTCCAGTCTGGGTCGTTTTGGCTGCTGCTGTAGACACTGTCAGTGAGACAACTCTTACATAACGAAGCTTGTTATATCTCACCCTAATGTGGTGGACTCCAGCTTCCCAGCTAAAGCGTCCGCCATTGTGAAGTGAAGATGTGCTGGTGAGTATGGAAGGGTTTGATATGGGAGGTCTGGTTATTTGGAAGCGTCGAGCCGCTAGTTATGTTATGTTTTCCTTTGTCGCCTTGGGGATCAAAGGGTTGCGGAGGAGGGCTTCCGGCTTGTTGCCTTGGGGGGCCAACTTATGAAGTCGACTGAGGGGTAGTGGGTGAGTAGAGTGGCTCGAGGCTCGGGTATTGTGTTGACACTGCTCGTGGGTAAGAAGTTGGTGGTTGAGGAGGTTTTAAGGGCTGTTGATGTCTGGATGTTTGCGTGGTAAGTGTGTTTCTTTGTCAGCCTCAAGAGTTGTGTGTTTGCGTATGCGGCAAAGTTGAGGTTGGATTGATCCCTTAAGGATTCCTCATGGGAAGGTGGAGCTCAGCGCAGATTGGCTCATCAAGCGAAGATATAGCATACTCTATGGTACATACCAGGTACAGCTCACCGCCTGGGTTTACAGCTCTTTTAAGGCATAGTTCAAGTATAGTGTGGTACCGTGCAGTACCCTTACAATTTACACGCTTGGGGGGTGCACGGGCCAAGGGATCAACAGACGACTGTCTCATACAAGTCGGATATTATTATATTATAAGTTACTGGAAAATTGAAATCGACACCAACACCACACCACAACTTCAGTCAATCTCTAGTACTATAAACCGCTCATCCTGTAACTTAGTACTGTACAGATAGCTAGATGCAAGAACGCCCCCCTATAACAAAATAACAAAATATGCCGCATGCTAGATCACTTATAACATTGGCTTCAGATCATCCGCAACCTTGAATGGTGCCCCCGTCCTCGACCTGATCTCCTCGACTGTTACGCCATCCGCATGCTCGATCAGAGTCAAACCCGTTGCGAAGTCGACATCAAACACACCCTGTATCATGTTAGCAATATTCGACAGCAATCTTCGTTCCCAGTGGGACTTACGAGTTCGGTGATGATCCTGGAAACACAGGCCTTCCCGGTCAATGGGAACGCGCACTGGTTGACTATCTTGGCGTTGCCCTTCTTATCGGTGTGCTCCATCGTGACCACAACCTTGGTCATCCCTGGGTTGCTCACCAAGTCCATAGCACCTCCAAATCCCTTTATCTTACCTGGCAACATCCAGTTGGCCAGATCTCCAGATGCGCTGACTTGCATAGCACCAAGGATGGTCAGGTTGACACGGCCGCTTCTGATCATTCCAAACGACTCTTCGCTTCCGAACACAGCCGCACCAGGGTTCAGAGTGACGGTCTCCTTTCCGGCATTAATGAGATCCGCATCTTCCATGCCCTTCACTGGGTATGGGCCAAGGCCAAGGATTCCGTTCTCAGACTGCAACTGGACCTCGACTTCTGGGCCGACAAAGGCTGGGGCGAGCATGGGCATGCCGATGCCGAGGTTGGCGTACATTCCGTTCTTGAACTCCTTCGCAGCTCTTCTTACGATTCTCTCTCTCTTCGCTGCTGCCTCGCCGCTTCCAAGTGCCTTCTTGGCGCCCTCTTCGCCTTCGTTCTCTTCCTTCTTGAAGGTATATTTCTCGATCTGCTTCTCTGAGGTAGACTGAATAACGCGCTTGACGTAGATACCTGGGAGATGGACAGCTTCCGGGGCAATCTCCCCTGGCTCGACGATATGCTCGGCCTCGACAATGGTCATCTTTGCGTTACGTCCCATAGCACCGTTGAAGTTGTTTGCAGTGAGTCTGAACTGGCAGTTACCGAGCTTATCGGCCTTCCAGGCCTTGACGAAGGCGTAGTCACCCTTAATGCTCTCCTCCAAGAGGTATGACTTCCCATCGAAGACCTTAACATCTTTAGGGTAAGAATACTCCTTTGGAGTACCACCTGGGTTGTGGCGAAGTGGCAGCTCTCCGGTTTGGACAACGGTCCCAAAAGCAGCTGGGGTATAGAAAGCTGGAATGCCCTTGCCACCAGCGGCACAACGCTCTGCAAGTGTTCCTTGTGGGGTAAGTTCCAGCTCAACCTCGCCACTGAGATACATGGTTTCGAATGTCTTGTTCTCGCCAATATAACTTGCAACCATCTTCTTGATTTGTTTCGACTTTAGGAGCTTGCCCAAACCCGAGTTGTCGGTTCCAGCATTGTTGGAGACGGCTGTCAGGCCCGAGATGTGCTTGTTCTTCAACACCTCGTCGATCAGGGTATCTGGAACACCGCAGAGTCCAAAACCACCACAGAGGAGGGTGGAGTTCGCCTTCATGTCCTTGATGGCTTCAGCGGCAGATGGGAGAACCTTGTTGATATCAGCCCTCCTGGAAGTCGACGCAAACGTGCGAGCAAAGAGGATGGCATGCTGTAACAAGAATTAGCAAGCTGAACGTCAATTAGCAAATAGGGATCTGGTACGAACGTTGCTATGTTTGGTGTACGCCCGTGCGGTACGCATGGACAGCGTTGCGGACGGCATTTTGATATATGCTATTTTAAGTGACAACAAGGTGCTGGTCTAGAGGAACGATCCTACAGTTCACCAATTCAATGCGACTGACAGGTAGGCTTATGGAATTTATTTTGCAATATGAAGGTGACAAGATAGATCGGCTAAGACTGAGAAATGGCACCCGGTAGCTCTTATGTGCTAGGAGTCGCACGGGCAGTAGAGGAAGAAGCATTATGCGGGAAGACGGTTACCCTCGTGGAAGATGCTTGTCCTCGGCTTCCACGATCCGGGGCACCAATAGGATGTCGAGGAGGCCCTCAGCCTTGTGCGGAAGGCTCCGAAAACCGCAGCGGAGGGATGCCGCGTTTGACATATGCATGGGCCCCGTCGGTAACAGGGCATATGCCCTGTGACAAACTATGCACTACTTATCACATACCGAACGATATCAACGATGCGAATATTGTCTATGAACTTGTTGTTTATTCAATCCCAGTAATATAGTAAGTTAGATACAAAGAGACCTAGGGTATCAGCGCCTCACTTCTATTTTGAACACCATATCCCCTCCCAACCTTGCCATTTCCGACATAATAGCATCTTTGTCGATTGCAACCTGTCCCGCCGTCTCTTCCCCACCGCCCAGAGCTTTTGTTGCATAGGGCATATTGACCTTAAACGCCCTCGTCGCAGTCTGGGGGCTCCAAATCCCAGCGATTACATTGCTCGAGGATTCATCGTGGAACAGCACCATCGTGGTAGTGTACAGTGCCCTTAGCTCTTCAACATACAGCCTCGCGGGCTCATACCCTACATAGAGCAGATCCTCTTCAGTTTGGATGTCCAGATTCTTGAACTTGGCTGTTTTGGCGTCCCTCTTGCCGCGGCGAGATCCTGCAAACTTGGGAGACAGGTAGATAACGAAATCGTACTCGCCTAGCGAAGGCACAAACAGTGTCTTGGGATCAAGTTGTAGTCCTTCTTCCTTCAAGAGCTTACAGGCAGATCGCGCGAGGGCGGTCATGCGCGATGCGACGACCTTTGACGGCATGCCATCTGTGAATGTCGTCCCGGATACATCGTGGTTCGTCGCCGCAAAAAGCACAACGCGGTTCATTCCTGGGTCGACTTCGCGCCATGCCTCAAGTCGCACGTTGATGGCGGAGATCTCTTTGCTAGTCATAATTCCACCAAAGTCCACAATCAGGGGCGTATTGCGCCAGTCCCATCTAGCGATGAACTGGAGTGTGCGCAGGAATCCTGTCATGCTTGATGAAGGAGCGCGCCATGGGTAAGGCTGCAGGAATGTTCGGATGACGAGAAGCTCGATGAGCTCTTCCCTGAAGTGGGTGGAGAGCATATGTGCGCTGAACCACTTCTTAACAAGGCGCATGGTGGGAGACAGCAGGGGGAATCTGGTGCAGTGTGTAGCAACTGATTGTGTGTGAAGCGGCAGCTGTAAAAACATGTACTTATACTGTGCCAACGCAGCAATTGCACTATGTGCGTCGCTTGATTTGCTTTTGACCTGGTTCTCAAGTAGTGTTTGCTCCCGGTCGTTGTGGATCCTAAGACGGAAAACTGCACCAGATGGCTCAGTAATATCGAGGAACGGATAGTTCAGAAGCGGCTCGTCGTTATTCTCAAGACCAAGCTTGGCCTTGTAGCGTTGGCTAGTAAGCTCCAGCAGCTCTCCGATTTTTATTAAGAAAGCGACCTTGGTACGTTGAATAGCCACAACATCATCTGGCCATCTACCAGATCCTTCAAAGGCGATCAACACCTCAGCAGGGTAGCGTAACGGGTTGCGGGGTCCGTAATCAGGTGCATTAATGAATGAGGAGCGCAATTGTGCTCCAATAGGAGAAAGTTGCTTGAGTTGCAATGGTAGCTGTTCGAGATCTCTGATACTTTGTTCCAGTGTCTTGAATGACTCCTTGAGAGAAGTAAATGCGGCCGTATCTGACACTGAGTCCGGTAGGAGGGCATCGAAAGAATCTCCAACAATAGACAGATCCCTGTTGGGGTTTAAACCGATGTGCCTGTTGAGAATATACGCAATAATCTGTTCGAATATCGACGCATTAGGAGTCTTCGTCCAAACCAAACTTTCAAGGATACTGCCATCCTTAAAACGCCGCAACTCCGACTTGTTGCCCCAGAAGTTACGGAACGTCTCTGCTGCCTTTTTGTCCTCGGCAGCTGGCCCATGGTCAACAGCTCTGTGAATATGTTCTGGGTCGAAAACCAGGCCAACTTGAATATGAGGAGAAGGTGATGGCGGAAAGCTCTTTGTCTTCCAGCGGGAATGGTCGTCGAATTTAACATGAATAAGCTTTACCCTGTCGCCTAAGGCTTCTTTCAGGACGTTAAATATCTTCGAGCTTAACAGCCAATTATTAGATCTGTGATCTTGAGGACTTATAGTTCCAGTAGCGCTCGAGCCATCGATTTTGATGACGCTGTCAAATTGTTGCAGAGGGTTGTCTTTCTTGAGAATAAACGTAGCCTCAAACTGGTCAAAAACTTCGTCATTCAGCATGGCGAGGGAAACATGTGCTTCTTGTCGGAGCATGTCGTAAGACGAAGCTGACATCTTAAATAATACATTGTGCCCTCTTGGGCCATCGTAAAATGTTGGTAGGTGTGACTTCGGAATGGGGGGATCCCCAGCCTGAATTAGAGTTGGTGTTGCCACCATGTTGCTTGTGGCTAGATATTGTACCATGCCCTTGAAGAGCTGATAGCTGTTATAACCGGGAGATAGGGCCTTGCGGCCCTTTGGGCCACCTCCTTGTAGCAATAGCGCAGTCAACGCGGCCCATTCAAAATTTCCAAAGCCACCATCCGATACAGAGCTTCCAAATCCACGTTGTCGAAGCCAGATACGGCCAAGGACGCAAGCGTCCACGAAGCCTTCGGCCGATTTCACAGTTTGGTGTAAGAGCTTCAAATAAGCCTCGTGGTTGCATTCAACTTGCAGAGTTGCATTGTAAAATGGGGTAGGGGCTGGTGCAACGGTCTCGCCAGTTGGCCCAGCTTTAGGCCGGATGGAATTCTTCGTGGGGTGTAATTTGCTGTCAGCAAAAAACCCCTTAGGGCAGGCAGGAATAATGCGTATCTCGCAACGAGATTTCGAGAATTCCGTTGGCTCACCACCTGTCTTGTATCAGTAAGGGCACTTAATTAAGTCGGCGGGGAGAGGCTTACCCTTTCCTGGTTTCACAACCAGAACAGGCTGTAAGTCGTTTCCGTGGAGATTCTCCATGCTGAGATCAAATGATTCCTCTTCCCCGTTTTGTAGCCCTACAGCAATGCAAGCAAGATAATATGCCCTCTTGTAGAAGTATCTGTAGTTGAGATAGTCCTTTTCTTGCAAAATAGACGCTGGTATGGTCACAACCATATCGATCACCATTGTACTGTCTGCCTTTTCCATGTTCTTCAACGGATAGCTGCCCACCACGTTTACGTTCCACGGCTTCGCATATGCCAACTTATAGGCTGTTGTCTTGTCAGGCCTTGGTTCTGGGAAAGGCACCATGACCCTGTGGGTTTTCAGTAGAACTTTTGTCGCCTCATGAAACTACATAACAGTTTAGCACATGATATTGGATTCAAAAGTTGGCGCAGTTGCTTACTGGCATCTCTTCACGGTCCGGAATGGCCTCTACGAGTGTTTTCAATTTTCGCAAAACGTTGCCAACAGGACCCAGTTGTTTTGCGTAATTCGGCTTCACTTCCACTAACATCTCCTCTACTTGAAGCTTGAATAGACTTGAATTGTATGCATCTCCCGCGAAAGGTGCAGCAGCGCTGCTGCTTTTATGCGATTTCATTGTCGCAGCTGGGTTTTGTGTCGCCGCCACGCCCATTGGAACGGAGGGATTGGAGTCATCGCTAGCCTGGGGCATTTCAGCAGTTGTATCAAGCTTGCGCCTTTTTGTCGTTTGCGGCTCCATTGAATGGGAGCCAAAGGGCTCGGTGGGGATAAGAGGTAGTTCAAGGTTCTTTCGAGTATCAATATCAAGAGAAAGTATGGATTTGAGATTCAGTTTTTGATGGTCCAAGCGTTTCTTATCTTATCGGACAATCGGGTGGACCAGGCCAAGTGGGTGGACCTGAGGGGCGATGTCGGTGCCGAAATGGTCGGACGACCCCGCGACTATTTTAATTGCTTCTTTTACAAACAAGAAAACCCTCGAGTTCAAACATATTTTTGTGCGAACATCGATCCAATATGCTTCCAGCGGCCGTGGGAGAGACTATTCCCGCGCACACTTCACATGTGAGCGTTTTTCGATATACTACCCACCATGCCCCGCCCAAATTTCTGGTAGGCCGGAGTGTTGATTAGAACGAACACAGGCTGTCAGCGTTTCTCTTCCAACATGGAAGGCCAACGTCGCATATGAGGAGGGCGAGCCCTGGGTTATAGACAATATGAAAACTGGCTATCCAAGGTTAGATTTCTCAAATACCCTCCACGAATATGACCGACTAAACGTCCTCAGGTTTTTTGTCAATAAACTTATCACCGCGCTGGCTGAAGACATTGTTAAGGCCTATGGCAAAGATGGAGAGCAAGCGATGCTATTTCCTGGCCCCGGGGCGGCCAACAGATGCCTGGACTTTGTTCTTCGAACGGCACCCTCCCTACTGCGAACAAGTATTCGAATAGTTGATCTTGTCATGGACCCTAAGAAAATCACTACGGAGAGCCTGAAGATCGCAGCTCCGTCTGTTTCCGCCGTTATATTTCCGAAAGAGTTCTTCTCCGTGGCGAAGCAGTACTGGCAGCATTCCGGAGACGGGATTTCAAGTCGACGGGGAGAATTCTGTCATAGCTTACTACAAGAAGGTCTCCTAGTTGAGAAATCCACCTTGAAGCATACAACCGAACAACAGCAAAACTTCCATAAGGGCCCTAAGAGATACAGGAGAGGGATGTCGATTGACAAAACATGCAGCCCTCCTAAAGTCGGTGGTCCAGCTTCGAATGGCACTGGTGAGAAATCACCCAGTGTGAGCAACGCGGACAAAGAGTTGTCACAGTTTGTGGAAGAACGGTTTGGCCGCAATCTCGAGGTATCGTTCCTCGGCAATGCTAAGTCTGCAATTAAGAGGCGAATTGCTGGATCTTTGGTAGGGAGTGTTGATTTGAGTACTGGTTTCAGCAGTACGATGGATGCTAGCGCACGAGGCGTGAGTGGGCTTTCTGAAGACGACGTGTATTTATATCCATGCGGCATGAACGCCATCTTCAATGCCCACCAATTACTATTGCAAGCCCGAGAACCGCTGAAGAGCATCTCTTTTGGGTTTCCATACGTAGACACACTCAAGATCTTGCAGAAGTTTGGACCCGGCTGCCTCTTTTATGGAAATGGATCCTCTGAGGATCTGGACGATCTCGAGAGAAGGCTTCAGAGTGGCGAAAGATATCTGGCTCTCTTTGCAGAATTTCCGGGAAACCCTTTACTGCAATCGCCCGACCTGCTACGGATCAGAAAGCTCTCCCTCCAGTATGACTTCGCAGTCGTGATAGACGAGACTATTGGCAACTTCATCAACATCAACGTTCTACCCCACGTTGATATTGTCGTAAGCAGTCTTACCAAGATTTTTACTGGCGAATGCAATGTGATGGGAGGGAGCGCAATCTTAAACCCAACAGGACCATACTACTCGAAATTGAAAGAAATTGCGAAGACACAGTATGAAGACAACTACTGGGCCGAAGATGTTTTGTTCATGGAGCGAAACAGCCGAGACTTCATATCTCGAATCGACAGAATCAACCACAACGCAGAGGTCATCTGTGACCTACTGAGCTCTCAATCCGTTGTCAAAAAGGTGTACTACCCGAAATGCGTCCAGTCTCGGGAATTTTATGATGCCTGCCGAACTCCGACAGGTGGATATGGTGGTCTCCTCTCAGTCACCTTCAATACGAAGGCCCAAGCAGTTGCCTTTTTTGATCGCATCGACACAGCTAAGGGCCCCAGTTTGGGTACGAACTTCACGTTGACCTCACCATACGTGGTTCTGGCTCACTTCATGGAGTTAGACTGGGCCAGCCAATTCGGCGTTGATCCAGATCTGGTTCGTATAAGCATTGGTCTCGAGGAAACAGCGCTTTTGAAAGAAGTGTTCGAGCAAGCTCTTACGGCTGCAGGAGAAGCCTAGTCGTCGTATTCAACGTTCGGGCCTTGGATAGGCCACGAGAAGCTTGAAGGGAAAGACACATGGAAAAAGACATGATGGAGCTATCCACCCACGATATACCAGGCATGAAATCAGATAAGAATTTTGCCATCCCTATAAGATGAATCGCACAGGTTTCGAACCGTATATAGCTATAAATAAGACCAGGCGAAAAGTTTTAGTGGGCTTCAAAGCTGTATTCCCCGAGTATATGCCACGAACACTATAGAAGAGAACCGATTTGGCTCTAAGTTGCACGAGGTGTCTATGTGAATTCAATAACTCAAGTTAGATTGGTAGCTGGTAAATACGCCCATGATAATTTACAGTCCATGTGTATCTTAATTAATGTGCAATATACTGCATTCTATACGTACCTTCATTAATGTTTGCCAGACCATACATACCAGATCTGTTACCTGACGATGCACGTGTTGTCGTGAACCGCGTCAAATTCCGAGACGCGCTCTCCACAACGCCGCCACCTTTCAGCCTTAAGGGTCCAAGCTAGCCGCGCCTTTGTCAAAGCCCACTTCTACTTTAGTCTTTGATGGACGTACGACTCATGGAGGACTAAGCACTACTTTACACAGCGACAGTTGCTATAATAGTGCTCAAGGGTCTATCCACACCTGGCCAACAGTGGTGAGAGGCATGGCACCTATAAAGCGCGTCAGGGCGCATATTGACGATGGGGACCTCATATCCGTGGAAACCTCCAGCTTGCGCTCCGAACCAGTAAGCCTCTCTTTGTTTGGATATAGCTACCAGCTACGTTCCTCCGCATGCCAGCTAACAGAATTACAGCAGCGAAAACGTGTGCGTTCCTCCAGCGTAACTCCAAGCACTTCGCGTCCCCAACAGGAGCGCTCAAGTTCTCCCTCCGACGTCGAAGAACAGGGCACGGGGGGTCTGGCTGCAAGCACTCAATACGAACTCGACAGAGATGCCGACTTTGCACACCTTCAGGATGAGGATACTTACGATGAGCGCGCAACACGACGCATCCTGGCTCGGAGCAAAACGATTGGCGCGAACCGGGCGGCGGACAATGGAATAATTGAAGAGGTTATAATGACAAACTTCATGTGTCACGAGAAACTGCATGTCACCTTAGGCCCTCTGATCAATTTCGTCATCGGAGAAAACGGAAGCGGCAAGAGCGCCATTCTCACTGCAATAACGATCTGCCTAGGTGGAAAGGCGAGCGCAACAAATCGCGGAGCTAGCCTCAAGAGTTTTATCAAGGGAGACCGAGAGCAAGCGAACCTGGAGATTAAGTTAAAGAACCAAGGGAGCGACGCCTATAAGCCTGAATTGTTTGGAGAGTCGATTATAGTCGAGCGGCACTTTTCAAAATCGGGCACGAGCGGGTTCAAGCTCAAGAGTGCCCAGGGCCGCCTCATCTCGACCAAGAAATCCGACATTGAAGATGTGACCGAATACTTCCAGTTGCAAATAGAAAACCCAATGAGCATATTGACCCAGGATAGCGCAAAGCAGTTTCTCAACGCCGCTGCGCCAAGTCAGAAGTATAAGATGTTTCTTCAAGGAGTGCAGTTGGAGCAGCTTGACAATGACTATCGTCTTGTTGCGGAAACGATGAATGTGATGGAGGCCAAGATAAAAGGGCAAAAACTAGCCTTGAAATCTTCCGAGAAGAGAGTTGAACGAGCAAAAGAGCGTGCAAATACCGCAGAGAAGAATAAAGATCTGCGAAATTCCGAACAGAAATACCTCAACCAACTGGCCTGGGGCCAAGTTGAAAATGAAGAGCAGCAATTACGAGAATTGCAAGAGATCGTTGATGAGGCTCAGCGCAATATTGAAAAAGCCGAGAACAGTATTGAGAGCATGGACCAGGAATATCAGAGGCACGATGAGGCTGTTGATAGGTCTGACGATGTCACACGCAAGTTGATGGAGGATATGTTTCCTTTGAAAGAGCAGGAGCGAGAGATGAAGGCCAATTGCGATGCCGCCAACCAGGAAGTGGCAAACATGCACCAGGAGTATCGCCAAATTCGCGACTTTCTTACTGCTTCAAAACAGAAGGTTGCAAAGATAGAGAAGGATATAGCGGCGGAGAGACAACGGATAGAAAATGCAAATGGTGGAGCTCATGCTGAAAAGATGGCGGATCTTACAGCTGCACAACAGGTAGCATCACAAGCAAGGCAGAATATGGTCGAACGTGGAGATGATTCGGAACTACAAGATTCACACCAGAAAGCTCTCAGGGAGTTCGAGGATTCGAAGGCGCCATTAAGACAGAAGCAGAGTGAGATCGAGCGTTGTCAAGAGCGACTATCATCCATATCACGCGACGCGGGGCAACAAATGGCAGGATTTGACCAGAAAATCCCAAGGCTCTTAACCATGATCAAGAATGACCAAGGCTTCAACGAGACCCCAGTTGGACCTATCGGCCTCCATATCAAGTTACGTAAGCCTGTCTGGTCCAATGCACTAGAGAGGTCGATTGGAAATGTATTGAATGGCTTTGTGGTCACAAGCAAGGCCGATCAGCAGCGCCTCTCTAACATGATGCGCCAACTCAATCTTCAAAGATGCCCTATCATGATAGGCAATAACCAGCCTATTGACGTTCGTGGTCATGAACCTGACAGTCAATTTGATACCGTTTTGCGTGTCTTGGAGATCGACAACGAGCTGATTCGTAGGCAGCTGATTATCAACCAAGGCATAGAACAGACGATCCTGATTGAAGAGAGGCAGGCTGCAATGAGCGCAATGTATGACGGCGCCAAACCGCGAAATGTCAAACAGTGCTTTTGTCTGAGCGATAGTCGAAGAGGCTGGGGTCTAAGGCTCGGATATACAGGAGCTTCATCGGATAGAAGCGTTAGCCCTATTATGCCTTCAGAGGGAAAACCTAGGATGAAAACCGATATCGAAAGCCAACTGTCCCAGCAGAGGGCAATGCTACAGCATCTTCAGAGCGAATTAACTGAGCTTAAATCAAAAACCGATGCCCTTCAACGAGTCATGAGGGGTCACGAACAAGCCATACAGAAGCACAAACAAGCCAAGCGAAACGCCGAGAGGGAGCTCCAAAAAGCCGAGGAAGCTATAGAGCGCAAGCAGGCGGCCCTCGATGAAGATAATGTGGAAGACGGGCGTTTGGAAGCTTTAAGGGACGACTTAACTGAAGCACAGGCTGAAGTAGAGCTCCACAAGGGAAGTTACGTCCAAGCACGTCTGGCTAGAGAGGGACAGGACGGCGTTGCTCGGACTCGTAAAGTCGCTCTGGACGCCATCAAATCACAGATCGCGAATCACGATGTGATTATCAAGAAGGCAGAGGATAAAGGGAGGAGGCTTCGCCAGGCACGACAGATTGCGTTGCAGACTAAGAATTCTGCCGCGCAGAATCTGGAAGATCTCAAGGCCGAAAAAGTACGACGTGAGAGGCAGAGGGATACCGAGGCGGAGACTGTTGAAGAGTTCATTTCGCAGGCTAGAATGGTTTGCGCTGAGCGTGTTAGCCTGGACCGAGGGCAGACGTTGGCGAGTACTGAAAAGAAATATGAGGATGTCAGAGCTTCAATCAGACGCCATGAGAGGTTGGTTGGTGGATCCGATCAAGAGATATACGACGAGTTTGCACGGGCGAAAGAATCACATGAAACAGCGGTCCGTCAGTCAGAGAGCCTCATGGAGCTCCTAGCGACTATAAAGCATAGCTACCACAAACGTCTCGAAAGGTGGCGCGAATTCCAAAGTAACGTCTCTGCAAGCGCGCGCATGCAATTCACCTACCTTCTCAGCGAGCGCGGCTTCCGCGGAAAACTAACTCTCGACCACAAAGCAAAGACCCTTTCCATCCGCGTCGAACCAGACGAGACCAAAAGGAGCGCCGAAGGCCGCGCCACAACAACCCTCAGCGGCGGCGAGAAATCCTTCTCCAACATCTGTCTCCTCATGAGCGTGTGGGACGCCATGGGCTCGCCTCTACGGTGTTTAGATGAATTTGACGTCTTCATGGACCAGGTGAATCGCGACGTCAGTACGAATCTGATTATCGGGGCTGCGAGACGGGCTATTGGGAGGCAGTTTATTCTGATTACGCCGACGGGGATTGGGGGTGGGGCGGAGAGGGATGCGGATGTGAAGCTTATTAGGTTAGTGGTCCTGGTGTTGGAGATTATGTATTATGTGGTATGGTGGATGCTAACGCGATGCAGGCTTACTGATCCCCGGCAACGACGAATTGACGACCTTGTGACGAATACCTGATCATCGCATGATGGCTTCAACGCAGTTGAAATCCTTTGCCACGACGATGGACGATCTTGGCCTTCTATTCACATGCAGCATATGGCTGATATGCCTTCATTTCTCGTCTTGTACAGTACTTTAGATTCAGCATACGAAATCCTAATGGCTCAGCAAGCGCTTTCATTGCTATGCTTGAAGATACCCGTCTAAAACATGGAAATGGAAGCATGCATTCGCCCTTGTGATAGTGATTGGAAACAGCAACCCATTCTCGAACCCGCCCCTTTTCAATAATCCGACAGCTACCCATATGATAGACAACCACACCACCCCCCCCTACAATCTATTCTCCCTCTCCCTTCCTCCTCAAATCCTAACGCCCTTACTCCTCAACAAACTCACCGCCGCCCCCATCTGAAACCCAACCCACTCCCCCACCCCCTCAACCGCCTCCCCCACAGTCCTGGAATCGCCAAACCTCCTCTCCAAAAACTCCCTCGTCGCGCCAAACCCCTCACTCGTATCCGTACTCATAAACACCTCGCTCGCCGCATACAGCGCCCCTAGACTCGCGCGCTTAGTGTACCAGCTCGAATCGACCGCTACGTCTCCGGCCAAGAACCATATTTCGTCGGCGAGAAGATGTAGTTCCTTCAGCGAGGGGCGGATGTTGCCGAACAACGACATTAATGCCAGTGCCTCGGGGAGCTTGGAAGCTACTCCCGCATTGGCTTGCAGCCGGGCCCAGGTTAAGGCTTTGACTTTGGCTCCCACGCCCGGCGGCCTGGTGTTGGTGCTCGGGTCCACGACGGGGTTGGTGATATCGGTCCGCGAGGCGAGAGCGTGGCGCTGGGTATAGAGATAGTACTGGACGAGACCGAAGGCAGCGGTGGGGAAGAGGTTGGTAGATGCATCGAGGTAGCCGGCGTCTTTGGCGCCGAGGTGGAGGGAGGTGGGTGTGAAGCCGTGGGTTGGGATGTGGGGGAGGGAGGCTGAGAGGATTTGGGACTCGATTGCGTTGAAGGGGCCGGGTGGGGGAGGGTGGTTGTTGGAGTGGTAGGTGCGGGTGGTGAGGGTGGTGAGGCGGAGGGGGGGGAGGCGGAGGGGGAGGCGGAGGGGGAGGCGGAGGGAGGTGGCCATCTGGGTATTTGGCACAGAGGGGAGGGGCTTGGAGAGTGGTGTGGTTTCTTGATGGTGGGTTGCTTGGGGACGTTGGGGATTTTGGGGAGTCGGGGAATTGATGATCCGTTGTGGTGGTGTATTCTTCCAGCTACTTACTCTATACTGTAGTTGGAAGAATACACCTTTGTCTTTTGTGACCTTGTTTTTTTGTGACCTTGTCTTTTGTGACCTTGGTGTCTTTTGTGACCTTGTCTTTTGTGACCTTGGTGTCTTTTGTAACCTTGTCTTTTGTGACCTTGGTGTCTTTTGTGGCCTTGTCTTTTGTGACCTTGGTGTCTTTTGTGGCCTTGTCTTTTGTGACCTTGGTGTCTGGTTGGTCTGTCTCAAATCGGCCACCTTGGTGTCTTGCAAAGTATGTGGACCGAGGGGAAAGTTGGCGGTGAGAGGCTTGGCAGAACTACACAAGTACAGAACTACACAATACTGAACTTCTGTAGTAGGGTAGTAGGGTAGTAGGGTAGGGTAGTAGGGTAGTAGGGTAGGGTAGTAGGGTAGTAGGGTAGTAGGGTAGTAGGGTAGGGTAGTAGGGTAGTAGGGTAGTAGGGTAGTAGTGTAGTGTTTGTAGTAGTGTAGTTGTAGTAGTGTAGTTGTAGTAGTGTAGTAGTGTAGTTGTAGTAGTGTAGTAGTGTAGTTGTAGTAGTGTAGTAGTGTAGTTGTAGTAGTGTAGTAGTGTAGTTATAGTAGTGTAGTAGTTATAGTAGTGTAGTAGTGTAGTAGTGTACTTCTTAGTTCTGTACTCGTGTACGGTAGTTCTGTACTGTAACTACTTACTCTCTTCTCCACATTGCTCCATCTGTTGGTACCTGTTACCTGTACCTGCTACCTGCCCTCCTAACTTACCTGCTACCTGCCCTCTAACTACTCTACTGCCACCTCCCCTATTGTCAATCCCGATACGAGTACTTGATACTTACAACTTCGACGCCCTTCTCCTCTTTCCATCGAATTGCCGAGATATCTCGCCCTGAAAGTCGTCGACTTAATCCCGCATAACACTTTCCCCATTCGTGCTTCCCGTCAGGCCCGAATCTTCTCGTCTTCCCTCTTCCCCTTTCCCTCTTCCCTCTTCCCTCTTCCCACTTCCCACCCCGTCCCTCTTCCCACTTCCCACCCCGTCCCTCTTCCCTCTTCCCTCTTCCCTCTTCCCACTTCCCACTTCCCTCTTCTCTCTTCCCTCCTCCCTCTTCCGCCCTCCGCCCTCCGCCCTCCGCCCTCCGCCCTCCGCCCTCCGTCCTCCGTCTTCCCTCTTCCGTCTTCCCTCTTCCACACACTCGCGCTACACACATCCTTGTGCGCACCCCATCGCCCCCATCGCCCCCAGGAACATTCCTAGCTTCTGTCGTCCTGCAGCCTACTCAGCTACTCAAGAGGGTCTTGCAGCTTGGTGCCAGTGCCAGCGACACTCCCAGCCAGACGTTGGACGTTCTGCTTCATAGAACACTAGAACGCCCTACTCTCGTCATATCATCATGGGTACGTTGCCATTCTCCTCAACCACCTTTCACTTCCAACCTCTCCCCCACCGCAACTCCACACACAACCTTCCCTCCCACCTGCCTTGTTCACTGCACAATCGACATTCGTCGCTCTATTGTTCCCCGAACAATCTGTCTTCTTTGTCTCTCTCCCTCCCTCCCTCTTCCTCCCTCCCTCTTCCTCCCTCTCCCTCTTCTTCTTCCTCTTCCTCTTCTCCACCCTCACAAAGTACCTTTGTGTTCCGAAGCTTTGCTAACTCATCTTTCTTCTATACAGCGGACGAAGTTGATACCTACCGCCCAGTAAGTTCAAACGTTTAATCCATCTTCAATTCAACCCCGATATCAGGACAGACCTCGATGTCGCCACCGAGCTAAGTCATCAGCCCTACACTCGTGTCATCCATTCGTGACCGGGTTGCGACGGCCCTAAACCCCGCCAGCAACCCATACGTTTGTAATCCACGCAGCACAAGGCTCTGACACCACCCAACATCATCCTCAACTCACCTGCCTCTCAACTTCCTTCTCCCCAACACCACTTCTCAGTTCCCTTTCTAGCTTGATGGTCCGGCCAGATACTTACCGATCGCAGCGTGAGAGATCCCGTTCGCCTCGTCGTGGTCGATCCAGAAGCCCCGGTCGTTCAGCTCGCCGTCGCTCGTACTCTCCCCGCAGCCGGTCTAGAAGCCGCGACGACTATCGTAGGAACGATCGCAGATCTCGTACACCTATGAACGGAGGAGGCGTCGGCGCAGGTGGTGGCTCGGGAGCTGGCTCTGCTTACGGAGGAGCCCCGCAGAGATCGTTCGAGGAACGCGCCGCTGCCAAAGAACAAATGCTGTCGACCGTTCGCGAATCGTCCCAGCAAGACCGTCGTGTATACGTCGGCAACCTAGCATACGATGTGAAGTGGCATCACCTCAAAGATTTTATGAGACAGGGTTAGTGAAAGGGCGGCAGTTGAAGAAACGATGGGTAGAGGGCTAATAGGGTTTGGTCTGCAGCTGGAGAAGTTCTCTTTGCCGATGTCTTGCTCCTTCCAAATGGAATGTCGAAGGTGGGCGCCTACACGTAGCTGTGGCTGGTTTTCTGGTCTTTCTTTTGTCTTGGCTATTGAAGGAATGTTGGATTGACGGGTTGGACTTTTGTCCGTGGGTTATGTAGGGATGCGGGTAAGCTCCTCAGTCCTCGTCCAACTGATGACGAGAACGTGCTAACATCACCTCAGAATTGTGGAATATGCTACAAGGGAGCAAGCTCAGCAAGCTGTCAACACACTCAGCAACCAGAACCTCATGGGCAGACTCGTCTACGTTCGTGAAGTAGGAACAAACCCCCAGCCGTTGTGTGTGATGGAGGCTGATGTCATGGCAGGATCGCGAGGCCGAACCTCGATTTACAGCCCCTCCAACTGGAGGTCGCGGCGGATTCGACGGAGGACCAAGGGGTGGATTCGGGGGTAACTTTGGACCGCCACCGACGGGTGCTGGCGGGGCTGGCGGAGCTGGCGGAGCTGGCGGAGCTGGCGGTCGCCAGATCTATGTTAACAACGTTTGTCCCCTAACGATCCTTCTTTGGTTTTGTTCACTCGTGTTGGAAACCTTTATTGACTTGGCTGCGATAGCTCCCTTACACTGTAGGTTGGCAAGATCTGAAGGACCTGTTCCGTCAAGCGGGTATGTTCTCGCTCTTGGCCGTGGCTTTCAAATAGCCATGTTCTTGTCAACAAAACTAACAATCGGGAAACAGCTCGCGAAGGTGCTGTCATTCGCGCCGATGTCCACATTGGTCCGGACGGCCGTCCGAAGGGCTCGGGTATCGTTGCCTTTGAGTCTCCAAACGATGCGCGCAACGCGATCCAGCAGTTCAACGGTTACGATTGGCAGGGCCGCCCACTGGAGGTCCGCGAGGATCGTTTCGCCGGCAACTTCGCCCCTCGTGGCGGCTTCGGCGGCTCTAGAGGAGGCCTCGGTGGCCGCGGTGGTGCTCCATTTGCTGGTCGTGGCGGCTTCGGCGCTGGGTTCCCAGGCCGTGGAGGCTTCGGCGGCAGCTTTGGAGGCGCTCCAGGTGGCGGTGCCTACGATGCTGGCCCAGCCTCGACTGCTCCTCCTAACCCATTCACCGATTTCGCCACGGCTGGAACTGACAGAAATGAGATCATTTATGTCCGCAACGTACGTAACCATCCTACCATCTCCTTTGATTCACCACTGACTAAATCTAGTTGCCTTGGTCAACCAGCAATGAGGATCTCGTCGAGCTCTTCACCACAATCGGCAAGGTTGAGCAGGCCGAGATTCAGTATGAGCCCAATGGACGTTCGCGCGGCACTGGTGTTGTTCGTTTCGACACCGTCGAAAACGCCGACACTGCCATTTCCAAGTTCTCTGGATACCAATACGGCGGTCGCCCTCTTGGCCTGAGCTTCGTCAAGTACCAGACCCCCGGAAGCGCTGACGCCATGGCCATGGACACCGACGCCACCGGCCTGACGCAAGACCAGATCATGTAAGGGAGATGGGGAAAATCTTCGCTATCTTTCTTGCCCTTCTGGCATGTATACAAGATTGAAGCGACCACGTTGGCCCAACGCCAGACAGATTTTTCGCTAATTTGACATTTTTTTTTTTTTTTCGTCGTTCTTGTTCTTTCGATGGGGAATGCTGCCCTTTTTTAAAAAAAAAAAAAAAAAAAACAACCTGAGGGATGGGGAATCAAGGGAAGGAAACTCTTGGGAGCGCAAGGCTTGGGGGGGAGTGTGAGGTTGTAATCGCTGGATTTCTCGTTTAAAAAAAGTTTTGGTGTGCTTTAACTGGAAGTTTTGCAATCCGCACGGCCTGGTTCTTATTAATTCTAGACTGCGAGGAATCGAATGAAAGTTGAGTCCCAAAATGTTCGCGTGCACTTATTGTGTGTGGGATGGAATGCTATCTCGGTGCAGACTCTGTCCATGGTGCTGCTGTGTGTGAAGGTATTTATCCAGCTGCTCGCTGGTCGCCGCTTTCGAAGCAAGCCGTATGCCGATTTTATTGGATAACATTCATAGGCACATATTGCCCATACCGGTGAATCACTATGACTACGTCTATAAATCCCCAGCAATCCCCCCCTTGGTTTCTTACACTTCCCGTAACCATCACCAGGACCATTCAAAGCCAAATCCAGAATATGATCCAGAATATGATACAAACCCGCAGCCTCCCATACAGACACGCAAACGATACCACAACATATTTCCGAACAGCACACCTACCCCCCCAAGCTACCTCACCACGACACACCACGACACACCACCATGTGCGAAATAAAACGCTACCGCTTCCCGGAGTGCTGCAACCGCGAGAAGTGGATCATCACCAAGAACCCGGCGTTCTGTGAGGACATGGCTCCGGGGGCGACGTGTAGACCACAGTGTTGCCTTTTTATTGGGGGGGTTGTTGAGGTGGAGGTGGTTTGTGGGGAGTGTGAGAGGGGGGAAGGGGTGGGAGGCAGGGAGGTGGTGGGAGATGGAGGTAGTGAGATGGATGGGGTTGGAGAAACGCAGCTTGATAGAGGGGAGGACGGGAGGGTGGGGAGGACGGGAGGGTGGGGAGGACGGGAGGGTGGAGAGGAGAAGGAGCGAGTGATTTGCTGCAGGCAAGTATAGAAGGGCGAAGAGGAGGGGGGCGTGAAGCTGCCAAAAAAAAAAAAGGTGACTTCTGGTTTTATACCCGTGGCATGCTAACAATGGTTGCTCTGGGTATTAGAAACACGGCCCAACGTTGAAAGCCAAGAATAATGGAGCACATGAATTCCGATGTTTCTCTTTCGTGGATGGCAGGGCTAACTCGATAGCAGCGGAAAGTTCTGCGTTTCCTGAGAAAAAACCTCAGAGGATGGCGGAGGCAATATTATCAGCGACGTTGTATCAATATTAGCAATAGAGTTTTGCTGTCATAAGACGGTATACTCGCATAGGAGAATAATTCATGTCCATTGGATTCATAAACCTCGTCTCCAGTGATGCATCTTAAAAACAATGACCCAGACGTACGTCCGGCCATCTATTCCATATATTCATATACCTCCAACGCCAACCCTCTATGCTCTAGGCTCACTTCTTCTCCTCGCCCGCCGGGAGAACCACCTTCTTCTTCGCCTTTTGCCTTGCCTTCGCCTTACTCCTATCTCGCTTCTTCAATCCCGACATCCCGGCCTTGCATACCTCTGCGTATCTGCTGAAAAATCCCTCTAGGGCATCGGCGGTAACGACGGTCGAGAGGCGCACTTTGGATTTGTGCTTGCCGTCTGTGGCTCTTATGAGGAGGGTAAGGGGTTGTGTGGGCGCAAGGTCGGGGAAGGATGCCGCGTCGGCTTGCGCGGGGAAGGTGTCGGAGGGGGCTGAGGATGTCACTTTGAGGTATTAGCTATTTGAGCCTCTTGGGGTGTATATGGCTACGGGGAAGGTAAGGTGGGAAACTCACATCGCTTCTGGGTTAAGAAGACAGATCCTTGGGTTTCGGACCTCTTCTTGTCGAAAAGCTCCGCGAGCTTGGTAAAAAACTAAGGCCGCAAGTTAGACAGGATGCAGTACACATATTTATTTCCCCAACTTACCTCATCGTTGGTGAGAGGCGCGGTCATGGCGACTTAACATGCGACCATGTTGGTGGTGGGGTTAAAATCATATGGCTGTCGTCGTCGTGGTTGTGGGGCACGGACGGCGGACGGATCTTATCTGCCAGAATTTCCCCACTCTCGTTACCGCCCGTGTCTAGCCTTGTCAATTTTGTCCGCCTTGTCAAAAAAATTCCTAGAGAGGGATCACCACGGAGTAAAGATGCCACCAAGAGACCAATTAAAGCTGCCGGCGAAGATTATTGAGGAGTTGGGTGGGAAGGGTATGTAGATATTAATACCTACTAAAAAAAATTTGAGTGAGCGGCGCTTATGGCGATCTAGATGTGCTTGGATACCGCAAACAGCAACGGCCTCTCGACCGCAAGGACAGGCGGAAGGCGGAGAGAGTCCAGAAGAAGGTGTCGAGGTCCGGGCAACCGCCTTTCAAGAAGCCGAAAGTGAACGACCCACGAGGCCGCGAGCCAGTTCGTTCGTCCACGAGCACCGAGGCGTCGAACTCGACCAAAGAAAGCCGCGGACCGAAAGAGCCCCAGGCTGCGCCGGAACCAAAGCTTAAGTCCATATTGAAGACAACTTCGCAAGCAATTAATAAACCGAGTAAACGGATACCGGCGTCAGAACGTCTCAGGTCCCCAACCCCGCCACCGAAGGGGCCATCTCGCGCCGTGCTGGACAAACTTGCAGAAGACGACGAGGAAATTGCGCTGTTGGAAAAGAAGCTCGGCATTAAAGGCAAGAAGGCTCTGCCGCAAGCATTTCGAGATGATGGACTGGATGAGCTGCTGGGTGGGATAGATGAGCTGGTTGGCGCTGAGGATGAGGAATTGGCGGAGAAGAGAAAGAGGAAGTCGGAGGGAGATGAGTGGTTGGATATGAAGAGGAAGAAAGCACGGAAGACGAAAGCGCAGGATGTCTCCGAGGTTTTGGACGAGGACGTGGGCGATGACAGCGATGCTGAGAGTGTGGACTCGGACCAGTCTGACGAATTCGGATTACAGAGCGACGAAGGAAGCGACCTTGGCATGGATGACGACGATATGGACAGTGATATGGGCGGCAATGCCGACGAAGATTCAGAGTTTTCCGAATTCGACGAACCAGAAGAGCCAAAGAGGGTGCGTGAGAACCCATATCTCCCTCCCACTGCGCCAGGAACAGTCGCATCGGCCAAATATATACCCCCTTCGTTACGAAAACAATCCGCATCAGACTCTAAGGATCTTGCGCGGCTACGAAGGCAGATACAAGGTCTGGTCAATAAATTGACTGAGGCAAACCTCATATCGATACTGGGGGAGATAGAGACTATATACCGCAATAGTGCACGGCAGCACGTCAGCTCAACACTCGTCGATATACTACTAGTATCAGTTTGCGAACCAGCGGCGTTGTCCAACACTCATATTATCCTGCTTGCTGGGTTCATATCCGCGGTGTATAAGGTCATTGGAGCTGATTTCGGAACACAAGTCATACAACAAATCGTGGAGCGCTTTGACAAATTCTATTCGAATATCGCGGGAGTTGGGGATACCAAGGAAACTTCAAACTTAATAACCCTTGTTTCGGAACTCTATAATTTCCAGGTCATTGGAAGCACCCTCGTGTTTGATTACATTCGCATGTTTCTTGGTACTTTTTCAGAGATGAATACAGAGCTACTCCTCAAGATGATCCGAACTTCTGGACCACAGTTACGCCAGAATGACCCATCATCGCTCAAGGATATTGTCATCATGCTCCGGCCTGCCGTTGAGAAGGCTGGTGGCGAAGCGAACATGTCCGTCAGGACAAAGTTCATGATCGAAACCATCAACGACCTGAAGAATAATAAGGTGAAGACGGGTGCAGCGGCCTCAGCGGTTATTTCTGAGCACACCATTAGGATGAAGAAGACCTTGGGCACACTGAATTCAAGAAGTTTGAAGAGCAGTGAGCCTTTACGTATTGGCTTGGACGATATCCGACAATCGGACAGTAGAGGAAAATGGTGGCTGGTCGGTGCTAGCTGGACTGGAAACGAGGCTGCAAACCGTGATGGAGTGCCATCTCAGCCAACTAGCCAAGCAAAAGAAGTCGATGTTGCAGATGATATCGCAATGGACACCCGAACAACTGACCTTGCTCAGCTTGCAAGGGAGCAGCGTATGAACACAGACGTCCGGAGGGCCATCTTCATTGCCATAATGTCTGCGTCCGACTTTCAAGATGCATACATGAGGCTGAATAAGCTGAAGCTTAAGAAATCACAAGAACTTGAGATTCCAAAAGTTCTTATCCACTGTTCTGGTGCAGAAGCAAGTTACAATCCATTTTACACTCTCATCGCCAAGAAGCTCTGTGGCGACCGAAAACTCAAGATGGCTTTCCAGTTCAGTCTGTGGGACTTGTTTAAGAAGATGGGAGAAGGAGACAATGAAGATGATGTCCCCGATGAGGATGATGAGGACGCTTTGTCAACCCGGCACATTGTCAACCTGGCAAAAATGTTTGGCGCTTTAATTGTTGACGGCGGGCTCACGATCTCGATCTTAAAGAACTTGAACTTGACCTATCTACAACCTAAAACACAGGCCTTCGTGGAGGTTCTGTTCATCTCGATGTTTTTGCACCCGCAAAAGCAGCCAGCCAAGGGGGATGACAAGACCGCCATTGCCACCCTCATTGGACGAGTACAGGATATCCCCTCGATGATGACTGGCTTGCAGTACTTTATTCATAAAGTGGTCAAGAAGACCGATATCGCTGGGGGGGAGGATGAGAAGCTACGGGTAAATCAGGCTTGCAAGGTTGCAATAGACACTCTTCGGGCTCTGGCAGCAAGAGATGCTGTCTGAGGTGGTGGCAGCGCCAAGTTCTGGCGGAGTTCCAGACGCGCCTATCAGCCATGCGGAGTATGAGTGCATATTGTAGGGCGTGTAAGGCGAAGAATGTATGCAAACGCCAGTCCGTCTCCGTTACTCATGAGTCAATATATCAAATAGCTAAAATAGTGATATGACTTCTAAAAACGACCACCATATATAATGGGTGCTTAGGCCTGGCGACCGCCGTGAAATGACTACTAATTTAGGTGGACCACCGCGCATTGAAGTCCGTCGGGTACCATCGGGTGGGATGACTACAAAAACTCAACAGAAAACAAAACCTGTTAGAGACTCCATAGATTTGTAGGAATCATCAAGGTCGTATTTTTATATTCATATAGCGATATTGGGCTTCTGCTGCTCTAGTTGACCGAGTCCGTTAAAACCGTCATATATAAATCTCCAATAAATGATAAAAGTTGGGAGTTCACTAGGATCAGATATCGCCGGCTCCTTTTGTTCCGGCTTCCGGTCTGGTGCTTTCCATGATTACCGACCCCAAAACAAAATTGACGAAACGAAGTAGAGCATTCAAATTCCCCAACATACCAGTGATTGAATCCGTTGATCGCGATTTCATATTTACACAATGTTTCGCAGTATCCTCGCCCCGAAGGCGACCATGAGGTCTGCTTTCCAGCAATCATCGTGCGTCTCCTGCTACCCCAGACAAATTAGAGACTCGGACTGACAGCTCCTTTAGCCTCCCAACAGTTGTTCGCCCATCGTCCATTGCGGGATTATCAAGGAGGACATACGCGACACAAAATGGTTAGTAGCCATACTTGAGATGCTGTTGGGAATACCCTCACTGACACAATGCAGAGGAACAGGATGTGGTCATTATTGGTGGCGGAGTCGCCGGGTACGTCGCGGCCATCAAGGCAGGCCAAGAGGGCCTGAAGGTATGCAATCCTCCGCCCAGTTCTACTGACAAAGGCATGTTTAATTATCAATTAGGTGACATGTATCGAGAAGCGTGGCGTACTGGGCGGAACCTGCCTCAACGTCGGCTGTATCCCTTCGAAAGCTCTCCTCAACAACTCGCATTTATACCACCAGATCCTTCACGACTCGAAACACAGAGGCATTGAGGTCGGCGATGTCAAACTTAACCTGGATCAGCTGATGAAGTCAAAAGATACCGCTGTCTCTGGCCTCACAAAGGGTGTTGAGTTCCTTTTCAAGAAGAACGGCGTCAACTACGTCAAGGGCACTGCGACGCTCACTGGCGAGCATGAGGTCAAGGTCAACCTCAACGAGGGTGGAGAGGCGACCTACACCGGAAAGAACATCCTCCTCGCTAGCGGAAGTGAGGCCACTCCTTTCCCAGGACTCGAGATCGACGAGAAGAGAATCATCACAAGCACTGGCGCCATCGCGCTCGAGAAGGTCCCAGAGAGCATGATTGTCATTGGTGGTGGTATTATTGGCCTGGAGATGGGATCAGTATGGTCGAGATTGGGCGCAAAGGTTACAGTGGTGGAATTCCTTGGACAGATCGGTGGACCAGGAATGGACGCTGAGATCGCCAAGCAAGCGCAAAAGGTGCTGAAGAAGCAGGGTATTGACTTCAAGCTCAACACCAAGGTCACTGGTGGCGATTCCTCTGGAGAGAACATCAAGATCAACGTTGAGGCTGCTAAGGGAGGAAAGGCAGAGGAGGTTTGTTCCCCGTTTCTTGAGAAACCTTGAATGTATGCTGACTGAGAACATAGCTTTCTGCCGAAGTTGTTCTCGTTGCCATCGGCCGCAGGCCGTACACTGAGGGTCTTGGCCTCGAGAACATCGGCGTCGAGGTTGATGATAAGGGACGCATTGTCATCGATTCTGAGTTCCGCACAAAATTCCCGCATATTCGCGCGATCGGTGATGCCACATTTGGCCCCATGCTTGCCCACAAGGCCGAAGAGGAGGCTGTGGCAGCCGTCGAGTGGATCAAGAAGGGTTACGGACACGTGAACTACGGCGCAATCCCGTCCGTCATGTACACACACCCCGAGGTTGCGTGGGTGGGTCAGAACGAGCAGGAGCTCAAGGCTGCTGGCATCAACTACAAGATCGGCACGTTCCCGTTCTCCGCCAACTCGAGAGCGAAGACCAATATGGACACCGAGGGCATGGTTAAGATGCTCGCTGATGCAGAGACCGACCGCATCCTTGGCATTCACATCATCGGTGCCAATGCAGGTGAAATGATTGCTGAGGGCACATTGGCGCTTGAGTACGGTGCGTCGAGTGAGGATATCTCCCGAACATGTCACGCGCATCCCACGCTCGCTGAGGCGTTCAAGGAGGCGGCAATGGCAACTCATGGCAAGGCTATCCACTTCTAAGAAGCCGGATCCATGAGTGCCGTGTTGCATATTCGAGGAGGGTGGGGCAAGAGGAATGATTGGTAGAGGCTAGATGCACCGGGGGTGCGCCAGTGATAACTGTGTAATATAGGCCGGACCTTGGGTAGGGGTTGCATCTTATGGTGGCCCACGAGAACAAAAACCCAAATACCTAGATAATTAAATTCGATTTGGTTCTAGTTCAATGGTATTGCGCACTTGATGATATTATCCCTACATCCAACTCACTACCAGTCTAGTAGGAAATATTAACCCCCACACTAATGTGAAAACCTGGGCATCTCAGCCCGCTGCTTCTGGGTCAAAGGAGCTTGTCTCTATTCCTAGCTTATATGTATACCGGCGCATTATAAGAGACATAAAAACGCCCAAAGATAAAATGCGTGCAGATGATAAACTGGAAAGCACCGTAACAATCCACTAAAACTCAGCGCCACCGATATGGTGGTGGAGAACCCAACGGCCGCCCATCCCGTCGTATATAAGTATATTGTTCAGGGTAAGATCGTGCTGCTAGTGATACTCGATTACGGCAATCCAAGGGGCAGTTTCTTCTTCCGCACGAGCGGCAGATATCGCTTCTATATTGTAGATCAGTTTCAAGGCCAGATCAAAATTAAAAAGGAACTGCCTACCCCCCGCTATAGTAGCCTCGGCCACCCATAACATCCCGGATTTCCCGGTCGTCGTCGAGACCTGCGAGATCGCACGCTGGGCAATCGCAGTGGTCACCGCCGCGAATATTGAGGACTTGGTTTGCTGCATGCGTTGTGAGGACGCATGTCCGGCACAGATGGTTGCCTAGAGGTGAGATGGCAGCGCCGCAGGCACAGTTGACGTAGGCACGGCTTCTGGGAAGAACTGGCTCTAAGCCATAACGACTGCCCATGTAGGGTTCGAGAGAGCGGGATGAAGGGTAACGAGGCTCGAGAAGCGGCCGTGAGAGTGGGTAGGGATAACGAGGGTTGATTACGTTCATTGTGTTGTTTTGGATGATCTTGTCGCGACGGAGAAGACGGCACATGAGATCGAATTACGGACAGTGGAAGAGGACGGCGGATTGGGATGGGCTATGACTGAACCGGCGACTGACTGAAGGGGTTTATATACATATGCACAGCCTCCGAGGCCCATTTGGGAGGGCTTATCGTCGTAATGCTCGCTGAGTTGTCTAAAATAGGCGGAAGGGTTGCACCGTGTGGCACTGTTGGACTTGGGCGTAAAGAAATATAAGGTCGCCCGCAGGAATCGCCGTGAACATGTCCCCTGAAAATCTGATAGGACCGCTTGGCCCATGGTTGCAAATAGCCTTCGTCCACGGGAGGTTGCAGAATCTCGGCCGAGAAGATGCTGGGTGGGCGTAAGCGGCACAGGGGGGCTGTTTTCTGCGTACCAAAGGCAGATGAGGGTGTGTTTGATTGCCCGAACGGAGGAAACCCCTCGAGGCGGACAGACGGCTCAGACGGCTCAGACGGCTCAGCGAGCAATTCCACTAGTATGGCTGCTCAGACGAAGAAAAGCCGAAAAGGTTACAGCATCTGGGAAGCAAACTTTGGAGTTGGAGCTACACAACACCATGCGAGCCATGCAGTCACGCCCCGCGACGGCGAAGGGGTGCATGAGACAAAATAAAAGCAGGGCGAACAGGACTGCACTGCGTATACGAAATGAAAGAGGCCCATAGGCTTGGAGGCCTGTGAAGTGGTATTTGAAAGAGGACAGAAACGCTCACCGAGAACCTCGTCCGGTCCAGTCTCACAGCCATGCCAGCGTCTGGAAGGGCAGTGGACCGGAGATACCGTGGGATAGGGATCTGATACCCAAATATGCGAGGTAGGGCGCACACCGCACACCGCACCCCATCTGAGGCAAATAAGTCAAGGCGTCAGCGTTGATTGTCGGCGGGTCATTGTCGTCGGTGACGGCGACTTTGGTGCATCATCCACTATCCATCGTATAGCACGAAAGAACACTGGACTCTCTGCCTTTCTGGATGCTGGCGAGGGCGTCAAAAACAGCGAGACGCTAGATGGGTTGTGCCACCCGCCACTACAGCACTGCAGTATGGAGGGGCTTCTCTGAATAGTGGCATGTTTTGGCCTCTTGCCGTCGATATTCTGTAGGTACTGTATTATACTGTGCCCTGTGGGACGTGCCTGTTAGCCTGGTAGCTGTGTCCCTGAAAAGTAGCTCCAGCTAGCTACAATTACGCGTTACCCGACCGACGACAACCCTATCTACCTATCAGCATCCTCTGAGTGAGAATGTGTACCCTGTACTCCGTATGCATTCGTATGTCGACTCAGCCACCATTTTCTCAAGACAGAACGCCTTTGGGGGCTCCTGAGGCGTGTTTCCTTCTCATTCCTGTGCAACTGGCACAATGCCCGCCAATGGGACAATGCCCGCCAATGGGACAATGCCCGCCAATGGGAATCCCAATCCCAAATCCAATGCCCGGAAGGAGACACTATACTCAAGAAGAGAAATCGAGGGTTTCATTGCAGACGGGAGGAAGATCATTATACTCGACCAAAAGGTTATCAAGGTCGATGCCTGGATAGACTACCACCCAGGCGGCCATCTGGCCATCCTCCACATGGTTGGACGAGATGCCACGGATGAGGTTAACTCGTAAGCCTCGACCCCCCATTGAAGCCGGAGAGTGATTGATTGCCTATGCTAATGTACTCGTTCTGTAGCGTCCACTCGGCGGAAACCCGGGCTTCGATGTCCCGGTACCAGATTGGTAGAATTGAAGGCCGATGGGAGAACTTCCTGCCACCATACCAAGGAGGGAAATTTCGACCCTATATCGAATCCGCAAGTGATAGGCCAGATGCCGATGACCAGGTTGAATCGAGCGATATCTCGCGTGCGCCCTCGCCACTATTTGATACCGAGAAGACGGCAACTCTTCGCCGAAGGAATGCAGATATGCAGCGGTCCCTCTCGGTCTCTTCGACATCGTCGGTTGAAGAGAGCGAGAGCAGCAGTGGCATGGCGTACCTGGATGATATAACAAAGAAACTTTTGGACATTGACAATGCGAGCTATCCATCTCTGGATGGTGCCACGCAAGACGAGATTGTTCGCAAGTACCGGATTCTGGGACAGCGCATTCACGATGAGGGCCTATTTAACTGCAACTATGCGATGTACCTCATCGAAGCCCTACGATGGACCTTTTTGTTCAGTATGATGCTTGTGTGCTTAAAGTATGGCTGGTACGTTTCCAGCGCAGTGTTTTTGGGGGCTTTCTGGCACCAGCTTCTCTTCGCTGCGCACGACTCCGGCCACATGGCTGTGACACACAACTTCAAGTTCGATACCACCATGGGCATCATCATAGTTGATTTTCTGGGCGGTCTCTCGCTCGGTTGGTGGAAACGGACGCACAATGTTCACCACATTGTGACGAATCACCCAGAACACGACCCGGACAATCAGCACATGCCGATATTTGCGATCTCACACAGATTTCTGGAGTCCTTGTGGTCCACCTACCATCAAACTACCATGGCTTTTGATACTTTCGCGAAGTTCATGGTGCCATACCAAGCATACCTATACTATCCGATCCTCTGCCTTGGCCGCTTTAACCTGTATGTTCAGTCGTGGAAGTTCCTTATACTAGGGCAAGGCCCAGTGAAGGGGCCTGCATGGTGGACAAGATGGCTGGAGTGTGTCGGGCAAGTATTCTTCTGGTACTGGTTTGGCTATCTTATCCTATACAAGTCGATCCCCACTGGTTGGGATCGCTTCGTGTTCCTGATGGTCAGCCACATTGTAACGATGCCGCTTCATGTCCAAATTACCCTTTCACACTTTGCCATGAGCACCATGGACCACGGACCACGGGAATCCTTCCCCCAAAAGATGCTGCGCACGACGATGGATGTTGACTGCCCGCAATGGCTCGATTTCTTCCATGGAGGGCTGCAGTTCCAGGCAATCCATCATCTCTATCCACGCATACCTCGACACAACCTTCGGGCAACTCAGAAGTTAGTCCAGGAATTTTGCAACGATGCTGGGATTCCGTATGCACTGCTGGGCTTTGTGGACGGGAATAAAACTGTCATCAGCAAACTGGATGAGGTCGGCAGGCAAGCCGCCATTCTGACAAAATGCCAGAGGACGATTGCTGAAAGGGGAGACGTCCTTCACTCTCATTAGGGGCTCCATGGATGGGCTTTCTTGACCGGCAATCATTTGATTTTGAACTGTTAATTTAGATACGAAAGCATATACAGGTTTGAGGTGAATAGTACTCTATTTAGCTAGCCATAGACGTCCATGAGGCTAGGTCTTCTGGCGGAATGGATGCGGACAGTGGCACGAATTAACGATGATTTCTATGAGCTATGAGTGCACAATAACTACAGTATTTGATTATGCGTAATTATTGCATTTATATTTATTTCGTGACGGTGGACTATGGGCAGTGGACGATCTTGGGAAACAGTAGAGTACGGGAACCTGGTTGGCTGCTACCATTGGCTCCTGGGTGAAGCGAAGCCGTCCAACCACGCTGAAGTTGGCAGGCAGAGGCCCAGCACCATGACATAAGACTCCAATAGTAGTAATATCACGAGGTGTGTTCGCCGCAAAGAGTATCAACAACCTAGGAAACAAGCACCTTCCAGTCTCTACTGTAACGTGTGTCTCTGTACGGGACTACATGAGGCCGTAAGTCTGCCACTCTGCGACGCCATATAAGTGGCCTATTCAAAGATATCGCCAACCACACGGGGCATCGGTCTTGACGGCAGTAGGCACGTCCAAGTCAGGCCTTTGATATACCTTGGCAGTGTATATCCACAGCAGCCCCTCCACTATGTGCTTGCTGTAACATCATATTTGTCACTATGGATATCAGTATCCAAAGAGCACTAAATGACAAGCTCTATGACAAGAGAAAGGTCGGCGCTCTCGAGTAAGTAACTGCCCCCTGGTGCCTGATACTGGTGTTGACCCCTCAAAACAGGCTCGAGCGGGTGATTAGGGAACTTGCCGCTGGCAAAGAGTACGATAAGATCAAGAAGATCATTCAGCAACTCTGCAATGAATTTGCATATGCCGTTCATCAGCCACACGCCAGGAATGGTGGGCTCATTGGCCTCGCCGCTGCAGCTATTGCTTTGGGATCCGTAAGCTGATGAAATGCTTGAAGAGTTCTGTAACTGACGATGTGTCACAGGATCTAGCGAGGTATCTGGATGAGATTGTGCCGCCTGTGCTGGCGTGCTTCACTGACCAAGATGCTCGGGTTCGATATTATGCGTGCGAGAGCATGTATAATATTGCAAAGGTAGCCAAAGGCGAGGTGTTGCCTTACTTCAACGACATCTTCGATGCCCTCTGCAAGGTGAAATTTCCCTTTCATTGAGATTCACTACAGGATTAATATGTGACGACAGTTGGGCGCGGACTCAGAGTTATCCGTCAAAAACGGAGCGGAACTACTGGATCGGCTGATTAAAGACATCGTCTCTGAATCAGCTGCTACGTATGTGTCAATCCTGCATACCACAGAAGAAGATGGAGAGTATTCGGACCAGGATGCCACAGAACCGTCTATCCAGGTTCCCATGGCTTTCTCCCTGGCCCGCTTTATTCCGCTCCTGAAGGAGAGGATCTTTGTGTTGAACCCATTCACCCGCACATTCTTGGTGGGATGGATCACCCTGCTGGACTCGATTCCTGATTTGGAGCTGGTCACCTATTTACCTGAATTCCTTGGTGGATTGTTCCGGTTTTTAAGTGACCCTAACCGAGACGTCCACGTTGCAACATCTGGAGCCCTGGAAAGGTTTTTGTCGGAAATAAAGCGAATATCACGTATAAAGAAGGGCATCCAAGACAGCAGAAAATCAAAGAGCCGTAGCGATGGCGGGAAAAGGAAGCGCTCGGACTCCACAGACAGTGAAAGTGGATTAGATGAGTTTGAAAATGATGAAGGGGAAGGATCTCTCGAAGCCAACGAAGAGAAGGCTGCCAGCAGTGATGATGACTGGATACCTGGTCAGGAAGTGCCGATTAATTTTAATGAAATCTTGGAGATTTTAACTCAGAATCTCGACTCCCAGTTCGGTAAGCTAAGAGTAAAAAAATTTGCTGGCTGGTATACTAACATCAGAATAGAAGAGGATAGTCTTCTTGAAACACTACGGTGGATCGTTGAATTCCTTGACATTTGTCCGGAAGAGGTGTTGCCTTTTGCGCCGAAAATCCTGGCCCATTTGCTACCCGCAATGGCAAGCAGCGTTGAGAGTATTAGACAAGCAGCTGCAAGGGTTAATACGTCCCTCATGGAGTACGTAGTATCACTATCAGATGAGGTTTCCTCTGAGAGTGTATCTACCGCCCCGTCGACCTCGAGAAACTCGACGTCTACGGCAAGAGAGACTATGGACAACGATAGGAGCCAGTCCAATTCCATGCATAGGGGGTCGTTGACAGGGTCTAAGGAACTCGAAGCCAAGAGGTTCCCCGATGCTACCTCGCAGCCTCCCATACGAAGGTCTACAATGTCACCAACGCCTAACAAGCAGACCACCGTGGATCTTGATTATGCTGCGGCGGTAAACTCACTCACATTACTATTCTTGAACGACCACGAAGCTACGAGAGTAGCGGCTCTCACCTGGCTGCTTATGCTCCACAGGAAGGCACCTCGCAAGGTTCTCGCTTTCAACGACGGAACGTTTCCAGCCTTACTCAAGACACTTTCAGATCCTGCCGAGGCCGTAGTTACAAGAGACCTGCAGTTATTGTCACAGATCTCGAGAAACAGCGAAGATGATTATTTCACGTCATTTATGGTGAATTTACTTCAGCTCTTTTCCACTGACAGGAATCTGCTTGAGACTCGAGGCAATCTTATCATCAGGCAGCTGTGCAAAAATCTTAGCGCCGAACGGATATATCGCACTTTGGCCGATTGTATAGAGAAAGAAGAGGATATCGAGTTCGCAAGCATCATGGTTCAGAACCTAAACAACAATCTCATCACTGCCCCTGAATTGGCAGACTTGCGGAAGCGCCTTCGAAACTTGGAAACAAGAGTAATTATCCCTATCGTTCGTACCTTCAAGCACATGACAGCTAATACTGGTGCAGGATGGTCAGACGTTCTTCGTGGCAATTTTTAGATCCTGGTGTTACAATGCTGTTGCTACATTTTCCCTGTGCCTCTTAGCGCAAGCATACGAGCAGGCCTATAACCTTCTTCAGATATTGTATGTGGTTTTTCAATGGGCCGTTCCTTACACCATGCTAACACATTCAGTGCCGAGTTAGATATGACCGTTAATATGCTTATTCAGATCGACAAGCTCGTACAGTTGCTGGAGTCGCCTGTATTCACTTGTAAATATATCCGTGGTGTCAAAAGATATGCGCTAATCCTTAGACCTTCGCCTTCAACTGTTAGAGCCGGAAAAGTATCCGCATCTATACAAATGTTTGTATGGACTTCTGATGCTCCTCCCGCAATCGGCCGCGTTTGCGGCATTGAAAAACAGACTGAATAGCGTCAGTGCTATTGGGTACTTGCATATCGCACCCCGAGCGTAAGTGACATTTTCCACACTTCCACCTCCAAACTAAGCGCTGCTGCGCCCACCGTGTTGTTCCCCCCCTTCTTCCAAACCAGTATAAGATTCTCATACCACCAGGAATAGTACGCCGACCACGACGGCCCAGTCAACATATGATAGACCCAATCGCCTAAAAGGACGTGACGAGGGAATCAGGTGGGGAGAATTGCTGGACAAGTTCCGAAGCGTACAAGAGAAGTCACAGAGAGCACAGAGGAGTGGCAACGAATTCGATGATGGGTTCATGTTTACAGAAAGCAGCCAGGACCCAGGATTGGACTCCAAGGCCTTCAAAGACCTAATTCGCCTGCCAGGGCCACCGACGGTGACGAAGGAAGCTGTGGTGCCTCCACCACCCGTCCCATCGAAGGCAAAAACAGGACTTGGGAAGTTTGGTCGCCTAGGGGGAGGCAAAGCAAAGAAATGAGCCTGCGGGTTCGGTTTCGATATCAAGATATTATACATATCCGTTTAGGTTTCAAATAATCATAAATATCAGTGGTATCATCTTCTAGGTATCCTTTGTTTCTTGGGGCTTTCCCTCTCCACCAGACCCTCAAACATGCCATCTCTTTCCTTCTTCAGCGCCGTCAGCTCTGCTCTTAATGTTTCCAACTCCAATCTTGCCAGGTCTGTATCATGCGGCAAACCATGGTAACTCTTAAGCTGCCCTTCTAAGTCCTTCACCAATGCCTCAATGGATATGAAGTCCTTCTCCTCGACCACGACATCTTGGACGGTCGGTTTAATTGTACCAGTGCTCTCAGAAGCCGTAAGTGCAGAAATCCGCTTACGCAATTCAGGGAGCTTGGCAGCAAGCAGCTTTGTTTTCCGCTGATACTCCATTGTCTGTTTCCCCATATTTGGCGGGGACTGATATTTGTCACTGTCGAGCTCCTTTAAGAACGATGTTCCAAGTTCCAGTTCCTTCTGCATGTGGTTGACGAGAACGTCGATCCGGGCACCAATCTGCTCGAGACTGAATGCAGTGCTATGCAAATTCATGATGCGTGTTGCCATTTGCTCTGTGTCTCCAAACGGTAGGTTGAGGGCTTCCGCAGTCTCAGAGAGGGCATCCAAACCCTTTCTACCATCTGCAGTAAGATTGCTCTCCAGATTACCTAGCAGGTCGCTTCGAGCGTCTGGTTCCACATTCTGACGCAACTCTGACAAACATCGTGCATCGGCTTTGGAGAGTAACTCGTTCTCCTCATCTACAGACTCGTTGACGGCAGCAAGGGCTAGTAACGCTCGAAGAGTATCGGCGTTACGCTCAAAAGCCGGAGGTGATCCTGGAGCAAAATGGCGAGACAGCCATGCATCGACGTAATTCCAGTCTTTTGTAGTAGCTAGAGCCTGGCGAGCAAGTGTTGGGGAGAAAATGGTGGAAGTTGAGGGTATAGACATGGTGAAATAATTCGCGGGGCAGGACCAAGGTATTGACGAACCCGGAGAGGTGGTGGGGAGACAACCAAGCACACGGATTGCCTTATTCTCTATGAGCCCTTCTCAAATCTTATAGCATCGCAATACTGTATTTCCTTGAATATGTCTGCTTGAATCGCCGTTTAAGAACAATTCATGTGACCAAATGTTTTGATGTCGAGCTATATCTCAGCCTTGCGTAGTGCTATTTCGGGCGCTAAATTTGATTGGTGCTTGACAAGGCGCAAGTCCACAGGGTTGCGAAATGAAAGGTGGCCTCGTTTTGAACTTTAAAGTCCACCAGATCCTCTGATCCTGGGAGAGGAGATTGTATACATTTTCGTATAACACATTCTCGACCTTGGGATCTTGGATCGCGGCTCTTGAAAACGGGACAACATGATGGTCCAGATTTCTGTGCTGGCAGTCGCAGCCGGCCTCTTATCATCACAGTCGCTCGTGGCGGCGATCACTGCATCTGAGATACCCGATGATGTTCCAATTTCCTCACTGCTCAATTCGGCCAATACCCACCTGGCGATGGGCCAGACAAGCGATGCTTTGACATACTACGACGTTGCTATCTCGCGCGACCCGAGCAACTACCTTACCTTCTTCAAGCGTGGCGCCACATATCTCTCGCTGGGGCGAACAACTCAGGCGCAATCCGACTTCGATAAGGTCCTGACTATCAAACCTGGGTTTGAAGGGGCTCTTATACAGCGTGCCAAGATAAAGAGCAAAAGCGGCAACTGGGATGCGGCGAAGGAAGACTATTTGGCCGCGGGGCGCACCGGAGCTGAGGTCACAGAACTAGAAGAGGCAGAAGGGGCATCAAAGTTGGCTGTGGATGCCGAGAAACGGGCAGACTACGATGAGTGTATTGCCCAGGCTGGAGTGGCCATAATGGTCGCCAATAAAAACCTCGCATTACGAAAGCTTCGAGTTCGATGCCGCTTCGAGCGGGGTGAGGTACAGGAGGGAATAAGTGACCTTGCCCATGTGTTGCAGATGCAACCAGGCGATACAGATCCTCATCTCCAAATATCCTCAGTGCTGTTTTACTCACTTGCCGACACTGAGAGGGGATTGACCCAAATACGGAAATGTCTGCATTCAGATCCAGACTCGAAGACTTGCACAAAACTTTACCGACGACAGAAACAAATCAACAAACAGCTTTTAAAGATTAGAAGGTTATTCGAAAAGAAGTCTTTCAGCACCGCAGCAAAGTATCTTGCTGGGAGTGAAGAGGATATAGGCCTTATCCAGGAGATAAAAGAAGAAGTCGCAGAATTGAGGGAGGCCAACACCATCCCCGCAAAAGCTCCAAGTAATCTTTACACCGAGATGGTCGAGATGGCGTGCGAAGCTTATGGAGAGGTTAGTTTCGGGCGCATTTTCAGTGTATTCTTCCGCTAATATCCTATATAGGTGAAAAGTAAGAAGGCGTCTATTTATTGCACAGAGGCGCTAGAACTGAACGAGCATTCACTCCACGGACTTCTTGCAAAAGCTCAGCAGTCTTGTGACGAGGAAAATTATGAGGCATGCATCAATACTCTCAACCTTGCAAATGAGCATCACCCTGGTAATCAAAGCATCCAGTCCAAGCTCCAGGCTGCTCAGATAGCATTGAAGCGTAGTAAGGAGAAGGATTATTATAAGGTGCTTGGCCTGCCCAAAGATGCAGATGAACTTCAAATCAAATCTGCCTACAGACGGAAGACGAGAGAGCATCACCCGGATAAGGCTATACGAAATGGAGTCACAAAGGAAGATGCGGAGAAGAGGATGGCGTCGATCAACGAAGCATACGAGGTCCTCAGCGACCCTGAGCTGAAGGCAAGGTTCGATCGCGGTGATGACCCAAACAGTCATGAAAGCAGACAAGGAAACCCATTCCAACATGGCAATCCATTCGAAGGGCAACAACAATTCTTCCACCAGCAGGGATCACGAGGCGGAGGTCAATTTCAGTTTCAAAATGGCTTTCCATTCGGCTAACGGAATGGGTCGGGAGGGTCTGTGAAGGAAAGGGAAGGGAAGGGAAGGGAAGGGAAATATGGCGTTCATCTGTAATAGGGAGAGCATCTGTAATAGGGAGAGAGAAAGACCATGTACAGTAAATAGATATTGTTTTCCAACCAGGCGCGACCAACCCTAGGGAAGTAAAGACCAGTGCTTTATTTATACCTCAAGCAGTAATCTCAAAGGTTGGGTTATCCAATGTCCTGTATCCGGTGCGCAGGTTATAAAATAATTGCATGGCGATACGGGTATATACGTTGTAGGAATGCATATATATATATATATATGTTTATGTATATGATATAAAATAATAGCATAAGTGCGGTCTGTTTATCAGGTCGATTCCGATGATGTTCGGCCAAGCCCACCTACTTGCTTGCCTAAGCTAGCGTTGAGTGGGGATCGTTGTCGACTGCACGGTTCACGTCACGGCTCCAGGTCTTGCGCGCACTTATTGCGTTGTGAAGAGAACTAGCACAGAACCTTGGATTCGATTTACCCCGCGAGTTCTGAAGATTATCGAGGGAATCGGGATGCTTCTCCACTGATTAATGATTCCGTCAGAGGTCTTCCGGCCTGTCTAGGATGGAGGGGTTTGTGGTCTCATACTCCTTGGATAATGAGCAGCAATTCTGGGATGGTTTGTTTATCCATGGCTCCATGGTCGAGCTTTGCTGACAGGTTACTCCAACAGAGTTAGATGACATATGCTCCGTACGATGCAACTCGTCGCAATTGATCGACCAAGCACTGCGGACATATCTGCACTTCACAACGAACTTCAAGGACGAGTACCTTGCTTCGGACCATGCCGTTGCAAGTTCCATAGCGAAACTCCTGGAGAGTGAGCTTTTCAAGGCCAACGAAGACTATGTCCGCATACAACTCGTGTATAGTCTCCTCCAAGAAGACGAACTGGCCACTTTGTACATTATAGCCAGTTTTCTCCTATACGATGGACGGCGAAACGAGGACACGTTCAAGATTATGAATAAGGAAGGCTCGTTTGCGAGACTTGTCGAGTTAATGAAGTGCGCGAAGGATGAAGACTCGAGATTGCACAAGCTGCTGCTAGAATTGCTCTATGATATGTCTAGAATGCAGAAACTGAGCTTGGAAGACCTCAGCCACGTGGATGACGACTTTGTTAAATGCCAATTCCAGATTATTGAAGAGCTCTCCGACGACGTTAATGACCCTTACCACTACCCAATCATTCGAGTCTTGGTAATCTCAACCTGCTCCAAATCTGCCGTTCACTACTAATAATCATAGCTTGTGCTCAACGAACAGTATATGGTCGCTGCAACCACTGCACCAGATGCTACCTCTGTCCCTACAACAAACCGAGTTGTTAAGATCCTCAGTGTGTGCGGGCAAAACTATATGACCTTCGGCGAAAACATTATTCTTCTCCTAAATAGGGAAACAGAGACCTCGCTGCAGCTCCTTATCTTGAAACTTCTATACCTACTCTTCACTACTGAAGCGACCCGAGAGTACTTCTATACCAACGATCTGCGAGTACTTCTCGATGTCATAATTCGAAACCTTCTAGATCTGCCAAACGAACTCATTTCTCTCCGGCACACCTATCTCCGAGTGCTCTATCCTCTGCTAGCCCATACCCAGCTGGCACAACCGCCACATTACAAGCAGAATGAAATCTTAAAGGTTCTTGCTCTACTCAGTGGGTCGGGGAATGCTCATTTTGCGCCAGCTGACGAGACGACAACTCGGCTTGTTAGTAGAGTGGGGCAGGTCCCCTGGTTGAACGAAGGGAAGGATACAAATGATGCAGACCTTTCGAGAAAGCTGCTCGGGATTAGTTTGCCCAGCAGTCAAACGGAAAGCTCTGTGAGCGTTGTTGATCTGGCTGGTCTCACAGAGAAGCCCGGGATTCAGACGCCGAGCCGAAAGACGGAGGCGGCTCTAGAAGCCGCTGCAGATGGCGTGGATAAAAGAAATCGCTCGGATGGCGTCAAGTTTGCGATGCCACCAGCTACTTCTCATCGAGATAAACAGATACCGCCGAAGGCGCCGCCACGGAGGAGAACCAAGCTGAAAGAGCCCATCAATCTGGAGAACACTGGCGATCAGTAACGAAGCATTACGATTATGTTTTGCATATTGGCTTGGGCAACAACGATGAGAGCTCCTCATTCAGACCAGGTCACATTTGGATCCGATACTGGGGTCATGGAGCGACGACATCATCTGATAAGCCGTAGCAGCGACGGCTTACTCAGAAATTGAAACCGCACAAGTGATTATGCAGACAACGACTATTAATACCCAATTCAATGGATTTTAAGTAATGCCATTCAACTCGATAGATGCCAGCCAACTATGGCAGCTGTGACTTTTGCACACAGAGAACCTGAAATAGACAAGAGATCAAAACGCCTAGAACCCCACTCTGTGATGTACCATCATCCCTAACCTCTTCCTCTGCTGAACCCACCACGTCCTCTCGGAGCACCCCTCGAGAAGCCACCACTGCCACCGCGAGAGAATCCGGAGCCACCGCGGCCTCCAGCACTGAATCCACCTCTCCCCCTCGGTGCGCCTCGCGAGAAGCCACCACCACGTCCACCACGGATTGGGCCACCTCGTCCACCTCTGGCACCGCCAGCGCGCTTTGGCTTTGGTGCGCCAGGTGCTGGCTTTGGCTTTGGCAGGAACTTCTCAAGGGGCAGGAGCTTATCGCCGCCGATGAAGAATTTGTCGCCTGATTTGAAAGAACCGGCCTGAATTCCCTCCGTCGGCTTTATGGTGAAGTAAACCTGGTTGATTGGGCCAAGAATCTCATCAACTTTGCCAATCGAGGTCTGTAATATGTCAGCATATATACGGATACGTGATTGGAGCTCAAGCAGTCAAACTCACCTTATTCTCGAGGTAGATGGGTGCGTTGAAGTATGGAATTTTCGTGTTGGTAGATTCGCAGACCATTTCGCCCTCGCATGCGTGCAGGAAAGATCCCAACTCCAAGACTGAGGCTGGAGGCCCCATATCCCTAGAGAAACCACCGCGACCGCCTGGAAGAAGTTAGCTGCTGTTCTAATTGTGCGATGACTTGCGCTGTTACGCACCACCACGAGCCCCAAAGCCGCCGCCTCCTCTGCTTCCACCTCCGAATGAATTCGCACCGGTACCGCGACCGCCTCTGGAACCACCTCTGAACGACATATTGCGAATTGGTGGGTGGTAGTTGCTGTCGGTGTTGTATCCCAAATTTTATTCCGAATATTCGGCAACCTTGGCACGTAAAAAGGTCGATTTGATCTAAAGTTATTTTGTGTCAAGAAACTAAACTTAATACTGACTAGTTTCTCAACTAGATCCCCGCAGTTAGCGTGATTTTCTGTGTGGTTGGTATTACCAGGTACTGTACTTCGAAGCGACACCGACAACAATTTGACTCACCCCACCACTTTCTCCCACCTCCAAACAATATAACCCAGAGAGTCGTCGGCATGGCAGACACCGTCAAAGATTCGGTTGACGCTGTCAAGGAAGGCGTCAAGAACCTAGCTGTTAACAAGAAGCAACAACAAAAGCCCAAGAAGGAGAAAAAGAGCGGGGACGATGGCGGGGCATCTGGGCCATTGGAACTCAGTCCTGAGCCGGACTTCATATCCCATAGGATCAAGATATTCGAAAAGCTGAAGGCTGAATATGAGGTCGAACTTGCCGCCAAACCCCGTGAACCGATTACGATTACCATGAAAGATGGAAGCATCAAAGAAGGTACTTCGTGGGAGACAACCCCTTCGGAGATCGCAAAGGCTATTTCGAATAGTTTACTCAAGCGCACAGTCGTCGCAAGACTCAATGGCGACAATAACCAGCTATGGGATCTCGAGCGGCCACTGGAAGAGAGCTGCAGCTTGGAATTGCTCCCATTTGAAGACGAGGAGGGCCGGAAGGTTTTCTGGCACTCAAGTGCTCATATTCTAGGCGAGGCCACTGAGAGGAGATTCGGTTGTAATCTTTGCTTTGGGCCACCGATCGATGACGGCTTCTATTATGAGATGGCCCTCCCTGGGGGCGCTGCAGTCCAGCAGTCGGATTGGAGGCCGATTGAAACACTATTCAGCAAAATCGTGAAGGAGAAACAACAGTTTGAGAGACTTGTCATATCGAAGGAGGACTTGTTGGAAATGTTCAAGGGCAACCCATACAAGCAACACGTTATCAAAGAGAAGGTTACAGAACCAAAGACCACGGTTTATCGAAATGGACCCTTGATCGATCTGTGCAGGGGACCGCATGTTCCCAATACGGGCAGGATTGAAACATTTGCGATCATGAAAAACTCAGCGTCTTACTTTCTCGGTGATCCAAAGAGAGACTCTCTACAACGCATCTATGGTGTCTCATTCCCAGACAAAAAGTTGATGGCAGAGCATAAGAAATTCCTTGAGGAGGCTGCTAAGCGCGATCATCGAAAGATCGGCAGGGAACAAGAGCTCTTCTTTTTCCATGAAATGTCACCAGGTTCAGCGATGTGGCTGCCCCACGGGGCTCGCATATACAACACCATTCAGACATTCTTGCGGGATGAGTACTGGAAGCGAGGATATGAAGAAGTTATCACTCCAAATATGTACAATTCTGAGCTCTGGAAAACATCTGGGCATTGGCAGAATTATAAGGATGATATGTTTACGTTTGATGTAGAAAAGGAGCAGTTTGGACTAAAGCCGATGAACTGCCCAGGGCATTGCTTGATGTTCTCTCATCGCGAGAGAAGTCATCGCGAGTTGCCATGGAGAGTTGCTGACTTCGGTGTGTTGCATCGCAATGAAGCGTCTGGTGCCCTTACGGGATTGACGAGAGTCCGAAGATTCCAGCAGGACGATGCCCACATTTTCTGCCGTGAAGATCAAATCGTTGATGAAATCGAAGGATTATTCGATTTCCTTCGCACCATGTATGGCCTCCTCGGCTTCACTTTCAAGATGAAGCTCTCCACAAGAAACCCTGAGAAGTTCATGGGTGACCTAGCCGAATGGGACAGAGCTGAAGCCAGCTTGAAGGCGGCTCTAGATCGCTTTGCGGAGTCTCCCGGTGGAACGCCATGGGAGTACAATCACGGGGATGCTGCATTTTATGGACCAAAGATTGATATCAAGATTTCTGACTCGATGAGGCGTGACTGGCAATGCGCAACGCTTCAGCTCGACTTTCAACTTCCTAAGAACTTTGGTCTTGAATACATGACATCAGAGGGGGCTATGAAGCCAAAGGACGAAGCAAGCAAGGGAGAGAATATTGCAGCGACAGCGGATACAGCAGAGAAGGATGTGTCTAAGAAGGATAAGGCGAAGGCCCTTACGCCAGGTTGTGCCCGACCTGTCATGATCCATCGTGCGATGGCTGGGAGTATTGAGCGCTTCGTTGCGGTTCTGATTGAGCACTTCGGAGGCAAATGGCCCTTCTGGCTCAGCCCACGGCAGATTCTGATCATCCCGGTCGGCGTTGGCTTCTACGAGTACGCGAAGGAGGTTCAAGAAGCCTTCCACAAACTGAAGTTTTTTGTCGACGTTGATCTGAGCGGTAACACTCTTCAGAAGAAGATTCGTACTGGTCAATTGGCCCAGTATAACTTTATATTCGGTATGATATCGTAACATGCACTTATTGAGGGTTGATAGCTAACATTGTGACAAGTTGTTGGTGATCAAGAAATGAAGAATAGGGAGGTCAACATCAGAAACCGCGATGACACTTCGAGCCAAGACCGGGGCAAGCCAGTTTCTCTCCAGGAAGCAAAGGAGAAGCTGATTGCACTAAGGGACGAGAAGGGCACAGCAAACCCATTCGCAGCCAACGATACTAAGGTGGCTGAGGTTTCAAAGGCCTAAACAGTGTGTAGTTCTGGTCAAGTTCATGAATATAAGCCGGATGAGAACCTATGGCAATGAAGTAAATGGTAGCTACATACAAAAAAAACCCGACTTAAACTATAACAACTGGTAGGAAAACAAAGTGAACGTAGAGATGAATGGGGCATTGAATAGTCATTTTAGGTCATGTGATGCAGATCTTGTTGATTTTGTCCCTGATCCCCGAGTTCCACTGGCTTGGAACGTCGTCATCATACGAGTATCACTATTGCCAATCTCGGCTGAGTGCCAGGCCCAGGATGTTATCGACCAAGTTTACCCCATTTACACCATAACACCACCACACCTCCATTGCCGCCCCAACGCAAATACCACTTATACTCGGTGTCGCCCAATGCCAACCAGTGTATATTTTAGTTTGTCGTCAAGCAGCTGTCGTTGTTTCACTTGACAGGCAGATATCCACTTTGCGACCAAAAACTACAACCTCGGTGCGGAGTACAGCAACGTTCTCAACTTGCCTAAATTGGTATTAATGCTTTCGACATTCCGAACTCTTTCAATATTACTGTGTCGCAGAGGAATACATCATGTCATCTCTTCCATCGGGAAGCCGTGCTACACAGCAACGTGCAGAAACAGGATATAGCACAAGTACAAAAGCCCGTCTGCTGCTGTCAACCAACGACTCGAGCATACCAGACCGCAGTCTGATCGGAGGAAATGGTGTTGATCAGTCGCCTTTATCACAGAACGCTTCCTATCAAAGCTACGGAAAATTCAATGAAGAATGGGACGCCAGCCAGCGGGGCAGCTCGATCATTGACAGTGATCGCTACCATTTGAAGCATACGCCCTCTGTTATGTCACAAGGTGACCCATTGCTCCCACGTCGAGGGGGGACACTTAAAAAGAAAGCATCGCTCAGGCGAAGCAGTAGCCGTCGGAGTTCCCGAGCTGGTAGCGTAAGGAGTTTGGCTTTGCAGCCAGAACCATCGGATGAGATTCACAGCGCATTCTATTCTCCTGTGCCGACTACCGGTAACCCAACAGAGGCGCTTGCGAATAGATTTACAGGTACGTGTATTATCCACGCAGGTTTCTCTCCATGTTATAAAAGCCGTTGCTGATGTTGGCGTGAGCAGCGTGGAGGAAATTTTTGAAGGATCTCATTGTCTACTTTAGAGAGATCCAGAACGGATACGACCACAGAGGAAAGACCATCTTGAAACTATCTAATGTTGCCAACAATATCAGTGCGCCTGAGAATTTCCTCCAGTCTAATGGTATCAACGAAGCAATGCAGATACTACGTGATTACCACAAACAGGCAATCACTGAATCGAGCAAAGCTCGAATGATCCAAGAAGACGTGGTGCAGGCCTTGACTGGTTTACGAAGTGATCTTCAACAAAAGATCAAAGAGATCAAGAATTTGTCTGGTGACTTCAAAAACTCCGTTGACAGGGAAATGGATACTACAAGAAGGGTTGTGCGCTTACTGGGAGATTCGCTAGGCCAATCCGACATTGATGCATCGCAGATGACGGGAAAACAAGATCCGTACTTGCTGAGACTAGCAGTTGAGCGCCAGCTCGAGAGGCAGATTGATGAAGAGAATTATCTCCACCAGGTAAGCTAACACTAACACAGTAAATAATGCCAGACTCTAACATATGAAGGCATATCTTAACTTGGAAACATCTGGCCGAGAGCTTGAGTCTATTGTAGTGGGAGAAATCCAGAAAGCTTACAACGCTTACACCGGCATACTGAAACGTGATGCCGACGAGGCATACACTGCGATCCAGAACCTCAGAACGGGTCCGATTGCGATGCCTAGAGACTATGAGTGGAACAGTTTCATCGAGTCAGATGAGCACTTTGTTGATCCCAGAGTCCCTATGCGCAGTGTTGAAAACATTCACTACCCAGGCCGCGACCACGAGCTTGCCCAGGAAGTCCGAGCGGGTTTGCTGGAGCGTAAGAGCAAGTACTTGAAGAGCTATACTGCCGGGTGGTATGTGTTGTCACCGACACATCTACATGAGTTCAAAACTGCGGACAAGTCTCAAGCTCCTATAATGTCCCTTTATCTCCCTGAGCAGAAGCTTGGATCCCATTCCTCGGAAGGTGGGTCGTCGAACAAATTCATGCTAAAAGGACGCCAAACTGGATCTCTCCATAGAGGCCATTCCTGGGTGTTTCGAGCGGAAAGCTACGATACGATGATGGCTTGGTATGATGATATCAAGTCATTGACAGAAAGTGCACCTCAGGAACGAAATGCATTCGTTCGTTCACACGCCCGAAGCTTCAGTGCCTCCCAACGAGCAGCATCTGTAAGCAGTGACGGGGTTATGGACGAGGAAGATGAGGAGCCGTTCTCAACAGTTTCAAACTCTGCTGTCGTGCAAGTTGCCAATAAACAAGAAAACGCCAAGCGACCGGAACCAGGTGGGAGATTCCCGTCCGACATCCAGGTCGACCCTTCTCGTGGCTTACAAGTACCTCTTTCGCCGTCTAGTGCAAACTCAAGCTTAGGGAACAATGAAATTCGGAACGAAACTTCTACTACTTCAAATGTAGCTGGAGGCGGTAGTGGTGAATATTTCCCGGAGCATCGCATCATCTCTCGAACATCATCACATTCCGGACACGGCACCTCAAATGGGGCTAGACCATCGCACGCGACACAACTAGATCAATTCGCCGTCGAGGATGGGCTAAACCCTTACACTTATCAACCGCTTGGAAATCAGAACCCGCAGGGCTCACCCGTGACGAATAAAACGGCCGTCGATGAAAAGGGGTTAGCTGAACATAACGACTACCAACAGATTCCTGCTCCCGAACGTCAATTCAACCAATCGCCCCCCAATTCTCGGGTAGAATATATGGCCGTAAATAACGGCCCCGCATTGCAGGAACATCTTGCACAGGCAGGGCCTACCACGACTGGGAATGAGGCCACAGGTCTTATGACGGCATCTCAGGCAACTGTCCACCCTGTCATCTCAGACATGGCGAACGCCAACACTCATTCACAGCCATATTTGGATTACTCCTCAATCGTACCATCAGTGGCTGGGCTAAATACTATCACTGCTGTGAATCAGATAGCAGAGCAACGTCCCGAGTATCCAGAGTCGAAAATTCTGGAGCAAGTGACAAGCTTTCCAAACACAACCCATGAAAGCCACTCGTTTGCCGGGCATCGATATGCTGACAGTGATACGTCTTCTAAAACCACACACATGCATATTCCAGGGGAATATCCTTCCCAGACGCCAACCTCTTTGGATCACTGAGGATATATCGCCTCTGTGGAAAACCCCTTCTGTAGTTCTCGAGGTCCCTACTTTGGCTTTCTACAGCGGCTGGTTCCTATACTGCCGCTAGTCACTAAATGGAAGCTTATCCGTTGGCCTCATAACCACCACCCGTTCCTCAACCTACGGCTCCGCAGCTCCAGCTGGCTCCTCAACTTTTAGCTCCTGTATTTCCAGAGGCTTCTCGGTTTTGAGCTCGTCATTTCCGAGGGCACTGGTTTTATCGACGAAATATCCCTCCGGACAACAGGCCAGCAAACTCGCCACTCGTTTCGGGGCACAGGAACACGTAAGTCATGTATATAACGAAGACTATACTGTGTTCTCTCATAGATAGATAGAAGCAAATCAATCCAAACTTGACACGTAACATCAGGTGCTAGTTTACACGAGGGTTTTGATCTGCATGAAAATGCCCGACTTTCTAACAAAATTACCACTAGGTGATATTTAACAGTGTTGAGGGATATGATTTAGTGAAGTTATTTCCTGTAAACAAAGTTAGGTTAACCGCGAACCTACATATCCCAAGTCTGTAAATGTAGGTAGGTTCATTTGGCTGCGGAAATTGCAATGTTGCAATTATATTAATTTAACCTACAGTCGAGTCTACAGACATAATAACTAACAAGGCGGCAAGACCGGGCCTAGCCGACCAAGGTTGAAGGCAGAAAACAGCTTCTCGTCATTCGACTTTGAAGCAACCGTTTTGGCCATCAGAATATGGGGGCCCTCCAGCTCCTTGTTACCGACGATGGCTTATATTCTTTTGTCCACCCTCCCTTTTCTTCCCACTAAATCTCCATGCTCGATCCTCCTCTCGCTCTCTTTCCTCCTCCAAAGTACAGTTCCTTTGGGGCAGGCTCCTCCCAACATCTCCTATTTTCTCTTCTGATCACCAAGACCGTCGTTGTCGTCGTCTCCCTTAAATTGATGATATGATATGCGGCGTCGCCAGCTCTCACGAAGCTCCTCTAGCAGCAATGTGTCAGACTCCGAGAGCTGCTTCGATGTAGATAAGGTTGGGGGGAGGGACTCCGACACTAATCCGACAGATGTTGATATCGATGTGGAGGACGGCGGCTGGGGGCGGTGACTCTGACACTAACGTAGGTCATGGCGTAACGGGGGTAATGGCGTAACGGGGGTAGTGGGGTCGGAACCACCCCATCAAACCACTACCACCTTTAAAAAATTGAAATTGTTCAATTACTACTAGGCTAATTCATCTAAATCGCTGTCATATATCTCTTCTTCACCCCCTCTGTCTATTTCCTCAATTGTAGCTTCCTCTATAAGTCGTGGTGTTGTTCTAGGCCTCTGTGAAGCTGTTGCTGTTGCTGCTTCTGCTTCTGCTACTTGCGACCGGAGTTCTTCTGTAGAGATGTGGAATTGACCCTTCAAAACAGCTCTTTTACCCTTCTTTTGCTCCCTTCTTTTCTGAATTATGTTGCACAAGTTATCCGTCTCTCTTTGCTGTAGTATGTGGCGTGTGTTAAGCCTCTCTGTCTCATCTGCTAACTTATGAATATATCGCTTTGTAGGAGTGTTCAAAACACCACCACGACTTATTGTAGAAGAGAGAACTGTATTTGCTTTGTGAAGTGTCTGAAAATGAGGAGGACTGCTATTCAAAAATACTTTCTCAAAAATATCATGCTCTGTTGGAGTCCTTGGCCGTTCTAAGGGTGCGTCTGTTGTAGGAAGTGTAGCTGCGCGTATGACTGTCTGTGGCTGGAATGGCTGTAACCCACTCCCTCTCCAAGCAGAATTAATATTTAAAATTGAAAAAGCAGCTGCTCTTGCTTGTATGTATGCATCCATCCATTCCAACTTCTGTATGCGTAGTAGCTGCAGGCGAGAGAGAGCAGTTGTAAGGTGTTTTTTCAGAGGTCCAAAAATTGCAACATCAAGTGGTTAAAGTATATGTGAGGTATGTGGAGGTATTATAAGGAGCGATATTCGATTCTGTATGCAGTGTGATATGAAGTTTCCGCTTATATGGCTATCATGGCCATCGCAAATAAGGAGCCTTTGTTGTAGCTGTCCATTTTGTGTTGCTTTTGCTCTTGTAGAAGGCTCAAAAACGCGTTTTAGCCACTCTAATCCATGAAGATTGCTTGTCCACCCTTTTGTATTTGCAGAGAAGTGCCATTTGCTTATAACCTCCTTTGGAATCCAGCTCTGTAGTATATTCTGTCCCTTGAAGATAATGAGGGGGTCGGTGGTTGTTCCATCCATGCAGATGCACTCAACAGCAGACACCCATTCCTGCCGGCCTGGATGGGCTTGAAAACGCGTCCTAAGGCTTGAATCCACGATAATTCTTGTTGATTGCATTGTTCCAATTGAAAACCCAGTCTCATCCATGTTGTAGGTGTTGTGATTTTCGATTTTTAGCTCTGTTGTGAGGCTCTTGTACGCGTCAAACCACGCCTTCAACACCTGCTTTGTGACCCCATTCATCCTTTGTGCCTCAACCCTCCTTCCTAACTTAACACGTAAGTTAGGATGCCTTTGAATGAACCGTGGCACCCACTCTTGCCCAAGAGGTAAGTTAGGGATTTGAGGTTGTGTCTGTTGAGTTGGTCGGGTCTGCTGAGTTGGTCGGGTCTGCTGAGTCGGTCGGGTCTGCTGGGTTGGTCGGATCTGCTGCTGAGCCGGTTGGTTTGATGGGGTCTGCCAAGCCACTAGTTAGAAATAGCCGAGTCTGCCAGTCTATAGCAGGTTTGATGGGTTGGTAGTTGACCTGACTGAGCTGGTCAACTAACTCTGTAGGTCGGCTCACCTGGGTTTGGAAGACCCGACACTTGTTTGACCGGACTTCCTCTGCAACCTCACGTAATATCCGATGGCTAGGAGCTTAACCACTTCCAGTAAGCTCTTTAATCCACTTTGAGAGGGTCTGCTCTTGAGTTTTTGATAGGAGTTGCTGGTGCTGGCGTGCTTCTACACGTGTGTGCCTTCCATTTATGCGACAGCGGAGGGTCTCCTCTGGTAGCCCTAAAGCTTTTGCAGCAGCATATATTGATTTGTATTGATTTGATTTAATAGCTAATATAGCTTTTTGAATTTGAATTTCGCGTTCTTGAGCCTTTATACTCTTCTGACGGACCATTCTAGCATAGTAGTAGTAGTTAATAGGGTTGTAGGTTTGATGGGGTGGTTCCGACCCCACTACCCCCGTTACGCCATTACCCCCGTTACGCCATTACCCCCGTTACGCCATTACCCCCGTTACGCCATTACCCCCGTTATGCCATGACCTACGTTATGTGGAGGTACTTATGCTTGCGAAAATTAGAACCTTAATAACTCCTTTATAAAAAGGCTAGAGCGTATTCCTTGTATATATAGGAACTTTAAATAGTCATCTACTATATCTAAAGACGCTAATAAAACTAGTGTCTTTTTACATAAGTTACTACAGGTTTTAACTTTTGCCATATAAATTTTTAGTATGGCAAATCTAAAATTGTTAATAACTACCTAATAAGGCTAGCTTACATGCTAGTGTTTTTAATTATAACATATAAGTATATAAATTATCTAAGTTTAATAACATTAAGCTCTAGCAAGTCAATTAAAGTAATTATTACAAGTTTGAATTATATATCACGTGATGTGAATTTGCTTGTGAATTTACCTGTAAAATTGAAATAGCCGGTCTGGCCATGTAGCCGGTCTGACCACGATCTACGTTAATCCTCTTAGACTATTACTCTTTATAGTCTTATTTCTTATAGCCGAATTTGCTAGAGTGTAAGCTCTTCTTATTAAGTAGTTATTTATAGTTTAATTTTTACCATATAAATATTTTATATAGTAAAATATAAGCTTTAATATCTTTTGTAAAACAAAACTAGTACTACTAGCATTTTTACACATGTTAGAGTATGATATAAAGAGTAATAGTCTAAGAGGATTAAGCGTTATAAGCATTATTACAAAAGTTATTAACGTTTTAATTTTGGTCATGTGACCTTGATTTTGGTGGGGTGCGGGTGGCTCTGGCAAAGCGTCCCGTTACGCCATCCGTCCCATTACGCCACGAGTTACGTTATTGCTAGTGTGATTATTATGCTTCTATTAGTAGGAGAAGATTGCTCATACAAATATTTGTATGAGGAAAACTTAACCCTTAAATTAGCATTGCAAAAAGACACTAGCAATACTAGCGTTTTTATATTAGGTAAAGGCCTATATATAGAACCTAAATATTGAACAGCTAAGCCTAACGATTTTTATCCATGGAGCTATTTAAGGTTTTAGTTTTGGATGTAGAAGTACCTTTCCATACAAAGTTGTATATAAGGGTACTTATCGCCGCTTACGCCAGATCGCCGCTTACGCCACGACTTACGTTAGTTGTAACACCCAAAGAACAAAAGGGGTGAACTTACAAAGGTTGGTGACAGATGGAAAAATTGCTAGAACTTGTATATTAGTAAAATAAACACAATACCATTACTCTACAGCGTTACTGTAGGGTTAAATCAAATGTAAAGAAGATTGAACTTACCAATGTTGCTAGACGCGTTATCTCAGAATTGTTGTAGAAGTTAGGATCGAATTCGAAGTAAAAAGTGTTGTTGCAAACAAAAAAAACTCCATTTCTTGTTCCAAATCTGGACGTGTCAATAACAAAGAATAGTATGAGTAAGTTAGCAAAGAAACCACCCTTACATTTGATTAACGTAGGTCGTGGCCATACCGGGGCCATGGCCATACAGGGATGGTGAGGTAAGCGAGCACTTAACTAACCCATCAAACCCATCAACCAACACACCAAACCTATCAATTACCCCATTATTATGGTACGCAAACGGAGTTTAAAAGCTCAAGAACGCGATATTCTAATACTTGAAGCAGTAGCTGGAGTAAAATCTGGTTTATATAAAACTGCAAATGCTGCTGCAAAGGCCTTACATCTAAGGCCTGATACAGTTGTTAGCCACATTAAAGGGCGACATACCTCACATAAAGAAGCACATTTAAAACATCAATTACTCTCCCAAACCCAAGAAAAGACCCTTTTAAAATGGATCAAAAATCTTACTGCAAATGGTTACGCTCCTAGCCATCGCATATTACGTGAGGTTGCAGAGGAAGTCCGGTCAAACAAGTGTCGGGTCTTCCAAACCCAGGTGAGCCAACCTACAGAGTTAGTTGACCAGCTCAGTCAGGTCAACACCAACCCATCAAACCTGCCATAGACTGGCAGACTCGGCTATTTCTAACTAGTGGCTTGGCAGACCCCATCAAACCAACCGGCTCAGCAGCAGTCCCGACCAACTCAGCAGTCCCGACCAACTCAGCAGTCCCGACCAACTCAGCAGACCCGACCAACTCAACAGACACAAACTCAACAACCACAACTCCAACTACCTAAGTTACCACTTGGGCAAGATTGGGTGCCACGGTTCATTCAGAGGCATCCTAACTTACGTGTTAAGCTAGGAAGAAGGGTTGAGGCACAAAGGATGAATGGGGTCACAAAGCAGGTGTTGAAGGCGTGGTTTGACGCGTACAAGAGCCTCACAACAGAGCAAAAAATCGAAAACTACAACACCTACAACATGGATGAGACTGGATTTTCAATTGGAACAATGCAATCTACACGAATTATAGTCGATTCTACACTTAGGACACGTTTTCAGGCACATCCAGGAAGGCAGGAATGGGTCTCTGCTGTTGAGTGCATCTGCATGGATGGAACAACCAGCGACCCCCTCATTATCTTCAAGGGACAGAATGTACTACAGAGCTGGATTCCAAAGGATGTTATAAGCAAATGGCACTTCTCTGCAAATACAAAAGGATGGACAAGCAATCTTCATGGATTAGAGTGGCTAAAACGCGTTTTTGAGCCTTCTACAAGAGCAAAAGCAACACTTCCAAATGGACAACTACAACAAAGGCTCCTTATTTGTGATGGCCATGACAGCCATATAAGTGGGAGCTTCATATCACACTGCATACAGAATCGCATATCGCTCCTTATACTACCTCCACATACCTCACATATACTCCAACCACTTGATGTTGCAATTTTTGGACCTTTGAAAAGACACCTCACAACAGCCCTCTCACACCTTAATGAGGCGCAGCTCCTATGCATACAGAAAGCAGAATGGATGGATGCATACATACAAGCAAGAGCAGCTGCATTTTCAAATTCAAATATAGCTTCTGCTTGGAGAGGGAGTGGGCTACAGCCATTTCAACCACAGACAGTTATCCGCGCAGCTACGCTTCCTACAACAGATGCAGTAATAGTGCGGCCAAAGACTCCAACAGAGCATGACATTTTTGAGAAAGTATTTCTGAACAGCAGTCCACCTGATTTTTCAACACTTCACAAAGCAAATACAGTACTCTCTTCTACAATAAGTCGTGGCATTCTCAACACTCCTACAAAGCGATATATTCATAAGTTAGCAGATGAGACAGAGCGGCTCAATACATGCCACATACTACAACAAAGGGAGACAGATAACTTGCGCTCAATTATTCAGAAGCGCAGAGTACAAAATAAGGGCAAGAGAGCAGTTTTGAAGGGTCAATTCCACATCACAACTGAGGAGTTGCAGTCGCAAGTAGCAGAAGCAGAAGCAGCAACAACAACAACTCCACAAGTTACAACATCTATAATTGATCTAATTGATGATGGGAGTGAGGAGGAGCTATTTGACAGTGATATAGATGAATTAGCATGGTAATGGTAGAACTATTTTCAATTTTTTTGAAGCTGCTCATATTTTGAAGGGGTGGCTTACCCCACCATCCCGGTATGGCCATGGCCCCGGTATGGCCACGACCTACATTACCTCTGATTATTAACTTCCTTTTAGATTTCCAAATTTATTGACTATACCGACCCTGACCAGTAAGTAGTTGTGCCCCTACTTTCAAAAGACGTCCGCCTTGTTAGCACATTGAAGTACTCTCACAACAGTATAATCAAAGCCAGTGCTAACAGTAACGCCCTATAGTAACGCTCATCAGCTCCAAATCGCCTCTAACGCAACTTTACCATGTCGTCTCCAGCCACTGCGAAGTCATATGAGGAGAGACGCGCAGAAGTCGTTGCAGCTACTGCCCACACCATTGAGCTCGCTCAGAATGCGGACCGACAGGTATAACAATCCTACCATCCTGATATCAATTGTTCTAGAGCTGATAGCAAAGCTAGGCTATGAGCCATGCACGCCGTACCCGCCAGGGTAAAGATGACTGGGAGGGCCTTACGGCCAATGAACAAGCTGCCGTGTTAGCTACAACGCAGCAGGATATCATGGACAGGCGCACCGCTCGTGGTATTGACGCCAATTCCCGCCTCACAGCCGCTATTAATGATGAGAGTGCGGCTATTGCGGCCATTAATGCAGAGGAGCTGGAGGAGAAGTTGAAGGCCCTACCAAAGGGTGAAGGCAAAGCTGTAAGTAATAGCTAAAACATGACGATACTATCTAACATAATGGTTAGACTGGCAAGACATCGACTAGTGACAGCGGTGAAGAAAATACCTTAAAGGATAGCCTCAACGGCTTCATAGTCGGGGTTCGTGTAGAGGAGGAGGAGGAGGTGGAGGAGGAGGAGGAGGAGGAAGAAGAGGAGGAGGAGGAGAAGGAGGAGGAGGAGTAAATTCACGTCGTATACTGTACTATAGTATACTAAACCAATGGAGTTTTTGTGGTTACTGAATTCCATTTTGAGATCTTCTGCCGTTACTATCTGCCGTTACTATCTAATAAAACTATTTGTCAGTACTCCGAATAGTGACTACTGTACTCATAGTAACGGCCAGCAGTAACGGAAGAGAGCCCAAAAGCAAAAAGTCAGCATGCTTCTACTCCTCGGCTGAGCCAAGGAACACAGTCTGACCAATCAACAATCAAATGTCGGTTATACAGTTTAACTTTATATTATGCTACATAGGAAATATAATCGATCTGTATCTACTTAGGGTTATACACACTGCTCATTATCTTGTTATATGCTGTAGCAACAGCTAATAGTACTAGATATAGCTTCAGACTTTGAAATAAGATAGGGCTAATGTAGCAAATTGTTAAGCCAATGAAACCAAATTGCTGATTTTGTAATTTAAAACTCGTAAGCGTTACTCTCTAGCATTATGGTAAACCTAATTAGAGCTAGAGAAAATTGTTTAACTCCATAATACTATGTTCAACTAACACAAAATAGGAATAGCAAAGAGTAATGGCAATGAGTAACGGCAATGCGTAATGGCAATGCGTAACGGCAAAGAGTAACGGCAAAGAGTAATGACAAAGAGTAATGACAAAGAGTTCAAATATTACCCTATTGCAATGTGGCATTCTTGTATTCTGTACTACCATTTGTTCTGTTGCAAAAGACTATGAAGAAATGGCCGTCCTTCCAAAAGGCCTCACTTGACATTCATCATTCGTCTGATTGACCTACACTCCTACTGTCACGGTTCACCAAGGCATAGGGCGCCAGTTGGGTATTATGAATTAAACTCAATCTAGAGAAGAAAGGAAAGAGAAGAGGAGCACTCGAGCAGTGGCTCGATCTATATACAGCTATTGTGGAGTGAATTCTCTTTAGTGAGACCAGTTCTGAGAATTCACTCCACAACTGAAAACTTCGCTCCAACCCCGGAAAGCTCCCCACACCCCTGAACCCCCACTCGAGCTGCAAGGCGCACTTGATATCGTAACACCTACTACAGTACATTTTCTCTATCCTCTTAACAACATGTCAAGCCCAAGCCCATTTACAATGATGAATCAGTCACAATTTGAGCATCTGCTTACCTCTGACACTGAGGATATCAACTCGCCTTTCGAGCCAGCACTTATCTTCTCCCAAGATGATGTACTGAGTGGAATTGAAGCTCCTCTTGATGAACTTCTTGAAAAACTACCCAAGTCTCCTAATAATCGATATGTTATGTTATATGGAAGGAGGATACCGCTAACGAATGGCATCAATGGTGGACTGCGAAGATTTCAAACAACATCAATCGAGAGATATTCCGACATATGGTTTGGACAAGGTCGAAGAGGTCCTTAATATGGACTCAATTCTACCAAGGAGCTGAGGTCCGAACTGGCAATCCTAAGGTACTATGTCAGTTGTGTTTGAGGGCTTTGCACACCCTAAGCTTCAACAAGGTGGGAGTAGCACATCTACTTTAACCCGACACACCAAATCTGGCGCTTGTAGTAGAAAGGATGGATCGCAAACTCATTTACACTTAGTAAGCTATCTATCCAGTGGTCTAGAGTAACGTTCTAGAGTAACGCTAATGACCTTCTTTAGCTGCCGCGTGCGCATTTGGAAAGGAATACCATACAGCCTTTCACACATACAGCATGGCGAGAGCAGTTGATTATAGCCATAATTTCATCAAGCCTCCCTTTTCGAATAGTGGAGAACAAGGAGGTGCGAAAGGTTCTAAACATGTTGAAACCCGACCTGGAAATTCCACACCGGACAGTTATACGCAAAGAATTAACAATGCAATTTAACAACGTCATGGAGAAGCTACTATTGGATTTACCGCCTATGGCAAAGGTTTCAATTGCCCTTGATGGATGGCAAAGTCTGTTCAAATTAGCGTTCTTAGCAATTACTGTGTATTATATCACTGACGATTGGCAATGGAGAGAGGTGAGCAGATTATAACTTATATAATAATATATTAACTTACTAACATACATCTTATAGTGTCTTATTGGTTTCGAGCCAATGACTGGAGTCCATTCAGGACAAAATATGGCAGCTGTTGTACACAATGTACTGGAACAATTCAATATTACGGGACGACTTTTTTGCATGACAACTGATAATGCATCAAACAATGGAACAATGTGCAAGGAACTTGAGAGCTACATGAGAAGTACTACACAAGAAGTAGAGTGGAGTAGTGATGCAACAAAAATACCATGCATGGCGCATGTTATACAGCTAGTTGTAAAAGCTATGCTAAAGGCCTTCAATGTCGACATAGCTGAAGAAGTTATAGATGTTACTGGTGTTTCAATTACTGATGATACGACAGTCACATCAGCTATTAGAAAGGTTAGTCCATGATAGTAACACTTGATAGTAACGCCAACTAACGTCAAATACACAGATATGCACTCTTAGCAATCTTGTGAGCAGGTCTGCAAAGAAAACTGAATTATTGCTCCAGAAGCAATCTGATATAGAAGCAAAGAGACGACTGCAGCTAAAACGGGATTGTTACGGCTATAGTAACATGATGTCATGGTTACAGGGCCAGGGCCTAGTAACGTGACGTGTGAGTCACAGTGGGAAGCGGGGTAGGCTGCCATGTGACGGGGCTAATGGATAGTTGCAGAAACTAGTGGATATTGGATAGTTGAGCTATCCACGAACTATCCTGAATATCTAGCTATCCGCCAACTATCCAGATTACCCATGAGGCACGACACCACTATATAAGTAGATAGTATTTCCTTAGATAGGAGCTTCGTGCTCAACTCAATACAGTATTTGTTATATACTAGTAACGTGTTACTTGAAGCCTTTGTGTCTGATCCCCTGCCTCCTCTGATAAGTCAACCTTTACGCAAGAGAACCTCTGTGTCTTCTATCGTTTAGAAGTCAGCGTTACAGGGATATTGATATATGCTGGAATTCTACATATGACATGATAGTCTGAGCGATAAGACTACGCATCCCAATTAAAAGTTGGCTTGAGGAACAGATTATTAAGGAGCCTCATCTTGATCAATTCGCATTATCACGACTGGAAAAAACTAAAATACTTAGTCGCTCTTCTGCGGCCCTTTGCAGAATTTACTCATCTTATTGGAAACACGAAAGACACTACAATCAACCATACATGGAATGTATACAATACATTATTTGACCATCTTGATGATATCAATCAAAAGCTATATAACAAGGATACAGCATCTAATCCTTGGGTAGACGAGTTTACTGCTGCTATTACTGCAGGTGTTGCAAAGTTAAGGCACTATTACACTGAAACTGGTGGTCCTGTTGAACAGACGTATGCTCTTGCTGCAATTCTTGATCCATCTCAGAAACTGGACATTTTTAACGCTCCTGAATGGGACCGTTCCCACTCAAAGAAGTACCGCCAAATATTCTTAGATTACTGGAAGGCTTACTATCAAAAAGATTTGAGGGACCAGCATGAGGCAGTACCGCCTTGCCCCTATACACCAACAAGTCTTAATGCGGTATTTCGGATGAACCGGCAGCTACATAAAGGGTGGCAGAGCCCATCAAGTACCAGCTATAATGAAGCTGAGCGTTATTTAAATGCGCCAGTGGTTAGTGCTGATGCAGATACTCCAGTGCTCCTAGTGTGGAAGACCTTAGAGCTCTCTTACCCTTCAGTTGCGAAGATGGCAAGGGATATCCTTGCAGTACCAGGTAAGCCCCTACAGTAATGGTTAAGAGTAACGCAAATATCTTACAAATCGCTTTAAACAGCTACTGGTACTGGAGTTGAGCGCATATTTAATATTGCCCGCGATATCCATGAATACCACAGGGCACAAATGAGTATGACTACAGTTTGAGAGTTGATGATTGTTAAACACTATCATAGGTATAAGTGGGAACTTGATAATCATTGGGATAATATAGACCATGTATTTGGCGCTCCTGACCCAGACTCTATAATTGAGGACTCTGATCGACAAGTTGCTATGACGATGGTAATATCATCTGATGAGGATGCTGAACAAGACTTACCAGACCCATCAACGCCACATAGAGCTACACAAGGTCGCAATGGAAGATTGGAAACTCAGAGGAAGCGAAATTTTGGGGTTCTAAATAAGGACCTTCAGAATGATGAAGCCTCCATTGATACTCCTCAACATTCGCAACGACTTAGAAGGTAGAGGAGGGTACTATTCAGATGTGGGTTAGAGTAACGGCTCACAGTAACAGAATATATCACTAATTAGCCTTATATAGCATTTGGAACCAGCTTGAACAATATATTATGTTAACTACTGCAATAGATACCAACCTTTGCGCTAGGTGGTAGGAAGGCTGGCCTCCCAAAGTCGACACAAACCTGTGTGCGATGGTGGTGGTGGTGATGGTAGGGAAGCCACTGTAAGCTGATGCATTCTGAGACATACGGCACTTATAACTCTAATGTAATTACCATAATTTATTATCTATATGATAAATTTATCCTAATTTCTATCAATATACCGTTACTATATACCGTTACTCTTGGTCACAGGACTAACATCGTGATCTACAAGCTAAATATACTAAACTTCAGTTTGGGCTTTTTAAAAAAAAGCTCAGATGGTAAAAAAGCCTAGACTGAACCACGGTCTGGTCTTAACCCTAGAGACTGGACCAAAGTTCAGTCCGGGCTTTGAAAAAAAGGAGGACCGAACCACGGTCCGGTCTTAACCCTAGAGACTGGACTGAAGTTCAGTCTGGGCTTTGAAAAAAAGGAGGACCGAACCACGGTCCGGTCTTAACCCTAGAGACTGGACTGAAGTTCAGTCTGGGCTTTGAAAAAAAGGAGGACCGAACCACAGTCCGGTCTTAACCCTAGAGACTAGACTGAAATTCAGTCCGGGCTTTTTAAAAAAAAGGAGGACCGAACCACGGTCCGGTCTTAAATTTAAGGACTGGAACACTCATATAAGCGGTCCGGTCCAGTCCAGTCCGGTCTTTACGGTCCGGGCTGGCCAGTCTACTTTTGTGATGTAGCTGTTGTTGCTGCTTCTGCTTCTGCTACTTGCGACTGCAACTCCTCAGTTGTGATGTGGAATTGACCCTTCAAAACTGCTCTCTTGCCCTTATTTTGTACTCTGCGCTTCTGAATAATTGAGCGCAAGTTGTCTGTCTCTCTTTGCTGTAGTATGTGGCATGTGTTAAGCTTCTCTGTCTCATCTGCTAACTTGTGGATATATCGCTTTGTAGGAGTGTACAAAACACCTTGATTTAAGGCCTTTGAGAGCATAGAATTCGCTTTTTGGAGGGTATTGAAATCTGGAGGACTGCTGTTCAGAAATACTTTCTCAAAAATGTCATGCTCTGTAGGAGTATGTGGCCGTTCTGTCGCTACATCTGTTGTAGTAATAGGAAGCGTCGCTGCCCGAATGACTGTCTGTGGTTGAAATGACTGTAGCCCACTCCCTCTCCAAGCAGAATTAATATTTAAAATTGAAAAAGCAGCTGCTCTTGCTTGTATGTATGCATCCATCCATTCTGCTTTCTGTATGCGTAGTAGCTGCAGGCGAGAGAGAGCAGTTGTAAGGTGTTTTTTCAGAGGTCCAAAAATTGCAACATCAAGTGGTTAAAGTATATGTGAGGTATGTGGAGGTATTATAAGGAGCGATATTCGATTCTGTATGCAGTGTGATATGAAGTTTCCGCTTATATGGCTATCATGGCCATCGCAAATAAGGAGCCTTTGTTGTAGCTGTCCATTTTGTGTTGCTTTTGCTCTTGTAGAAGGCTCAAAAACGCGTTTTAGCCACTCTAATCCATGAAGATTGCTTGTCCACCCTTTTGTATTTGCAGAGAAGTGCCATTTGCTTATAACCTCCTTTGGAATCCAGCTCTGTAGTATATTCTGTCCCTTGAAGATAATGAGGGGGTCGGTGGTTGTTCCATCCATGCAGATGCACTCAACAGCAGACACCCATTCCTGCCGGCCTGGATGGGCTTGAAAACGCGTCCTAAGGCTTGAATCCACGATAATTCTTGTTGATTGCATTGTTCCAATTGAAAACCCAGTCTCATCCATGTTGTAGGTGTTGTGATTTTCGATTTTTAGCTCTGTTGTGAGGCTCTTGTACGTGTCAAACCACCCCTTCAACATGTGCTTTGTGACCCCATTCATCCTTTGTGCCTCAACTCTGTGTCCTAGCTTAACACGTAGTTGTGGATGCCTTTGAATGAATCGCGGAACCCAGTCTTGCCCAAGTGGTAACCTAGGAATTTGAGCTTGTAGTTGTGGTTGTAATTGTTGAGTTTGTTGTTGTTGTTGTTGTTGTTGTATGCCACGACTTTGGTAAATGCGACACCTATTTGTGCGCACTTCATCAGCTACCTCTCTTAAAATCCAGTGGCTAGGAGCATAGCCACTGCTTGTAAGCTGCTTAATCCACTTTAAAAGGGTCTGTTCTTGATTTTTTGACAGGAGCTGTTGTTGTTGTCGCGCTTCCTTACGTGTTGGTATACCACGTAGGCGTCTCCGCACAGTATCAGGTCGTAGGCTCAATGCAATAGCTGCAGCATTTGCAGATTTAAATTTTTTGGTTTGAATTCCTAGAACTGCTTCAGAAAGTCGCAAATCAAGCTCTTAAGCCTGGTTATTCCTCCGTCTGACCATTCTAATTTTCGATTTTCTGAGCTGGTGGTTTGGTGGTTTGGCCTGGATTTTGGTGGGGTATTTAGAATAGCCGCTTACGCCATGTAGCCGCTTACGCCACGACCTACGTTAGAGGTAGTGTGATTAATGAAGGTGCGCATGTCGGCGTGTTGTAGCATCTGTTCTGGAGCCCATCACTCACCTCCCCTATTCGTTGATCGTTAGCAAAGTTTTATGAGGAGGGAGGGGGGAAGGTTGTGCTGCGTAAGGTAATGTAGGTCATGGCGTAACAGGGGTAATGGCGTAACGGGGGTAGTGGGGTCGGAACCACCCCATCAAACCTACAACCCTATTAACTACTACTACTATGCTAGAATGGTCCGTCAGAAGAGTATAAAGGCTCAAGAACGCGAAATTCAAATTCAAAAAGCTATATTAGCTATTAAATCAAATCAATACAAATCAATATATGCTGCTGCAAAAGCTTTAGGGCTACCAGAGGAGACCCTCCGCTGTCGCATAAATGGAAGGCACACACGTGTAGAAGCACGCCAGCACCAGCAACTCCTATCAAAAACTCAAGAGCAGACCCTCTCAAAGTGGATTAAAGAGCTTACTGGAAGTGGTTAAGCTCCTAGCCATCGGATATTACGTGAGGTTGCAGAGGAAGTCCGGTCAAACAAGTGTCGGGTCTTCCAAACCCAGGTGAGCCGACCTACAGAGTTAGTTGACCAGCTCAGTCAGGTCAACTACCAACCCATCAAACCTGCTATAGACTGGCAGACTCGGCTATTTCTAACTAGTGGCTTGGCAGACCCCATCAAACCAACCGGCTCAGCAGCAGATCCGACCAACCCAGCAGACCCGACCGACTCAGCAGTCCCGACCGACTCAGCAGACCCGACCAACTCAGCAGACCCGACCAACTCAACAGACACAACCTCAAATCCCTAACTTACCTCTTGGGCAAGAGTGGGTGCCACGGTTCATTCAAAGGCATCCTAACTTACGTGTTAAGTTAGGAAGGAGGGTTGAGGCACAAAGGATGAATGGGGTCACAAAGCAGGTGTTGACGGCGTGGTTTGACGCGTACAAGAGCCTCACAACAGAGCTAAAAATCGAAAATCACAACACCTACAATATCGATGAGACTGGATTTTCAATTGGAACAATGCAATCAACAAGAATTATCGTGGATTCTACACTTAGGACGCGTTTTCAGGCACATCCAGGGAGGCAGGAATGGGTTCTGCTGTTGAGTGCATCTGCATGGATGGAACAACCACTGACCCCCTCATTATCTTCAAGGGACAGAATATACTACAGAGCTGGATTCCAAAGGAGGTTATAAGCAAATGGCACTTCTCTGCAAATACAAAAGGGTGGACAAGCAATCTTCATGGATTAGAGTGGCTAAAACGCGTTTTTGAGCCTTCTACAAGAGCAAAAGCAACACTTCCAAATGGACAACTACAACAAAGGCTCCTTATTTGTGATGGCCATGACAGCCATATAAGCGGGAGCTTCATATCACACTGCATACAGAATCGCATATCGCTACTTATACTACCTCCACATACCTCTCATGTGTTACAGCCACTTGATGTTGCAATTTTTGGACCTTTGAAAAAACACCTCACAACAGCCCTCTCGCACCTTAATGAGGCGCAGCTCCTACGCATACAGAAAGCAGAATGGATGGATGCATACATACAAGCAAGAGCAGCTGCATTTTCAAATTCAAATATAACTTCTGCTTGGAGAGGGAGTGGGTTACAGCCATTCCAGCCACAGACAGTCATACGCGCAGCTACACTTCCTACAACAGATGCACCCTTAGAACGGCCAAGGACTCCAACAGAGCATGATATTTTTGAGAAAGTATTTTTGAATAGCAGTCCTCCTCATTTTCAGACACTTCACAAAGCAAATACAGTTCTCTCTTCTACAATAAGTCGTGGCATTCTCAACACTCCTACAAAGCGATATATTCATAAGTTAGCAGATGAGACAGAGAGGCTTAACACACGCCACATACTACAGCAAAGAGAGACGGATAACTTGCGCAACATAATTCAGAAAAGAAGGGAGCAAAAGAAGGGTAAAAGAGCTGTTTTGAAGGGTCAATTCCACATCTCTCCAGAAGAACTCCGGTCGCAAGTAGCAGAAGCAGAAGCAGCAACAGCAACAGCTTCACAGAGGCCTAGAACAACACCACGACTTATAGAGGAAGCTACAATTGAGGAAATAGACAGAGAGGGTGAAGAAGAGATATATGACAGCGATTTAGATGAATTAGCCTAGTAGTAATTGAACAATTTCAATTTTTTAAAGGTGGTAGTGGTTTGATGGGGTGGTTCCGACCCCACTACCCCCGTTACGCCATTACCCCCGTTACGCCATGACCTACGTTACTCCTACAAAGCGATATATCAATAAGTTAGCAGATGAAACAGAGAAACTTAACACACACCACATACTACAGCAAAGAGAGACGGATAACTTGCGCAACATAATTCAGAAAAGAAGGGAGCAAAAGAAGAGTAAAAGAGCTGTTTTGAAGGGTCAATTCCACATCTCTACAGAAGAACTCCGGTCGCAAGTAGCAGAAGCAGAAGCAGCAACAGCAACAGCTTCACAGAGGCCTAAAACAACACCACGACTTATAGAGGAAGCTACAATTGAGGAAATAGACAGAGAGGGTGAAGAAGAGCTATATGATAGCGATTTGGATGAATTGGCACTGTAGTAATTGAATTATTTGCGATTTTCTAACTTGGTGGTTTGGTGGCCGGGACCTGGATTTTGGTGGGGTATCCAGAATCGCCGCTTACGCCATGTCGCCGCTTACGCCACGACTTACGTTACACTAACACGAACAGAGGCACGCCAACAGCAGCAGCTCCTATCAAAAAATCAGGAAAAGACACTTTTAAAGTGGATTAAAGGGCTTACAAGTAACTTATGCCATGACCTAATGTAACGCGTGGCGTAATGGGATGGATGGCGTAACGGGACGCTTTGCCAGAGCCACCCGCACCCCACCAAAATCAAGGTCACATGACCAAAATTAAAACGTTAATAACTTTTGTAATAATGCTTATAACGCTTAATCCTCTTAAACTATTACTCTTTATATCATACTCTAACATGTGTAAAAATGCTAACATAGGTCGTGGTCAGACCGGCTACATGGCCAGACCGGCTATTAGTACCATCACATACAAATTTGTATGTGGAGGTACTTATGCTTGCGAAAATTAGAACCTTAATAACTCCTTTAATAAAAAGGCTAGAGCATATTCCTTGTATATATAGGAACTTTAAATAGTCATCTACTATATCTAAAGACGCTAATAACACTAGTATCTTTTTACATAAGTTACTAAAGGTTTTAACTTTTGCCATATAAATTTTTAGTATGGCAAATCTAAAATTGTTAATAACTACCTAATAAGGCTAGCTTACATGCTAGCGTTTTTAATTATAACGTATAAGTATATAAATTATCTAAGTTTAATAACATTAAGCTCTAGCAAGTCAATTAAAGTAATTATTACAAGTTTGAATTATATATCACGTGATGTGAATTTGCTTGTGAATTTACCTGTAAAATTGAAATAGCCGGTCTGGCCATGTAGCCGGTCTGACCACGATCTACGTTAGTAGTACTAGTTTTGTTTTACAAAAGATATTAAAGCTTATATTTTACTATATAAAATATTTATATGGTAAAAATTAAACTATAAATAACTACTTAATAAGAATAGCTTACACTCTAGCAAATTCGGCTATAAGAAATAAGACTATAAAGAGTAATAGTCTAAGAGGATTAAGCGTTATAAGCATTATTACAAAAGTTATTAATGTTTTAATTTTGGTCATGTGACCTTGATTTTGGTGGGGTGCGGGTGGCTCTGGCAAAGCGTCCCGTTACGCCACGAGTTATGTTAGTCTAAGAGTATTAAGCTCTAGAGCCATTATTACAAAAGTTACTAAGGTTTAAAATATGGTCACATGACCTTGATTTTGGTGGTGTGAGCAGGTAGACCCAGTACACCATAAGACCCGGTACACCACGACCTACATTACAGTTGTTATGGTTGTTATGGTTGTTATGGTTGTTATGGTTGTTACGGTTGTTACGGGTGCAGCCTTAGCCACCAAGGCTACAACCACTAAGCGGACAACTGTATATTACAAGGAATAGCCTCACCTTCCTTCCTTCTTCTTCTTCTTCTCTCTTTAGATTTAATCTAGCTTATTATTCTCCAGACTGGCTTCTTGACCTCTGTGACCATCGTAAATATCCTTAGTACAATCATTCTATAGACTTTATAAGCTCTATATATACCTTGTATATGATTGGCTGAAGTGGTTTCCTATGTGGTCGAACAGGATATAATTTCTGATTTCGTATAGGCAATGAAAGTAAGGTGGTGATAACTTTTCGTAGTATCGAGTATCACTTCGTATAATCATATATAGGGTATGTATGGAAGTAGGTCTACTTCCTAGTTGGTTTGTCTGAGTAGTAGCTCTATTATCCGAAAGGTAGGTCGCTCCTTCTATCGAGGTGTATATATAGGTAGGTCTTGTTCCTACCTACACCTTCTTCAGTCGGACCTCTCGCACATTATTGCTTTAGTCGCCACGTTCAACCTCTATCATCCTTCAGATTCACCTTACGACACCTCAGTTTATCTTCTAATACCTCTATTCGCAATGCCTCCTCCATCAAAGTTCGTCATGGTGCACAATCTTCCCATTCAACACCCTCATCTTCTCAACCCCGCGGCTGAGGCTGAGACACTCAATTCATACAACTCGTTTGTTGGTCTGTTTATCCTTCGTACAATTATCCTTTCTATTCGTACAATCCTAACCTAGGCTTATAGGCTTGACTAAATCCAAGTTGCTCGCCCACCTCACCCATCCTCGTGGTGAGATCGTCAATAAGACTTTCTGCCAACGTTTTGCAACCGGACAATCGACCGTTTTTCCCGACTGTGTCGTCAACCTCAAGGTGTACCCTGCTGGATATTGCACTGCTTGCGCATGGGCGACTGATAACTATAAGTGTCGCGCTGCTTCTTTTGAGGCTCTCGGACCATTCACTGAGCGCACTCGAGCTGCTTATAACGCTGCTCTCACTCAGGCTAAGGCTGGAACCCTCGAACCCCATCACCTCAAGTGCCCTTTTGGGTGTATGCTTGCACTTGAGCATGCAGTCTCTGACTGCCCTCTTGTCTCTCTATCCCATATTCAACATTGTGTTACCGTGGAGTTCGCTCGCTATGAGGCTACCATTGAAAAAAAAGGATGCAGAGATTAAGGAGTTGATGGGTACTAAGGAGCTTTATGAGGCTGAGATTTTCCGCCTTAAGGTCCTCTATCACCAGGCCCTCACTCACGCCTAGTCTTGTTTTTTTTTTCTCTTTTGTATCATTAGACTTCTAGCTTTCATAGCTCAATAAGACTTTATTTTCTCTTTGTTTTTGTGTTTTAATGTTGTTTTCTTGTTGTAAAGACTGAAAATACCAAGGCTTTTGTAGTGAAATAACATATGAAATGTATAGCGAGGTAAGTTGATGTAACCTGCAAGTATGCTTCAGACTATTCTCATACGGTTCGTATGAATGTTTTATCATGTTGTATGGTCACTGTACACCTCTAGGTATGATTGTCCGAACCCTTTCCTAGATTGTATGAAAGGGTTCTTCCACCCCCTTAGTACCACTCTCTAATTTTGAGACGTGGACTAATCCAATCATTTTCATGAACTCTTTATGCTTTTGGCGTGGTAGGGCCTTAGTGAAGCCATCTGCAGGCATTGCCCTCGTAAGAATCCATTTAACATTGACCGTTCCTTTTTGAACTTCTTGCCAAAGCCAACTTTGGTGTATGTCAATGTGTCGCAACTTCGTCATTAGCTTAGGTGCATCTGTGACCATAAGTCGGACTGTTTGCACATTGTTGCACTCTATAGAGGGGTGTTCATATATCTTAAGATTATTTGGTCGAAGACCCGTAACCACCAATATAGTTGAGTTGTCGCGCGCGATAGAGCAAGTAGTTCTGCTTCGGTCGTAGACCTAACAACAGTCCTCTGTTTCGAGCTTTGCCAATCTATAAGAGAGTTGAATAGATGGAATGTGTACCCTTCTGTACTCTGTCGCGTTTCAGTGTCATCTGTGAACGATGCGTCTGATGCAGCTCAGAACACCCCTTCTTCAAACATGTTAATTTCGTTCGTACAATCAACTTTCTGCTTCGGACGATTGTTCTGAGGGTTCTCTCCTCATAACATTCATCTAGTCTGTTTCTATGAGAATTATTCTCATTTGTACGAGAAGATATTAACGTTTCTGTGAGTAGTGCACCCCCTACACCCCCTACATCCGTAGGTATTAAGGCTCATAGCTCTTGTAGGAGGTTTGTATGAACATTCTGTGGGTTCGTACGATCACATGCATAGAGTAATCCATAATCCTTCGTCTGATAGAGGTAGGCGATGCATCGATTTACTGCCTGTTCATGTGTTGGGCTTGGGTTTTGCATGAACTCTGCAAGCTTTTGTGCTGTTCGCGATGCATCTGGTTGAGTAATTATCATAGGATAGATGATCGATCCTATCCGTTGTTGGTAATAATGTATTGTGGCCTTGATGCTTGTTCTACATTCTTCACAAAGTCTTTTACTTCCATAGGTGTATTGACCTTCCGATGGTCCATGACATTGAATTTCTGAGCGATCTTTTCGATGTATTGATCTTGACATGGCCAAACCCATCGTCGCTCTCGGTTTCGGACAATGTGGATTCTGAGGAAGTACTCAAGTTTTCCTAGCTCATGAAGCTCGTATCGCTCATGGAGTGTTTGTCGGAACTCATCATATTCTTTCTGTTTGTCCTTAAAGTATAAGGCATAGATGTCATCTACATAGAATCATACGATGATTCCGTCTCGTATAAAGAGACAAGGCGCATCGCGTGTGCCCTTAAACCCCATTTGTAGGAGTGTCTCTTGTATATGTTGATACCATAGTAATGGTGATCGCTTTAACCCATATAAGGCTTTCCGTAGTTGAAAACAATGAGTTTGAGGTTCATATGAACCTTCTGTCATTCGTACGATTCCTTCTGGAATTGGTATATATACCGTTTCATCCATATCTGCATTCGTAAATGCGCTTACAGCATTGAACTGTCGCACTTCCATGTCGAAGTACGCCATAAGTGCCATTGTGAGTCGGAAGATGCGCGCTGCTAGAGTAGCTGCATAGACCTCATTAAAGTCCGATGAGTGTTGTAAGTCACCTCGGACCACGAGTCAAGCCTTACACTTCACAAAGAAGCCATTTTCATCCGTCTTATATGTATACACCCATTTTATAGGCACGAGTTTTGCAAGGTTTGCTTTTTTCCGAGGTGTTAAAATGAATGTGTCGCGTCGTGCAAGATCATAAAACTCAAGGTTCTTCGCCTCTATAAACTCTTGTCTATATTGATGTGTGTTTAACCCTTTCTCACTTGTAGGTGCGAGGGGTAGGTCCCGTTGATGGACTCATTCTTGTGCTGCATTAAAAGCCGTGTGAAAAGATGAACCTTGTGAGAGGTTATCTAGGGTCACGTGATAGGCTTGCCTTCAGATATTTCCTTCCTGTCGCGGTTGGTACATGATGCTTAATTCATCTATATCATCATCTTCATCCTCATGTTCTGATCGCAGGATAGGTGACAATAGGTCGGGTGTAGGCCATGGTGCACTTCCTTTCGTAGGAACACTAACATCGTTCATACTATCCAGAATAATTATCGTACGATCGTTCTCATGGCTTTGTTCCTTTTGAGGAGTGCCCTGTTCGTTTGTACGAGATGATTGTTCATTTGTACGAAGAGTTGTCTCAGGTCCCTCATTTGTATGGGAATCCGCGCATTGAGTGTTAGGACTTCTCAGACTATCATGAACATTTCTCGGACGATCGTTCCTAGTGTTAGGTTCCTGGTTTTGATCATTCCCATTGTTTGGCCGAAGTGGTATCCTATTTGTCTGAGAAGATATATCCATTTCCTCATAGTCCCTTTGGAGTTCATTGATGTCGTCCCCTTCTACCTCCTTCTCTGGTAATTCTATGAAGATAGGATCAATGTCTTCATGTAGTGATATAGGGTTGTACTCTCTTTTTGAGTCCCATTTCCCTTCTTCATTAAAGGTAACATCGCAGGAGAAGATAACCTTGTTCCATGATGGAATCCATACACGGTAAATGTTCGAGGACTGCCATCCTACTAGAAACCCGATTTCTGCTCGTGGGTTTAGCCTATCAAGCTTCAGTTGGTTGTTGATGCGTGGGTAGGCTAAACAGCCATACTTGTGCATTTGCGTGAGCGGTAGCGGAGTCATCCATTTAAGCCATTCTATAAGCGCTTGATATGGTGACTTCCATTTTAGCCACTCTTGTGGTGATTGTCATACTGACATTTGTTGCACTCAGTTTGCTATCAAACTCAAGAGCAAACTTAGAAATCTCCTCCTCAAACCTACAAGCCACTATACATATTTTGGCTGTCACACCAACAACAAGAGCAATACTACTCAATGGTTGCTACAACCCTCTATGATTCATTACACGTCATTGCTCCTTAGTTACTGGGCCGATATGACCACATAGCATATCTCTACAACCCTCTATGATTCATTACATGACATCACTCCTTAGTTACTGGGCTAATACTACACATGACATATCTCTATCAACTAGAGGCCTAGGAACATGAACGATAGCTCCAAAAGCTTCTACAACCATCTATGATTCATTACACATCATCGCTCCTTAGTTACCCACAAGATTGGTTAAGTTATGACATAATTTGTCTATAGGGGTACTCTGACCTTGGACCTCCTTTCACTTCCTATAGACTAGGAACCTAGGAGATGGTTCTATGGGATTCTCTTACGTCGACTACAGTTACCAAGCCTGGTTAGTCATGGAAAGTCTTGGAAAATGAGAAAACTACACTCCTTTAGCATAAATAGGATTGCCCTTTCCTTAAGAAAGGGTAAGCAGGCAATACAGTAAATTGACTATCACATACTTCCACGTCTTTTCCAAGCTTCCAAGCATTGATCTTGTTACTCCTTGTTTCTGAAAAGTCAGTGAGGTGCTAACCTCTGACTTATCCCTGAGTTCTCAGACTCAACATTTGTTACAACTTGTCTAAACCACTCCACTATATCATACACCTGATTGCTGCGTTGTGGAATAGTCTAAGCTACGACCCTTTGGCTCTTTTTCTAAGACAGTTGTGTTGTCTTAGTAAAATCATCCCTTCCTTGGGTGGCTAGATTCTCACATCTGGTGCACCCACCATTACAGTGATCTGTTAAGGATATAGGACGCGGCCATAGTTAAATTAACTAGTAGAAGCAGAAACAGCAACAGCAACAGCTTCACAGAGGTCTAGAACAATACCACGACTTATTAATGAAGCTACAATTGAGGATATAGATGAAGAGAGTGAAGAAGAGCTATATGATAGCGATTTAGATGAGTTGGCACTGTAGTAATTGAATTATTTGTGATTTTCCAAGTTTGTAGTTTGGTGTTCTTGCTCTGGATTTTGGTGGGGTCAGAAAAGTCACCGCTATGGCCATGGCGCCGCTAACTTAAAGTCTACTGCACCTCCTCTCCTTCTGTACAGCCCAGCCCTTGACTGCAACGTTGAGGATGATCCATGCCATGAGGAAGCTCACGAGACCCATTGTCACGGTGAATACAAACATGGCATCCAGGTTATTATATTCCATCGATACAACTGTATCACGGCTCTGTAATAAATGTTAGGTGTCTCCTAATACAATAACAACAATATAAAGCAGGTTAGAACACCTACACTGGCCATGAATACGAGACCGCAAGCCATAAGGCAGAAAGCTGTGATGAGCTCTGAGGGTGGTCGCGAAGGCAAAAACGACGTTGGTGGTGACAAGTAGAAAATAATATACGTCAACCCTCTAGCAAAGGAAGCGCCCATCAAAAGGGTTCCCCACTGCTTGTGGATCATAGTCGAGACCATCGAGCTTTGGTGGTGAGAGCTCATCATTATCCCCAAGAGGAGCACCATCAATGCCGGAATGGGGTTCATCGAGATCTTGTAGCTTTTGGGGGGCTGCCAGCTTGATTCCTCGTCTTCGCCTTCCATAGATGGGCTGTCGACTGGCCTATTAAGGGAAATTTTCGGAGTGTTGATGTTCAACAGGTTTCGGATTCTGGTCGACTCGATTAACATTCCGCACTTAATCCGTCAGTATCTGAAGGATATTATGCCTATTACTAATTCACTCACCAGTCCTCCCCCAATGAACATTATTGTGATGGAGATGTGTTCCATGTCTTGCGCGCTCCATGCTTCGCCCCATGCATTCAGGTGCTCTAGAAATATATTCGTAGACCCATAGAAGAAAATAAGGAAGCTTTCCACGAATTCTGCGGAGATGGTGTTCGCGTTCTCCGACTTGCCAGTAGTTCTAGGTTTTATATTCCAAGCCTTTCGCTGTTAGCAAGAAAATACATGTCGGAGACAAAATACGCACCCAACCACGGTCTGCAAAGCTTCCGGCCCAGCGGCCTAACGTGAGTATTCCGTACCAGAAGAACACTCCGCCCTTGATGAAATGGGCAAGCCCAGAAAACACATCCCTTCCTCTCTAAGGCCAGTTAGATTTACAACTTATTCGGTGGGCTAGGGGTGCATACAAAAATTCCGGCATATGTCACAGCTCCAGTGGTTATAGCCACAAATCCTTGTATCAATATCGTGCGTGTGATGATAGCCTCGAATATGCGAAGTAAACCAGTCACGCGCGAAGAGATATACAGAGGTACTTTGCCTAAAAGAACAGCACGCAACCTCTTCATCACGAGTACATGTCGGCTTCTCTTTTTTGGACTCGGAGCTAGGTCATCAGCCTCACCCTCGTAATACTTCCGGTTTATACCGTTCATGACATCTCGGTCATCTTCCAATGAGGAAGACGAGTTGCCTCTGAGGGATTCATCGTTCTGTTCCGTTCCATGCCCACTATCGTCCGAGAATCGATATCCTGGGGAATTCTCTGCAGCGTTTGCCCATTGATGCCCCCCCACAGACTGCTGCAAGCTTTGGATAAAGGGTAGTTGTTCCTCGGAGTTTCTGCTCCCTCCTCGCAGCCTAGCAGATGCTGTTATTAGAGCCAGGCATATCTGCGCAACGGTGACCCAAGTGAGCAGCCACCCGATCGTGTGGTGCGCGTTATGGGGGTATAAATCCGGCGTTCTGCTGTTGTAGAGCATCGCCAGTATAACTCCTCCCAAATTTATTATAAAAAAGCCAGATTGGGCTAAGAGGTTCAGTCTGGAGCGGGAAATGGAGAGCATTACAGCTAATTCACGTCAGATATGTTCATTCCTAGGGTTGTCGGAGGTTCACACCAATTGGAAGCACAAAGACCCAAGCAATTGTCATCAGAGCAATGTGAGCGAGGATCAAATGTGAGTATTCTGGGTGTCGGAAGTAACTTGGAGGCACCTCCAGCGTCGCATTAGATGGAGTGGCGCCCAGCGGCACACCAGCGCCAGTGGCCGTCATGCCCATATCCATATGAGTTTCATCCCCGTGTGCAGAGGCCGCTATAGCGAAGAATAGCACCAGCAGAGCCGGGGCTGCCTTGGTAAATTCCGGGCAGGTCCTCATATGTGGCTGTTTGACAGTGTGTATTGTTAGGTTCAAGGGAATGGTGAGTGGTGGTTATCGCTTGTCTGGTGGGTAGGCAAGGACCATATGTCAATTTGTCAATATGTTTTAGGTAGTGTAAGAAGGTGATAAGGTAATAAGACGGTGTTGGATTTCAGTAGTATATTATTGTGAGAGGGAAGTGGATGAGGGAGAAGAGTGAGTGGGGATAGTGAAGGAGGACGGAGGGGTGTTAAAAGAGTCATGAGAAATCGGAAGTTTCGGCGAAGATGGGATGAAGGTCAACAAAGTAAGTGGGAGGGGTGGGGGGTGTGGTGAAGCCAAGGGATTATGTGACGGAGGAAGGAACGGATGAGGGGATTCCAAGTGCATGGCAGTAAGGCGGTAAGAGACTGGGGATTATGAAGGAAAAAGAGGACGATTCCTTGTCGACGGGTGTCCGATGGTGCATTTAGTGATGATGCTATGCCTGGGGATATGTATATCGTACAGGAGCAGTACAGAACAGAACAGAATAGTCACATTACCGAGGGAATGCAACAGTACAGTCTCATACAGAATAGAGTGATGAGGTACATGGAGACAGCTGTATAGTAGTACTGTAGAGTTGTATAGTTGTATGGTTGTACTGTTATAGGTATTAATAGGTATTAGTACGAATGTAAGTTTGTCAACAAAGGGTTTGAGATTCACATATGATAGTCTGACATGGTCTGGCATGGTCTGGCATGGTCTGGCATGGTCTGGCATGGTCTGAAAGGTCTGAAATAGTCTAAATAGTCTTGAAATGGTCTGAAATGGTCTGAAATGGTCTAGAAAGGTGTGTGAAATAGTCTGGAAAGGTGTGAATAGTTCTGAGCAGCTACAGTACGTTCAATTTGATGCTGGTGGTGGTGGTGCGAGGTCCGCAAGTCTGGACTATACCGCAACACTAAAAAATGTGAATCCACACCCGTGCGCGCGTATAGCCATTTATTTACTCAACAGTGGTTGCTTTGTATGCAGACCAAGGGTCCACTTTGTCAAATAAGGTAGGCGACTTACCAGCCCTGGCCTAGTTGTGATGACGGCGATGACGGCGACAACGGCGATAACGGTGATGACGATGATGACGGTGATGACGGCCTTCCGGGGATCCGAGAACCCTGCAAAGGCGGTGAGTGGAGAACAACGGGAAGCACGGGAAGTGAAGGGATCATAGCTCGCTTGGCTTGCGATACCTCACTTGTGATGGCGCGTACACCTCCGACGCCCCCAACTGCCGTTTGCGGGGTTGTAGTGGCCGGTACTGGAGCACCACATGTGGCTGGTATTGGATGACCAAACAGTCCAGCTTAGCCCAGCCTTATCGAGGGAAGCTCTGCAGCCACCAGATGAAGGAAGCCACGCCGGGAATATGGACATATCTCCGTTTCATCCGACACAGCATCGACTTGTATAATATTGTGCAGGCAGATCACATTGTGTGCAGGTGTGTTGTTGGATGGGTATTGGGTTCATGGTATCATGATATCATGATATTTATGGACTCGACCACAACCATACATACAAACTAGACCCTATGAATACATGAGCCTGTTCGCAAAACAATGAAAAATACAAGGGAAATATCCGTACTGTTGTGAATGCATCCCAACAATTAATGCTCCTCTACTGTAAAGATAAATTCCCGCGGACGTGGGACGACTACCGCTGCGGCACTTCTCACCAGACAAACACATAAACACAAGCACAATTAAACACGACCTCCCCGCGTAGCAAAAGTAAGGCACATCCCCTGTATTACCATCTAATACATATGATTTTGAGCCCGCCAGAGCCGAACCATGCGCAACTTCTATTACTATACATCTCTCCAACATCCAAGTTGGATACCGCAGCCCCAACTAAGCTCGCCGCTACCGACTACAACAGCATCGCTACGCTAAATCTACAACAGCATGCGACGGGGATCCTCGATGAACTCCTTGACCTTGACGAGGAACTGGACTGCCTCCCTGCCATCCAGCAGACGGTGGTCATAGGTTAACGCCAAGTACATCATCGGTCTGATCTCAACCTTCCCGTTGATAGCAACTGGCTTATCCTTGATGGCGTGAAGCCCCAACACAGCTGTCTGGGGAAGGTTGATGATGGGGGTACCCATCATCGAACCGAAGACGCCGCCATTGCTGATGGTGAATGTTCCTCCGGCCATATCCTCAATCGTGAGCTTGCCGTCGCGGGCCTAGCAATATATTAGTCAGAGTCGGGAACTATTAGTCATACTACGCACCTTCTTGCCGAGATCCGCGATGGCCTGCTCAATGCTAACCAAGTCCAGGCCCTCAGTATTGCGGACAACTGGAGTGACAAGCCCCTTCTCCGTTGCAACAGCTACGGAGATATCCACGTAGTCCCTGTAGACAATGGTATCACCGCCGTTTGGTCCCTCAATGGAAGCGTTGACGGCCGGGATATCCCTCATAGCAAGGACACAGGCACGCGAGAACGCGCTCATGAAGCCCAGCTTGACACCGGTCTTCTTCAGGATATCATCCTTGTAGAGCTTGCGGAACTCCATGAGCGAAGACATGTCAACCTCGTTGAACGTTGTCAGCGAAGCTGCAGTGTTTTGCGATTGCTTTAGACGCTCAGCAATCCTCAGACGCATGCGGTTCATCTTGACCTGAGAGAAATCAGTATCAGTAACCCAACTAGTATAGACCCAAGCTACTCACGCGGCGCTCCTCACGGTTACCCGTTGTGGAAGTAGTTTTCGACCCATCTGCCTTGGACCCGGACTGTTTCGGTGGAGGGGATGCCTTCTTTGGCTGCTCTTGTGCTGGTGCAGGAGCGCTCTCCTTCTTGGGTGGGGTTGGCTCATCCTTTGGTGCTGGTTTCGAATCCGAAGGCGTCGACTTCTCCTCCTTGGGCTCGGCAGGTTTCGACTCCTCCTTTGCCGGTGCTTCTCCTCCAAGCTCCAAACGGACGAGGTCTTGACCAACGGTCACGGTGTCCTCCTCCTGTGCAAGGAACTCCTTAATAGTACCGGCCTGGGGTGCATTCACAGCGACATCAATCTGTCAGTAAGTAAGCTTTGGCGTGACATATACTAGAGCTGTAAATAGTGACCTTGTCAGTCTCAATTGTTGCGATCTCCTCATCCAGCTCCACGTAGTCTCCGATCTGTTTCGAGAACTGCTTCAATGTGCCTTCCGAAATGGACTCTGCCATCTGTGGAACCTTGACAATGGTGTCGGCGTAGGATCTGAACTGCTGGACAATTGGAAATCCATAGCGCATCTGTGGTGCCCGGTGTGCTCGCAGCACCTTCGAGGCGAGCAAGATCCGACGGGAGAACATGTTGAGTGATTGTTGAAAACGGAATGAAAGGGGCAATGAGGAACGACAAATTGGTCGGAGTAAGTTGTAGGAACTACAATTTTAAAAGCCTCAGTAATCGGTCGGTTACTCCGTACCCAATCCCAGTTGTCTCAAAACAAAGTATCATCGGGTGATACTATGTCCGGACCGAAATGCAGCCTGAGGCATGAATTATTGGATTGGTCAAGGTTGTGAAGCGCAACTTTGGATGGCACTTCGCAGCCGCTACCTTGTGTCCATACGAAAGCCATTGCACCTCCATTGAACAATTGGGGCATTGACAACTTGCTCTACGTTGTTAGTACCATACGACCACCCTGAAAGTATAGCCTGTTGAGGAAGAGTGACATCAAGTGAGAGCTCCAGCCATGTCGAACACTCAAGTCGTGTCGTAAGAGTTCCCCCCCATCTAATAGATGACATTGCCGACTGACACAAATAAAGGTCGTTATACCGACGCTCCCTGAAGCTTGCTTTGGACTGGTCCGTCCACAGATACCTCTGGAGAGGCCAAGCGCTCTATCTCCGATCGTTGTTCGAGACCAATAAAAACATCAAGGACCCACGGCAACAGAGGGTAAGCATCTGCTCAATGCAACGAACGAGCGAGTACTTACCAGACTCGCAGGCGCTTTTCAGGGAAACAGAAGACTTGCTTGAGAAATGGAAGCACCCAGATCCATACCGTGTACCGACAAGCCCAGGAGGTATGTCAAGGCCTCAGTTATCGATATGGGACGGGCATATACTGATTGAAATTGTGCTACAGGTTCCAAATACGAGCGCAACCTTCCACCATCTACCCTTGAGCGTAAGTTTCAATTGCTATGTTGGTCATTCATGGGGACACAAACTAATTACATGCGTAGCCCCTACCAACACGAACTTATAGAGATCATAAAGATGGAGCTTGGTGCAGTGCTTGGTGCAGTGGGAGGCTGCTCATTGTATATAGAGAATTAAGAGCTTCAAATGCACAATGTTTTACCAGTTTTTGTGACTGTCTTTATTTACGGATCGGGTTGCGAGGTATGGAATCGTGCGGCAAAAATGAGAGTAAACGCGCCTGTTTTTGTTGCCAGATATGGACCTGCGGATTTGAGATTCACGCGTCTAAATAAACGCTGGATGATTTTGGGAAAGCAAGCAATTGATATTTCACGTCACGAAGAAAGTCATTTGAAATATTGATAGTTTCATAAGATTGATTCTGAAAATCAATCCCGACCCATTGCCATGGACCTATTGTACAACCTTAAAAAAAAAAAACGCAAAAAGCAGCCGTGAGCCCATATCCCGGACGACACCCCATTATCATGAAAGCGAGAACATTGCAGAAACCCAGGAAGAAAACCGTTTACAACTCTTGGCTTCCAGCACCCTTGCCCTTGACGGTCTTCTTGGGGAGAAGCTTCTGGTGGATATTTGGTAGGACACCACCTTGTGCGATTGTGACGTGTCCGAGAAGCTTGTTCAACTCCTCATCGTTGCGGATGGCGAGTTGCAGATGACGCGGGATGATACGGGTCTTCTTGTTGTCACGAGCGGCGTTACCAGCCAACTCAAGAATCTCAGCAGCGAGGTACTCCAGGACAGCAGCCAGGTAGACGGGGGCACCTATTTGACGCGTCAGTAATGGGTTCCAATGATAAAACGCGTAAAGAGAGGCAACATACCAGCACCAACACGCTGGGCGTAGTTTCCCTTGCGAAGGAGACGGTGGACACGTCCGACGGGGAACGCGAGACCGGCCTTAGAGGAACGGCTGTACGAAGAACAAATTAGTAAAGTGAACTCGATAAAGCAAATCGACAATCCAAAAAAGACTCGGATGATTCTTGAAGTCAATTGCCATAGACAGGCGAATTGCTTCAAGTATCTTGGATGAGGTTTGGGTGAGGTGGTTGTGGGAGTGAACTTACGATTGCGCGCTCTTGGAGCCAGACGCCTTTCCTCCAGATTTGCCTCCAGTCATTTTGAGTGAGTTTTGGGGGGTTTGAAAATTGAGGGTGGTGTTGATGATTGGAGAGTAGCGGTGAAGTAAGCGTGTATAGTCGTGGTGGGTTGATGTGGTCGTTGAGAGATGAAGAGAGGAAAAGGTAGAAGAAAGGCGGAGTGAAGTGGGAGTTGCTGGAACTTTATAAGACTGTCACCAATATGGGTGATTTATGGGATCACTCGCTTCTGAGATAGCGAGCCAAAAGGGCCAAAGCTGTGAAATCGCGCGAATGGCGCGAATGGGCTGATGGGGATGAGGGGATGGCAGCTAATCGAGCCAATCAGCGATCGCTTAAGGTGCTGTGTGTTGATGCGCCCCCCCCACTAAACAATTGTTATGATGTCGAAACGCGCTTCTGTTTCTGGTTAGCGCCAAATACGTGCCTCGCGTACCCGAATCACCACCGCGCATTTCTCTGAGGTATAAGAAGTGGCAGGACCTCCATCTCCGTCAACCCTTTCCCTTCTTTCTCCTCTCTTCATCTATCACCCACACTCTGCAACGCCCACGTCCCACGTCTACAACTTCAATCAAATCTCAATTCTACTCTCAACTTTCACCCCAAACCCCAAAACCATCAACATGCCACCAAAGGGAGCCGCCGAGAAGAAGCCCGCCGCAAAGGCCCCAGCAGCCAAGGCTCCCGCTGAGAAGAAGGATGCCGGAAAGAAGACCGCCGCAACTGGCGAGAAGAAGAAGCGTACCAAGACCCGCAAGGAGACCTACTCTTCATACATCTACAAAGGTGAGATTCAAACCAAAACCCACAAAACGCGTCGAAACCACCCATCGCGCCACTTTAATGTCACGTTCATAACTAACATACCACAGTTCTCAAGCAGGTCCACCCGGATACTGGTATATCCAACCGTGCCATGTCTATCCTGAACTCCTTCGTCAATGGTAAGCTTTCATCACTTTTCGCATATTCGTTTCAAATTACTTACACAATCCAGACATTTTCGAGCGCGTCGCAACTGAGGCGTCCAAGCTTGCCGCATACAACAAGAAATCCACAATCTCGTCCAGGGAGATCCAAACCTCGTACGTATATATTGTAAACTCATACACTTAACCAATTCTGACATTTCCCCCCAGTGTCCGTCTTATCCTCCCAGGAGAGCTTGCCAAGCACGCCGTGTCGGAAGGCACCAAGGCCGTCACCAAGTACTCGTCTTCTGCGAAATAAATGTTCTCTGTTTGCGGGGTTTTACACAGGGTCTCGGATATGTTCGGTCTTCGGAGTCATCTAAATCAGATGATAAGGCCAGCATGGGCTCGATCTGGTCGGGTCTCTTTAATGCGTTATGGATGGTGTGCTTTTACGGGGGCAAATGTCTTCAGGGTCTGCTTTATGGGTTACGTGGCTGTACAATAAGCGTCTTCAGGGTTAGGAATGCTGAAGGCCACATTTGAAACACTATGACATCTTTGATCCAAGTGATGAACGAACCGCAACATGATAGAGCTACCCGGATTTCGGACAGCATTTTTCATTATTCGGCGACTGCACTGGAATTCGAACAAGCCGAGTCTTGAAATGACGAACTACGATTCCCTCGATCGAGCACAGTTGTAGAAACATCATTTGAGAACAATTTGCTTGGAAATATGGATTCTACATGATCAGAACACTCGGATACCGAATATTTCAGATTACCATACATTTTCATCTCATTGCGACCAGGATGGATATTGGAAGAAATTCTTCGATTAAAGACAGTGAGGAGTTAACACTGAAATAATATACAGTTTTGGTATATATAGACAGCGGTCTAGCGAACAAATATTATCCCAGCCCAGCTTTGGTAGTCTTGACAACATGCGATACAGGTTGCAATATCCCCTTGTTATTCAGGGCGCCCAGCGCAGTCCCACTGCTCCATCCCATCTTCTCCATCATTGCCCTACCCCTATTCTCGACTCCCAACTCTGGCGCGGAGCCTCCCACAACATCTCCGTCCTTATAACCACCCGCAGTGCCGCGTAACCCTGAGCTTGTCTTGGCCATAGGATTCTTGCCTTTGACATCCATGCGAGGGAAAAATCGGCGAGAGATTCTTCGTTCAACAGAGGTGAAAACATTTTCATTGTAGGCAGATGTCCGATGGGTGCGATAAAGTACAGGGAATCGCTTTCGTTCGGCACCGACAGACTTTGACTTCAAGTTGAAGGCATTGGCGATTTCATGGACCACTATACGGTCCTTCTTATCCATAGGAGGCAAAGCGAGCCTAAGAACATTGGATTAGTATCTCCATCTTTGAAGGGGTATGGGGTGTCTGCGTACGTAGTGTTCTTGCCAATTAAAAACAACCTGATTTCTTCTTTGATCGCCATGATCCCCATGCCCTCCTTGTATTTCATACTGAGGTCAGGTTTGTCGGGATGGATACCCAAGACCCCCAAAGCTCTGCGATGCTCGCGGTCCTCTTTCCTCTGCTTCTTTTTGACTCGATCGTTCTCCCATGCGGACTGCATTGATGCCTCTAATTCCGGATCAGAAACGTCGAAAGGTAGCCTACCCTTGCGACCCTTCAAGCTAGGACGCTCAAAATCCATGACATCGAAACCATCATATGCGTCTGCGAGCCTAGTCGCTGAAGGAAAGCCACTCTGGTGCGTTCTTGAGACCTTCTCTCTGAGTTGAAATTGTTCCCTTTTGCGGTTCCGGGCGGTTGACGAACTGCCACCGCTTGGCTCGTTTAATCCGTCAAACAAAGCCAACTCCGAGGAGTCGAATCCAAATTCGAATTGCTTCGCTAGCAGCCTTGCCATTTTTTCATCGTTTAGATTGTCAAACTGCCGCTGTATAAGATCCATGTCATCGTCTTCGGAATCGGTACTTTCAGTCAGATCATCATCCGCCGAATCAGAATCGTCAGCGTCGCCATCTAAGCTCTCCGTTACTAGCTTTGTGTTGGCCTCGAATTTTCCAATTAGATTTAGCGCCTGGGGTGTCAATAACGCTGCCGCTGCCGCAGGAACCCATCCCGACTTGTCGCTCATGTACTCACTCCAAGCAACAAGATATTGTAGACCAGATTTAGCGTCTCGCCTTGACAGGACTGCATCAATGGGACCAGAAACTTCATCTAGGAGCTCCAAAGTATCCTGGTCGAGAAAATCCGAGGGGTCCAAGTTCTCTTCCAACAATTCCATGTCAGAATCAGGAGAAGAGTCACGTTGTTGAAATATGTCGTTGTCGTTGTCACCAAGCTCCCTTCCGTTGCCGAGCCCCAAAACATACAAGCCTTGCTCTTCGAGATTTGTGATGTAATCGTTCATCATTTCATCTTCGACGCTTCGAATTTTGCGATTGCGGCCGCTGCCGTTTCGACTCTTTCGTGAGGTCAAGGGTGGCGTATCAAGTGAATTTGATAACTTGCTCTGAAAATCCACACGGTCGGTAGATGGAGTCTCGGGCAAATGCCCTTTCTCTTTCCCTTTCCCTTTAGCCTGGGTCCTGTCACCAGATAAATGTAGCACATCTGTAGTTAAACTGCTCTCAATAGCGGATTGTTTGTCTTCGGTGTATATCGTCACGTCATCGTTGATTGTGGTGCGTAGGGAGGGGGTTTTCGAAGGCTTGGGCCCGGTCGATGGCAGGCTCCCAAAGAACTGGCCGTTATTACCTCGTCCCCTGAACAATATGACTTCCTCGCTCGAGTTTGAGGGTGTTGGTGACGATGATCGAATCTGGGGGGGTGGCAGGTTCGTTTCTATAGATTGGTTGCCTTCCGTATCGATAATAAACGCATCTTGCTCTTTACTTTCATGGCTTCCTTCCTCATCGTCTGGAGTATTTCCGGCCTGTTCTGAAGAGTCCATAACCCCACCCGTTCCAAGGTCGCTGTCGGATTCTTTAAGGGACATGCATTCCATAGCAGTCTCAGGGCCTCGTGTTTCGGGTGGCGGAAGAATACTGCCACTAACAAAGCTGACCTTTGCATCCCGTAGTCGCAAATTGGACAATCTAGAGGGCTCGTGGCGTTGAGTGTTTAAAGCCTCCGCTTGTAAAGAGAATCCTTCGAAAAAGTCAGTGGCAGTACGTTCGTTATGTGCTAGTAGGAAGTGTTATAGGGCCATCCCACTGACCTTGTGGATGTGATGCAGGTGTACTCGCGCCAGAAAATGGGATAAAATTTGCTCCATCGTCGTCGTCAACATGCCTCCTGCCACCATCGCCACCGCCGCCACCACGACCACCTCCACGACCTCGTCGACCCTGTCCTCTACCATTGCTTTTGCCTGCTCCCCCTCCCCCGGGGCCTTTCTTTGAGCGTACCATCGTAGGCTTGATATCTATATCATTTTCTCTGAGGTTTAAAGGTGTTGAGAAACAAAATTTGAAATTGCGGCCTCCGGCAAAGCTTTGAAGTGACTCCGATAAGTTACCGCACCACAATAAATTCGCCAGAACAATCGGGCTGCGCAGTCTGTGAAGAAGCTCCTGGAATACTGCACTGAAAACAGTATTTCTGGAGATGTTTTATGTATACTTTAACGAGAACCCTTGGACCGTATAAACATTGTGTCGTCTCCCATCGAGTATCCTGGCAAACATACTAAGATAACGATGCCTTATCGTACTAGGCAATGTCGTACAGTACGTGCTGTAGCATGCCGGGTGACAGACATGACGCGCTCCACTGCACTTCAACTACGCCTGCCCCAGCACCTGCCTGGTATCATCCACATCTTTGAATCCCTACAGCTGCCTAATAGAATGCTGAACGGCGATTTGTATGCGTGCGACTAACAACATATCCACCGCAATATTTGGGCTACATCCTCAAAGCCCGTCCACCAGATGGCGGCTGTAGATTTCAGCCGCTACAAGCGCATTGTACAATATCTTTGGGATCCAGCACCAACCAACCTCGACAGTTCAGATCTTCCACTGTGGTGTCTAGGAGATCAATATACGGCCACCTCTATGTCGAAGCACGCCTCTGCTCCTGGTGATACGGACTTACCTTCACATGATAGCTCTCACGAAACACCACAAAAACGAACTGATGTCGAGAAATCAATACAAGCGGTTACACCTCCGGAAAGCGTTGGTGGAGGTATAGACTCCGGCTTTTTTCAAGAGGGAACAGATGTTGAAGATGGAGGTTGGCCAGTTGCATTCCTTGACGACTTCGAATCTAAATTACGGTTTTCCTACCGGACTGGCTTTCCGGTTATTCCAAGGTCAGAGGACCCGAAAGCGTCCTCTACGATGAGCTTCTCAGTCCGGCTGCGGAGCCAACTGAGCGATCAGGGTGGATTTTCTTCAGATACTGGCTGGGGTTGTATGATCAGGTCGGGGCAAAGTCTTTTGGCCAATTCCATGGTGATACTGCGGCTCTCTCGAGGTACGTATACTTCAACTTATAGTTTAACACGACGTTCCACGTCTGACACTCCATAGGCTGGCGTCGTGGTGTGGGCAGAGACAAAGAACGGGAGATAGTGTCACTCTTCGCAGATGACCCTAGGGCGCCGTATTCCATCCACAAGTTTGTTGAACATGGCGCGGAAGCTTGTGGTAAATATCCCGGGCAGTGGTTCGGGCCATCGGCCACAGCGCGATGTATACAGTAAGCCTATCCACATATCTAAGATCACGTATTTTAAATATTAATTGTCGCGCAAAAGGGAACTGGCAAAACGCCACGAATCAGCAGATGTGAGAGTCTATATCACTGGCGACGGATCGGACGTTTACAAGGATGGTTTCATGAGTGTTGCCAAACCTGATGGTGTGAACTTCAAACCTACCCTTATACTTGTGGGGACACGTCTAGGTATAGATAAAGTTACTCCCGTTTACTGGGAGGCGTTAAAAGCATCACTGCAGATGCCACAATCAGTGGGGATTGCAGGGTATGTTGTCACCGGCCCCCGTTTTACTCGATACACTCTCTGACAGTCAATATCAGTGGCCGCCCGTCTTCTTCTCATTATTTTGTTGGAGTTCAAGGTTCACATTTCTTCTACCTTGACCCGCACCAGACCATGGCTGCCATTCCTTTTCATACAGATGTTGATGAGTATACCCCTGCAGAAATTGACTCCTGCCATACCCGACGGTTACGAAGGTTGGACATCAAAGAGATGGACCCGAGCATGCTTATTGGCTTTCTTATCCGAGATGAAAAAGATTGGGAGGCATGGTCCGATGAAATTAAGAGATTTCCTGGCAAGGGTATCGTGCATATCGCCGACAACGATCCGGCTCAACAGAGCCTGAGTCACGAGCGTGACGGCGCCATTGACGATGTCGAATCCTTCGACGAGGATGACAGTGAAGATTACGGCGAAGAACCTCCCCATTCTTGATTAGCTAGGGAGCCGTTCGACCTGAAACCTCGAATTAACCGTCACCCACGCCCAGATACGATATAAAGTCGGGAATATGCCGATTACCGAGATCAGGGACTCTTTGAGGAGTGGCGGTGCTATCTGTGTGATGTGGGGTACCTGGCATATGATGACCTCAGAGCCTCAAGCCATACCTATAAAGTTGTATACTATTCTTCAATGCAACTTATAGTTTTCAGTGGGATGTCTTGCGGCGGCCACCAGTCTTCGGCTTTGGAACAAGCAGGCCATGCTTCTCTGCCTTGATGTGATCGAAGAGCTTGTTTTTAGAACTGAAGGAGCTATTACAGGTAGCGCATGTATTCTTGTGATACTGTTAGCATTGGCGGTGGTTGAATGGAGTTAATTCTTACATTTTGGGTATCATCCTCGGCCTGCTGGCGGGCGGCCTTTTTTGCACGTTTCGCCTTTGCTTTCCCAAGCTTCTTATTTTCTTCCGTGGGGGGTTCGTCTGTACCTCTGTCGCTAGAAATTAAGATGTTATCGAGTGCCCGTGTCTCATTGCCGACTACATTTGGTTTTATATAACCATCTGTTTTCGGCCTTTCCTGGTTGGGAAGCCCAGATATCCTATCCTCCACCTGCTCCCTGGGTGCATAATCATCATCATCCGTGCCATCTTCTGGTATTGCCGGCGTAGTAGATTCTTCTATAGGGCCGCGGTCCGCTTCATTCTCCTTCGGAGACGGGTCAGAGCCAGTAAGGTCGTCGTTGCCAGCACCAATCTCAGGATCAGCCTTGTCAATTCCAACAACAGGTATAATGTCGTCATCAGTAGCATCTTGCAATGAGTGAAATGAGGCCTCGGAATCAGAATTCTCTGGGATAGATTGAAGCGCAGCATCAACTGGTGTATCCAAATGGAAGAGTTTATTCTCCTTCCGCATCTGCCGTGTTAATTCTCGAACGGCCTTGATATGCTTTTTGCTTTTTTCATGGACTTCATACTGTTTCTCGCTCTTAAAAATCTTGTTGCACGTAACACATTCTACTACTTCCTCTTCTGATGCTTCAGAGTCCGAGAAGGTTCCCTCCTCTTCAGCGTAGCGAGTTTGTGCCCATGCAGGTTGGACGTGTTCGTTTAGCTTTGCTTCGCGCATAGCTCTCGAGCGAGCAGCCTGAGCTGCTGCCGCATCTCTCAGTGCTTGTTGTCGATCAGCTTCGGACTGTGTGTTTGGGATGTATCTAGGATCCCGTTTCCGCACAAAGCCTACGAGCGACCTTACAGCATCATTAAACTCCCGGATTCCTTCGTCTCGTAGACGCTTATTCTCTTTTTCCATCAGTCGTCTAACTCGACGATCAGGAGCATCCGCATAATTGTGCACGTCTTTCCATGAGAATGACTTTCTCGTTGAGAAGCTGGCCCATGCAACATAAAACGGCTTGACGACATGGTCATAACTAGATTCAGCAGCCCCAAAGTCCGGGTAGTCGATCGGGTCCAGGCCTTCCCAGTTGCATGCAGCATCTTCTTCCTTTGTGAGGGCTTCAAACACGGACTGAAGCCTTCCATAGAAGCCGTCCAAGCTGTTTGTGAAGGGCATATTCGGCGAGAATTTCCCCATCAGAATAGTCAGGTCCGTGGCGCTAGTGAACCGCATATCGTGTTCGAAGTGGTCGCCAGCCCCAATATCGGAATCTCGAAGTATCGCATCTCGGTGGGAGTCATACCAGGCTCGTTCTTGGGGATCAGATAAAATCTGGTGCGCTGATTGAACCTCTGCAAATAGTCGGGTGGAATCTTCAACATCTCCGTAATTTCGATCGGGGTGCAGCTCTAAGGCCTTCCTTCTGTACGCTTTCTTGATCCTAGACGCCAGTCAGCTCTTGCTGCGGACAAATTTTAAACTGCTTCAATCTACGTACTCATCATCGCTGGCCTGGCGATCCACGCCGAGTAACTCATAATAACAGGTCTTCACATGGGGGCCTCCGGCATCCCCTTGCTGGCTGGGCTTTTGCTGGTTCGAGGACTGCTGTGCGCCCATACTGTCCGCGGCAGAGTCATGCAACGGCTCTGTTGGTGTTGTCGATATGAATAAGCAGAATAGCAGAATAAAGTTTGGCTCTTATAGCGCGTCACGGTTTCACAGCTGGTGGACAAGGACCAACGTCTGAATAAAAATCCCTTCTTGCTCCAGTCACAGAAGGTAAAATCGTTTTCTCATAGACCCTATGATTTATTTATATGAGGAGAACTGTGGACGCCGCCCGCACTGATAGAGATAGCTGGTCGTTATCGCCAAATGTTGTTGTGTGTGTGTACGGAGTACGTACCGAGTACTTTGTACTACGGAGATATACCTAATATATAGGTAAGTTAAAGTTGTGCACTGTTGAGTCAACGCCACTAGTAAATTCTAGACCCAAATAGGCTAGTACAATGTCACTCACGTGGATATTACCTAATATAGGTACATGAATGATCGTTCAAAAAGGTTGGAAGCAGAAGATCTAGAACCGCCACTGGCTTCCATCAAAAGTACTTAACCTCGCATCAAACACCTAAATTATCCTGACAGTACGTACAAACTTCGACTACGCCAAGATAATTCCCAAATACAAACAAAGCCGCCTCAGTGTTATAGACTTGCCACACGGTCACGCGCAGCATTTCCCAACATGAGCATGGGCATGGTAACGAAGAACAGAGTTATACCTATGCTCCCCCGTCACTAAAAAAAAGTGTTGAGAGAGACTGAGGAAGACTGCGACGCACATATCAACCCAGAAAGAGATACCAGATAACTACTGCGCATCCTGAGCGGTCCTTCCCAGATGATTATCAGAGCTTCCACTGGCGCCCTACTGACCTACCTCTATCATGAAGTTCGCTCATGAGTTCAAGGAGGCCCTGGAGCGAGAAGGCTTTCCACCGCACTGGGTCGAAGCTGCGATACCTTATGGCCAACTGAAGAAATGTATTAAGAAGGTAGAGCGTGAGCTTAGAAGTTTTGGTTTAGATGCCCAGACTCTGGGTCTCTTGGTGCCGTCCAGCGACCAGAAGGATCAAAACAGTAACGATGGCACACCCGTAGGGTTCAAATACAAGTTCGCAGGTAAGCCCGTGACCTGTTGTCCATAGCCAAACTCTAGCTTACAATTATTGTCGAAGGCGATTCTGATGTCTTCCGCCCGACCTTGACTCTTTATATCCAGCGGACTCAAGGAAGCGACATCGCCATTGATGCTACTCTATCACCCAGTACACGGCAGTACCTACGGAATCTTGCAGATGCACAGGCAAAGGAACGTGGCCAGAGCTCTGTTGCTGGCCAGTCTGGAGACATCGTCGAGTCTAAAGATGCTATGCCTAGCGCGGATGCTGATTCTACCACGCCTTCCATAGATGCCAACTCTGATGTCCAGCAGGTGGAGGTGCCTCTGACATTTGACATCGAGTTTTTTGGGCTGCTAAAGGACGAAGTGTCTTCTTTGGATGAAATTCAAAAGGCCGAGCAAAAGGCCATGACAGACGAGATAAAGGCTCTAGGAGACGAAATTGAAAAATTGGCTTTCCCCGCCAAAAATAATAAGACCGATATGGGTCGCTGGCGGACAATTTTCGACTTATATCTCCAAGCCGGGGTGTTCTTCTCGACGAATGAGTTTGATCGCGGCAGTAGGGACAGCAATGTGGCATTGAAACAGCTCAAGTGGTTTCAGGAGCAAGTTACCAAGCTGAATCTACCAAAGTCCTTCAAGCTCGCTAACAGTCGAGATGCTCTTGATAGATTCACACGGATCAATGTTACGCTTCTACGAAATTTGAAGTTTCAGGAAATCAATCAACTTGCAGTCACGAAAATTCTCAAAAGTCGGCATCCCTCCCCCCATATTATATGAATACTTGATACTGATGTCGGTTAGAATTTGACAAGAGAACATCTCTCGGTGCCAAGACGGCATTTCCTCCCCTGATACAGTCAGACCTACTCATGACTGAAACTATGGCCAAGGCTGTCTGTGCTGGGGTTTCAAACGAGATAATCCGCATTGTCCCACAGCTGGACGATTACCTCTGCCCGGTGTGCTTCACCATATCTTACAAACCTGTTCGATTGAAGTGTAACCACGTTTTCTGCATACGATGCATGATCGAGATGCAGAATGCTAATTCTAAACATTGTCCTCTCTGTCGAGGAGATGTTGTCTTGGAAGCAGATGCCTGTAAGTGATACCCAATTGGCCTTTGCTATTAGTGGCTCTCCATCTTAATAGTCCGAACTGGTGCTGACTTGGTTGTAGCGAGTGTCGACAAGAATCTGATGGTCTTCCTCAAGAAATATTTCCCAAAGGAAACAAAGGCCAAACAGCAGGAGAATGACATCGCAGCTAGCGTTGAGTTGTATGGCGAAGACTTCGCCAATGTGAAGTGCTTGGTGATGTAGTCGGGGCAGGTACTATGTGGCAGCAGTTACCCCTGATCATGCCTTGGGACGTTGGAGGGATGTCGTACAGTACTCCATAGCCGCGGCGTGGAGGGGTGGCATATTACAAGCATCTTTCTCGTGGGTATAGCAATTGTAGTATGAGCAAGCATGGAGTTGTATATAGGGTATATGGTTTTTTTTGTTGCTATGACGCGGGCATGGTACATATTTTGGCTGGGCTCCATGCCTGGCGCGTATATTCATTTAAATTATATTTTTATTATTTTATTAGTGCGCCGGAATAAATATATCACGAGTATAAATAAATCCACTGTCGACATTAAACTTAAGGGACGACATTGAATCAAACACGAGCCAATACTCAATTACAAACGAATATGTAAACCCGAGGCTATGAGGTTTATACTAATCATCTTAAAGTACAATAACAAATAAAGGTCATCATCGATGGCGGGGTAAGTTACCTTGATGGGCATGCTGCCCCATACTACGCTAAGATAACGAACTGGAGGATTCGGCTCTTGTAGTCGCACCCAAATACCAACCAAACCCGCAACTACGACGAAGAGCAACATGCTATCGTCACCCTGAATATTGCTACCTGATACTGAATCACAACAATGATACGCCTACTATGGCAGTGACAATATCCCAAAGAAGGTACGGACCGCGGAGGTCAATATACACCATGTATTAACAAAGCAAGTGACTCATTTATAAGTTGTACATACTTTCGAGCTCCACCATGGCACCAACAACAACAATCTATGACCTCCCCGATGAAGTGCTGGATCAAATTCTTTACTACCTGAGCCCCGAGCAAACCATACTCAGCATACGGCGAGCGTCCAAGCGGTTTGCCAGACTATGCGAAGAACCCCTACTCTGGCGGTACTATTGTCGCACCGAGTTCACTTACTGGGACACCAAACACCGAATTAAACAGAAATTTGGCGGCGACGTTAGCGATGTGGAATGGAAAAAGCTTTATATTTACCGAAAAAATATCGATACCCGTACCTCTGAGCTATTAGACAGCATACTTTCCGAACAAATAGGGCGCATAGATAAGACGAAGGACATAAGTGAGTTTGGCTACGATGCCAAAGATATTTTGTTGCGAAACTGCCAGGCAGAAACCGATACGGACGATGTACTTGCGAGGAGGTGCGTATTAACCAGCATATTTTATCCATATATTGGGAGCTGGAAGAGCTAACTGGACAACTAGATTCTACAGCAGTTCTGTCCTCGATCATATCCACAGAGCCAAGGCGCTCGACGAATGGCACAGACTGAGTAGAGGAGATGATATTTCTATAGAACGTGCCCTGGGCTGTTTTGACATGTTTGTGTTGCATGACCGCAATGGGGATCTCTGTGAAGTATGTGTGATTTATTATTATTTTTTCTGGATGCTGATAATTCGCGCCAGATATCGGATATGCTAGACAAGTTAGCTAAGAAGCTGGAAGCTGCCCACGCTGATTTCTACGACCTATCTCAGCGCCGCAAAGCACTTGTGACCGCCCGCTTTCTCAAAGACAACGACCTCACTGGCATGGCTTCTGAATTACAATACCGAGATCTCAAAAACAACTTTATTGGCATTGCGCTACAAGAAGAAAACCACCCTTCGCTGCCACTCATATCCGCAGCCATATATTGTGCCGTAGCTCGCCGGCTTGGGCTGGATGCCGGATGTTGCGACTTTCCAAATCATGTACACGCAGTAGTTTCCCCCAACAATGGGGAGACGCTTGATGGGCCACTTAAAAAAACAAGCTTAGGCCCACCAGAACCAATGTACCTGGATCCCTATAGGTCCGATAGAGAGGTCCCAGTTGAACACCTCAAAAATCAACTGGTGGCATGGGGTGTGCAAGTGGATGATTTCCCTCGTTTTCTTACCCATATGAGCACGCGAAGGATTGCACTGCGCACCTCGAAGAGTATACTTACCACCATCCATGAGTTTCGAGGCCTCGGTAGAAACGGAGCAAACAATACTGACCATGCTTCTATTAAACTGTATGGAAACCCATTTGCTGATATGGACAACGCATTTTACTCAGCTCTCTGGTCGAACTTCATACTCTCCAGTATACCCGGACGCGCGGCTTCAATTGACCAGGTACAGTTTATTCCTATAATATTAGAACGGTTTGAGAACCTTTATCATATGGATGGCGTCTTCCTGGAGAAGTATATCTGTGCATCTCCTAGCCTTTTGGTGCGTACCGACCTCGCACGCCTTGTCGAAGCAATCCGAGTTATACGAGCAAGTGATATCATGCCGAAGCAACTCAGACGACGAGAAAGCCAAAAACCCCACGGAAAGATCCAGTACGAAGTTGGCCAGGTATTTCAACACAAAAGATACGGTTACACGGCAGTTATTACGGGATGGGATGTTGAGTGTACAATGAACTCGAGATGGATGGAACAGAATCACGTCGACACGCTGCGCAAAGGACAGCACCAGAGTTTTTATCACGCACTGTAAGACCTCACTCATCTCCACATATTGATGCACGCTGACGAAGATGATTAGCGTTGAAGATACTAGTATTCGCTGTGTGGCCGAGGAGAACGTGGAAGTGATTGAACCGGATAACCCAGTTTCGCTGATGAGTCTGGCCGGGAGATTCTTCAAGCGCTGGGATGGCTCGAGACACAGATTTGTGTCAAATATACGGGACGAATACCCCGATGATTAGCATGGCTGCATGGCAAAAACAATGCTATATTCGAGTAGAGACATATTTGGAGAATTTCACTACCTGGACGTGTCCCGTTAACCTCGTTAATTATTCATGGTCGTAACTATGTGATGCCTCATTTATTAGGGATTTGAGCACATTCTTATTAGCGAGTGCAGCCAGCCAAGTATTAACCATGGGAGTGTAGTCGTGGCACCGAGTTGCTGCTCTTTCTTCGTCCTGCTGAATGGCTGTTTCCTCTTCAATGTATGAAGCTCTCATTTGCGCCTGTGAATAAGAAAGCTGTTTCCAGAGGTCAAGAAGGCGCTCCGTCGTGATAGTTGAGGTTTGAATATCCTGTAGAATAGGAGCAGAGGCTGGCACGGACTCCAAATGTTGCGCGGTGATACTATAGGAGCCATTTGGCCCCGTGAGGGTTTTTTCCAAACACTGGCTGTCGACGAAACTTCGCCAGTCCGGTTGAAAATTCGCAAGCCGTTCCTCGACAGCGGATGTTGTGCGGATATTTTCCGCGAGATCGTTGTGAACGGCGAGTAGAGGGCTTTGGCATAGTGCAAGAAGACTGAACTCAAATTGATCTCCGTCGTACTTCTGCATACGTTTTTCAATAATAGACCGGGCGAGACCCATCCAATCGTCACCAACGTATTCTCCTGTACGAGTGTTAGAGGCGTGGTTTTAAAAAGAGAAATTATCCTTACCAAGGTTCATGGGTTGCCTCTCTAGCCCGTCTAGCTTCCATAGTTTGCCATCTATTGGGACAAGTGAAATAAAGTGAAAACCAGCCTGCTCTTGTTCGATATTTTTTCCCGTTTTCCCTGGTAACTTGGCCTTCGATGTAAAATCATTTGAAAGGAATAAGTCGGAATTGAGCATGTCCATCTTCCTGAGATTTGTATTATTAGTGCCTCCGTATATCATTGGATGATCGAACTTACCGTGAGAATGAATTATGAATTTTCCGAAGATGGTCGTGATTGCCGACAGTGTATCCGCGAAGTGCAGGAGTTAATGGCATTGAGAAATCCTTCAATGCATTCAAGGTTGGTCCAAGGTCAACTCCCCGGGTATTCATTGCTATGTTAAGCAGGGCGATAGTCGCGCATGCGTTGCTTATAGTCTGGGACAAGAGTTAGATGGTACTTCATAATCAGAGATCAACGCAACACACCTGATTTGCGAACCAGATATTGTCCGGGCAAGTTGCCTCCTGCATCGCTGGGTCATCCTCCTCGAACCGAAAAAGGAAAATCAGTCCATGAATTGGCTTCCTATCAGAAGTCGTCAGTGTCCATAATCAAATACTCCACCGAAAGGCACTAACGGCAGGAAACTTAGCATCTCATCGTCCAAACTAAATACTTCCTGGACCTTGATACCAGTCACCCCGAGGTGCCGAAGAATTACATTGAAGAAGGCCTAAATGAGTGATAAGTATGGTGAACAAGTCCCCATGGAGCACGATACGACGTATCCAGAGGATTAAGACAGGAGACTACATACAGGCTCCGATTCAACCTCGCACCACCCTTTCCACTTGTCAAGGTCTGCTTTTGTTGTTGCCTTCGTAATAAAATCCAGAGGGTCGTCTATATGACACCTTGAGGTTTGAGGGCGCTTGGATGCTCTTTTGGGCCTTTGCTTATGAGGGTTATCCTCGAGTTTTGGAGCACCGGCTTCCCATGTTATGTCTTCTTTTTCTTCCAGCTGTGAAGGCTCAGAGGAAGTGCCAACGCTGTGAGTTGCTGCGTTCCCTTCGGCCTCGAATTCTGGGGCTGGTGTTGTCCCTTCGCTGGTCTTATGGCGAGCGGACCTTCGAGGAGCCTGTGAGCTTGAGTTACTCAGCTTGAACCGGCCAGACATATTCATTCAATTTGATCGTGATTGACCATGATGTAGTGATTGACTAATGGCCTTACAAAAAAACCATAAATCCTTTATAGATGTAATAGTTATGGGTATATTGGACCTCTGTTAAATATGAAGCATGTGTTTGTTGGTGGAGGGCAATCAGTTGAGCGAGTACGTCGTGCCTGAAGCAGCACAGACCACCCTGGCCATTTGCTGTCGCCGCGTCGGTCGGCGCGTCTACTGGTGCTTGCATGCAGCACCAACCTATTAAAATAAAATAAACCCGTCAACATCTGTCAACATCACAAAGCGCCGCCAACGAACGCCATCGAAGCAAAGAACTCTCATGCTATTTGCAATATACAGGTCATATTGCGCTTTCTACCGTCTTCGAATAGCTTGGACTGAGTGTCCCTTTGGACCTCAAAAGACCCCTCGCAAGACTATGCCATGAACGGAACTCCTCGTCTGAGGTCCTCATACCCTTCGACTCCAGAAAGCCAGAAGCGAACAGCTTCGAAGACACTCTCATCTGGAGGAGAAGGGTCTCGAATTCAATTACAAGCTATATCTCGCTCAGCTAGAGCCCCCACGACAACATCTTCACCCTTAATTCCTCTCACGGTGCTAGATGCACCTAGCCAACGGCTATATGTCTGCGCTTTGTATATTGCTCTATTAGCGTGGCGTCTTTACGATTGGTCAAATCTTGTTGAAGATGAAGCCGAGTCGTTCTGGCTTTTTATAAAATGGGTTGCGTTGGATGGGATCGTTTTGTACGGGCTTCCAGAATTGCGGATACCCTGGCTGGAATGGTCCAACACGGCCACAACTGGGATATTCCTGATCCACGCCATCGTGAACGGCATGCTGATGTTTAGAGTTCCAGTGAGTAGAGGACCCCATCTGACTATTCTCATTTACTGACGACTTGACAAAGATACCAATTGAAGCTGGACTGGCTGTTGTGGCCCGGCATCTCTACGACCGCGAGTTATCCATATCCGAAAATCGGGTGAAGCCAGCTAGCATTTTACACAACTCTTCCCTGATTATGGGCAAGCAGATCATCAATATATTGCCTGAAGGGTTTGTCCAGCACCGACCCCTTCCTCCCACCCCATTTGCTTACTCGATGATAGTTCTGTGACGCTGAATCCAGACGGCCTCACATTTTGCATTGAAAACAAGAATTCGATTGTGAAGTTACCCATACGACTAAACCAGACCGATCCTGTTTATATCGAACTTCTTCGTTTGGACTTTGATACGAGCAAAAATGAGTCTATAATTATTAAACAAAAGGAACTACAGACTCTCAGGAAACAAGCTGAGAAACGACGCCCTAGAGACTCCAATACGTTGACGCTTGACTATGCCATCAAAAAGCCAGGTCTGTACAGATTACAGATCGTCATGGAGAAGTCAGATCTGGACGTCCAACGCCGCATGTCTGATACACTGGTTGTTCTCTGCCCCAAAGCAGTGATCCAGCCTTCTGTGGCAGATAAATGTATCGGTGATCTTTCTGACTTAACAATCCAAGTTACTGGTACCCCTCCATTGAAAATCGTATACAGCCGACGAATCAATGAAATGGATGAAAGCTTCCACTTCCAAAGCCTTCAGCCTGAAGATTTGGTGTCGCCACTTTTAGGCGCAACTCGTGCCTCGACGTTTGCTGCTACTTATGAGGAAGATATGTCCTGGGGCGGATTACACTCAATAGATGTGCGGCTGAATGAATCTATGGCGTCCTCTGGGCGCTGGCTGTATTCTATTGACGAAATACACGATGCCACTGGTAATATAGCAAACTTCTCAGCCCGAGGAGAGGAAGGCGAGACTATCCATTCCAAAGGCACCCACCTCGAACATGCATTCACAGTTCACGAGCGACCTGTTGCGCAACTGGACCTGGTCTCATCTGATAGCCAGCTACGAGTTGCTAGTGGGCGTTCGGCAGAGCTTCCTATCAAACTCGGCTCTTCGGGTGGATCCTCCGAACAATACGGCGACGTGATTGCCTATCGGTTTTCTCCTATTGATACCCTTGCCGCCAATGGCGATCACGGCAGCGAGTCTATTGTTGTGGAGTTTACTACGAATTCTTCACGTCAACGACCCCCCATTCATAAGCCTGGCCTTTATACCCTTCTGAGCATCTCGAGCAAACACTGTGAAGGCGAAATCCGAGAACCATCGTCGGTCCTACTCATGAATCCGCCAAAACCCGACTTGGCAATTTTGTCGGAGGATATCCACGACAAATGCGCCGACAATTCAATCGGGATCATGGTAGATATGGATCTGAGCGGCACTCCACCGTTCGTGGTCAGGTACGAAGTTGAACAAAATAAAAAGGTTGAGCGCCAAAAGATTCAAATTGATGGCTCGAGACATCAGCTAGAGCTCAAACCTAGGGAGGCTGGCCACTTCATTTACCGCTTTACAAGCATCGACGATGCTGTGTACAAGGACCATCCGCTATCTTCGTCTGAACTAACCCTCGAGCAAGACGTGAAGCCGCCAGCATCTGCATATTTTGTCAGCTTTGACCAAGTCGTGGCTTGCATCGACGAGCCGGTTCAAACTAAAGTCTTATTATCTGGCGAGCCTCCCTTCACACTTGAATATGAGCTAGCCTACGGTGGGAAGCGGAAGAAACATAAAGAGTCAGACATCAATGCATACCAGTATACAATTACCACAGACCCACTGACGCGTGGCGGGGACTATTCCCTTGCTCTTGTGAGCACACAAGACAAAACTGGCTGCAAGATTTTTCTCAATGACGAAATCAGGATAAACGTCCGACGGCAGCGACCGAAAGCGTCCTGGGCTCAGATTGAGTCCAGGAGGTCCGTAATGACGCTGGAGGATAAAATCGTTGATTTACCACTTCGACTGGAGGGTGAGGCTCCCTGGACGATAACGTACCGCAACCTGAACGACACATCGAAGATCGAGAAGGTTGTGAAACAGCGGAGCAGCAATGACTACATCCAAATCAATGGACGCGGTATTTACAAACTCGAAAGCGTCCATGATAGACAATGCCCTGGCACTGTTGATGAGTTAGCCTCCTCGTTTGAGGTGAACTGGCTTGCTAGGCCACAGCTTAGGATTTCCGATAGCTCGGGAATCCAGCAGCAAGGCAACAGATACGTGAAACGCGAAGTTTGTGAGGGTGATGTGGACGCAATGGAAATAAAAATCACCGGTAAGCAAGACATTCAAAATGTTTGAAACTATTTTTAACAACATGAAGGATCCCCGCCATACCATCTCAAGTACCAACACCACCACAAGCCTGACCGTGGGTCGCAATCCGTCAATGTCAAAGAAATTGATGCCGCCTTGGGTAGCGTAACCATTCCGATGGATACGAGCAAGGCCGGCTCTCAGACATATGCCTTCAATGAGCTTTCTGATAACGCCTACGATCATGACCTTAAAAAGCACACTGTATTAACAGTTCAGCAAACGGTGAACCCGAAACCCTCGGCCACATTTTTGAAACCAGGCCAGTCTTATAAATACTGCAAAGAAGAAGAATCTGGTGATGAGGTCATTCCGATTGAATTGCACGGCCTACCTCCCTTCTACCTGGAGATCGATATCAAGCACCAGAGCAGTTCCCGACCTGAAACGGTAAAGCTCGCCAACATCGATTCCAACCACTACGATTTCCGTATCCCTCATAGGGTGTTGTCGCTTGGGGCCCATCATTTGAGCGTGCGCAAGGTCCGCGATTCACGTGGCTGCCAAACAAAGCTAGAATATGGAGCCCCCAAGGTTCAAGTGCAGGTATTCGATGTCCCAACCATCTATGCACTCGAACCTAAAGTGGATTATTGTGTTGGGGATCGGATCTCGTACACATTATCCGGCACGCCGCCTTTTGATGTTTACTACAATTTTGGCGACGTACAAAGGAAAGCCAAATCCTCAAGTACGAATTTCAGACGCATTGCAGAAAAGTCTGGTAACTTCACTATCACTTCCATCTCGGATCGGGCTAGTGAGTGCAAGGCCAAGATTGGCATCACCAAGACGATCCACGAGATGCCAAGCGTGAAGATTAGTAAAGGCAGGCAGGTTTCAGTTGATATCCATGAGGGCGGACAGGCACAGATCCTCTTCGAATTTTGGGGGACGCCGCCTTTCGAATTTACATATACCAGAAGCACAAACGCACGAAAAGGACACAAGTCTCAGGTGTTGGAGACAAAGCACGATATCTCATTTCAGCACAGCAAAACCGTGCAAGCATCCCAAGAAGGCACTTACGAAGTTGTTGCGATTAAGGATAAGTTTTGTGCGTTTTCGACTCAAAGACTTGATGGAAAGGCAGAGAAATTACTTCAATGATGGCAGAAAGATTTGGTGGGTATACAATATAATCGGCGTTAGTGCTACTGTAATTATATAGGCACAAAAGATTTGAATTAATTGGTTGCAAAAAGGGTGCAATCTTATAGTGCTTAGGTTTGGGCATGAATTCCATTTTCACAAAGCTGCCTTTTCTGGTATCCTCCAGTTTCCATCTGACTCGTCCTCGACGACCTTGTCTTCGTCTTGTAACTTGTATAAAACTTGCATAACCCCCCCATGAGCCGGGACATGTAAGTGCTCTGGCACATCCTTGTATACCACCTTCACAATTTCCATGCTGGCCCAGCCGGATTTCTGCTCAAAATTGCTCCCCTTTGCCGATGGGTTTGGTGATCTTAGGACTTGAAGAATCTGATCTTCTCGCTGTTGTCTGTGTTGAATGTACTCTGAGATCCTTGCCCTGCCATTGTCGATGACATCTCCATGCCCTGGGTATGCTCGACCGCCAAACATAGTATCCATCTTCTTCAGACTGGTTATATAGCTTGAGAGGTCCTCGAAGATCGCAGTGCCATGCCCCAAAACATTATCCGCCGTGAACATGGCATCCTCCTCCTCCAGAATAAGTGCCATATGATCTTGGGTGTGACCTGGCGAGTATACGGCACGTAATGTTGCCCCTTCCACTTTAAATACTTCGCCATCTGAGATATTCTGCTGGCCATCATCTGGCCGATGTTTATGGACCTTCACTGCCGGATATGCTTCTCGGAGGTGTTTTATGCCTCCTACATGGTCACCATGCCAGTGGCTGATTAAAGTGCTACCTATTGTTGCATTCTCGGCAAGAAGAACGGCCTGGATGGCTTTAATCCACGACGGGCGTCCTTCACCCGTGTCTATTAGAACTCTCTGTTGGCCTGTTCCGACGATGTACGTGTTGGTCCCTTGCCAGTGTGAGTTATCTGCTCACTAAACAGAGCAGAGACAGATAGATACCTTGGAGCGTAAACTTGCACTTGTTATCAGATGGTTGTCATTGGAGACTGCGATCGAAGCACTCACCTTTCCTGGATTGCCGCCCAGAATTCGGATAACACGGGAACTGAGCCTTGTCACTTCGGGAAGTTGCAGAAGTTGAGTTGCCATTGCGAATGCTATCATGGCACGAAAGCCGTGCCTAGCTATGATATTTTGTAGATTGCATGTAAGACCTTATATGTTCTTAGCCGCCTGGGGGGGCATTGACGTCCTGAGGGTCAACCTCGGCACCCCACAATCAAAGTCCTGATAACTGATAACGGAACAATATTTACTCCGAAAGGCCTCGCTCAACTTTCACGCGGCTGCCGAATTCATGTTCTTAATTATCAGTTTAGTCGCACAAGACGGACCGTTGTTGCCAAATCCCATGAAGTAGCTGCTCTTCCTTGTCGATGGCAGGATCCCGACCTATTACACCTGCATCACCCAAACCTAACAAAACAAAAGATCCGAATCCCGGGATTCCCATTTACGGCTGTGGTAGGTTCACGGATCTGGAAACTGTACAGGTCCATATACTAACCTCGATTCAGAACACATTCAACGACTTCTCACAAAGAGCCAAGATGTAACAACGAATACTATACAGCACTATAAGATGCTACTTCGGGTCATCTTTGACAATACCCCTATAATACCACAAACCTCGAAATCTGTGGACAAACGCCCCGTCACATCTCTCATTCCGAACTACCTCTGCCTTCAATGCCCGACCACAACCACCGCCAAAGACCGCCTAAAGCATGGGAAACTCAAAGCCCATATGTTTTGTGGGACTCTTATTCGACGAGGGCTAATCAATTGCTAACACCGCCCAGATGTGGACTCGAGAAGCGGCGGCCTTTTTTGCCAGATGTGTGACGATTTCGTCTGGGACCCTACTTTGGAGGAATTGAGACTCCGTAAAATTGGAACTGGCTCCTTTTCAAGTAACTTGCACATACATACCCCTAGTCAAGACGTGGCCGTATTGATTCAGCGCAGGTCGAAAACGAAAACGAGACGAGCCTTTCACAGACCCGGCGAAAGATGACACCGCATATATGTCTATAAATACGACTGCCGCGCCATGCCGTGCCGCCGGGCTTCGTGGCATTTTTAATATGGGAAGCACTTGCTTTATGAGCGTTATTCTGCAAAGTTTTGTGCATAACCCTCTCCTTAGAAACTTCTACCTACGGGATGGACATCAAGTTGGACAATGTACGCAAGACAACTGCCTGAGCTGTGGCATGGACGAGCTTTTTCAAGCCTTTTACTCCGAGGAGACTACAGCTAGCTATGTTGCTTCCAAGATGCTGTCCGATTCGTGGCTTTGCCAACAAGCAGCGTTTTCGGAGCTCGCCGGGTATGATGAGCACGATGCTCATGAGTACTTTCAGTTCCTTGCAGAAGAACTTCATAGAACAAATCGGCAGGAGCGACATGCTTCTCCCACAGGGGCGAATGCATCTAACGTCTCACACTTAACTAGTAACTGCGATTGTATCGTTCACCAGACATTCTACGGTAAATTCCAGAGCACCTTGACATGCCAGAACTGTGGCGTAGTGACAACTTCTGTGGAGCCATTCTTGGATCTCAGTCTAGCCATTGACAGTATAGCAAAAAGACAAGGTAACAACAACGGGGAGAGTAGCCATGAATGGTCTCAGCCATTGACACTTCAACGCTGTCTTGATGTGGAGTACATGCAACCCGAACGGTGCGAATACTCGTGCCGCAGTTGTGATAGCCCACAAGAAGCAAGGAAGCAATTAAGCATCAAGAATTTACCAAACGTGCTCTGCATTCAGTTCAAGGTAAGTCATGTTAACCGTCAGAAAAACATTGTATTCCGAGTTAACGGAGTAACACAAAGCGGTTCGAACATCATAAAAGCCTTCGCACAAGCGCGAAGATACACTTGAAAGTGCAATTCCCGCTGCAGCTCAATATGCTCCCATACACGAATCGAGCGAGAACTCAGGATACTAGCGAAAACTTCGAATTGGCAAGGTCCTGTACATATGATCTTCTCAGCGTTGTAGTGCATGTCGGGAAGCTGAATTCTGGTGAGCTGCGAGAACAAATGAGATTTGATCAGGAAATTAACACGCTCAGGCCATTACATTTCATATTCAAGAGTGGGAAATCAAGTACGTGTGCAAGCATTTAGATGACCGATACCATTACTAATTTTGAACAGTGGTTCAAGTTTGATGATCATAAAGTCACTATGGCATCAGAGTCTCACGTTTTGGGAGCCGAGGCCTTTCTTTTATTCTATATTATTCGGTCTCTGGCGTAGGTAGTCTCGGAAACAGGCGCAAGGAAGGTTATATTTGCCAGGAGTTTATCATAAGTTGACTAACGGATATTCCGTGAAAGTCGGACTCTAATTAAGGTGTACTATAGCTGTGGATAGACAATTCAATCTTTCCACTTCCAGTTATCACACTCGAAATTCGCATAGCAATAAAATTCATTGCTCAACCCCTTTGCGTGCACAGGTTCGAATGTTGTTGTATGAATTCCTAGCGGGCCGTATAGTTTATTAACTAGGGACTTCATGCGCTCCCCAGTACAAACTATCACTCGTGATGCTGGATCTGAAGTGGGCTGGCTTTGGGAAGCCCCCGAAGGCTTAGAGAGCCACCGAGCCGTCAAGGCAGCTTCATCAGAATTAGCATCCATCTCATACGGATAGGGGCAGTCCTAATTACCCTTGGTTTGGCAATCTTCACTGAGAAATGGAGGATCGCAAATGATATGGTGTATGGTTCCTTTTATTGATGCTGTGGTCGGTTAGACCGGTTTGGGGCGAGGATAATCAATTCACTCACGTGGAAGTTTAAGAGGAAATTTATAGTCGTAGAAGACGAACTCGGGGAAGATGCTAAAGCGTTCATCAAATTCAAGAAGGAATATTTCCGGAATTTTGTCGGCTGACATCGATGTCGAGGCCTGCACGTGTTAGATGCCAACAAGACAGATGATGCACTGAGTGCATCCACAGCCACAGTGATACTAACAATGATATTTTTCAACTGAACAAAGGCACTTGGAGCCGAGATGACAGCAATTCTTGATTTGTTATCACACTTGGCGAGGAGCTCCCGGGCAAAGATATCAGCAGTTTCTTGCGAATACTTCCAATCATTAGTCATGAATGCACGATTGTGGGAAGGCTTGGAGGCGAGCAAACCCAAAATTGAGAATCATTCCAATTCTCTGCGAAGGTGTCCATTGATAGGATGTCCCCTGTGTTTTTCTTCGCCTTCAAGTTTTCAAGCTCCTTCTCCTTTGCATCACGATCTGCGTAAAACTCCTTCAGCGCCTCAAGGGCGGATCCCGACAACACCCTTCATTGCTGTCAGTTTACAAAACCCCAGTTAGTACGCAGGTTATACTAACGGAATGTCGTTATCATCATCATGAATTTCGCTCATCTTGAATGTCCCCTCTGTGGCGCCCTTTTAGTGTATCCGAAATAGAATCAGCGATTTGTTTGGCCAATTCGCCATGGAATTGCCGCAATGGATTGAAAGAGCTACTTTGTCGAAGCCCGTTTTTTCAAGTCAATTACTTGGCCTGTGGGTGCAATTCAAAAATAGGGTTTGAAAATTTATATACTAATTGTTGATTTCAACGTCGGTGCAAAAGTGTGACCACGGGAGGATAGCCGACACTAAATCGCTTGGTAAACCAAATTGATACACAGACGACGGGGGCGGGAAAATCTGTCGCCTCACCATATGGCTTCCCACGCCATTATAAAACGAGAAGAAAGTGCACATTTCACGTCAGAAGTGATCCCAATTGATTAAACACGACCAATTCTATATACAAATCTCAAGTCTACATACGATGGCAATGATCAGGCCAAATGCCCTCTACTGATCGTCAAGAACGTGCAAGTACTTTTTCTCCTCACGCTTCTCACGCTCTGTGGAAGGCGGAAGATCGTAGAAGGCAGCACTGCGGTACGATTGCTATTTGATCGTTAGACAATTACATTGGTTCAAGGGACAAGAGACGTACTAGGTAGTGGAAGGTTAAGTTCGCGAGATCAGCCGGCTCAATATCCAGATCCTTGAATGTCTTTGCTGTAGGGTCGATGTGCTGATTGATGAATTCCCTTTCTATCTCGTCACCAGACAGAACGGGCCACCAAAGAGCTTTGTTCAGGATTGTCGCCGCTGGCTTCAGTATGGACTTGGGCAAGTTGATATGCCTCCGGTGCTTGTGAATTTCTTTGTCCACCAATTCCGCAATTTCGGCAGTTGAGTAGTCCTTTGGCCCAAATAGCTCATAGGTCTGCGAAGCTGTACTGTCGTCATTCAACATTCTCTCTAGAGCATGCCCTACATCAATGACCTAAGTACAAGTCAGTCTCTATAAATATGGATCCGAGTCTATGGGGTAAATCATACGTGAACTGGCTTGTAACGCTCCTCCATGTTATTTGAGGTGAGAAGGTTGGTTACACCGGCAAGCTTGTGGAGAAGACGGTCTTCGAATCCAAACATTGGGGCCGGCCTGACAATAGTTGTTTCGGGAAAGATAGAACGGACAACGGACTCTCCTCGGGCCTAGACTTTTGTTAACGTAATCTAGGGTATGTGAAGTTAGAAAATGACCTTGGTTCTATAGAATTCAGATGTGGAGTTCGCATCTGCATTGTAAGACGAGACATGAACAAATCGGTCAACATCGTATTTTGCAACGGCATCTGCGATTCTCTCCGCACCTTCGACGTGAACGTCCTCCAAATCAAAGTTCCTACAAATGAATTAGCATGGTGCAATGACCCTATATTCTCTTGGGGATGCTTCGTACTTCGTTGGGTATGACCGGCCGACCAAGTTATAAACAATATCGGAATGCCTGACGCTCTCCTCAAGGGACTCTGTGTTTCGGAGGTCGTACTCCTGCAATCATTGAATTAGCGGCAAGTCCAAGTTCCAAAGTATTTGATCATGTACCATAAAAATTACGCGGCCCAAGTCACCAGTAACCTTCAGGTGACGCTTCGCCATTTCCTCCCGGTATGGGATAATAACCGTGCATCCTTGCCTTGCTGTATGTGAATTCGTTAGTGATTAGAGACCAGTGGTAAGTTTATCTGCTGGCGACGCACCAAGTCTGTTCACAATGTATCGTCCAAGGAAACCGGTGGCGCCAAATACAGTCGCAGTGTGGCCTGCACATTGATGTTAGTCGGAAGCCAATTGGCACTGGAAAGCTAGGGGAGTATACCTCCAAGGGAGGATCTAGCAATGTAAGTCAGTATTGATCAACCTGAGGGCGCATGGCTGTATATACCTTCCACCCTGGACCTTGACGATGGGCTTTCCGGTCCTGGTGATTGAGATGTCAGAGACATTCCGGGACGCAATTGGACTGATGTATCTTTTCGGCCGAGCTGCAGCCCGAAGAGCAGCCGTACTGGACGGACTGCAGGACTTCATTGTAGCGGAGAAGTCAGGGTTCAGGTGTTGTTGGAATTGGCTGGTTGAGTGATGGCAGTCTGGAGTACTAGCGCTTGATTCGCTTCTCGCGTCGGCGTCGGCGTCTGCGTCTGCGTTGCCGCCTACCCCAAGCGAAGCTCCAAGGTATAGCTTGGGTTATTGCTGCTCAAGCCAAACAAACGTCAACGAAACATCTCCGTCAAGAATAAAAAACAAGCATCCGAAGTCCAAAACGATTCATCTTGACACATCAACCTCATAATCAACACAGGTGTACATCGTTGCGGCAGCGCCATGAATATCGACACGATTCCTGATTTTCTGGGTGAGCAACGAGACGCGGCCCCAGCGGAACTTCAACATCTCTTCATCTCCTTCGAAGATTACTGGGAGAGGAAGCTATGGCATCAGTTGACAGATGCTCTGGTTGAGTTTTTCAACAGCCCGGAGAGCGGACCTCAAAGGCTTGCCTTTTATAAGACATTCATCCACACTTTCGCCGATAAGATCAACCAGCTCAGACTTGTTACCCTGGCACTCAACGCCGCCACTCAGTGCAGAGGTAATGTTTTTGGGTTTGCCGTATCCTTCATTTACTGATTATAAAACTACCAGATAGCCAAGAGCGCCTGTCTTTCCTAAATTCTGTTGCAGCGAAGGTCAACGACTCAAAATCCCAGGATGCATACGTCTACGCCATCGTTGCTGTTGCAACGGTTAAACTTGAACTGCAAGATCTTACCGGATCTAGAGCAGATCTCGATAACGCAGAGAAGATTCTAGACCACTTCGACTCTGTTGAAACCATCGTCCACGCAGCTTTCTACCGCGTTAACGCCGATTACTACCAAGTAAGCCCAGTCAAGTTCACGGCGCACCAGGCATACCAGCTAACACATGAATCAGGCAAAACTAGATTTCGCATCATACTATCGAAACGCCCTATTATACCTTGCATGTATCGACCTGGCTGATCTCACACCTGCGGAAAGGCGGAACCGCGCATACGACCTGAGCATTGCTGCCCTTATCTCAACCTCCATATACAACTTTGGAGAACTACTTCTGCATCCTATTCTGGATTCCCTGGTAGACGAGGACGCTTGGTTGGTCAAGCTGCTGTTTGCCTTCAACAGAGGAGATTTGGCTGCGTATGACGTCTTGGCTGGTCACATTTCCGAGAACAAGTTACTGTCGTCGCACAAGAAGGGGTTGAGGCAGAAGATTTATCTTTCTGCTCTGACTGAGGCCGTATTCCGCAGGCCTCCACATGACCGTGCCATGTCGTTCCACACGATCGCTGAGGAGACGAAGGTTCGACCTGATGAGATCGAGCACCTAATCATGAAGGCTTTGAGCTTGGGGCTGCTGAGGGGTAGCATAGACCAGGTTGACGAAGTTGCACGTATCAACTGGGTGCAGCCAAAGGTTCTGGATATGAAGCAGATCAAGGGCATGAGGTTGCGACTTCAGGAGTGGGATACAAGCGTTAATGAACTTGGGAACTGGATTGAATCCAAAGGGCAGGATGTCTGGGCGGCTTAGAATGGCAAGGAAGACATGCTGGGCGTCTGGGAGCTTGGCAACGGTTGTACAATAGCAGTTGCAGCCATAATAGGCATTTGCGTCCCAACAAGGAGTTAGACCGAGGCAGGAATGATAATATGCTTTGGTTGCTTTGAACTATCTTCTTCATTTCATCGTACAAAGGTTATTGAGATTTATACATAGTGCGTTAATACATCTCTCGGCTTCCCGAGAACTATAACTGCTCCGACTATCCATGCTGGCCACCACACGAACCACACAACAAATTGGGTGGTCATACCCCACACGTCCCAGCCAAACGCAGCCTCTGTCAGAATTTCTTTGATCGAGAGTTGCCAATATGAGCTGGCAATGAAGAAGACCATAGTGGGTGCTAAGAGATTGACGAAAATTTCGACCGCGACTGCCACCAAAGGCCTCTTGGCGAGAGGCTGCACGTACGTCAATGGCGAAGCAAACAGGCCGACCAAAAGGGCGAGCGAGAAGTTAAGCGTAGCTAGAGATGATAGGAACATCCCCAGAAGTAGCAGAGAGAATGACTTCATAAGCTGGTATTGTTGGTGTGTTGGCTTGAAATAATTTGTGATTATCCCTGAAAATACCACGGGCAAGGCGACGTTGAAGGCTGAAACGGCCCCGAAAACATACGGGAGCATCTGCCAGCTTGTAAGTATGAGTCTGTAATGGCAGGCTGGGAAGGACTTACTGCTTCGGTGCTGTGGTTGAATAGATACATAGGGATCACCCCAAGAAACTGGGCAATTCCAACGACCACCATTGGGATAAAGAGATGCCGTTCCTTCGCATTCGATTCTTGGTAGGGGGCGATGCCTTTTCCCACCTTCGATTTTCCAGTATCAGCTTTCTCTGGGGAGCTTTTATTCCTCCGGCCACTCTGCACCCAAAGTGAGATCGCCATAATAGTGAAATTTACCGCCACAAGCATGGCACTCGGCAAATAGGTGCCGATACTGACAAATCTTTTATGCTGCATAAGCAAGTAAAAGAAGAAGCTTTGGTGTAGGTGCTCCAAAAGATTGTTCAAGCTACGGAAAGTGCTTTCAATCACTCTACCCATGGCCATCTCATCCTGCCAGCCGTCGCCAAATGGCTGCAATGTCACCGCATCGACGTGATAAGGTATAAAGCAGCTATGAGCCCCTGATGCGTGTCCTAGTCCTTGCCGCAGCATGCCCCTTAACATCGTCTGTAGACGATCTTGGTAGTCGTCAGTGTGTGACCACATCTGTTGGAGGGAAATCCCTATTCCCATTTGGCCAGTCGCAATGTTCGTGATGGTATTGAAGAGATCAAGGTTAGGGAGTTGACCGTTGACGCCGTCGTATACGATATGCAAGGATTCAAAGCGGTGGTCGAAAGGGTAGTCGACGGCAAGGGCACCTTGCAGAGCACCACCCTTCAGCGGCAAAGAATCAATGCCCGGGGACAAATGTGCGTCATGATAGGCATCCACCCATGCTTGAGGACCTGCTCGACTGTCTGGGGTGACTAGGAATATAATGTCTTTTGACCATAAAGACCATCCTATTAACTTGTAAGCCGGTTGTCATTTGCGCTTGGGAGCAGTGTCATACTCTTGAAGTATCTTGCGAGAGTCAGCACGAGAGCAACTCCGCTTCGATTGAGCTCCCCTTCCATATTTCTCCAAGCTCCGACAAGGACAATAGCCTCTGTAGCATCTCCTCGGGGGGCATGTAGTATGGCATATAGGTTCTCTCCATGGTGTCGGTTCCCAGCTGACGTATACTCGAAGCGTTGGCGTGCAGTTTTCAGTCCTGCAGCTTGAAAGAAACCTTCCAGCTTATCATTGATCCTAATTATATCAAATTTAGCTGTGAACGCTGCCAGAAGGACCTCGAGCCATACTCTATGTTGCTTGATTCAGTCAGAGCATCCACCTCTTGCTTGTAACCCCGGAAAATATTCTGGTCGCTGCCCGAGAAATAGGTATGGACCTGTCCAGGCAGGAGCGCATTTTCGGATATGTATGTATTGCGCGAGTAGTCGTTCAATGGCAGGAGAAGCAGCCAGGTGACACCCACCAGGATACAAAAGAAGGAGAGGTATGGTGGTAGCTTAAGAAGTCGCCCGTCGCCGCGCAACAGTGCACCTGGAGCTGTTGAAGGTCAGAATTGCGCACAGCCGCTGTCATAGGAAAGAGGACTTACATATCAGAGCCATATCGGGCTCGAAGGCTCATTGAGCGTGTGGTGGTTAGCACACTCGTGTTCGCAAGGCTCAGGTACAGCGATTAGGTACACGTCGCGGCATGGAAGCGATCGCCTTGTGAAGACCCATAAAACTTTACATGTACGTAGACAGCGTCTGTTGGTCATTTTAGCTTCGGTTATCCCGCAAGCCACCGACGATTGTTCGATCCCCCGTCACCGAATAGCTTCCAACAGTTGATACTTCTCGCGTCACCGAAAGTCTCCATAGGTAGGGATTGTGCAGTGAAATATATAATGTGAAGACCCATAAAACTTTACATGTAGACAGCGTCTGTTGGTCATTTTAGCTTCGGTTATCATACTACGTGGCTACGGGGCTTTACAGGAGGCCATTGTTATATACAGCCCCTCTTCAGACTTCTAGGCGGCACGAGCACCGAGAAGTTGGATAATAAGGAATTAAGCACAAGAAAAAGCGAATAAATATCTTTATTATTATACTTGCCATACGTTTTATATCGCCCTTTGGGACAAAACTGCCCCGACACCTCCCCCATTATATACACCCACACAATCATATCATACAACCGATTTACCCTCTGAAAAACAAGGGAACCGATGCCTAAGGACCTAATCGCTGCGTGCTCCCCAAGTAGCTCATCTGGATTCCAGATTCTGGGTCAGGTGTGGAGACCGGAAGGACGCCGAATCTCCCGTATGTCTTCTGATCAACAGAAACATAGTGTGGCAGGCGCCCAAGGAGGTTCATCTTCCCCTCAACCCATCGGAGGATCTTCTCGGGCGGGGCGAGGAACTTCAAGTATCCAAGACCGACTTTGTACTATTAGCAGAGCTCTGGATATGAGAGGAGTGATACGTACAAAGATACCCCACTGCGAGGCCACAAAGATGGCCAAGGAAGCTCGTGTGTTTAACCAGGACGCTGATGAAAACGGCGAGCACCAAAGGAGTTGTCCATGTCGGTACATTGACGGTCCCTACTTTAAAATGGGGGTTCGTCCGGTATGTCTTGATCGCCTCCATCCCGAGGAGTAGAAATACCCATAAACTGTAACTTGTATTAGTATGGCACGGAGAAACACAAGAACTTGCGAGCATACCTTGCGCCAAGGACTGCAGTATTTCCTCGCAACACGCCTCGCTCTAAAACAACATATATAATGGCTGGAATAGTTGACAATGCTATAATAGTCGTTAGTTGTGGTCGTTCCGGCCGGATCTCTGGTAACTCACGTCCAAAAAACAATAGGAGGGACGTCAGGGTCCCATGCTCTGTCTCAAATCGTTCCAACAGCGGAACGAGCGCAATAACGTTCAGTAAGGCATGGAAGAGGCCGGCATGTATGAGAGGAAACGTATTCGTCCTGTATACTATAATGTCGCATGTCAGCGGCGCGCACGCCAGAAAGGGGAACATAAAGGGCGGCGCAGCAAAAGGAGTCCGTACATGTAGCCACACCCGTCTCCTGTGGTATCAAGGAACCCCAAGCCCGTACATCCCAGACCGACTGGATGCTGACAACCCAGAAGCCGACAATGAGAACTATAATCAGGCGCGTAAACAGGGGCAGGCGGAACACATATGAGCGTGTCCGGCCCAGGTTGAGCTGCGGAATCATCGATGCCAGGGAGGCCATGGCTGCGGTTCGAGGATCGGAGGAGGCGGAAGTGCGCCAAGTCAGCCGGATTGGGGCTTTCACTGCCTTATAAGAGTAGTGAAGATCAGTTCCGCTGAGCCCGTCGATACATTGCGTCAATCTATCGCTGCATTGGAGTGTTGGTTTAATGATCTACGATGGAGTTGTCCTCAAAAGTTTTGTACGTTTCCCAGTAACACAACACCCGCTAATTCGATAATCACTGGTCAGCCTCGCTTGATTACGGAACAGAGTCAGGAACTCGACCACGGAGAACAAGCCGAGGAATAAGGGGAAATGTTACCATAGTATGTTACATACCAATGGTACCAAAAAAGTTAGCAGTGCAGCACAAGTATACTAATCCTACGTATATCACAAAATATCACAGCATATTCTTCCGCTCCCAGCAACTATATCAGTTGGAATCCCGTTATTCGAACATTATACATTGAGGAAATAACTAGTTGATGCTGGTGGTCGTGCACTCAATGGAATATTGAGACGAAGACATGAAGTCTCTAACACGGAGGTATGGACTAAGAAAACGCATTCAACATGAACAACTACACTGATACCAACAACGCTCAAACACCCATCTACAATCTTTTGATCTATGCCTTGGCGGCGTTGGCCTTGGCCATGGTGTTCAAAGCGCTACCGTTCTTAAACCACTCGACTTGAGGAGTGTTGTAAGTGTGGGCAAGCTTGACCTCGAAGGTCTTGCCGTCCTTGGGGTGGACCCTCATGGTGAGGGGCTTGCCAACCTCGAGCTCAGTGCACAGAAGATCAACCTAAGATGAACGGTTAGCAATTTATATTCCAATGATATCTGACTGTAACTGACCTTGTCCTCTGGCTCGATCTTGTTGTAATCCTCTGGGTTAGCGAAGGTAAGAGGAAGCATACCCTGCTTCTTCAAGTTGGTCTCGTGGATACGGGCGAACGACCTAGTGATAATAGCGAGTCCACCCAGGTGTCTAGGCTCAAGAGCAGCGTGTTCCCGAGAAGAGCCCTCTCCGTAGTTCCAGTCACCGATAACAACCCAAGGGATGTTCTTCGACTTGTAGTCTCTGGCGGTAGCTGGGACAGCATCCCACTCACCGGTGGTGTAGTTTTGGACCTTGTTGGCCTCGCCGTTGGCAGAGTTGATGGCACCGATAAGCATGTTGTTGGAGATGTTGTCGAGATGTCCACGGTACTTGAGCCAAGGACCAGCCATGGAGATGTGGTCAGTGGTGGTCTTGCCGTCGCACTTGATAAGAATTGGGAGGTTCTCAGCATCCTTTCCGTTCCAGGCCTTGAAAGGCTCGAGGAGCTGGAGACGGTCGCTGGTTGGCGAGACGGCAACGCTGACGCCGCTACGCTCAGCCGGTGGTGCCTGGTAGGTGTTCTGTCCTGGGTCGAAGCTTCCGCTCTCTGGAAGACCGTTGCCGGAGGGAGGTTTGAGGAGGAACTCCTTGCCATCCTTGCCAACAAGCTTGTCGGTGAGAGGGTTGAAGTGAAGGCTTCCGGCGATGGTCATGGCGACGACGAGATCGGGGGAAGTGACGAAGGCGTGGGTAGCGGGGTTGGCATCGTTACGTCCAGTGAAGTTACGGTTGTAGGATGAGATGATGGAGTTAGCCTCACCCTTCTTGACGTCCTTGCGGTCCCACTGGCCAATGCAGGGTCCGCAGGCGTTGGCAAGAACCATGCCGCCGAACTCCTCCAAAGTGGCAAGCTGTCCATCACGCTCGATGGTGGCGCGGATCTGTTCGGAACCGGGGGTGACGGTGAACAGAGCCTTGGCCTTGATGCCGTGGTCGAGAGCGTCGCGAGCGATCGAGGCCGCGCGAGACATATCCTCGTAGGAAGAGTTGGTGCAAGAACCGATCAGACCAACCTTAAGCTCCTCGGGCCAGCCGTTGGCCTTGACAGCCTCGCTGAACTTGGAGATGGGGGTAGCCAAATCGGGGGTGAATGGGCCGTTGACGTGGGGCTCAAGCTCAGACAGGTTGATCTCGATGAGCTGATCGTACTCGGCACCCTCATCCTCCCTCAGCTCCTTTGCGTAAGCACGGGAGAAGTCTCCGATATCCTTGCGCTTGGTGACGGAAAGGTAATCGTACATGCGGTCGTTGAAGGGGAACAGAGAGGTGGTGGCACCAATCTCGGCACCCATGTTACAGATGGTGGCCATACCGGTACACGAGATACCGTTAACACCGGAGCCATGGTATTCGACAATGGCACCAGTTCCACCCTTGACGGTCAGAATTCCGGCAACCTTGAGAATAATGTCTGTAGCCACGTATATTAGTAATTGTTCAAACAAAGAATTCGTACAAACTAACCCTTTGGCGAGGTCCATCCAGACATTTGACCAGTAAGCTTAACACCAATGACCTTAGGGGCCTTCAGCTCCCAAGGAAGGTTGGCCATGACATCAACGGCGTCAGCACCGCCGACACCGATGGCGCACATACCCAAACCACCGGCATTGGGTGTGTGGGAGTCGGTACCGATGAGAAGACCACCGGGGAAAGCGTAGTTCTCGAGGAGAATTTGGTGAATGATACCGGATCCTGGCTTCCAGAAACCAATGTTGTACTTGGCGCAAGCGGTGGCAAGGAAGTCGTAGACCTCCTTGTTGATGCTGACGGCACGAGCCAGATCCTTGTCGCCGCCAATTTGGGCCTCAATAAGATGGTCGCAGTGGACGGTGGTAGGGTTGGCAACAGAGGGCATGCCCGCGGACATGAATTGGAGGATGGCCATCTGAGCAGTGGCATCCTGGCAAGCAACACGATCCGGGCGCAGCCTCAAGTACGAGGAGCCACGCTCGATTTCCTGTCCGTGAGGATCATCCAAATGAGAGTAGAGGATCTTCTCGGCGTAGGTGAGAGGCCTGTTCAATCGTCCGCGGACAATGGCTAGGTTCTCAGACATCTTCTTGTAGTTGATGAAGTTGTTCTTCTCGTGGATGTTCTGGGTGACCTTCTGGTCAAGGCTCGCATCGCTGGCAGTTGCCATTGTGCGGCGCAGGCCATGCTGGATGACCGCCCGGCGTTGGGCGGCACCAAGAAGTTGTCTCGACGCCAGCATTGTGAGGTTGTCTGGAGTAGAGAGTGTGTTTGATGGAGAAAGGAAGAAAATGAGGGTGGAGAGCAGGAGAAGCCTTATCACGTAGGAAGCTCGGCTACTACGACTTTCGCCGAAGCCCAGCCGTTGCTGTTGATGATGTGGGTTTTACAGTGCGAGGGTGGGGAGGGATGACCAATGAGAGGAGGGCTATTAGCTTTTCCTCCATGACGGGTACAATCTACACAGCCGTGTATTGGATGGACGGACAGGTCCTACGGAGTGTACATGGCATAAATGGATTAGTCAGCTCGAACTGCTTCTCGTGAAACGTGGGAGCAAATGACGTTTGTTGATTTGGGTCTGGAGACCACTCTGACTTTACCAGCGCGCAGATCTAACGACATCATAGCTAGTTTTGGCTCGAAGGGAAAATAAAAGGCGGTCCCGAGTATGCCGGGTGCAGGTTCCAATTGATCAATTGATGCATGCTGGATGCTGCATACAGCATACGTCTGATAAAATACCCTCCAATGTTTTGACTCCACACAAGTAGAACCAGAGAGAGAAATATTGCTGCCCAGAGGAATAATCATGTGAAAACGCTTTTCAATTATTGTGGGGCGGGCATGCGACGACGAGCTGGAGACAACATAGTCTGTACTGTACGTACGTTACTTACTGTACTCTGTACTCCCACTCTATCCGGCGTGCCCGATAATTCCAGAATGTCTCAAGCTTTTACCCTGCGCATGCACAGCCATTCCCTTCGGTCCCGGTGCTGCTTTGCTCACTCGCGGGGCATATTTTCATCCCTCGGCTTGAAGTGGGTTCCGGCAAAGGTGGGGCACGAAAAATGCAGTTTGGTCTGGAGACGTGGTGAGCCGCCTAATCGGGTTAGCCCAGAATATATCTCCAACCTTGTTCGAGTATAACGGATTTTTTTTGCGTCTGGAGACCAAGTCAGCAAATCATTACGATCACCAACACCACACGCGCACCGTGCAACCCCCGCAGAACCTCATCAGACAAGGCAGCAATCATGGGTGTCGAGAACAAGAAGACCAGGACAAAGACGAGGAGGCACACGAGGTATATGACTTGCCCATCCCTCCAATACATGGACTATTTTACTTGTGGTGCACTGTGATATACAGTGGAGTATCTATATTTGAAGGTATGCTAACCACCATGTTCTAATAGAGATCTCGACCAAATCAAGTCTGACATGCTGTCGTCCAAGCATCTTTCACAATACCAAGCAACAAAAGCGACCGAGGATTTGCCAGGCCTGGGAGAGTTCTACTGCGTCGAATGTGCGAAATGGTTTGAGGGAGAGAACAGCCAGAGGACGCATTTGAAGGGCAAGAACCACAGGAGAAGGTATGGCAGACAATACAGCATCAACTGACAGTTTGCTGACAATCCATAACAGAGTCAAGGCGCTAAAAGACGAGCCATACTCCCAAAAGGAAGCGGAAGCTGCAGTTGGGTTGCGAACAGACAATGGACCGCTACGATCGAATGTGAATAAGGCACAGACTATCGACGTTGAGATGGCAACATGAAGAACCGACCCCGCCATGTTTCGTACCCGGAAGCCGCCTTCCCATTGCGATAACAAACTCGACGCCAGCATTTCCCGTTGAAAAGTCGAGCGGGCCCCACATATAGCGCTGCTCTGGATAAAAGTATGCCTTTATCGGAAATATTGTCTCTGGGGTATTTCTGGTATCTTGATAGTCCTACTTAAGGCTACTTCCTCGAGCCCTTGCCAAACCACTGCCACGAGCACCCCGGTACCCGCCTCTGGGAACGCCACCCCTCCCGGTTGATGATGCTCCACCACGACCAGGCGCGCCAGCTATCCTTGAGGCTGGAACAGGAGGGGTGTATTTTGGGGTCGCTTTCGATGATGTTGGAGGGTTGTCGACAAACGATGTGTCGGTAGTCCTAATTATCCACGTCGTTAGTTGTTGAATCTTTGAACAGTAGTTTAGATCATACATGAAAGTTGTTTCTCCGTCAAAATCGCCGCCCTGAAATCTTTCTGAGTTGGTCGATCGGTCTGTATGCTATTAATGGAAGTCTTCGTAAAGCGCAGTGATTCTTCTTACTCAGTTGTTCCGCTTGTTGGCGAGCTCGACGAAATGAATCCGCCACGGGGGCCTATTAAGTCAGCAACGTAGATAAGCCACTACCCCTCCATTCCTTACCTCTGGGAAATCCACACAGAACGCATTCATATTCAGCCCGTAAAGGAAACTCGCAAAGCTTTCGCTAAATCGTGACAGACTCTCGTGCATCAACTGTAGATGCATAAAATTCGCTTCCAAATCCGCCATTGAATCCGACAACTCCGCAAATGCGGGCTCGAATACCTCTAGTGGCGCATCGGAATTGCCGCCAACACTCGACCTGCCGGATTCGCGGAAAGAGGATTTCGAGGAGGGGCGAAGAGGGGTCGTTGGGCGCGAGGTGGGACGACGTGTTCCTGAGCTGGAGCGCTTGATGCTGCTATCGAGCGGGCTTTTTGACGCCGGCATCTTTATCGCTGCTGCGCTCGGGACTTATATTACGCTCGTTTGGGGATTTGGAAATTCGGTGACGTGGTGTCGCTGATTCTATGCACTTGCGGTCTGTTTATAGTTGCCGTTTTGTTTGTTCTGGAACAAGACCAAATAAAACAAGACCAAAAACAAAACGCCATCGCGCGATACCGCGGCTAACCTCCTCCAGATAAACGTCCCCACCAGATCGACACAACAGGGTAGTCCACCAGGCGTCATCAGGCTCTAAGATGGGAATCATGAAATCGAGAGAAACATGCTACCTATAGAAGCCTTATACACTGACTAGTTTCAAGAATTATTATAATACCTCACATTCGTTATTTTATTGCACAAGTCATGCCCTCGTGCGGCCATACTGCCTACGTCGGACATTATTGGCATTGGGCAATTTGGCCCGCATTTGGGGCAGTTACAACGTCCCTCCAAGTTCCCCACGCAGTTTCCAGACCTGTGCAACAGAACTTCTGACGGGAGGCCCTGAACAAAGTTCGCACCGTCCCCTATGCCAGCTATATCGGACATTCTTGTACACGCAAGGGTACTCGATTGGAAATCATCTCGTGATTCTGTTCGAAAACTGCGCCACCATCGCCAAGTCGTTCCTTGCGATTACACGCCCACAATCCCAACATTCCGGGGTGTCGCAACTCTCTCATCCAAGAGACAATTGAGCTCCTGGCGGACACGTGAAAACGAATTACCCCTCATACCGATCTTCTCACAGTTGAAACAGCAGAAGCTGCCCTTGACCCTTACAAGAGCCTTTTCTCATTCTCCTCGAAACGATAAACCGAAGTACTTCAGCCATTATCCACCTACTGGTATATACGCACGCAGACCAATTCAAAGCGCGGTCGGGACTTGGACAGCTGCTATATTGTTAGCTGCTATCAGTGGTTCAGTGTACTTCTTTACTGCCCGTCCGAAACACAGCGGTAAACTCGACATCGAATCGGGCGACCAGTTCCAGCAGTCTGAAGCACGCGACAACTCAGGTTCCACAAACTCCGCCGATATGGGAGAAACTAGCCAACCCGGGCATATAGGCAACTTGTCAGCGGAACAGGAGGAAAAGCTACAGCAATTATGGATTGCAACGCTGCAGGTATTCGGGGTTTTGGACAAGGAGCAGGCGAGGGCCCTGAGCACTGGTGTCAATGGTACTATTGTACCGGTGTTATCAAGGCAGTCGGCGCCAGCATCTGAACAGGGGAAGAAGAAGAAGCGTGGCTGGTTTGGAAAGAAGACCGAGTCGGAGGATACACCGGCTGTCAGTGGCGACGACAAGTATGGTCTGGCATTAAAGTTCCAGCATGCTCTAGAGAACGCACCACCAGAAGTTATTAAGCGTTCTTTCTGGAGCATGTTGAAACACGACCATCCGGATATGCTTCTACTCAGGTTTCTACGTGCAAGGAAATGGGATGTAGAAAAGGCCCTGGTTATGATGATCTCAACCTTCCACTGGCGATCCGTGGAGATGCAGGTTGACGAAGATATTCTGGTTAACGGAGAAGAGGCAATGCTGATAGATTCAACGAGTGATGACCCAGTCAAGAAGAGGCGAGCTACAGATTTCCTGACGCAAATTAGAGCGGGTAAAAGCTTTTTGCATGGAGTGGACAATTTGGACAGGCCTATGTGCTTTATTAGAGCACGTCTGCACCACGCAGGCGATCAGCTGGAAGAGGGTCTGGAGAGATATACCATCTATGTGATTGAAATTGCCCGATTCGTGGTTCAACCGCCTGCTGAAACTGCTGTAAGTTCTACATTCCAATGCAGATTGTATTAACTAATATTATACAGTGTCTCGTTTTCGACATGAGTGGTTTCTCATTGGCGAATATGGTGAGTGCTCCACGCCAGTAAGCAATTGGATGCACTAACTTCGTTTATAGGATTATGCTCCAGTCAAGTTTATGATCAACTGTTTCGAAGCCAATTACCCAGAAAGCTTAGGAGTTATATTAATTCACAAGGCTCCATGGGTATTCCAAGGTACCCAACCTTTATTTTCATAATAAGTCAGCCTACTGACTCGCTACATAGGAATCTGGAAGATTATTAAGGGCCTCCTGGACCCCGTTGTGGCCAGTAAGGTAAACTTTACGAATAGCACTGCCGATATGGAAGCTTTCATTCCGAAATCACGAATCCTCAAGGAGATTGGAGGCGACGAAGACTGGGAAATGAAATACATTGAACCCGTCATTGGAGAGAACGACTTGATGAAGGACCTGGAAACGAAGAATAAGATCCAGTTCGAGAGGGACGCCATCGTTGTGGAATTCGAGAAAGCAACAATCGCATGGATCGAGAACAAAGCTAGCGAGGAAGCAAGGAAAAAGCGCGAGGACTTGAGAATTTCCCTGGAGAACAACTACTGGAAGCTCGACCCGTATATCCGTGCTCGGTCATTTTACGATCGTGCTGGATTGATTCAGCCGGAGGGCAAAATCGAATTCTACCCAACTGCCGCGAAGGAGACCGCGGTTCCGGGGACCGCTGTTGCTGAGACCAAGGAGGTGGCAGCTGCCCCTCCAGCTGCGGCGCCCAAGGAAACATCATCCGACGATATTGATTGAACATATTGCCGGATATATTAGAACCATATTCAAGGGCACCCATACGGGCCCTAGCGCCGATTCATGAAGCCGAGATTAGTAGCATACAAGGAAGCGCACATAAACTATAGCAATACATAGTCTGGGATTTACTTGAGCTTGTATTCGTTTGTATACGTATTGTGATTTCCTCTCTACCTGTATGCGCACTGTAGTTACCATTTCTACATCTTCGCTTGAACTTCCGCCAGGAGCTCCTTGAGCTTGTCCATGTTGGTCTTCTGCTGGGGCCATCCCACCGAAAGCCCTTCCTTAACGTTTGGCTTCGGGATCTATATAAATCTTCGTCAGTAATGCGGCTGGAGTGGAGTGACATCCCGCGTACCATGTGGAAATGAACCTATATATTCGTTAGCATAGCTCATACTTGTAACCGGATCTATCTTACATGATCAACTTCCTGGTGAGCAATTCTTCCGTTGTTCTGCAGAACATTGTAGTTCTCGGCGCCGGTAGCGTTGACAATCTTCTTCACAACGGGCTGTACGGGTCAGCAACTGGACTCAATCCCTCTGTGTTTCGGCCTACCAAGAGCTCAGAGAGCTGGTCGTCCGGGATATCCGTGAGCTTCGCGCCGTGAAACTTGGGAATCACGAGCTATACACAGTTAATAGAAGCTATTACGGGGGGCGTTGCGGGGTGTACAGCATGGCCGCGGCTGAGCGGATTGATGTCGAGGAAGGCAAAGACCTTGTCACTCTCAAACAGCTTCAAGGAAGGGATGTCCCCTACAGATAGTTAGCTCTAGCATCTTCGCGAAGAATCATATGATAAAATACCCTTGATGATCTTGCAGAAAATACAGGCTGACATATTTTTCTTTCTGGGTTGGTGAACTTGAGAAGTAATCTGATGCTCCTTGAGAGTTGTCCTAGTTTTATATAAGCTCAGAGAACAAGGGAACGGACGGAGCTGTTGCTGGCGCCTGCATCGGGAACCCCGCCGCTGACACAGCGTCATGTTTGTGCGGGGGTTCACCAAGGGGCCCGTGCACGTGGCACAACCACTACTCGAGTATAGGGACCGCGTCCAAATTCCGTGAATCCATGATAGAACAACTTCCTTAAGTACTACAGTTCTCACGCGATAAGTCGATATAATAATTCCTCTAGATAATATCGAGATATACTGAATATCGAGTAATCAAACCATTACATAAGCCAAACGTCCAATGTGCCCTGAATGCCCTCATTTGCCCTTTTGACCACTAATTCCCTTTCTATACGCTCTAAAGAACGGAGCGTAACTGCCGGCTCCCTTATGCCACTATTCCCAGTTTCCGTAAATTCACTCAGAACTTGGAGGGCTTGTAGAACTGCCTGCGTAGAATGAACCACCGGCAGTCTAAGCTCCTCCCCATCGTCATCATCTTGACCTTCATTAGGAGGCTGGATATATTGTTTCAATGACCTCTTATAGTACTATATCCCCCTCGCTATCTTGCATACCCTCTTGTATTGTCTCCTCCGCTGGGTTTAGAAAGTTTGAAAGGTCCATCGCATCGTGAATTCGGCCGTGCTGTTGTACTTGGTTGTAAAGGTCAGTAAGAGGCGGAATGTGCTCAAGAGGAAGTTGGATCAGGTTTTTGATGATTGTGCTTTTGCGGAAGCAGTTGTAGATAGTCGTATTTGAGACATCGTGATACCACGATCGGATGATCCAGCGAAGGGCAAGGTGTAAGTTAATAGTTTTAAGAGGATCTTCATTGTTGTCGAAGGCGTTTAGCATGAACGCAAGCCATTGTCGACGATAATGAGCTTTAAGGGAGGCAATAATGCCTTGATCAAGGGCCTGGAATCGACTGTCGAATGCGATGGCCGAAGGTTCTAAAGAACCAGTCGATAGAGGCTTTTTGCGAAGGCTTTGGTGACTGGTGAGCATACCAGTTTCAGAGTGCGCGACGCTGCTCAATCGTCATTGTAAACAGCTGATTTCGAGGCATCTTGGCCTATGTAATATCGGTATAAGACGATATCTGGTCAAATCAGTTCGATATCGAGTGTATCGTAGTTTTGGTGGGAAAATAAAGAATCCTATAAAAAATATCGAGTTAGCGTGAATATCGCCTAATCAAGTATCGACTTATCGCGTGAGAACTGTAGAATGCAGTCAGCTACCTCCGAGACAACAAACCTTTCGAAAAACTTCATTCCAGTAATGATATGAATATGCCGAAGCTATCATATAGCTGCAACCATCACGCTGTGCATTCAAGAGAGGTCCAGGTCACATTTCCGCAGTCTGGAGACAGATCATTCGATTCCTAGCTATAGCCATGGTATAGTAAGAGCCCGGCTATACAACGGTAACACCTTTCATCTCTCATATCTCATTCTCTCAGTCAGAAGATTACCATATACCCCTGATCACCGCGGCAGCTGCCCAACGAGCAGGTATGAGGTCGAGAAACAAAGATCGGTCGAACTCTCCTTCAAGTTGATAACTTCTCGCAGGCAGCTCCAATCATGACGTTTCATATGCCGGTTCCACATCTCAGAACACGTCCAAGCTTTCTTCTAATTTCCACGCCGGTATCCTTCACTTCGTTGCTTTATCCCTGACGCTCGTTCTGCCCGCCGGCCGGCCCCTCATAAGACACTTACTTACAAATAATCCAGACAACATATGAGAACGTTCAATCGGCCTAGTGCTATGGTTTTCAGCTATTTGATTTGGGATTCGGGAACATGGCATAGTCTCTAATATAACTTTATGAGCACCTAGAGAGCTCTTTAGTCTACACTATAAGACAAGATTCCTACAGTTCTCCACATGAAAGCTGATAATATTGTTGTTATCGTCGCGTCGCCGCTGAGCCATTGGGGGGATGATCGGATCATATGAAGTTCCGTTCCGATACGCGCTAGGGGGATTCTTGGATGAGCGATCGCGTCGCAAACCACAACGTCGTGAGAGCACGGTTTGGTCACGGCGTAGTCGTAATACGTCCTCGTCCTCGTCCTCGTAAAAGAGAAAGAGAAAGATGTCGCAACCACCTTCTCCCCATGAGGACGAAGATGCACAGGATGATAATGTTATCCATAACGAGGCTACGGAGGCTACGATGTGGAGATCGGACTCTGATGGGGTATCGAAGAGGGACCTAGAAATCATGAAGGGCATTGTTGATCACCTTACTGAGGCTAAGGACGAGAAGTGAGAACTACCACAATCCATCGGCGAATGATATATAATGTTTTACTAATTACCTACTAGCGATCGTGAAATTACGTCGGTATTCCAGCGCATTGTAAACAAAAGGTTCCTTCCGGATTACCACGAAGTCATCAAGCACCCCGTCGCTTTCAGCACAGTCAGGGTACGCTTATCTACCAACCTTACAGCTTCTTACGTACTAATACAATTGAAAGGCCAAAATACTTAGGAAGCAGTACTCAAGCTGGAAAGAATACGTGAGGGATTTTGCGTATATGTCCCACAATGCACAAGTATACAATCGACCCTCAGCCGAGGCCTACGGCGACGCACTCAAACTCCGCGAGATGGTGAAACTCGAGCTGGCCAAGCTTGTGGACCAGAATATCATATCTGCAGAGGACGCAGAATACCCCGATCTGGGTGAAATCCCCGACGTTGAGGACTCCCCACCTCCACAACCTGACGAGGAAATGCAAAGCGAAGACGAGCCGGTCGAGGATGACCGCGACGAGGAGGACGAAGATGAGGATGAGGAAGATGATGTTGATGACTCTGATGATGAGGGCGCCCGCAGGAGACGCCGCAAGGGCCCCCGATCATCTGCCGCCATTACCAAGCGCGAAGGTGGCAAGGTTGAAGAGGGCTCCAAGGATGATGCGGATGCGCATAAGAAGAGAGGAAGGCCACCGAAGGTCCACACACCAATGGAAGCGCGTATCAATACCATTCTTAAAGGTCTCAGGAAGTTCAAGGATGAAAAGGGAGACCTCAAGGTTCTACACTTCGAAAAGCCACCGGACAAGACTCTATTTCCCGAGTACTATCAAGAGATCAAGAACCCAATTGCGCTGGACATGATCAAGAGGAAGGCCAAGCGCAAGAAGTATAACTCAGTTGATGCCGTCATGAAAGATTTGGAGCTCATGTTCGATAACGCCAAAGAATACAATCTCGAGGATAGCGAGGTCTATATGTGCGCCGCCGACTTGCAGAGAGAGTCTCGGATTCTTGCAGAACAGGAGAAAACTAAGCCAGATAGCGCTTACGTCGATGAGGATGGCAGGCTTCCTCTACCTGAAATCCTCCACAATGGTGAGATTTGGAAGGTTGGTGACTGGGTCCATCTCCAGAACCCGAACGACCTCACAAAGCCAATTGTGGCTCAAATCTACCGCACTTGGCAAGATCCGGAAGGACAAAAGTGGATCAACGCCTGTTGGTATTATCGGCCAGAACAAACGGTTCACCGCTTTGAAAAGCACTTCTTTGAGAATGAAGTTGTGAAGACCGGACAATATCGCGACCACCACATCGACGAGGTTGTTGATCGCTGCTTTGTTATGTTCTTCACCCGATTTAATAAAGGCCGCCCACGAGGATTTCCACCTGACAAAGAAGTTTACGTCTGCGAGGCTAGATACAACGAGGACAAATTCAAGCTCAACAAGATCAAGACCTGGGCTAGTTGCGTGCCAGACGAAGTGCGAGAGAAGGATTACGAAATGGATCTATTTAACGTGCCAAGAAAGATGAAGAAGGTTCCTAGCCCGATCAAACACTTACTGCGCGAGGACGCAAAGGAAGACGACCCTCTTCCAAAGCCAACTTGGGGTGCAGCTAACGCCCCTCCGATTGTGGGCGCCGTTCATAAGCGACCCCGTGAGGCAAATGTGAGTTTTGGGTGAATTCAACTTACTAGAGCATTTTCTAACAACAACAACAGGAGTCCCCACCTCCAGAGCCAACACCTTCTCCTCCACCTCCTCGCCCCGTGGAGCCTGTCCGCCGCTCTATTACCACCGAACGTGCAACAACTTACGGTCAAAGCGACACCCCAATGGGCAACATGCAGAACACAGCTCCATCTCCAGCCCCAGCACAACAAACGCTCAACTCATACGGCCAGCAGTCCTCTGCCGTTCGCCCTTCAGCTTCACCAGCTCCCCAGCTCCACCAACAGTCATCATATGCTTCTTACGCTACCGTTGATGTACCGCCACCCCAAACCCCATCCTTCGCACCATCCACAACCCACAACAACCATGCTATCACCCATGCTCCGCCCTCCACCATCCACGCGTCCGCGCTCCAACACCCCGGAACCCCCAACCCACTCGCCAACTACGACAGTGGCTACGCCCGCTCAGTTCCCCAGCCGCGCAACTATGCAGCACCTCCCGCCGGCTCGCACGCCAATGCGTATAACCCTCCTCGCTCGGTTGAGGTGTACCACCTGAGCGACGTCGCAAATGCGAGTATTCCCCAAGACATCCGCAGCCAGTTCCACCGCGACGAGAATGATCGGGTCTTGTTCTTCACGGCGCCACCACTGGATGTGCCAAGGGTGCCGGCCAAGGCGCGCGTCCTGGGTCACAGTCTGAAGTACCTTGCAGCGAAGCTGAAGGATACAGACGCACTTGCTGAGGCTCGGAAGGAGAGGGATAAGAAGCTAGCGGAGATGTCGAGTGAGAAGAGGAAGAGAGATGATGAGGAGTTTGCAAAGCGCGAGGAGGAAGTGGAGCAGGCGAAGATCCGTGCACTTCAGGCGTTTAATCGAGATATGGAGGAGGGTACGTTGAGAATTTACGAGCGCATATTTGGTGCTGATGGGAAGGCGGTGATGGAGGAGGAGAGATTGACACTCGAGAAAGTACATGCTAAGCAAAAGCTGAAGAATGAGGAGTCGGCGAAGCGTGAGCGCGAGTATGAGGAGAGCCAGAAAGCCCGGATCTATAGATAATTGTTTCCAGAGCGGATGGGCAGGGTGCTGGTTTGGGGGGTGCTACGAGTATCGGGATATGGCGTTATGGACTGGGGGTGTTGGGAACCTGGAGTGCTTATGCGGGTTTGAGACTGATATGGTCTCGTATGGTTGTCATTATACTGTAACATCAGGCTCACTACGCCGTACTTTGCACCGGGGCATTACCACCTCACAAGGTCTGGGGCTATTATGTACCTTAGTAAATCAATAGATTCTCTGATTCTGGATCCCACGTAAATCACCGAGATGTTGATCACAATATACTCGTACTCGGCTTTTGGAATCATACATTTTATTTTCATTTATTTTCGTAAATAGATTCCTTTTAACTTTCAAGCCACCCACCAACAGCCCTCCGTGCACGCACAATAGGTATATACATAGAAGTGAACGTTTGTTTCGCCTACAACGAAGCAGAAAAAACAAACAACGAAAGAAGGTCAAGAATAAGAATTCTAGGAACGTCTATCTATCTCTACCGCAAAGGGTAGGAAGATAACAGGATCATGTATACTCTTTCCATCAACTTTCCAAAAAAGCGACTTAAGAACACACCACACAGCCCCAAGATCGATTCCATGAACCCCGCAACAGGGACGGGAGTGCGAATCTAGCCAGATGGGCACTCGCCGAGGAAACCCCACCACTGCTCAGCCCCAAACTGAACAGCAGAGCTGGTCTTCCACATCATGTTGTAAGGGCTGAAGAGCATGACACCAGATGGGACCGATTGGAACGCCGACTTAATAGCGGCGATGGCGGTCTCCTGGTTCGACGACGACGGGATGGCAAGGCCGTTGGCGGTTCCCTGGGATGGCCAGCCGGTCTCGGTGATGACAATGGTCTGGCTGCTGTCCGCGAGCTTGGACTTGAGGCTCTCAATCGACCTGGTCAAGAAGCTTCCGGCGCTGGCGGCATTGGTGTTAGGGTCGAAGAAGGGGTGGCTGTTGACGGCGCAGTAGTCGGCGTTGTCGCACAGGCTTGGGTTGGCGAGCGTGGCGACGAGAGTGTCGCAGGTGACGACGGGTCCGTTGTATCCGGCGGCTCTGAGGAGCGAGCGAGCAGAGCTCATGGCGGCAACGACGGCGGAGGCAGAAGACTGGCCACTGTTGACAAGCTCGTTACCGACGGAGATGGTGTGGATGATCGACCAGTCGCCGTTGACAGCGGAGACAATGTCATGGACAGCTCCAGAGATATTAGAGATATCGAAGATGCCCTGGAAAACCTTCATGCCGTGGGCCTTGGCAGCAGCGACCACGGAGGAGACGGCATTGCAGTCAGTGCCGTATGTGCGGACGGTAGAGTAACCGCTTCCAAATCCACCGAAGTCCGTCAGGACCTGGTCGGCGGTCTTGCAGGTGCCATCGTTGTTGTATGGGTTGTATGTGAGACCGTAACCAGCAGCGGATGGCTCAGATGCGCCGGACGACGCAGAGGGGGATGGAGAGCTATCAGATGATGCCGACGATGCCGACGATGCCGACGATGCGTTTGTGTCAGCTACCTTGTCGGCCACGACTGGTGCAACTGCCTCGGGAGTTGGGGATGGCGCAGCTGGGGCGGCGAGGGCCTCAGTCTGAGCGGCAGGCAGCTTAGTGGTGGTGGAGACAGGGGTGCCGTTTTGATCAACGTAGACAATCACGTGGGCAACGTTAGAGTTATCGCGGACAGTCACATCCTTCTTGGCATGGAAAGCCTCGTGGGCATGGCGTCCTGCGGCTCGTTAGTAGCTAATCCTTGAATAGCGCCTCGGTCAGTTTGAAGAATTTAAAAGTGGCTTTACTTACTGTGAGGTTGAGCGACAGCAAGCTGGAGCAGCGAGATGGCCGCGAGTGAAAGAGTGGCAGTCTTCATATTGAGAAACTGAATAGGAGTTCTGAGTGTGTATTTTTGGAGAGAGGTATTGACTATTCGCAACGGCTGTCAGCAGGTTTCTATGTAGTTTAAGGAGTTTCATAAGGAGTGCTTGATCTTTAAAGCGAGACTGTGAGAGCAAAGAGATAAAAAATGGTTGGAATGTTGTGCTATGGCTGAAGCCATGTGGTGAATTTCATTGAGCATTTAAGGCAGACTATCTCTCACCCTCTGGCGTGACCGTGTTGAAAGTCCACTCTCATTCATCCCTTAGAACCGACTCTCGAGGCAGGCACGATTCTCATGAACCATCTGGGTTCTACAACGACCACAGCTCAAAATAAAACGCATAGAACTCTCACAAGGAGAATTCGATTTGGGAAGCTTGACATATGATAAGAAACGTAAAGACATACCCCTAGGTGTCTATATCTTCAGACTTTGCTGAAGCGAGAGAATGTGATAATGTGATGCAGCCACAGGCGCAATCGACGATTTATACGAGGCAGTGACGAAGACCGGCTAAGACTAAGCTTTGTAGATGCGACTGAAAGGAATGGACAGGAGGTTTATCGAAACCGAATTGAATATCCTCCAGAGGCTTTGATGGGCGAGTCGCAGACTACAAGAAAAAGGGCTTGCGTGGTCGGTGGGCGTTTATAAAATGAAAGTGTGACGAAGAGGAAAGAATCAACGCGAGGCCGGGGGGACAGAAGACTTCAAATACGTTCAGATAGGAAGCGGCGGTCTGGCCCTGCCCTTTGACCCACCACAGTCATACTATAGCACACAAACAGAAAACTGCCTCAACTTTCTAGTAGCAAAAGTGATCAAAAACAGTGAGTTTTCAGTTGGGGGCGACAGCGGCAACCCCCTCAGCGGCCCACGTACGCACACGGTATCGCCATTTAGTATGTACTCGTAATTTGGTACAACAGTGATCTTGTGGGGAGTTGTGGGGGTGGCGGGATAGGCGCTGGAAGATCCGGCCATAGGGACAGCGAGGGGTCCCTTGCCGTCGGTCTGGACTCTTGCGAGAATACACGACCGCCAACGGGACAAAGTCCGGCGGGGAGAATAAAAGAGCCACGCGGACCAGAGGCACGGAGACAGAATAGCTGAGGCGGAGCGTCTATTGACAGACATAATGCTTGGCGTTTCGAGTCTGTCGTCGCTACCAAATTGCTGTGTTCTTGGTTCCGCGAGTTACAGTGAAGCAGCCCAGCTTTGTGACGAAGCCCATCCAGTGAGAAGACAGGCAGTTTATCCGGTCGTAGTCCACTGGGCGGACACTGAGAGGACCCTTTCACGCCCTTCTACACAGAGCTGGTGAAGCTCACTGGGTGCAGTGGTGCGGGTACCTGGCAGATAAGTCGTGGCGTAACGCAAAGGGTGACGTAACGCAAAGGATTTATGAGAACAACCATGTAGAAATTAAATAATTAAACATCAACACAACATCAAGCAGCTGTAGCAAGTGTGATGTATGAGGCGGTAAGATAACAAGCGCAATTCAATTTTAAAGACAGTGTGCTATAAAGCTACCACTTATATGTGAACCGTGGCCATTACAAATAAGAAGTCGGTATTAGCTTCCTGCTTTTGCTTGGGTTATTAGTTCAAAAACACGCTTCAACTACTCTAAACCGTGAACGTTACTCGTCTAACCCTTTTGTATTTGCTAAAAAGAACCATTCGTTAAGTACGCTATTCGGTATCTAGTTCTGTAAGACGTTCTTCCCTTTGAAAATCCTAAGTGGTAGTAAAATAGTTCCATCTACGCAAATACAGTCTACCATCAAAACCTATTCTTAACGGCTAGGATGAGCCTAGTGCTTCGTACGAAGTAATGAATCGAGTATTATACACGTTGACTCCATTGTCCTAATCGAAAATCCGGACTCGTCTATGTTATATTTTGGTTGATTCCATGCTCTTAAACCACTTTCTTATACGCGTCAAACTACGCGTTAAGCACTAGTTTTGTAGCCCCGTCCATTTGTACCGACTTAATACGACGTCTAATAGCGACTTTGAGATGTAGATGTCGTATAATAAAACAGGGGACCTAGTCCTGGCTAAGGGTGTGCTGTGGTAGGAGTCAAGTTCACCGTGTGTCACGTTCACCGAGTGTCGCGTTGTCCAAATTGTACGTTCGTTTTGTACGCAGCTCCTTGGCTATTTCTTTCAGTAGGCGATGCCCTAGAGAGTATCCACTGATTGCTAAGTCTTTAATCCACTTAAGAAGCACATTCTCTTGAGCGTACGAGAGTTTCTGCTGCTGTTGGCGAGGTTGAGGACGCGATAACCCATCATTGACGCGACGCGTCAATGTGCTCGGTGATAACCCCAAGACCTATTGACCATTTTCAACGCCAGTTATTGCCTGAGTAATACGAGACTCTAAATCAGCCCCGCTATGCTTTTCCTGCGTACCATTGTTGAGCTATTCAAGTTATAGGTTAGAGGTCCTTGGTAATCCTTTGCGTTACGCTACCCTTTGCGTTACGCCACGACTTACGTTAACGAGTCATGTTGCCTTTCGCCCCCTTTTTTTTTCGGTCCGGAATAAATGTCAGCCAATATACTAAGTCAGTTTCCACGTGAGGGCCACCACACCGGAAGCTGTCGGGTTTTGAAAGGGGCCTTTGGGGATTCCAGGGCAGATATTTGCATTTTTGTACTCCGTAGTGCTATAAAATTTGTTAGAATAAACTGCATACGAGGCCAAGCTTTTTTGCCATCGCCAAGCAAATTCCCACGATCTCACAAACTGCCGATCTCTCGCCAATCCTTGCCTTAAGCCAGCCAGGGCCACGACGACTTTCCCCTCGAACTCCTCGGAAAGCAGGCACCAAGCTCGTGGAAAAGTCGATGGCTGTGTCTAGAGTACAGCGCGGTGTTGTACTGTACTTCCGTGCCCACCTACCCCCGCTCAGGTGCATAACTCCAGTAAAGATACTGCGTTGGGAGTACTTTCCAAGCAAGTATCAGCCGCCGTTGTTTCAACAGGCTTTCTAGGGGCTGGTCTCGTCCGGATATTCCCCTTTAGTCAGGAACGACTGATACGGGAGCTGAGTGCCTATTGATAGGCCCAACTCGGATGAGGTGTGCAGAACACGGGCAACCAAGGGCGTTGCCAGAAACATCACGTGCAGCTAGCTAATCGTGTGGATGGATGAACCCCCAGGATGCTAGGACAGAGCACTCACTCATCTGGAGCAGACTTCAGTATCGGATAAACCAGTATTAGACATTAAACATAGTCCTCACCATCACGGCCAGACCGTCCATAATCCCCCCATCTATAATAATGCATCTTCGTGCAGCCCGTACAGCCATCTATATAATACCCCCATCCACCTCCCGACAGAGCTCTTCATAATCTATACAATACACCCCCTCCGCACTGACCCCTCATTTAAGCAGTAGGGGGTACGACGAGCTTACTGTTCGCCTTACGCGTCATCACCTTCGTGACCGCGTGCCGGATAACCACACCGGCCTTCTCGGTCTCCTTCTTCGTCAGTCCCGTCGTGACGCACACCTTCAGCGCGGGCTGTAGCTGCCATCCCTGCTCCTTGGCGGTGCTGGACGGCGCGACTGGCATAGCCTTGAGGCGCGTGATGAGAACTCCGTTCGCAAGACACTGTTCGTGTTAGCAATCTTCTCCCCCAGAGAACACAATACGAGAATGCTGGGATAGAGAAAAGAGCTTACCTCGTCCACGCACTCCTGCAGCACACGCTCCTGGTCATTCATGCTCAGCCGCCTCGTATTCACCACATCCGGCTTAAGCACACACAACACCATCGGGTTATCCACCGCGCTCGTCACCGTAATCCAATCACTCCTCGGATCAAGCTGCGCACGCATGGCCTTAATATTCTCACGACACCCCGCCAAGATCTCCGGCATAGTCTGCAGCATCGCCAGCGCCTCGCTCGCCGTTGTGGCCATCATGGCTGGAAGGGCGGCGGAGAAGGTGTAAGCTGCGGCGCTGATACGTTGGTGCTCTACGATGTCGCTGGAGCCGGCGCAGAAACCACCGCCTGCGCAGAGGGGACCGGAAAGAGAGCCGACGATCATGTCGACGGAGGAGGAGTCGACGTTTTGGGCTTCCGTGACGCCGCGGCCGGTGCGGCCGAGGACGCCGAAGGACCAAGTCTCGTCGAGGATGAGGCGGAATTTGTAACGGAGGCGGAGTTCAACCTTGTGTGTGTTAGCTTGAGTCAGAAAGGGGTAACTGCTAGACTTACAACTTTAGGCAGGTCGACGCAATCACCGACTGTCTCAAACAGACCCTCAGTAACAATGAATCGCCTGGTAAGAGGCTTCTTCGCCTGCTCCTTCACAACCCTCTGTAGCACTCTCTCCAAATCCTCCATATCGTTATGCTCATACCACCTAATCGTGCTACGGCAAATCTGGAGCCCCTTCCTGATCGCATAGTTGCACGCCTTGTCAGCGACAATTATATCGCCTCTCTTGCTGAACGCAGGGATCACACTCGAGATCGTAGAGAATGACTGCGCGTACACGATACACGCCTCCGTGCCCAGATGCGAGGCAACGTCCGCCTCGGTCTTCATGTGCACATCCTGAGTTCCGTAGAATTGAGGGGGTCCGCAGGGTCCCACGCCGTAGGTGCGGAGTGTCTCAATCGCCTTCTCCTTGAGATGTTCGTTGGCCACGAGGTTGTAGTAGTTGTATGACGCGAGGTTGGTGACGGTGCGGCCATTGGCAAGCTTCGATTTCGGTCCCGACATGCTACACACAGCATTAGTCCCAGCTACCTAGCATGGCATCATGGGGGGGGACACATACCCAACAATAACCGGCAGCTTCTCCTGCACACTCTCCTCAAACGCCGTCAACGGCGCCACCAGCGGCTCCGGGGTCCACTCATCCACCAAATCATCAATCTCCTATTCCCCGTCAGCACTCTCCCCCCGTCGTCCAGAGCTCAACATACCTCCTCCGACAGCGTGACAAAATTCTGTCGATGCGTCGAGTAACTCGGCGCTAGCAGGTACCTCACAAAGAACACCACGAGAACAAGCTCGATGGCCGAGCGAACCGGGTCATTCTGGTAGCTGGACCGGACGTAGCGGATCAGCATCGCCGAGCCAGGCACCTTCTGGAACTGGTCCGCCGCCTCGTTCATGTAGCTGAGCACCAGCTTCTGCGCATCCTGGAGCTCCATTGTTGTCATGGGTGTTCGTTGTTTGTTGGCGTATGGGCAGTTGGCGAGCGTAGCTGTCCTGGGAAGATGAATGGGCTTCAGGGTCTCGTGCAAGATGCGTGGGAGGAAACGCCCACGTACTACAATTTATATATGCATCACGTGATGCGGCGGGATTGAAGGATGCTATTGTGATAATAGCCTATCATAATGGTAACGTGGTCAGAATAAAATCTGCAGTGCTACGAGTATTCCCCTCTTTTCAAAAATGCCTTCGAAATAGAAACTTCTCTTGATATATTCGTTAATTGAAACAATATGCGTTCTTCAGTTATCACCCTCATCGCTAGCGCCATCACCACCTTGGCATCACCACTCACTGACCATCAAATCAACATAGCTTGCTCAGCATGCCCTGGGGGACCCTGCGACGCAATCGTCCATTGCCCGGTGGACAAACACCTTGTGTATTTCGCCATCTCCTTACTAAAACCTAAAACATACATATACTGATTAACTTATATGAAAATGAATACATAAACTGATAATATAATATTTTCTAGGTCGACTGCCCCAAACCCCTCACCTGCTCAGTATGCCTTGGCTCATACTGCCTTGCTCTAATCGAATGTCCTGTTGACAGATGCTGTGGTATTAAAAAGGGGGATGCTCCTTGCGTATGTCATTCCTAATTTTGATGTATAGTTTATAGAGTATTATTTATCCCTTTCTAATGGCTATCAGGTTGATTGCCCCCCCGCCACAACCGCTTGACCAGAGTATCAGCTCTTAAAACACAGTTTCTTGAGAAACCGCGGATGACTTGAATGACTTCTTTGCTGCGACGTTGAGAGAAATACCGCCGTCTAGGATGCAAGAGGCGGCGGTATTTTCATTGAGATTCAAGTAAGGTCTGCCAATGTTCAGGTAGACGACATAGCCATCACTCTCACAAGACCCAGCCGTAGCCACATACACGTGTTAAAAGTTTGTACAGTTCAATCAATGCCTTTTATATTCTCCTACTGTATGTATGCTGCACTGGGATCCCCTTAGCCCCGTTGTCCAGCCTGGACCCCCCCCCTTCAAAACCACGTCAAAAACACAATCAATGCGCGATCAATCATTTTACAAAAAAAAGGCCAACTTGGTTGCTAGTAAAACGAAAACCTTTTACAGGTACATCATCCCATCCCGAACCCCCCACCCCCACCCCAAAAAAAAACTTCAAAATACATTCATGAACCGCGTAATAAAACAATCCCTCTCTCCTCCTCCTCCCCCCTCCTTCCTCAATTCGGCCTTTCCAGAGAGATGAGCCCCCTGCTACACCACCATCCACCAAAAACTTCTATTCACATATACACAGCCGTTCCCCCTCCCCGTAAATCTAAAGCAACTTAACACTCCTCTTGTTGCTGCTGCCTGTAGTTTTGGCAGCGTTGTTAGAAGAAGACCTGGTGTTGCCGGCCAGGACCGAGGACTCCGATGCCTTGATCGAAGTGAGCGTGGGTCCTGTGTCGTTGTACCATGAAGACGAGCGGTTGTTAGGCTGGAACAGGAGACCGATCATGCTGTCCTCACCAACCGATTTCTTGATACTATCTATTGTGCTGGTGACCTTGGAGCCACCAAGTACAGGGGCGATAGCTAATGCCAAGAAGACGACGAACAGAGTGAAGTACATGACAGCAAAGCGCCACACACGTCTCTTTCGTAGCTTGGACTGCTTCATGGTGTAGATCGGAGGTCGGATTTGACGACTAAAAACGTTAGCATAATTCTGAACCACCTCACTCTGTGTACGTACCTAGGTCTGAGCCAGAAGAGCATGACGGAATGAACCATGTCGATTTTGGGGATGAGAATAAGCGGGAGCATGGCGAACAACAGCATGTGTCCCAGGATAAAGTCTCCAGCAAACATTCCCAACTCGGTAATCTTACATAGGAATTCTCTGGCTGGTTGCGACATCGAGTGCCATCCCATAGAGTACCATTTACCAGTCCAGAAGGCAATGTTGGAAGTGTCGTTCTTGAATTCTCTTGTCAGGGCGAGCGAGATGATGAGCTTGTAAATGAATCGCTGGATCGCGGCTGCGCAGATTACACCGAGAAGCGCTCTTGCGAAGTTGAAACCCTCCAAAAGCATCATGACTTCGAAGAAGACGATGATCATGATGACAGCAATGGCGTGGGCAATCGCAGCTAGCACAGAACCGAATTTCTTGCAGCACATGCTGAGAACTGGGCCCATACAACAAGCCATTGCGAAGAACATTGCACAGACACCGGCGTTAATTCCAATAGGTGCCAATGCGACCAGAGCAACGCGAATTATCGAATGTGTTGGCTTTGCACCATGTGTGACACCAGTTTGAGCGTTGATATAAGTATATGGCAACAAGGTAATGCCGACAAGAATAAGAGGCCCGATAATCTCGCCATAGACTAGATTGGTGAATGATGCACGTGGAACATCGCCAGACATCTGAGCCGATGGCTCTCCAAGAGCCTTGCGCTTGTAACCTGTAATCCTAGTACGCGATAGGCGGCAGTAGGCAATCCAAGAAGACGAGTGAGATCTAGAATTGCCTCTGGACAGCCAACGAAGGAAGTCGCGGTAGTCGATGAAGAAGTCGCTCCACGAGAACTGATGAGGATTGTAGAGGAAAGGTGAAATGCAGAGAGCCAATAGCGAAATCCAGAAGTAGACCAAGGCTGGTTGCCATATGGTGATCGTTGCAAATAACAACATCATCAACATCCTAGATCCCAGGTAAATGGAAGGCCCAGCAAAGCGAGAAAATAAGACTCCGAAAGGAATACGAGCAGTTGCGAAGCCACGACCGGTTCCAATGTACCTGGCGCCACCAAAGGACAAATTCTGAGTAACAGAGTTTGCATAGATTTGGCACACGAACACCTCGAAGAGCGGTGACAGAGAGCCAATCATCTTGGCAAAACGTGTGGCAGCGCGCCAGAAGCCACGTTCCGTAGCCTCTTGGACCATCAGCGGAATAAAAGAGATGAAGAGTACGATGAAAATCGAGATAACACAACGCCAAACCCAGTCCAAGATGGGCAGGATATCGTTACAGCCTGTTGGGTTCTTTTCGTCGGTAATCGGCACATTCGGGTCGAAGACGCAAGCAATAACCTCGTATCGAAGGGCACCCAGGTTGATGAGACACAACATGAACATCTGGACAGACAACATGATGAAGATGTTGTTCAAATGGAATCCGGGATGGGCATAGTAGAAAGAAAGAAATCGATCGAGAGGTAGTTGCGTGCCGAGATAGTAATATTCACGAGACAGCATCTGCTCTCCCATACCAGTTCCAATCTTAGTTGTGAAGTTCAGAATAGATCCAAACCCGAGATCACGGCCTTTGCCGCATTGGTAGTACTCGCAGTGCTTGATGCGACCGCCACGAAGGAGCGCGTTCATACCGGCGTAAATATCTTCGTTGAGATGCAAACCCTTCTGGGCCTTGGAGACACCTCCACGTGTTGTCATGAAAATACCATTGAGGAAATCGGGATGACCGTAATGGAGCTTGCCACCGATTTGAGCCAGTGTACGTGCAAATAGAGTACCGAACGTCTGTTCTTTTCCGGCAGCAACATCACCAAGGATACCAATGTTCTCAGAGAAAATGTACTCGCGAGCTCCCAGAATAGCGACAGGGTTGGTTTTTGTAGGCTTAGACCCAGGGGCGTAAGGCGAAACATTATCAGTGACCATTTCCTCAAACTCTGCCAGAACGCTGCGAATCTTAAGGCACTCCTCGAGATAGTTGTCCTGGTTGGCGTCGATAAGCTGGAGATATTCTCCACGGTAGAAAATAATAGCGTGGTTTTGATTGTCGGATTTTCCATCACCAAGGATAGGGTTACCAGAGAGCTGAATCCGGAATTTTGGTCTTCTCATGCCGTTCTCCATGATCTCAGAGTGACCATCAATCAACGAAGAGTACAGGCGAGGCTCGTCGCCTTCGGTCAAAGGTGGCTCCTCGTCCAGGTAAGCAATTTGAAGATCCGGGTAGGCGCGAAGAAGGAATTCAGTGTTCTCCATCTCCTCTTTCTTGAACTTGGCATAACGTTGCATAGAGACGACAATCTTGAACTTTCGGCGAGCCATTCTCTCGAGCTCGCGCTCTAGCTTGTCCGAGTTACCGCCAAACATTTGAACAACCTCGGGGTTCTCGACACGGTAGAGCAGCTTGATGGCACGGCTGTAATTCATGAAACCAGAAATAGTGCGGTAGAGAGTTTGCGATCGAAGGGATGCCCAAATACGGGTACGGAGGGTGTATTCCGGCGCAGCAGATTTGAAACCAATGCAGTAAAAGGGTAGGTCATCAATCTTGCTCTTCGATGCATCCTTGTCATTCTTCTCATCTCCATTGAACTGAGACGTTTCATCAGCAAGAATTTTGGTATCCTTAACGAAGCAGTCCCATTCGTGTGGATGAAGTTGTTTGAGGTATTCCAGGAGAGTGACACGGGAGTACGGCTCATCCTCACGAATAATTTCGCGGAGAGTAAGGAGAATCTTTTCGCTGTAATGAGGAATCAGGACAGTGAACGTTGGCATGTTATCCACAGGTAGCGGCTCAGGAATAGGCGTCGACAGCGACTGCGCGAAGAAAGAAATTCTGCGCTCGGCCTCACTCTGGCTTGGGAAAAATTCCGTCTGGAACGAATGATCTTCCTGAGAGACGAAGAATGTTGGCGCACGAAGTGTTCTCTTGCCCTCCTGCTCAGAAGGAACTTGATGGTAGAGAAGCTTCTGGACGTGGTCGATGGCGAGGAGATGCTCGCGGTACATGGAGATAACGATAGCGTTCCAGACTTGAGAGATCAACACCTTGGGCTTATATTTGATCTCCATATCCGTAGTCGCCAAAACCTTTGAGTAGATGCGCTTTGGAAGGCGGGAGAAAATATTTCTCCACGGTGTCCAGATGGAAATACCAAGGTAGAAAGACCTGGCAACGGAGAACAAGGAGTTCATGATAATATACCACAGGAATGTGTCGAGGAAAAAGAGCAGAATATCGGTGAAGACCATCAACCCTAGAAGGAATTTTGGTTGAATATGGCACAGAACAGCAGCAGCTTCGTTCTTCCCTAAAATAGCATCTCCCAGGCAGTTACGAATCTTCATTGTTGACAAAATTCGGATGGGGTCACGAATCGATAGCGTCAGGTACTGGTAAGAGGCCGCGAATTTGGGAACAAATACGCAGATCCATAGTCCGTACGACATGTAAATGTCATTGCCAGCAAGTCGTGGGTAACTTGCGGTAAATGTCTGACTGGCGACGTATTTCCTGGTGTTCTTCGTGAGGTAGCTTCCGAATAGACCACCAAGAGGCATGATCGCGAAGAAGAAAAACGTGATCAGTGCAATGATGAACTGGACGATTGCGAGAATTTTGCCAATGTACGTGTTTTCACCACCGAAACCGAAGACGTAAACACTCGGCGCAAGATTGAGGATGAAGACTCCGATCAGGAAGAAGAGACGCTTTGTGAGATGTTGTGCACCGGCCCATTTCCGGGGAACATAGGCCCATTCAGAAATACTGGCGACAATCATAATAAGGGAGATGATGGCACCACCGAGACCTACGGCAGACCATCTCGCCGCAGTTGAAGGCTGATTGTTCAGTCGTTGTTCGTAGTTGTGAGTGTACAGAGTCGGAGAGTTGACGGCGGTGAAGAACCAGAAAGCACCAATGTGGATAACCCAGATGCGGTTGAAGTTGACAATAAGATGGAACCATGAACGAGACTCCTTGTAGGTCTTGAAAAACACCTTGTTCCAGTTGACCTCCGTAAGCTTCAAGTAACGCTCCGCAGGGGGAAAGTCAACCATTCGGCTCTTGTCTTCCATTATGATCCGCTCAATTCCCTCTGGGTACCAAAAGAGCTGGTTACAGTCATCATATCCGATGACCTGGGCATGGTCCCTTTCGCGGCGAATGTACTTTCCATCCACGATCTCGTATCCCTGGTCTCTGCAGTATTGGTACAGTGGGGTGATAACGTTGTTGAGGTACGTGAACTCATCCACCGGCTCCACAAGATTCTGGCATGCGGGCGAGTTCAGGTAGTCGTCGGCGCACTTGAAGATGAAGCACAGGCACTCGGGCATGAAGCGGACTTGGTTTGCCTCGCCCCAACAGAGGAGGTAGAGAGCCACTTGTCGTACACGATCGTGCTGAGACATGCGGTTCATCCGCGTCTTCCAGCGGTACTCGGCAGCCTCGAGACTGTTGTCCCCCTCCATTTCTTCCAAGGTCTGCGCTTCATTTTCGGCTTCGGGGTTGGCATTCTTCTTCTTCGCGGCCTTGCGGGCCTTGCGAGTGCGCCTGTTGGCCTTTCCAAGCTTCATGTTTGCGAAGCCTACCGCATCATCCAGATCCAGATGGGCAGCGAAATACCACTTCCTGTAGTTGGCATTTTCTCCACCAATGTAATCGGCGTGAAGGGACAGTAAGGCTTGGTTGGGAGTCATGCGGGAAGCGCGAGAGTCCAGAAGCGTCATGAAATGGTCGTACATGTTTCTCATGCTGTCCCGCTGGAAACCAAACTTTGCCGTCAGGTCAAGAAAAATATCCTCGACCTCCTCCTTCGACAGAGGAATCTGTGCATCTGCAGTCCAGGCTGGGTATGGCTCGCGAGAACGTTGCCCAGATGGCAGCACGTTGTTGTAGTCCATGCCATAGTTGGGGGTGGAGGCACCTGAAGATCGGTTCCCGCCGTAAGAAATCTGTGAGGAAGGTGGGCGGTAGCCTTGGCCTCCCATCTGGCTTTCGTTGTAGCTGTTGTAGCGCTCATCACCGTGGCCGTAGTAGTCCATGTCGGTGGCCCGAGCCATGTCAGATCTCATGGTGAAGTCGCTGAATGTCTCAGAGTCCTCCTCGGAATCTCCACGCATCTTGCCCTTGGGGTAGTCGCCGCCCTGGCCTTGGGGGTGCTGGCCATTTTGATCGTAATACTGGTCATTGTAGTATCCATCGTTGTACTGGCCATTGTCATGGCCTGCCTCGTAGTACCCACCATCCTGATGGTGCGGGTTGTTGGCATCGGCATTGTAGTAGCCACTGCGCAATAGTTAGCAAGGTGCCTGGCGAAAGATGTCGAGGTTGAACTTACGCTTCATCGTAATACCCGTCCTGTCCTTGTTGGTGACCTTGACCTTGCTGGCCATGGTGGCCTTGTTGGTCGTTGTAACCTTGGTCGGCGTACCCTCCCGCTCGGTCATCATAGTAACCTTGGTTATGGTGGTCGTCTTGGTAATAGGAATCAGTGTTTCCTTGGTGGTGAGGATCTTGATGGCCGTAGCCATCGTTATAATGATCCGTCGGATGACCCGACATTTTTGCGTTCAGTAGAGCAGGACAAAACTGTTGGGCGTGGTCAGTATAACAATCCGACGACTTCAGAGCGGTAGGGAGGGCATGTCGTTCGACGAGGGCCCGAGAAGGATGGGATGGGAACGTACATCTTAGTTTGACATTGATAAAGATTCCACGTTTCCGCTTCGTAATAAAAAAGAGAGCAAGCTCGGACTCCCTCGAATAGCTGTTGTTTTTGAAAAGGTTTGGTTGTCCGGAGATTGAGGAAAGAGCGATTGTTGACAGAACGACCAGTCGCGACCGTCAGATTATGGACGAATATTAAGCGTCAACGAGAGAAAGTTGAGAGAACAAGTCCCAAGAGAACTGAGAAGGGTCACTCAAATCAACGATTAGGTGATTCAGTGATTCAGTTTCTTGATGCTGGAAACCGTGATGCGTGGTTGCTCAACTGAGCTGTGGTGTTCAGGTGCGGGTGGTCTGGATGGTGGTCGGGGATCGTGGGCGATTATTGGCGTAGAGAGATCAAAGGGAAATAATCAATCATCAATTTTGGAACGAGAGTGAAGCCGGCGCAGCAATAATCACAAAACGACGACAACGCAATGACGATGACGATGATGACGACGACGACGACGACGACGACGACGGGAAATGCGACAAAAAAGGACAACCAGACCACGACCTTTGGGAGATGTCGAGTGTCTAAAGGTGTGGTGAGGGAAGAAAAGGGAGCAATGGGGAGTTTGAGGTTTGCAAGTTCAGCGATGCACGGCAGGTTTGTTGGCCTATAGTGGTTTGTAGTGGGGACCAGGCATTCCAAGTTACAACCCCAGTGCCAAAGTAGATGGAGAAAGTGGTGCATTAAGGGGACTGGGCTGGGTAAAAAGAAAAGGAAAGGGCTGGGGTCGTGGCTGTACATGTATCCACACCCCTTACGATACCAGCGATTACCAGCCGTCCATGCCAGCGATATGGCTTTTTTCATACAAGAACGGGGATTCCGCCATCTCGGTGGTGCTTCACATCCTCAATCCTCGGAGAAATCCATATTATTACCGGTCGCTGTTCGCGGTGTCGAACAAAACGGAACCAGAAAACCAGAGACATGACTGTAACTTACCCAGAGTCATTGCCCCTAGACATACCTCGCCGAATAAGCACAATACAGTACTCCGTACACCAAACTTTTTTCTAGCACGCTCTTCTCCAGCACCTTCCCAGCACCTTCCCAGCACCTTCCCAGCACCTTCCCAGCACCTTCCCAGCACCTTCCCAGCACCTTCCCAGCACCTTCCCAGCACCTTCCCAGCACCTTCCCAGCACCTTCCCAGCACCTTCCCAGCACCTTCCCGCTGGGAATCCACAGCCTGTGACGGTGACGTCTTGTACTTTTATTCCCCACAGCCCACACACACTCACTCCGTAGTCGAATGCGGAAAACTTGGAAAAGATCCGTACATCCATGCACATCTTGGATCCTCATCGCCAGCCCCTGAGATCCGCATCGTCCCCATTCGCATCAGGTAGGCGTGAGCCAAGCGTCAGGCAAGCGACCGGCCCCTGTCGAGTGTTCAGCACACCTGCTGTGCTGTTTCTGGTACGCCACCGCTCGCCCCACCAATAACTCGCCCACCCACTGTGGCTTCCGGAGCTTCCGTGGTACAACAAAACTCGCCAGCGATCCTCGAAAATACCCTCCTCTAGCTCTAGTAGTGCTTTAAGTCTGGGCAGTATTTCCCAGACTTACACACAGCTCCTGAAAAAGCCAGCTCCCTAAAAAGCCAGCTCCCGAAAAAGCCAGCTCCCGAAAAAGCCAGCTCCCGAAAAAGCCTTTGCTCACATTCCTCCATTCCTCCATTCCTCCAAAAGGATCAAAAATAGGAGTGACGGCATCGTAAAGCTGGCCATTCTCCGTACATGGTTTACAAGGTACCCCCGTCCCATGTACACTCTCAGAACCGGTACCTGGATGCCACACACGTAACTTGTCCCGTCGCCCCCCTTCCCCTTCGGCAATTTCATTGGCTAATTGACCGCCATAGCCCACTGTGCAGAGATGCTCCCGTCCCACTAGATCCACGAATAATCACCAGAATGGATGGGCCCATGGGGCTATTTCCGTGTTGGTGTTGGAGATCAGTATCACAGTTGCCCCTAAGCAGCACTCACTTCCCCATCGTGCTGGTGTTGGAGATCAGTATCACAGTTGCCCCTAAGCAGCACTCACTTCCCCATCACGTCCTGGAGTCTTGGCCGTTGGCCGTGGCCGATTAACTTAAGTCGTGGCGTAAGTGTTCGACAGGGTAACAAAAAGAAGTGCTTAAACCATGGTTTAACATGTATTAGAAGGTGGTTCAAGAGTGCAAAATCACGCATGAGAACACATATAACATAGATGAATCTAGATTCTTAATTAGAACAATGGAATCAACTCGAATTATACTTAATAGACGGCTGTGTACGAAACATCAAGCACATCCTATCTGTTAAGAGTAGGTTTCCATAGTTAAGTGTATTTGTGTAGATGGAACTATTCTTCTACTACTTGGGATTTTTAAAGGCAAGAACATCCTTTAAAATTAGATTCTAACTAACATCCTTAAGTAATGGTTCTTAACTTATATGAAAGCAAATGGTTAATATCGCCTTCTTGTTTAAAGCAGCTACAACTCTCACATTAGTAGATGCTTTATAGCTTACTGCCTTTAAAATCAAATTGTGCTTCTTATCCTCCTACCATATACATCACACCTACTTTAACCACTTAATGTTGCAACTTTTAGCCCATTAAAGAAGCAGCTAACTATAGCACTTTCTCACTTAAACTAAGCTTAACTTGTACAAATAGAGAAGTTTGAATGGATAGAGGCATATATACAAGCTCAATTAGATGTGTGCAATCATTAGAATATTAAATCAGCATGGTGTAGAGCTGGATTATTCCCATTTAACCTATAAAGAGTGCTTTGTACAAGGGTTCAAGAGGAACCTATAGAGCTAGAAAGGCCTAAAACACTAACCTAGTTTAAATTTTTTGATTAAGCCTTTATAAATAGTTCACTACTAGATGCAATAACTTTGCAAAAGGCAAATAAGCTTTTTAACATAACAATTAATGGCTGTACAGCCCTTACAACACCTGTCTAGCAATATATCTAAAAGTTAGCAACTAGCTCTAAGCAACTTTAAGCATAAAGTATTGTCTACTAACATAATGCAAACAGCCTATGATTAATCATAAAGAAGCATAAAACCTATACAAAAGGAAAAGGGTGATTTTAGAGGGTCACTTCTATATTTCTACGCAAGCATTATGTGATGTGGTATTAGAGGCTGAAAAAGTTACAAAAAAGCCCATAGGTAAAAAGGGCAGAAAAAAGAGTAAGGCTGCTTTATATAAAACTAAAGGTGAGGAGTGTTACGATCACAACTCACAGCTGTGATCAACTATAGGAACAGGCAGCTATGGTAGCCACTAAGTTATAAGGGATCGTGAAGGAAACAGCTGTATATAATGAGGGATAGCCTTACTCTATACTAGTCCCCTTTGCTTTACGATAATAATTAAAATGATTATGGCACCTAGTATAGATATTACAACCTAAGCACTTATTATGACTCTTAAATCCTAATTAGAGGGAAGACAACAGCTAAAGTAGCTAAGAAAACTAGCTTCTTAACCTAAAGTTAATTAGTATAACATAATGTATAGGAAAGTTGGACATATGGGGTAGTTAGACAAAAAGTTTATTCTACTCTAGTTGACCTAGTCCAACATGCCACACACTCCTCTAATTCTAAGTCGCTTGAATCGTTCTCTACCTCTTCCTCTTCAACTTTTTCTTCTACTTCTTCCATTGGTCATTTGCATGTCCTTCTACGTGTCTTTTCTCAGTTGACTTCAAATCTGCCTCCTGAACAATTTTCAACACTTCCTTAGTACTGAATACAAATTTGCCTTACAATTTAATTCTCTTGCTAGTAGTTCTTTTCTTCTGTGTCTCAAGTATCTCTTTGTACTCTTTCACCTCCTTCTGAAGGATGCTAAGTTCAGCATTCTGATTTTCAACCAGCCTAGTCATTCTCTTAGCATAACGTCAAGTTGGTAAAGCAGGAGAGTCACTAGTTGCCATACTTAAATTAAATACTAAATTTGCAGTAACTAAGGGGCGATGAATTATAGAGGGTTATAGAAGCTTTTGGAGCTATCGTTCATGTTTCTAGGCCTCTAGTTGGTAGAGATGTATCATGTGGTAGTATTAGCCCAGTAACTAAGGAGTGATGTCATGTAATGAATCATAGAGGGTTGTAGAGATATGCTATGTGGTAATATCAGCCCAGTAACTAAGGGGCGATGATGTGTAATGAATCATAGAGGGTTGTAGCAATCGTTGAGTATTGCTCTTGTTGTTGGTGTGATAAGCCAAAATATGTATAGTGACTTGTAGGTTTGAGGAGGAGATTTCTAAGTTTGCTCTTGAGTTTGATAGCAAACTGAGTGCAACGAATGTCAGTATGACATTGAAGTGGAAGGTTGGCTAGAACTCTTTCTAGCAGAAAGGGTATTAAACCTGCTGCCCTCTACCTACTTCTGGTGTTTTGAGGTATAAGGCCCTTCTCTCAAATACACTAGAAGATTGCAACCTAGTAGGAGCGCTAGGTTCACTTTATTCCTGCTCAAGTATACCGATCCACTTCCTAAGCATGAAATCGCTTAAGAGGTCCATACACCCCAACATCAAGTGGTTGGAGTAGATGAGAGCAATGAGGAGGTAGAATAAGAAGGTCGATGTCATTCTTAATGCATAGTGCAATTATATCGCTAGTAATATGACTGGAATGCCCATCTATAATAAACATTCATAGATGATTTCTAGACTTTTTGCATGACTTAGGCTCAAATACATTCTGCAACCACTTAAATCCATGACTATTTAAAGTCCAGCTGCTATTATTAGTTGAGAAGTGCCAGTTTGTAGGCATGTCATTTAGAATCCAACTTGTAATAGTATGCTTAGCCTTGAATGTAATCATAGGTGGTAAAGCACTACCATCTACATTAATGTTTGAGTACAGTTACCTACTCCTGCTTCCTAGCTGTCACATTCCAATTAGATTTCATAGTAGAATCAACAATTATATGTGTGGATTAAGTCTCTCCAACTACAAAACCTGTCTTATCCATATTATAGATGTTACATAGCTTATACTTTAGCTCTTTGATTCATGCTTTAAACACATTAAGCCAAGCTGAAATATTTATAGGAGTGGCTTCTTTATGTTGTGTATGTTACGATTACAGCTCACAGCTTGTCACAGCTTGTTACGGTTGTTACGGTTATTACGGTTATTACAGTTGTTATGGGGATTACGGGTGTAGCCTTAGCCACCAAGGTTACAACCGCTAAGCAGACAACTGTATGTTATGAGGAATAGCCTCACCTTCCTTCCTTCTTCTTCTTCTTCTCTCTTTAGATTCTATTACTTTTCCTGGACTGGCATCATGACCTCTATGACCATCGTAACAGTGTAGACTCTAGTTGTCTTAAGTAGACTCCTTTGAAGTTTAGATGTCATTTTAAGAATCTATAGATCCATTTATAGCCTATAGGGGTAGGATTGGTCTGAAGGGAAGTTTAAGAAGATGTGATTTAGACATGTCATACGTGAACTTCTTCAGCCATTTCCTTAATCAACATAGGAGTTGTGGGAAAAACTATGGCAGTAAGACGCGTAATCCATTATCCTAGTATATTTTCTTTCGCGTTTAAGAGAGCGTGTTCAATTTCGTAAGCTATAGCATGCGTTTTCTTCCTAGACACCCTGTTAGCAAAAGAGTTGACTGAACTTCAAAGTGGTCTGTAGCAAGTCTAATTGATTTGAATTCCTTTAATTAGAGTGTAATGATAGCCTTTTGAATGTTGTCTTTAATCTAAGCACAACTGTATAGTTGTTAGATGTTCATGGTAGAAGATATGAAGGTTCTACGTTGGTGGTGGGGTATTTTTATCTAACTACTAAATATGTCTGACTTCCCCATACATTACGGTATGCCTAAGCAATTAAATTAGGCTTTAACCTAAACTATATGCTACTTGTTATATAAGACGAGTAGCTATAAGATATGCCTTAATCTAGCTAGCTGGTAAAGCAGACAGTTAAAGTAAGGAAAGAAATTATTACTAAGGTACAAACAGATTGCTATAGATGAGAAAAAGCATGTACTAATATTATAGGGGAACTTAGTTTATAAGGTATTAACATCTCTTTGACTATAATATAGAGAGTTTTAGAGAAGGCTAGATTCTAAAACATAACAAGGAAGCCTAGATTAACAAAGAAGATGAAGGTAGAGAGGCTTTAATAGTGCCATAACCATGAAGATTTAACACTTAAGGAGTAGAAAAATATCATTTAGTTAGATGAAACCTCTGTTATGTTAAACCACTAACAAGGTGGCTATTAGAGGATATGTCACTGTTAGATTCTAGAAACAAAGCAAGAGATGAATTATGAACCGTGGCGTTATTAGCGTAGGACAAAACTTTTGAAAGCCGCCACGTACTTGGATTTGCACAGCCCACTTGCTCCAATTCTCGGCGTTAACCCGCTTGTACCAAAACTGCGAGTACCCCTTGAACCACCCTGCTCCAGTCACCCACAGCCAATCTCTTCTTACCACCAAGGCCCATCCAAGGCCCATCTCCCATCTCCCCCCCTAAGGTCCATCTGAGGTAGTGCCACCAATGCCCCCTGACGCCCCCCAAGATTGATTATAGATATGAAGCATCGTCAGACCGCCTTTGTTTGATCTTGCTCGTATTTCCCTCCTCTTGTCTCTGTATTCATCTTCCCGCCGTTCGCACCTTTCCTCTCTGTGCGAATAGCTGCGTCTTTTTTCTCTCAGTCGCGCCTTCTCAACACTCTTTCAACACCTATTAAACTACTTACATTTGGGTTTCTTTCGTTAACTTAACAATTGATCGTCCAATTGACTAAAGGGCTCCAATTATCTTTCCCAAGTATCGCAATCATCATCGACAGACCCAGTTCTTCCGATTCTGATCCTCAGAGAGTGTTTACACGATCATCATGAAGTCCTACAGTCTTGCGTCTGCTGCGGCTACAGCATTCGCTGGAGCTGCCCTGCTTGTCTCATCTGTCAAGGCGGATGTGGACCCCATCGTGATCAAGGTTTGTCAATGTCTATCCCAACCGCACATTGAGCTCCCCCTCACATATCCAAGGGATCCCACTTCTTCTACAAGACGAACGGCACCGAATTCTTCATCAAGGGTGTCGCATACCAGCAAGAGGCACCCGCCAACGGCACCGCGTCCACCGTGACCGAGTTCTCCGACCCTCTGGCAGATGAGGCCGCCTGCGCTCGCGATGTGCCATTGTTGGCTGAGCTCGGCACCAACGTCGTCCGCGTCTACGCAATTGACCCCACGAAGGACCACAAGAAGTGCATGACGCTCCTCGAGCAGGCCGGCATCTACGTTATTCAGGATCTTTCCAACCCCCAGAACTCCATCATCCGCGACCAGCCGGAATGGACCACCTCCCTCTTCGCGGGCTATGCTGCTGTCATCGACGAGATGGCTAAATACACCAACACCCTAGGCTTCTTTGCTGGTAACGAAGTCTCCAACCAGGCTAACAACACAGACGCCAGTGCTTTCGTCAAGGCGTCCGTTCGTGATTCCAAGGCATACATCAAGGCCAAGGGTTACAGAGCTATCGGTGTTGGCTACGCCACCAACGATGATGCCGAGATCCGTGACGATCTGGCTAACTACTTCAACTGCGGAAAGGCCGAGGAGTCCATCGACTTCTGGGGTTACAACATCTACTCTTGGTGCGGAAAGTCTACCTTCCAGAAGTCCGGATATGATGTCAGGACCAAGGAGTTCGAGACCTACAACGTTCCTGCTTTCTTCGCTGAGTACGGTTGCAACGAGCCATCTCCCCGTGTCTTCACCGAGGTTGAGGCTATCTACGGTCCCCAGATGACTGATGTCTGGTCCGGTGGTATTGTCTACATGTACTTCCAGGAGGCGAACAACTACGGTAAGTCCCTCCGACCTATATTATCGCAGAATATTGTCTAACAGCGCACAGGTCTCGTCCAGGTCAAGGACAACGCGGTCTCGAAGCTCGCTGATTTCAAGGTCCTCGCCAGCCAGGTTGCCAAGGTCTCTCCCACTGGCGTCTCTATGTCTTCCTACACCCCCAAGAACACCGCTGCCCGCACGTGCCCAGCTGTCAACGCCGGCTGGGCCGCCAGCAGCACCCTCCCCCCGGCCGCCAACTCCCAGGTCTGCGACTGCATGGTCAAGTCCCTAAGCTGCAAGGCCAAGTCCGGCCTGAAGGGCAAGGACATCGCCACCCAATTCAACTACGTCTGCGGCAACAACGCCGCCGCCTGCGCCGGTATCAACGCCAACGCCACCACCGGCAAGTACGGCGCCTACTCCATGTGCAAATCCGAGCAGAAGCTCTCCTTCGCCTTCGACCAGTACTATCAGTCTCAGGGCAGCAAGGCCACCGCCTGCGACTTCAGCGGCACCGCCGAGACCCAGGCCGGCGCCACCGCTGGTGACTGCTCCGCGCTCCTCGCGGCTGCTGGCAAGGATGGCTCCGGAACCGTCTCTGCTGTCGGCACTACTACCAGCGGTAGCTCGAAGACCTCTGATAACGCGGCTGCTGGCTCTATGATCCCGCGCTTCGAGATGGGTGCGCTGTCCATGGGCTCGTACGTTTTCGCTACGGTGCTCGCGGGTATGGGTATGATTCTGCTGTAAACAAAAAAACAAGAAACGCAATAATCCAAATTCAAAGTTGGGGGGCGCTTATCCATAGTCGTTTATTGTCGTGCTTTTTTTTTATGTTTATACCTGTCGTGTGAGGGAGAGGGTTAGATGCGGGTTCAATCAAGATATTTTCGAGTTTGGCTTGGCACGAGGTTGGATAGGGTGGATAGAGGGATGTGTAGTACCGTAGTGTATTGGAAGTAATTCGTGCTTAATTAGATATTTTGTGCACACACTTTTGCTTAGCTATGCTATGTGTGAAATGTACTCTTGTATTATGCATTTAGTCATCCTCCTGTGCAACAGAGCTTCGCGATAGCTCATCACACCCGTTGCCCCACCAACAACTTTACCCGTAAACACCAATTGATCGACGACGACGACGACGATTATCTCGAGAAATTCAATCAGCGACACTCATACGACACCGACAATCTGTATTTATAGACGGCAGGACAGAGCAGCAAACGAGCTGCGAGGGAATTATTACATCTGGACAAAACCATGGCGCGCCGAGCGATCGTGATTGAAGATAGCGAGGATGAACTGCCTGAGCTGGGGACGATTTTTAGGGCCAAGGAGCTTAAGACGATAGGAGATGGGAGGAAGACGATAAAAGATGGCGCAAAAGAGACGGAGGTGATAAAGAAGGGTAAGCCGAGGAGGAGGGTGTTGAATGGGGTGTCTGATAACCCCCTCTTGCGACCGCTTGGGAAGGAGGTGGGGAGGGAGAAAGAACGGAAGGGAAGGCGGAAAGCGGCTTCGTCGGGGCTGGTATCTGCCTCTGCTTCTGGGGGCGTGGCTGTAGGTGTTGTGGAATCTGCGAAAGAGGAGGCGACACAGAGGAACGCGAGGAAGATGGGGAGGACCGTAGAGGAGAACCAGAAGAAGGCGGAGGAGCCACGGGCGGGTGCGATGGTGGCGGACATACTGGGACAGTTGGAGAGCATTAAAGAGAGTGTGAATGGAATTGGGGGGAGTATGGATAGGATTGAGGGCAGCATGGATAGGATTGAGGGCAGCATGGATAGGATTGAGGAGGGCAATGAGGAGATTAGGATGCTTCGTAGGACGGGAAAAGCGGCGGTTGAGCAGGCACTGGGCGATGATGTGGAGGTAGGCGAGGTGGTGGAGGATTTGGAAGGACTACAACTGGAGGAAGAAGATGATGTTGCGAAACCGAGACCGCGCAGGGGGAGGGTGATGAAACCTGTTGCTGTTGTGCGGGCTGAAGAGGGTTCGCCTGTTGTTGATACGAGGACAAGGAGGGTGAGGACGACGAAACCTGCTGCTATCGTACGAGCCGAGACTCCAGTGGAAGACGATTCGGTTGTTGAGGATGAGGTGGACGACATGTCCGATTTCATCGTGAGCGACGATTCATCGGTGGAGGAGTTCGAGGAGGATGATCTCAGCCCGGTACCAGCACCGAAGTCTGTGAGTAAATTGGTGCGACGAAGGCGGTCAGATACGTCGTCACAATCTGACGCACCGAAAGAAAAGCAAAGTCAAGCTATACATCTCGACTGGAGCGATGACGATACCAAGGAAGAAAGTATAGTGCCACGTCCAGTTACAAGACGTCTATTCCCCACCGAAAAGGACCAAAATTCGACTGGAGACTTCGAGGAAGAATGTCCGATCCTCAGCTACGACCCACCAACCAGCAAAGCAAGTCGCAAACCAGCCAAGAAAACCATCTTCACAACACCCCCAACAAGCCCAAAGAAGACCCTCGTCTCGCCCAAAAAGGCCCCTAGAATTCCCAGCGCCACCCACAGCCCGAGCACAGACGACTTCTGGAAAGCTGACGTAGTCAACGACTGGAACGACGAGTTCTCCCCCCAGAAACCCCTTCGTCCCCTCAATCTCGTCCCGAACCCCGAAGACCTCACAACAGGCTCCCCCCGAAAAGCCGTCCCCGCCAGGAAAGACAAAGCGCTCATCGAGCGAAAAAAGCGCTTCAACGAGAATAAACACGCCGTCGCGCTCTCTTTCCTCCGCGAACTGGACGAGCAAATCACAGACGGCAAAGTCTCCGCCCTCGCCGCCAGCACGGGGGGCGTAACCATCATCTGGTCCAAGAAACTCAACACCACCGCCGGCCGCGCAAACTGGAAGCGCGAAGCCATCCGCACGCGCCCCCTCTCCACCAGCCTTCCCCCCACCACCACCTACCGGCACCACGCCTCCATCGAGCTAGCCGAGAAAGTCATCGACGACGAGGACCGCCTCCTCAACGTCGTCGCGCACGAGTTCTGCCATCTCGCCAACTTCATGGTTAGTGGTGTGACGAGTAACCCGCATGGGAAGGAGTTCAAGGCGTGGGCTGCGCGGTGCTCGGCCAGGTTTGGGGGGAGGGGGATTGAGGTTACCACGAAGCATAGTTATGAGATTGCGTTTAAGTATGTGTGGCAGTGTGTGGAGGTGGGGTGTAGGTTGGAGTTTAAGAGGCATAGTAAGAGTATTGACCCGAAACGGCATACGTGTGGACTTTGTAAGGGGAGGTTGGTGCAGACGAGGCCGGTGCCGAGGGGGGATGGGGGGGAGAAGAAGGTGATGGGTGAGTATCAGGCGTATGTGAAGGAGAATATTGGGAGGGTTAGACAGGAGAATGTGGGGAGTCCTCAGAAGGATATTATGGGGCTTGTGGGGAGGGGGTATAGGGAGTTGAAGGCGGAGAGGTTGAAGGAGCTTGGGAAGAGCTCGTTGTCGATTGAGAGTGTGGCGGGTGAGAGGGGGGTGGAGGATGATCCGGTTGATGTGATTGTGAAGAAGATCGACTTTTTGGATCTCACGACCCCGTAGGAGGGGGGTGAGATGGGGCAGAGGTCTCGCTTTAAGCGTGGTTATATATCTATCTACCTAATTGAAAGCCGTCGTGCTTGTCATAATTGTTTCATCACTGGGATATCCATCTTCAAAGTCATGTACCTTCTCATCCCACCCCTTCCCAATTCCTCTACCACTTCCATAGCCCTCCCTCAAGCATGCCCGCTTAATCATTCAAAATCCCAACCTCCCATCCCTTCCGTACCTCCCACCCACCACCCACCTAAGCCTCATCAAAAAGCCCCCAATCCCTAACCTTAAAGCTCTCCCAAATCACCGACGCATACTCCACCGCATTACTAATCAGCTTCCCCTGCCTCCCCAACTCCAGATCCACATCCTCCTCCGAATACTCCCCCTTGATATGCGGCACATTAATCGTAATCAGCACATCCGTCCTCTCCCTCTCCAAGCGGATCAGATTCAGCACAATGGCTGTGAAATCCGGCGCCGGGTTGCGCGCTTCTGGGTCTGGCTGCGGCGTCTGTGTCGCGATCAGGGTGTAGGCTGGGGTGTCGGGTCTGTTCATCTCATTCAGTCAGTCGTCTGTTGGTCTGTGGGCACGTGATTGCGGGGTAGCTAGACGCAGAGAGGGGTCCATGGTGGGGGCAGAATGGCAGAGCGCTCAAGACGTACGGAAGGTTGGAGAACTGCGTATCAGTCGTGCTCCAGACTTTGAGCAGGTCAGAGTCAGAGTCGACAATGTCCTGGAGGTGGATGGTCAGCGCGGCGCCGTCGGTGGCGTCAGTGCTGCCACTGGGGCCGACGCGCTCGGTGATGTCGAAGATGATGCTTGTGAAGCCCTCTTTGTCCAGGTAGACTTCTTGGTTATCAGGCACTTGGCGGATCGTGCTGGATGAGTTAGAGGGTGTGTCTTGTTGTGATAGAGGAGGGGAGGGGGATGGGAAGGGTGAAGCACCTGACGTCTGCGAAGGTGGTGGGGAGCTCTGCTGTGAGTGCCCCGCCAAAGAGAGGTGTTTTTCGGTATGAGGGCATGTTGGAAAGCTTGTGCGCGATGGGAAAGGCTTGGGTTGTAGTTCGTCTGTTTATGTGTCTGTGGTATGAGGTTTTGATGTTCGAGTGCTGGTTGATGTGCTGGTGTTTCAATTTATTGGTTGCCTACTATAATACCTCGCTTCAAGCTGGTTGGCGGATGGCATGGTCGTCATGGTGGAGGGGCGAATTCAAGATTCTGGGAAAACTGGTGATACATGCTTTAAATAGGTACGATATTTATATATTTATTATTATTTATTACTGTGAATATTTTATTTCTTGAATCAAGAGGGGCTGGTGAGCAATCTCCAGGCCGCACAAACACAGTGGTTTTTTACGCTTTACCACCCCCTGGGATGGCTTTAACCCTGGCTTGGAGGAGGTGGATCCATAAACCATAAGTGGATAAACACTATTTCTCTACCTGGAAAGGAAACTGCGACTCTGGTGCATCATCGATTCTCATCACCGCCGTGGCAAAGGTCGATGAACATCACCATGAAAACCACCCATACTAAGGGTCCACATTGTGCCAAAATCCAAACTCGAACCCACCATCTCCATAGGCATAGGCGAGAAATCCACCAAATAAATACTTTTTTCGAACTATTCAGACCATTCTTGTCCCATGAGGTATGTAAAACGAAGCTCAAAAAGGCAAAAAAGTATTTGATCTGAACGTATCAGAAGTTTGATTCCAAAGATTTGATGAATGGAGTATTATGGACATGAGCCACGGTCATCTCTGGTAAAAGGCTGTAGGGGATAATTAGTATGGGTTTGCGTGGAGTCACGTGACATTCAGATGAGGAGCGCTTACCAAGAAATGAATGCACTAGCTTGTTCCACTCCATATCTTACGCGGAGCTATTGTGGTAGATGAGGGTAGATGGGCAAACCCTGAAATTAAATATTTATATTTTCCACCTTCTCACAACAACCAGTTTGTAATTCAACTGTATTGAGGGGCTTACATAGTAGCAAGCATCAACACTTTCAAACTCTGAGTTAAAACGTACTATGGGATCTTTATATACTGCACAGCAAATCTCCGCTGAGGATAGGAGGGGGTGAGGTCGGGGGGGCGTTACATATCATTGTCGGGCTTGGTGGTTGCATATATGTTTGACCTTCTTGAGCTTCTGATTATTATAGACTCAGTAGACTCATCAAATTACATCGCTCAGTAGCTAATCGTATAACAACACAAACCGCTAATCAAACATATATGCAAAGCATATGCAACCACCAAGCCCGACAATGATATGTAACGCCCCCCCGACCTGACCCCCTCCTATCCTCAGCGGAGATTTGCTGTGCAGTATATACTGCGAAATGTCCTATCATACCCATCATATCCATTATACAGTATCCATTTGTCGTCAATCCTACACCATCGCCGCCCCATCAACTCAATCGATCTCCCAGCTGTCGTCATCCACATCCGCATCGTCCCACTGATCACACATGAAATCCCCATCGCCATAGTCCCACTGTCCAACAACTTCCTCCCCTCCCTCATCAACCCCGAAGACAACCCCGCGCCACTGCCCGGCTTTGATCTTCGCCGCAATCTCAACCATTATCTGCACGAGATGGCTAGGCGGACTCATAAGGATCTCCCATGTCTTCTGGATGATGGCGGTAGGGAGGTGCCGTGCGGTTCTCAGGTGCCGGGCTCGCGACAGGGATGGAGAGAAGAGATTTGCTGGCGACGCGAGGGGTGAGAGTGCTCGTCTGCGAGATGAGCGCTCACTGACTGACCTATGTTTGCGTGTATCTGCGACCACCACTTCCGCTGATGGGGAAGCATCCTCGTAGACCTCTTCCCCATCGTGGTCCTCCTGAATCTTATGGGCCGGAGTCGTAGTTGTTGGTGACGGTGGCGATGATTGCAGTAGAGAGCCACTCAATTTAGTTTCTGGGGTATCAACCATTGACCAGACGCCCGGGGTATTAGGAGTTTCTGAGCTGGGGCTAATTGTTAATTCCGAGACATTTTGTGGCTCAGGTGTTCGCTTTGGAAGCTTTATATTATCGTGTGGATAGGGATATGTGGTTGGTGTAGAGGGTCTCGAGCCCGACGAATCTGGAAACATTGGTGTAATGGGGCTGTGCCATGACTGCACCGTGTGGAAAGAGTCCTGGCTCGAGGAGAAGTTGGATAAAGCTGAGTCCTCGGATTTTCTACCAACTGGAGAGCCAAGAGATAAGCCCTTTGTGCTTTTGGAAGGAGGCGAAGTCATCAACGTTAGTTGTTGAGTTGCGGTCACTGATCGCCCGGTGTCTAGGACTTCAGGCCGGCTCAAGGGTCCTTGCTTAAAGATATGTGGAATTGGGACGCGAGGAAAGTAATTCCGAGGCGTGATGTTCGTATCATCAGTCGCGTCACTGTCCGTGTCCATCTCAGGGACCGCTGGGTGATCATCCGAGGAAGCAGCCGCATAGTAATCCTCAGTTTTCCCAGATTTTGGAGATACTTCCACGGACGCCTCGGCGTTGGCGGATAAGGTATCAACATTGGCGGAACTCGGCTGCTCCACAGGTTTCCAGGGCTTCTTCTTGACAGGTGTTTGGGGTGGTTCAGGTAGCTCAATGTGAAAGCTCCTTCGAAATGGGCAGGGCGTCTTCTCAAACAACAAGATTTGGCTCAACACATCTTTGAGCTCCTGTGATTTTGCCTTGTGATTCGGGTCATCCAGTGGGACTTCAATGCGCCAGAATTGAGGTCGCCTGATTTGCAGAATAAATTTGGTCGCATCGTCGTCTACACACCAGCACCTGGATTTCGGTAGAACTGGTTGTATAACACTGCTGCAGTTTATGAATGCAACTGAGCCGCGGGCTCTGTAGATACGGAGAGGACCTGCATATACCAATCATTAGAAAACAATAAAAAACACAGTGGTTTGTTGTTTTATGACTTGTCACTTACCAACTGCAATGGTTCTCTCGAAGGTAGAAGACCATGGTAAAGTCCCAACCTCCTCCTCAACATCAGCCAGGTTCGGGGTGTTTAGACTTGATCGTCTCTGGAAGACAGAGGAGGAGCCGAAGGATTCGAAGGACACAATCCGCACCGACGGGTGTATATACAGGCTCTCGATAGATTCCGAAGATGCTGGCTTCTCGCGTTGTGTCCAGCTACTCGAAGTCAAGGGTCGCAGAGGTAGAGTAACTGCGCGTTTCATCGTCGACTGCGTCGGAAGCGACGACGGGAGTTCTTGCGCCATGTTGATATATGAGAAGCCTGTATTACCTACAGGCTTTCATCCTATCTCATGCGGCGAGGCTACTTGAGTGTAGAGTTCGTGTGGCGGCGCATCGGATTCGCGGAGGAAGTCGAGTCGTTTTGTTCGACCTGGGAGATTGTTGCATATATTGGGTAGATCCCTAGTGGAGACTCGGTGACACTCCTCTTTCTGGGGAGGTCATTATCACAAAAAATATGTCGCAGAGTCACTGTCTCACAACATACTGGTACTGGTAACTGTGAAGATCTCTAGCGTCCCGGCCCCTTGTAGCGAGGCTGGGAAACAGGGCCATATCTACTCCACGTAATATCTTATAGTCGCGTGCAACACAACATAACCTCACCATCACAATGTCCCAACGAAGAGGAAAAGTCCAGGTGCCTCTGGTAACCCCAGAGCAAGAAGAGAAACTCAAAAAGAAGCTCGAAATTAAGAACTTTGACCTCAATGCCATACTGCGAGGCGCGCAACTGACAGTCGTGGGAGGTATGGGTTACTCTCTATCTATCTTTGAATTATAATATCTGACCGAGACAAGCTCTACGAGCGTTACAGAACCCAGCGCTCTTCACCTCGGAGCATTATAAGCAAGCAGCTCTAGCTGTTGCAGCTGGAATTGCTATTCGAATCCTAATAGCAATACCAGTATGCCTATTCAAGCTTATGGGCGATGACGGAAGGCTGACTATTTTTCCAGATCGTCGGCATCAAAGTATTACTATGGTTCCTATCCTTCTTCATCAACTTCGACGCCGTATTATGGGATGATAACTTCGTCAGCGGCCTGGACTTTATCCAGAACTACGTCCTCCAAGTCCCCTTCTTCCTCATGACCCTGATGCGCTACATAACCCCCACCCTGGACAACATGTTCATGGACTCTCTCCGCTGGGTCGACTCCACCTACCAACAGAAGCACAAGGACGACGACCCTACGCAGCTCCGTCCCCAATATTACCCCAATATGAGCCTCTACTCCACCAGAGACGGTAGCACGCACAGCAAATCCACCGCCGAAGCCCTAACCCGTCTGCTTATCCGCCGCGGTAAGAAAGCCGGTATCTCCCTCGTCATCTTCGCCCTATCCTACACCCCCTACGTAGGCCGCCTCGTCCTTCCCGCAGCCAGTTTCTACACCTTCAACGCCTCGGTCGGTCTCGGCCCCGCGCTCCTCATCTTCGGCAGCGGCATCTTCCTACCGCGTCGCTACCTCGTTATCTTCTTACAGTCGTACTTCACGTCGCGCAGTCTGACTCGCGAGCTGCTCGAGCCGTATTTTAGCCGTATTCAGTTCACGGCTGCGCAGAAGAAGAGGTGGTTTTATGACCGGTCGGGTCTGCTGTTTGGGTTCGGGGTCGGGTTTTACATATTCCTCCGTATCCCGCTGTTGGGTGTCCTTGTCTATGGTATTGCAGAGGCGTCGACGGCGTATTTGATTACGAAGATTACGGATCCGCCGCCACCGCCTGCGCAGAGTGTGGGGTTTGCAGAGAGCCAGCAGAGGTGGACGAATAAGCATGAGTTTCTGAGTTTGGATTGGGCGAACTTGGATTCTCATGCGGGGCATGTGAAGAGTGGGCAGGAACAGGGTCCCACGGATACTTATTATGAGAAGAGGGAGCTGTGAGATAGGAACTGGTTGAGGACGCGAAGAAACGAAGTCTGGAAACGATAGAATGTAAAGTTGTGATTTATAACGACAATATGAATATTAAATAGGACCTACATAGAATGAGCATATACGACCCTTAGGCTGCACGAAGTTATTTAGGGTCCCTGCCTTGTGAACAGAGAACAGAAGTCATATCACAAGTTAAAAAGTTCCTGCGCATCGCCTGACGCTATATAGCTTCATATGTAACCGTAAATACATGGCAGATAATGTTGATGCCTATCCCAGATCTAACCCCCCCCCACCTTTCCAAACGCCCCCCCCCAACCCCCACCAAACTCCAGCCCCCAGTCTCACGACTTCTGCTCAACCATATCATAATGCCCCGTCTCCTGCGCATGCCCCGCCGCCATCGTCTCCCCATACCCCACCCACCCACAACCCGTACACCTAATCACCATCTCCCCCACATTCGTAAAATAATGCTTCCCCTGCAACACCTTGCACAGCTGCTGCGCCTTGATCAGAATATCGTCGTCGTACGAGTCCCACACCCGCTTGTCTAGCTCGGGAGGGTTGTCGGCGATGGTGTGGGGAGGGTCGGAGGGGGATTGAACGATGGTGTCGTAGTGGATGCCCGAGTAGACGAGGATGCAGCGGATGGGGGCGCTTTCGTTGAAGCGGTCTATGCGGAGGGTCTGGGTGGGTGTTAGTCTTGCCTGCCTCCGGAATCTAAAGCGCGTGGGGGTGAGGGTGGGAAGGGGGGAAGGCTTACCTGGACATCAATACTGCAAACCTCGATATTAAAATGCTTCGATAGAATCGCAAGCTCGATCGCCCCGCCCCACGCCTCCTGCGTCTGGATCCAGCGACAGTAATTGTCCGGCGTCCGATTGTCAAGGACGACTTTGGTATACACATCCGGCTCCTCCTGTATCTGTGACGCTACCAGCGACCTTAGTTCTAGCATCGAGAGGTCGTCGCCTGGTAAGACCGCGGCGGCGAAGGCGCGGAAGAGACAGCTGTTATCGTCGGGCATGACCCGCATCACTGTCGCACCCTCGTCAGTTCTTGCCCCGGGGGAACTAGAAGAAGAAGAACAAGGGACCTACCTAAAGTCGCGCCGCGATCCGGCAAAGGGAGCTCGGGTGTGTCCTCGGCCATCGTTCTTGCTGCGTCGTGCTGTGCTGTGGCGGGGTATGGGGTGCTACCTTTATAGCTATCTGATTGTCTGGGGAGCTTAGTTAAGCTAGTGGCGTGGTGAATGGAGGGTGATTCGCTTCGCTGGCTGCCACGTCTGTTGGTGGTTTTGGGGGAGAACTATCATATTGTGCGGTGTTTGTTTGCTTAATTGTAAGTCGTTGGGTCGTTGGAGTCGTGTAGTAAACTTGGGCGGGGTGCTTCGGTTCACAATGTCAGGGACTAGACTGGGATACGAAGCCCAATGAATGGCGTTCCGACGTTACAGTAACTGTCAGGGTATATATATATGCAGGGACGTAAGGGAAGCATAGAAAACATGCTTTATCAATCATTTCATATATTCCAGTCCATAACCGCCGCTCCTAATGTATTTATTGCTCTCCAACCGGCTTTCTCATGAGACCCCCCATGGAAGTCAAATACACCACACACGCATGCATGATATACGGCCTTGTTAAAAAGCCCACCAACCCCCCCCCAGCACCTCCCATCCCCCATCTACGGCTTCGGGAGATGTATAGACTTACTCGTCATCAAGCACCCACTAACCACAAACAGCCCCAACACGGGATGAAACTCCGCCACCGTCCCCTCCAGCACCGTCCCAAACGGCAGTTCCCCATGCACCCACCCCTGGCCCACCCAGTACGCCATCAACCCGGCAATCGACAAGGTCGTCGGGATCGGCGTGCCCTCGAAGTACTGCGATTTGCCAGTTGCGTCCTTGGGCACGTTGGCAACGGTGACGTTGAAGCGCGCAAGGCGCGTGAGGCCGCAGAGGACGAAGAAGGCGAGGATGAGGTGGTCGAGGGGGGTGCGGAAGCCGATTGCGAAGGCGGCGGCGGCGGGGGAGACGCCGAAGGATATCTATTTCGTCTGTAGTCAGCACACATTCCACCATTTATCCACACAACTTTCCACCACCGGGTACGGGGTATGGAGCGAGAGGGAGGACATACCAAATCAGCCAACGAATCCAGCTCCTGCCCCATCAAACTGCTCTTCCTTCTCCACCTCGCGACCTTCCCATCAAAGAAGTCGAAAAATAGCCCCAGCGGCATCAACGCCAGCGCAGCCCATAGATTCCCCAGCTCGCCCGGCGAACCGGCCATGTAGCGCATGGAGGAGAAGATGGACATGACGCCGCAGAGGCCGTTGAGCTCGGTGATTAGATCGGCGAGGTGCAGGGCGCGGATGAGGCTGAAGTGGCCGGTTTCTTCGCTGAGGAGGGTGGTTTGCTTGTCGGTTACTGGGAGGGGGGGTTAGCTGAGGGTCGTCTGGGGGGTGGAGGGGGTGAAGGTTGAGCTAGGAGAGGGAGGAGGGAGGGAAGAGCTCACCATCTTCGGTTTTGATAACCTTCGCGGCTTTCGCGCCGTCAGAGGTGCGTTTCGACATATCTTCTTCCTTCCCTTTCGTCTTCTCCTTCCCTATCATCACTCTATAGCCAAAAACAACAGCAAACAGCTCTTTCAATAAACTATCCTCGCAAAAAACCGAATTGAAGGCCGAAGTAAAAAATCCTCTATCGTGGTGTGTTGCTTTAAAACGTAAGTTAAATGCCAAACGTTGCCCGTTGCACACCTCAACAAGAAAGCGCCGCAAAACCTTGGCCTAGCGGCGATTTTAACGCAGTTGGAGCTCAGCTGCGCCTACTTTCGCTTCGCCGCGCAACCGTCGTCATCCCCTCATCCCCTAGCCATGGACAGGCGGCTGTTTGTTGGTTTTACCCGATAATGCGTGGCGGGCCTTTCCACATGGGAAATCTATAGGATGATAGAACGTCGGAGTCGCAGTCGCAAATCATGTTTTATTTTCACAGCACAGCGAAAATAATAATAAAAAGGGCAATTGAAATGCAGTATAGACAGATTCGTCTTTTGTTTGTTACCGGTTTATCTACCCTCACCCCCAATTCAATCCAATCCATAATTATCAAAAACTCCAGTCAGTATAGTAGCTCATTACCCATTCATAAAACCCCTTCCCATCCAGTCTAGAGACCCGGCCCAACAAACCCAACCCCCCAACCCGCCGATCAGAGGCGGGTACAATTTATTATACAGCGGCATCAACCCGGGTTGCCGCTCTGAGATCGACAAATATGTACGCACCGCACCCATCCCATAGGGAGCGGTCTGAAATCCTCCTCCCAGACATGGAGATCTTCGAACGCACCGTTCAAGCCTTCATCACCGTGTCGCTCTGCTCGCTCGTTATCGTAATTACCCTCACCCCTCGCCTGGATAAAACCACTTCAGCGCGTGATAATAAGAGACAGCCCATCCATCCACTGCCCACAAGAACCCGAAATCCCCGCCACCGAGTATCCCCGCGGCGGTATTAAAGTATGCCTGGATAGAGCGTTAGCTGCCGATCTCCTAATGTGATGGAGGGTATGGGTTTGTATAAACTTACCCAGATCCACCATGTGCATTGCCATAGATTTCTGATTTACGACCGCAGCTGGTTAGGAGTTGGATGCCATCAATCCAGAAGCCTGAGCGCACGTAGAAACCCAATATGCATTCTCCTCGGCGAGTATCTGCAGGGCAAGAAAGTCAGTATTAAAGTCCAAGTCTGGCTCAGGGAAACACAACATACCCAGGTAAAAATCACTCCCTCCTTCCTTCCCCCCTCTCTTCCCAATAAGTTGAGTCGAGGTATCCTCATAAATAAACTCAATACCATCCAGAGCAAACCCATGGTAAAATTTTATCTGCGTGAGCAGTTTCGTCTGCTTCAGGACGCCATCAAAGATGATTTCCTGGGGCTCCGAGCCCTGCGTCTGCGAACGCCCCAGCTTCGCCCCACGGAAAGCAACTTGTCCATTCTTCAGCTTCAGCATTGAAGCTTTCGACGCCAGGAGTCCAAAGTCCTCTATCTCCGTGCTCTCACCGCCGATCGATTTAACAGCGAGCCTTATTTTCCTCGATTTCCGATCGTCGGGCAACCTACCGCGCAGATCCAGTTCCGTCAGCACAACCTGCCGCTGGATAGGGCCGCGGCCGTTGCCATCACCGTATTCGATCCAGTTATGGCAAGTTTCGTCGCCCTCGGTGAATATCTCGATATATGCAACACCAGAGTTTGCGGTAATCAAGACGTTTCCGCTATCCACAGGCCAAGCGTGGATGCTCCTATCCGCGCACAACTTTGGATCACTTACTACGCGGAAGCATGGATGGTTCCTAAAGCGCAGGCAGTCGAGGCGATGCCACCCACATTCGTCTTTTGGAAGAACGAGGCCGCCTTTTTCATTCGTCCGAACGGAGAACGGCTCTCGGCTGGTAAATGTTCGGTTGAATGTGACGTAGTCTCGCAGCATGATACCGTTCTCCTGGTGAGGGCATCCGAATAAGTGGCCTGTCTCGTGGAGGTGCGCGCCAATGCCAATGTTGGCAGCTTCCCAGCTGCTCCCGGACTGATTTGCGTCGTTGGCAACAAAGTTGGTGTCTGTTCGGGTGCAATCTGTGAATGCCGGTACCACTTCCTCGAGGCTGGTAGGATAGGAGTGTAGGGCGTGAGAGCCAAAAATTCCCATATGAATCCTGCCATGCGTACCACCAAGCGCCGCGTGCCCTGTGACCAGATTCGCCGACTTATCCCAGTGCGAGTCCAATATCAAAACAGACACATATTGGTGCTGACCCGGACTTGGCTTGAAGTACTCCTCCACAGCCTCTCCCGCAATCTTGAACAGGTCTCCGCTCATTTTTGCCGATGGGTTCTGCTGGGCCCTGTCAATTGATCGGATCTCAGCAACCGTTCGACTACTCCTTATAACATGGATCTTGGCCTCGTTTCTCATAGTGACATCCTCACGGTCCCGGTAATTCGCCGTCCCAGTCTGCCACTCCTCTTCAAATCGGAAACAGCGTCGGCCCATCTTATTCCTGAACATCTGCTCTGCCGTAAACGCCTGCCATAAGTACGCCGCCATCCGGAATTTCCTTATAGCGACATCAAGGCCATTACCTTCCTGCTCAATGCGCGCTGGCGTTGAGTCGAAGGTGGCGGGGGAATCTTTGCCGAGGAGGATTACCAATTGCAATGGGGGCGAGTTTGCCATGGGCATCATGTGGATAGTGATGAATGTCGAGTGTATAGGGTTTGTGGAGTTGCTGTTGGCGAGTTTGGGGGAGGAGAAATCGAAACGCAACTTATTCATACCCGGGGTGAGATATACTAGAGTCTTGAAATGGGACTCTGTCACCGGCCAATTGATGGCGGGGAAGTCATCGTCAAGACGGCTGAGGCTTATGTTCCCCTCAATTGCTTGTGCCTCTGCATCACCGACAGTGCCATGGATTAAGAGCACTTTCTGGTTCACCTGTACAATTGGTTAGTATCTGTCAATGGCTGGGGAAATTGATTGGTATTATCATACCCATGCTCCATCTGAGATCGACTGTATGCGCGGTGCATACGGCGATATAGGCAATGCACTGTGTACATTTGGCGATCCAAGCCCTGACATTCCAGAGACACTACTATTCCGCTTTCCAGGGCTTGGTGAAGCTGAAACCTGAGGTCGCAAGGGGAGCGACGATTTTGTTTGTGCTTGGAAATCGGAATAGGAGGAGAGAATTGGGTCTGGCGGTGTCTGGGAGCCCACGGCCGACCCTAGAGTCGACGAGGACTTTGATGTGGGCACTGTTCCATTGCTGAGATTGCTGCTGTCCGTCGACTTCTCTGTACGGAAGCTGGCCTTTGACTTTCGGCGCAGGTCTTTCAGAAATGAGGGGCCCATTGCATGGCGCGTCTCTTGTCAATGAAACCTAAATTCTTCAGCAACTTTGTGATGAGCTGCAGCGTCCCTTGCCTTCCCGTATGTTGTGAAAGGCTTTGTTTATAGCAGAGAGAGGTTTGTGATGCAAGAAGCCGTCTCAGTCGGGTTTCAATAAAACTGCCTTGCCCTTGCTGGCTTTGTTTGGTGAGTGACGTGTAAAGAGCAGTGAAATCGCTGGCAACGGCACAGCGTAGTGGGTGTATGTGAGACAGCTTTCTGCTGGTACCTTTTGGAGCTACCTATGTTTAGCGATGACGATTGTCAAAGTGGGAAACTTGTCCAGACGCAGATTGCGGAAACGATAGATTGGAGGAGGAGAGTTGTTAGAGTGGTTAGGGTGGTTAGGGTGGTTAGAGTGGTTAGATTGGTTAGGGTGGTTAGAGTGGTTAGGGTGGTTAGGGTGGTTAGGGTGGTTAGGGTGGTTAGGGTGGTTAGGGTGGTTAGAGTGGTTAGGGTGGTTAGAGTGGTTAGAGTGGTTAGAGTGGTTAGAGTGGTTAGATTGGTTAGAGTGGTTAGAGCCCGTGAGTATAGGATACCGATACCCACGTTCTCATTGGAAGGGAGCGGGCAAGGAGAGGCACTGGCGATTAGCAAAGGAAAAAGAAAGTAGAGTCTACTCGACCCCTGACATCATTTACAGTGCAGAACAGAACAATGCATGACCTGAGCGGTACATATTCGGAGATATTCATAGAAAAAGGGTGTGGAGCGGAGTATGGTATGTACAGAGTACTGATGGACAGATAGTATGGCAGTTTGGGCGATGCGACGACCAAACTGCCATAAGATGTCCCCGGAGAGTAGATGGAGATGTCTGAGATGTCCCCGCAGAGTAGATGGAGGTGTCTGAGATGTCCCCGGAGAGTAGATGGAGATGTCTGAGATGTCCCAGATCGATGGGGTAGACACTCCTAACGGCTTGAGGAGCAACCCGAGAGACTTTATAGCCAATAGCTAGGCCGAGAGCCCGGTCAATGTTCCAGAGCGAGCTCTCCAACAGATCCATCACATTGTATGATGGTGTGAGCAGTGAAGCACATACCATGGTGTCTAGAATGTCTTATACACAGTAAGACGGGGCCGACAAACACACATCCCATCTGGCAAACAAAGGCAAACATAGGCAAGCATGCGTCGAGCTGTTCAGAGATGGCAGAGTTGATTGGCTGGGGATGGGGATGGGGATGGGATGGGGATGGGGATGGGGTTGGGGAATTGGAATTAAAGTAGGTAGGCAAGGTAACCAGATGGCATTCTGGTAATTATACTGAGCTCCTTAAAGGCCAACGAGCACTTTTAGTAAAATACTTTTAGAAAAGGCCAGCACTACCAGCACTACCAGCACTACCAGCACTACCACTACGCCTTTCTACTCTACCACCACTACCACCACTACCACCACTACCACCACTACCACCACTACCACCACTACCACCACTACCACCACTACCACCACTACCACCACTACCACCACTACCACCACTATCACCACTACCAACTACCACCACTAGACCACTATCACCACTACCAACTACCACCACTGCCACCACTACCATCACTATCACCACTACCAACTACCACCACTAGACCACTATCACCACTACCAATTACCACCACTAGACCACTACCACCGCTACTCTACCACCACTAGACCACTACCACCGCTACTCTACCACCACTACCACCACCACCAAACTACTCTACCACCACTACCACCACTACCCCAGCACTACCAGCAAAATACCACCACGCACCAGCCAATACCACACGCTTCCAAAATCCACGCAACAACCACCACTCCCCACTGAAATTCTGACCTCGCAACCACCCATCGCAACCACCACCCACCACCCACCAACCACCCACCACCACCACGTCAACTGCCCAACCCCCTTCCGACCGCATTGTCGCAGTCAACATTACTCTCGGCCTCATTATACTCTATCTCAACAAAATACAATACTTTAAAAACAGAGAATACCATCCTCCTCCCTACCGAGCACACAAAACTTCAACTACAAACGCGGAAACAATTCTTTGACCTAGATCTCTTTCAGCCCACCACCCCCTTCGTGACCCACCTCGAAAACACTGAGCAAAACCCTCCACTTTCTCACTTAGACGCCGACCTCTTCCTCGTCCCCACGAACCACACAAATACCGACGTCTTGTCTTGGGGTAGCCCCGCGCGACCGCTCACTGATCACCTCGCCCCCCCGACGAATGCCCTGAACTCGGGCGGCTCTGCTCCCTCGATCTTCAATATGTCCTCCCCATGGAAGAACAACCAGCCCGAGGTCGTGGCCGACCGAGTCCTCAGGAGGGCTGAGGTTAGCAAGGTACGTTGCCATCACATTTCCTCCTCCCCGAGCAGAAAAAAAAAATCTAATGTCTGTTTCCCAGATGGCACGCAAGCTGCAGAACCGTCTAGCCCTCGCCCAATTCAAAGCGAAGCACGGCTGGGAACACCTGACCCTCGACCTCATCGAGCCGAAAGTCGACGAACACCTGCGCCGCCAGCGCCCCTCCTCCGCAGGCGACATGCTCTCCGACACCTCCTCCAGCTCCGCCTCGGACTTCAACTACCCGCGCACAGTCCTCAGCTCCTCCGCCCTCAAAGCCCCCTTCTTCTCCGACGCCCTCGACTCCTCTAGCGGCAGCTCGGGACACAGGAAGCGCTCCTACAACGCCACTTTCCACAACCCCTCGCACTCCACAGCACGCAAGCGCTTTCGCTCCTCCCCCAGCGCCGGGCGCAGCATGTCGCAGAGCCACACGTCGTGGAAGGACCAACACCAACTCTCGCAATCGTCCCCGATAAAGCCGCGGAAGCAACCCCACTTCACCACTTCCGCCGGCCCAAACCTCTCCTTCTTCCGCGGCGTCAGCGGCACTATCGCCGAGGACCTCCCTTCCTCCGCCCACCCATCCCTCGACTCAAACACCGACTCCGACTCCGATCTCCTCCCGCTACACTCCTTCAGACTACCTACAAACACCAACATTTCCCGCTCCTCACCCCCTCGCACTCCTCCCCCACGGCACCGCGCCATAACCCGCCGCACAACCACAACCACAAACAACACAGCCACCACCACCTCCGCCTCCCTAACCCGCAAAAGCGGCGAAGAAGGCGCCGACCTCCTCCTCTACCTCGCCACCTCCCCCTCCCCCGCCCACCCGCGCAGCACCCGCATGCAACCCCCCCAAACCCCTCCCCCCAAACCACTCGCCCTCCCCTCCTCCATGATGACCACCCCCGGCGGCGGCCTAGGCCTCCTCTCCGGCTTCGGCGGCGGCGGGCCGCACACGCCGTCCCAGACATTCGATTTCGCGGATTTCGTGAATATCACGCCTAGTCCGGCGCAGGGAGCTTGGACGAGGACGCCGGCTTCGGCGCTGAGGGAGGGGGGGAGGGGGTTGAGGGAGATGCCGACGAGTAGTCCGATGTTTGGGGTGGGGAGGGGGAGGATGGGAGGGGGGTTGGGGATGGAGTTGGGGGGGGAGTTACTTTCTTGAACGTTTCTCAGGAGACCTGAAGTTTTTGATATCATCCCCGTCTTTGTTACTATGGAGAGGAAGGGGTTTACGTTACGATAACACACACACACACAACTTACCAGTCCGCGCACTTGGTCTTTTTACTCACTCAACTTTGGCTATTCTTTTGAATCCCCTTTTGGGGGCGCCTGGTGCAGTTACTTGGCCTTTTTTTTTTTTGTATTGCTTTGCTCTTTTTGTACATGGGCATCACGACCGAGACTTAATGCATTTTTCTTCTTTTTGTCTTTTCTTCCTCGCTCTCCCTATTACTGGGGGGGGGGGTTTTTTGTATCAGCAGCGGCGGCGACTGACCGGCTGACTGACTGGTGACTGGGGAATGTTTTGTGGGTGTATGCATATACGTTACCGGTTACTCTGCGTTGTTTACACCCACCCACCTACCTCCTTTGAGGGAGGAATGTGGCATGGCATGGCGTGCGTGGTGTTAGTTAGTTAGGTAGGTAGTCTGACCAAACATCCAATCAATAAAACAAATAAACAAACAAGAAGATTCCAGTTACAGTATATGCATGAACCCTCCCCTTCCAATCGAATACTAGATGGTGACCACCAGCACACACACACACACACCTCTTCCTCAGCCCTTCCCTTCCCGTTCCGTCCTCGCGTAGTAAACACGATGTTTTTTTCTTCCGGGCATGACCGGACCGCGTTAAAATAACGCGTAAAATAACGCGTAAAATAACGCGTAAAATAACGTGTAAAATAACGCGTAAAGTAGTAGTGTGTTTACGCGATGAGGTAGCCGCGTCGGTTCGCGTTTTTACCCGTGCGAGTGGGAGAAGGGCGGCTACGTCATGTGATTGTGTTGAAGGGAGGTACCGGATTACGGAGACCGCACCCAAATTGTATGGGTTCTCTGGTGACCAGTACTTCACACGGGCGCAACGGAGCAGGAGTTCCCACACGGTATATAGCGTACAATAGTAAAATAGAATCATTGAATTACTACACTATCTAAGTGCTGAAACCTCAGTCGAAACTGTGGTGGTTTCCAGCACCGGCCAGAGATCCTGGGGTACCATAGTGGGATTTTGCCATTATAGGGCCAAATGCCACCGTATCCCAGATGCCACGGCCTACCTCCCAACAACAGTTTGGTTGCGGAATGTGCGAGTGTGTGAGGGCGGCAGGATTGGGGGGTACAGGATTTGGAGGGGAGATTGTATCAGTACATAGCGGATGGTTACGCAGTGTGATTGGGGATGGAAATGGGTTGGATGGGGTAACTGACGCTTCCGGCGGGAGGACAAGGGAGGGGCGATGTCGTAGCCAGGAACTGGAGTTGGAGACGTCACCGCCGCTCAACTACCATTTCTCACAGCCGAGCGCACTCTCCACCGTGCAGACCTTTAAGCCTAGTATATCTACCACTCCCCTGCCGCAAATGAGCCGTAGACGGAGTGGAGAAGGGGGGTTGGGTGGTGATGGCGGCGATGGTGGCGATGGCGGCGATGTGTTCTTGTGATCACAGCGTCGACACCTAGGTATAAGGTAGACAGACAGGCTGCCAGCCGTTTGCACCGCGTGTGACCGCGGGACGTTACATTAAGGGGTCTCAATTACAACTAACCACCCTGAGCTCCTCCCACCCCAAGAAAACCCAATCCCTCCCCCCTCCCTTCCATCTTTTCATCGCACTGATCATGAAAGAAAAGAAAAGAAAAGAAAAGAAAAGAAAGAAAAGAAAAGAAAGGAAAAAGAAAGAACCCCATCGCCCTTCGTACAAACACTTCTCCCTGACGGCGCCCAAATAACAAAAAGAAAAAGAAGAAGAAAGTGTAAAAAGAAAACAAAAAAGGCGGCCGTCGTCGTCCGAAAATCTTATAAACATGACATAGCATGATCCCATCACTTCGTAACCCCCCATTCACCTCCTTTCGCTCCCCTTTCTCCTCTCTCTCTCGCCCCTCAACCCCAACCCCTGTGCAGGCAATCTCGCTCGCACTCACGCACCCTCTCAAACAACCTTCCCCTTCCTCTCCTCCCTCTCCCGATAAATCTTCTCCTTCAACGCCCTCGCCGCGAGCAAACAATCAATATACGTCCTAAACTTGACGATCTCCCTGAGCAAGTAGCTAGATTTGCGCTCCCAGTTCGCCATGGCGCGGTGAGCGTTGGGTGCGCGTGGTGTGAACTATTTCCTTCCAGTCAGTTTTCAAGTCTCAAAAGGCCAAGGATAGTGGTGGTGGTGGTGGTGGTGGTGTCGAAAGGACAACAAGAAAGGACAAACAGGGAAAGCGGAGGGAAGGATAATAAAAGGGGATATACGCACAGCCAATATCATAGCCCCCCTCAACCGATTATGCCCCACCAACTCCTCCTCAACCCCCCTAACATACTCCTCCAACCCCCCCAACTGCTCGCCCTCCTCCAAACAACTCGCCCGCATACTCTGCGTCGGCGGCGCCCACTCCGATATCGTAATCTTATCCCCCGGCAGCCTGGCTTTAAACCCTGCGCCCTGATCCAAGCTACTCCTCAAGCTACTCTGCAGACTCGGTCTGGGCCCGCTGATGCTCGCTGCGCGACCGCCGCCCATTATCCCGCCCCCCGCGGTGGTGGTGGGCATACCCGTCCCTGTGGTTGGGGGGGAGGTGGGGTGAGCGTCTTGGATGGCGGAGACGAGGGAGTTGTTGATGACGGCGTCGGACCAGCCGTACTCGATATTGCTAATCCCCCCCACCAGCGGGTGATTCGACAACCGCGCGCTCCAGTAGTTGGCCGTACTCACAAACTCCTTCACAATCTCCGGCGTGCCAACCTGGAACAGGTGCACCGCCCCCGTCGGCAGACTGAGGGCAAAGACATGCGGTCTAGCCTTCGAATACCCCGGACTAGGCAACATACTAGCAATCGTCTGCCTCAACAGGAAACTCCCCAAATTCTCCGCATTATCCTGCCAATTCCCGCCTCCCACCACCACGCCCCCAGCACCGGCTTTGGCGCGAGACGATGATTTGTGGCGGACCGACTTGGAGGAGAAGGAGAAGAGGGACATATATCCCTTCTCAATAACCACGAAAACCTCGGCCCAATTCCTGTCTTTCGCTTTTTTGTCGGCCGCCTCAAGATGATGCTTATGCTTGACAATTCCCTCCTTCGCCCACGGCGCGCCATGTAGTTCCAGACTCTCATCCTCCAACAGCGGCGGCGTGACGCGCACATCCTCCCCCTTCCCCTCGGGGCTCCCAACATGCTCCTCCCTAATAATCGCCTGACTCAACGCATTCGCAAACCCAATACTCTGCTGGTAATCCCCCTGCGGATAATCCGAGTCCAGCGAGTTGACAGACAACATGCTCGTCTGCGTCTTGCCCAAAGAGTACTTACTCCACGTGCTCGAGCTCTGCGAGGGACTCCAGATGGAGGACTGATCATCCAAACTCGTCCGGCTCGATCCCATCGTCGAGTGTGGGTACACCCTCGGCCGCGATCTATGTTTATTCGTCCACTTCCCCGTGTTCAGACGCACTGAATCCGCCGTCCTGCCGCGGAAGAAACTCATCGATTCCGAGCCCGCCTTGCTGACGATACTCGGCGTCCTCCTCAATTTATTCGTTCCAAAGACAGACAAGCTACTCTGCGACGCCTGCTGCAACCTCGGCTGCTCCGCCGGCGCCCCGAACAGCGGTAATCGCTCGTTGCGGATCCCATTATAGAAGTCCTTCAGCACAATCTCCACCTGTCCCTCCCACGCCTTCAGCGTCCCCTGAAACTGCGCGCAAACCAGAGGACCACAGTCATCCACCGCAGGACTCTGCTGGTTCAAACCCGTAACACTCGGCCCCATAGAGCCCGGGCGTAACGACTTCCCCGCTGGTCGCAAGGTGAGCTGTTTCTCCGGTTCAAAAGCATTAGCCTGGCCCCTCAGCGCGCGCATGTTGTCGCCGAGATCGTGACGCAGCTCGTTGTCGGGCTCGGGGACTCCGAATTTGGGGGATAGGATTGTGGGGCGGGAGGGTACGAAGGCTTCGGGTGCGGCGTCGGCGACGACGCGGAGGATGGTGGGGATGGTGTTTTTGACGAATTGGCTTTTGGTCATCTTTGACTCGATGTCTGCGAGATGCAGGTCCGTGTTGAGGAGGAGGATGGAGTAGCAGATCGTGTGGACCACGTCCGTAATCTTGAAGCCGTGGTGGGGGTTGCACTGGCACCAGCGTGTGGCAAAGGTATCCAGTATACGATCAACCTGTTGCGACTCCGCCTTCAGGACAAGCCTATTACAGAGCGCGCGCAGTGCCCCAAGGATATCCATATCCTTAAAATCGTACAACTCCATATAAGCAAGCAGCGTGCGTCGTCTAATCGCCCCATCTTCCCCCAGCCACGCCGCCGCCTTCGATTGCTGGATAAAGTCCTCATTCCCATCGTAGATCTTCTTCGCCCTCTCCCAATCCCCCGTCGTAGGCTGCACCTGATCCACCGCGCTCGATGGCTCGGAGGAGTTATACGCATCTTTCGTCGTCGGCAGCGTCATGCCCTCCCCACCAGCAAGACTAGTCGCAGAGTAAAACACAGCAGGGCTAGACTCACTACTCTCCACCCCCTTCATGCCCTCCAACGGCAGCGAGATACTAGACGTCTTCTCCGCATCCTGCTCCGCCGCGCCCTTTGCACGGCCCTTCCCCCTAACCGTCCCGCCATTATCAGACGCCCCCTCATCCTTCTTCGACTTCGGCGAACCGCCCGACGTAGGATACAGCGATAACATCGGATTCTCCGCCTTCCTCGCCGGCTGCCGCCTCGAGTACTTCTGCTCATACTCCGCCACCAGCGCCTTGTCGCGCGCCACAGAGTTAGGGGAGTGCGCCATGTCCCTACTTGCTGGGTCCGCCTTAACCGTCAGCGTCTGCGACACGGTCCGGTTCCCCTCCTTGTCATTGTCGCTGTTGTCTTGGAGGGACGTCCTATCGAGCTCCTTCTCATTGTCGGTGTCGAGCTGGCTCTGTGAGGTGTTGTTCCGCATCAACGGGGCACGTCTGGGTTCGGCATCGCGACGACCAGGATTAACAGATCGGATCGTAGCACTCTTATCCGGCGTATACCCCGGCGAAAACCCAGTAGTCTCCTCAATACTCTCATCATCGTCGCCATTCCCATAGCGTCTACCGGCATCATAGTCATCCCACCTCGGCGGCTGCGTAATCGGACTATTGAGATACTGGTTCATAACCTGTCTCAGCGAACTAGTCGGGCTCGCCAGATCCTGTCCCACCTCCTGACCCCTAACCAGCACAAGCTGCAGCGGCATCGCAGGCACCTCCGGCTCCGACACCGACTTCTTCCTGCGCTTGAAGAACGACGAGGGTTTCTTGCTTATCGCCTTTGGCGCCTCCTTCTGCGATCGCTGCGGCGGCGGCTGTGGAGGCGGGTATCCATGAGCTGTCCTCACCCTCTCCGCAGTCTGATTCTGGTATTTATTGCTGGGAGGCCTCTCCATAGGGTCCCCCGATATCGTCGACCCAGGGGATGACACAGAACCAGTGCTGGCCGCACCGGGTGTATTCCCCTTCGACCCAAACACCCTCCTGAAGAACCCAGGCTTCGACCCGCTCGTAGGCGCCGTAACATTCTTTACCTTGCCATATGCAACTAGTGGCGCGGGCGCCGGCTCCTCCTTCATTAACGCTGGCATGGCCGCGAGCCTACGATTCTCATCCATGCCATTGTTCATCGGGTTGCCCTGTCCATGGGACGTCTCAGCACGCTTCTGGTATAATGTTTTCGGAGCGCGACTGCTTTGTAGATTCCGTGTCTTCGGAGACGGCGTGCTAATGTCGGCGGTATACACTCCATTCGGCGTAATCGGACGCTGTCGTCTCGGCCCAACAGGCACCGTCGGCGTCGGCGCCGCATCGTAGATATCGTATGGTTCGAGCTCCTCCACCGGCGACGAGTGCGTCCTCTGCCTCTGCAGCGGCCCCATCTGAGCCTCCTGCCCATAATCATCGAAGCTCAACGCGCGGCCACGATTCCCGTACCCCAACGCCCACCGCTGACTGCTCCCAGTCTGGGACGAGTGTCCCATATCCGAACTCGAGACATTTCTATCCTTGCTTTCCTTCCTCTCTCTTGGATGTGCCCCCGGACTCTGCGGCGCCTGCCTCGGCGTGCCCACAGACCCGCTATTACTCGCGTGATGTCTCCCAGTCGTCGTAGTCGTGTAATTCGAACTGCTATTGCTCCTTCGCGTCCTCGTATACTGACTCGACGCCCTACTCGCCGCATCCTGATGATCGAAATCCTCACTAAACGAATGACCATGCCCAAGCCCTCCCCCATTCCCCCGCCGAATGTCATATCCCGCATACCCATGCTCCTCCTCCGCCCCAAACGAATTATACAGCCCCTCCCCTCCTCCTCCAGGGACCCCAAACCCGCCTCCTCCCTCGCCGCCAAGCGAGAACTGGTCCAGGCTGAGCAGCATGTTATTCACCAGCGAATCCCGTGTGACCTGTTCAGGGGCGAGACTGAGATCGTGCGAGTGCCTCTCCCCGTCTCCGCGTCGAGCTTGTGGTGACGGCTGCGCGAAATCGACGGGCGTGCTGTCGTCGAGGAAGGTCTCCCGCGGAACTGCTGCGGGTGCGGTGTTGTTGTCCCTCTCCCTAAGCGCCCGGCGGGAGCGGGTGCCTGGGGGCGTGCGAGGGGGGGAGAGGTTGGGGTCGCGAGGCTTGCGGTAGGCGCTCGTGTTGCTGGTGGTGTTTGTGTTCAGGGTGAGGGTGACGCCGGCGGCGCGGCGGGAGGGCGAGGTCGGCATGTTGTCGTAGGCGTCCATGGTTGGCGATTGAATCCGCCTGGGGGGTAGTAGGGGGTCGTCGGTGTGCCGACGACGAGATCGGGTGGTGGGTGTGTTCAGTGTTGCTCAATGGGGTGATTGTGTGATAGTGATGGGGTCTCAACGGCGGTGATGGGTCGCCATATAGGTTGCCAGCGAGCGTGCGGAGACTTTTTGTGGCGGGTTGGGCGTTGATTGGAAAGGGAGAAGTGTGAGGGTGGATTGGCGTTTCTACTTCGTTTGAGGACGGTGCGATCGCCGGCCACATGGCTAGGCAGAGGTGGGACGGAGAAACTTTTGTACAGAGGAGGGAGAGGTAGAGGGTACTGGGGATATGGGTGTAGGCTGTATAAGATGATGGGGTATACAGTATAGAGAGTAGAGAGAATAGAGTACTTGGTAGACAGATAGAGAGTAGTAATAGTACAGTTAGAGGACATTTGGACATTGGAAACAGACACAGACACAGACAAGTTAACAACTTCGTACGCTCCTCATAGTGCAACATTAAAACAGCAGACGGGAAAGTTGGTCGTAGCACAAACGGGCAATTTTAACCACCACAGATGAAACAAATTAGGATTCGGTCTGATTTTATAGTAGGAGTAGGTTAGTAGGTTAGTAGGTTAGTAGGTTAGTAGGAGTAGGTTAGGTTAGTAGGAGTAGGTTAGTAGGTTAGTAGGAGTAGGTTAGGTTAGTAGGAGTAGGTTAGTAGGTTAGTAGGTTAGTAGGTTAGTAGGTTAGTAGGTTAGTAGGTTAGTAGGTTAGTAGGTTAGTAGGAGTAGGTAGGTTAGTAGTAGGTTAGTAGGAGTAGGTTAGGTTAGTAGGAGTAGGTTAGTAGGTTAGTAGGTTAGTAGGTTAGTAGGTTAGTAGGTTAGTAGGTTAGTAGGAGTAGGTTAGGTTAGTAGGAGTAGATTAGTAGGTTACTAGGAGTAGGTTAGGTTAGTAGGAGTATGTAGGTTACGTACTCCGTACGTACGGTAAAGCACCATAACATTACATACTGGGGGTTTTATTGGACTACTCTACTAACTTACAGGGGTTGCGACGATCATCACCCTACATACATTTATTAATCCTCCGTACAAGTACTATCCCCCCCCCCTGAATGATTGTAACGACCCGCTATTTTGAAGTTTGTGGAAACCCACTTATAGCGATCGGTTTAGGTAAAAAGGCGTAAATAAGATGAGATCACTGGCAGAGCCTTTTGACAAAATAGTGGATGGTGACAATCATTCAGGGGGGGGGATAGTAGTAGGTTAGAGGTTAGTAGGGGTTCAGTAGGGTTCGAAAGGGTTCGAACGAAAGGGTTCGAACGAAAGGGTTCGAACGAAAGGGTTCGAACGAAAGGGTTCGAACGAAAGGGTTCGAACGAAAGGGTTCGAACGAAAGGGGTTCACACCTAGAATGAAAGCGCCTATAACTGCGTGCGTACAAGTATTGTAAGGCGATTATATATTTCCATGTCCTACTCATTACACCAGTCCCTCCCACAGTCCTACCGTGCGTTGTCCTACGACGAGTTACAGATTTACAGAGTTACGTAATAACCCGTCCCCCTGTTATCCTAAAGAAAAATCAGTGCTTCTCCCCCAAATCCCCTCTTCCCCTCTTCCCCCCTACACAAACCTACACAAACGGGTCCCTACCCTGGTAGGGACTCTCCTCTAGTCGCCTCAGCCCGTCGTCCCCCCCCTAGCCTTAAAGCCATCTGATAGGTCAGTCGACTGTCGATTAGTTTCATCTCTCACAATACTCGCAAACTCTCCATTCATCAGCTGAGATATTTATTTCAGGAAGCTATATTCATCCTCCCCTCCCCCATATCTCTGTATTTGCAACTGCCCATATCCCCCACCCCCTCCAAAATATGACAATCTCCATCCCCCAATCCTGACCCCCAGCCATCCCAAAAACCGGGCAAAGATAAAAAAACATTAAACACAAAGGCAAAGGCAAACCACTGACGTGAAAATCAAAAGCAAGCCGTAGCACCAGCACCCCCATTGCCGTTCTAAAGATGAACGCCATTTCCCCCCACTTGTATAAAACCCCCGCTGTCCTCTCCCCACCCCATCCCACCTTTGCGGAGCACCCTCACTGTCCAAAAAAATCCGCAGAAATCGGAAAAAACAAAGCGCGTAATTAAACGCCGAACCCAAAGTATCCCCAGGTAGTCTCCATCCATCTATAATTGATGTCCGATTAATCCCCTCATCTCGCGATATATCAAAGGAGTGTGTGTACTCAAAGGAGTGTATAATATGCGCCAAAATAAACGCCGCCGCCGTTATTCTCGTTGAGAGATGTTTTTAAAAGGTTCCAGACCGGAGGATTATGAAAAAAAATTAATCGAATCGCAAAAAAAAAAATATTGGTGACGTGTCGCAGCTTGAGAGATATATATGTGCCGAGTTTTCGTAATTGAGTTAATTCGTTCATATGTATCTTTGGTACAAATTTTCAAAGGACAGACAAGTTATATGATTTTAGTATTTCAGAATCATCAGCGCCGGGTTGAGCATGAACGGCAGGAGGATGTGACTCGAGAGCATGACCGCCAATGGCACGATGGCCGTGACGATGCTGATATCGTATCCGGCGGGTGCGAATTTGCCGAGGTAGATCATACCACCGACCACGGGGATGGTGAAGGCGTACATCCACTTGAAGCTCTTGAAGATCTTCGGCACCTCCTTGAAGAAGTTACTGGCGACGGCTTCCTTGGCGGTGGCTCCCCATTCCATGTTGATGCTGAACATGTGCGCGCACAGGGCAAGGAAGAGGTGGAAACTGATGCCGCCGAAGAAGACAGCGAACATGGGCATCCACATGAAGTTCTCGAGAAGCGCGCCGAGGAGCGACTTCTCGCCGAGACGGTAACGGAGGATAGCGAGACAGACGTTACCGAGACCGGAGAAGACAACAAGCAGAGCGACGAAAATCTTCCACGACTCGATGTAGAACGAGTCGATGTATCCGTTCTCCCACCCAATGAGGAAGTAGTTCAGAATCGTGAGGGGAAGACCAAAGGCTAGGGCGTAGTAAGTGGCGATGTATGCGAGAATTGTGGTTTTCGAGGACATCTGCATGTTGGACCAGATTAACTTCCGGAAGAGAGGTGTGAATGGCGACTTCCACAGCCATGTGTACAGCGGGTTGAAAACAAGTTCGTTACATCCAAAGGCATATTTCTCCCAACGGGACAGCTCATCGTAGACGGTCAAGGAGACACCCTCCTTGAACTCGTCACCGTGGTATGTTGCCAGGCGGACGAAGTTGCCAGCCATCTGAACGCGGAGGGAGATATCGAAATCCTCAGACACGTGGCTCTCAGACCAGAAGAGATCAGATCCATCAGGAGCCTTGCTAGCAACGCTCTGAATCGCCTGCCAGCGGAGGAATGCATTGTGACCGACAAAGGGAGCGGCCTCTCCGCATCCGACAGCGAAGCGAATGGCAGAGTAAATCTGGTTCGTGAAGAATGTGATGCCGTTCTCGAAGTAGTCTCCGACGACCTGCATGACGCCCGCAGAGTGCTGGACGATGGCGACTTCGGGGGACAGGAACATTTCAGCGGCGCCGTAGAGGAGGCAGTCGACGGGAACACGGGTGTCAGAGTCGATGATCAGGATATATTCTCCCATGCGGATGTCGCCATCAGCCCAGGCCTTTCCATCGTCATCCAAAACCTTGTCAAGCGCAGCCTTGTAGAGCTCATCCTGCTCAGATTCGGTGATATCGCCTCCGTTGGTGTAGCTTTTGCGGATTTCAATCATTTCAGTCAGGACATCCTCGGTCTTGTTGGAGATGTTGAGGGCGAAGTTCATGTTGGACGCTTTCTTGAACTTTCCTCCACGAACGAATCCATCCACACCGTGCTTAGGACGTGCGACCCAGCCGATGTTGTTATCGGTGTAGAAATCTCTCCGGGCCTGAGCCTCATCTTCTGGAAGGAGTTGAAGACCATCGTCGTTGATGAAGATGCTTGCAGTTCCACCGTTCAACTCGTAATGAGAAATGGCAGCTTTTAGCGAAGTCACGGTGGGAATGATGACGCTGTCCAAACCCTCCTTGTAGACTGGCATCTGGATCGTGATGTGGCTGGGGCGGAAGCCAATCTGGTAAGCCTTGAAGATATCGGGACGAATTGACGAATAGCATCGCGAGTTGCTGGTGACGGCTCTAATTGGCCCAATGACCTGGAACAAATCGGTAAAGATACAAATCGCAAAGAACTACGAGACATGTTAGTAAGCTGTCAGCCGTGATGTGGGGAAGCGACGACATACCAAACCAAAGAGACCAAAGAACGGCACGGTCGCCAGAAGGGCCATTCTCATCCAGCTTCCATCCATCAAACACTCGTAGAGCAGCGCCGAGGCACCGAATCCGAGCAGGAGGATGATCATCAGGCACAGAGCCATACCAACAAAAATCGCAGAAATAAAGACCAACGGTCTCTCCAATGACTCCTTAACCGGAACGTTGGACTCAACATCGACGTCCTTCTCGTCAGCATTAACCACGCCTTCGCCTTTCTCCACTTCTTGACGGGACGTGAAGCCCAGCCTTGACGCAAGAGAGACTCGGATGCTGGGTTGGGGCGCAGAAGGGGCCTTGATGGGCAGAGCGTAGGTCGATGAATTAGTCGGAGGTGCGTGGAAGGGCGAGTGCAACATAGAATTGTGAGACGATGTGGAATTTGGCAAAGCTGGGATTTTGGCTCCCCAAATCTATCATGAAGTCAGTATAGGTACCAGGCTGAGTTGGAAGTTCTACTTACGACTGTGAGCAGCTGTCTCTCAACCTTGTCTCCATGGCTCAAGATGGACTCGACGTCGTCATGCCACAACAGAACAACCCTTTCTTTCCTGACGAAACAGGTATACTGGAAACGCTTGAGCTTGTTCGACGAAGCCTTGGCCATATCCTCAAACGAGTCCAAAATCTGATACTGCGTGCTATCATGTGGCAGGATGAACTCAGTCTGGTTTGGTGTAATTGTTGAGAATATCAAATTCGTGAGCTCAGTCGACATGGTGAAGGCGACCTCCACATTCAACCTCTGCACCGCAGCAATAAGGTTATGGCACAGGTTTGATGGCTGTGTCACGTAGACCCCGCGCGAGGTCCTCAGGAGGACACCCTGAACTGATGTCCGGTCATAACTCGAGATTGGCGAGTTCGAGCAGCCAGAACCAGCAGGTGTATAGAGGAACTCTTTGTTGACATCAAACCACATCTGAGAAGCTATCCTGCCGTGAAGGTAAGATACCATCTATTGCTGTTAGCTAGGGATCCTGTCTGGCATGCCTGTCGATATGTCCACTTACCACGGCATGCTTCTTGGAGTGAACTTCATCGGCATCGCCCTCCCACAAGCTGTTTGCGCGTGAGTTTGAGGATATCGACGGCGGAGTGTGAAGAGAGCCATTTCGAGGGCTTCTTGGGAACGGCAGCGACCCATCGAAGAGTCCGCTGTTGATCGACATAACTTTGGCCTTGGGTGATTGAGGAACAAACGAGTGAGTTCCAAAAGCTTCGGAGGGACAGAGATATAGGACCGACTGCAAGGTTGACGGGGATTGTTGCAGCGGATGCTACCTGTACCAGCCCGGCCCAATGTGTGCGTCAAGGGCAATAGATATGTGAGCTGAACGGGAAGTTAAAATTAGATGTGTGTGTGCCGTGTATTACACACGGTGTGGCGGGGGTGGTGAGGTTGGGAGTGGCCGTTTTGTGTTGGTCGCTGATATCACAGAGGATAGGGCCAGCTGAGAGGCAATCCAATGTGAGATTATGTAGGAGGATAAGGCGCCGGCTAGTCAACGATAGTGTGAGGAGAGAATTGTCCAGTAGAGCGACAGTGATGGCTTTGCAGACCAGGCAATCTGGTGGAAGGCAATCTGGTGGAAGGCAATCTGGTGGAAGGCAATCTGGTGGAAGGCAATCTGGTGGAAGGCAATCTGGTTGAAAGCTTGAGAAGAAGGGAAAGAAAAGGCAGATAAGCACAGTGCAGTATAAGTTATGGCGGCCTGGGGCTGGTGAACGTGTGAGTGCAGAAAGACAGGAAAGAGGGTCTGCGGTGTGGAGATGGGAATGGCTGGTTGGAAGTATCTGTAGGGAGCTGGATCTTGGGTTGAGCTCGCCGTGCCTTGCCTTACATGGACGAGCGCGGCGGGCCATTCCATATTGCCAAGCAAGTCTATACATCTATACATTATTTATACATGGTATGGAGACCAAGAAGTGACAAGATAAAGTGACCCGTGTGCCTCATGTGCCTGAGACTAGAGTGTGGGTTGTGTGGGTAGTGTGGGGAGAATTATCCATAAGTAGAGTTATCCATAAGTAGAGTTATCCATAAGTAGAGTTACTCAACTAGAGTTACTCAACTAGAGTTACTCAACTAGAGTTACTCAACTAGAGTTACTCAACTAGAGTTACTCAACTAGAGTTACTCCATAACTAGAACTAGAGCAAGGGCGTGGCGTAGAACAGGATATGTGATATGACAAGGGGGAATGGTTCGGGGGGGGAAGTTGGTTTGTAAGGGAAGGGGTTTGAGAAGGGAAGGGGAGGCTGCAGACAGCATTGAAGTACTGTAGTACAATACTATGCATATTCTGTATTCTCCATCGTATACTCTCCATATTCTCCATATTCTGTATTCTCCATATCTGTATACTCCATATTCTGTATACTCTGCATCCTCTGCAACTCTGCATACTCTGCAACTCTGCATCCTCTGCAACTCTGCATACTCTGCAACTCTGCATCCTCTGCAACTCTGCATACTCTGCAACTCTGCATCCTCTGCAACTCTGCATCCTCTGCAACTCTGCATCCTCTGCAACTCTGCATCCTCTGCATACTCTTTCTCTACTGCGCGCTCGGCGCCAATTCCATTGGAACACGACACGCCGTCCTGACTGAGAATTTCTTTTATCCCTGAAACGCTGCCAACGCTGCCAACGCTGCTTGTGGTAACCTGCGTACGGATTTACGGGTTTGGCTTCTCGTAGCCCAGATATAGCAGCGGTGGCACCGAGGGGTCCAAGAGGCGTTCCTGTGCCTTGTATCGGCAACAGCTGCCAATACCCAATACATAGATTGTCAGCAAAGGACTACTCTCGATTTACTAGGTACAGTACTTTTGTGCACGTCGGATCTGGCACGAGGCTTCCATGTCGATAAGCTGGGTTCTGTACTGACTGTGTGTGTTCCAGACAACCCTCACCAGCTGACAACGGTGCCACAGTCACTGCGTTGGGACGTGGGCGAGAGTCGTGCCAAGTCACACTCTGGACTTGCACAAACAAATTCACATATACCAAGTGGTAAACCACATTTTGTGACACACCAGCTTTGTCACTCCACTTCTTGTGTTGTACGGTGGATCTGTCAACACCTTCGATCAACATCTCCAGCGCCCTTGGCAACCCGAAGAAACAAGAACAAGCTGTGCCCCACGCGAATACCACCTGTGGTTCGCCATTATATCGCATTCTTCCCACCCCCCCCACCGGAAGCATCTGGGACCACAAATCGCGGTGAGACAAACCATGGCGGCGCCATATTGCCTAATGATCCACTGGTGCCTTGGTAGCTCACGGCTCGCACATGCACACTCGCCAATGTTGCTGCCTCGACATTACAACAGATAGATCTCTCGTCACCAGCTTAAAGTATTGCAGGGATAAGCGAATTCACAGGCATGATGAGCTGTTCCGAGCCAGGGTATATACAGTAGTACTGGACACGAGGGAGGAGGTTCTAAATTTACTTGTATACGATATGCGCTTGCACAGTGGGGAGTTACACTTGGTCTGACTTATGTGTACCCATACCTCGGCGGAAGATCCTCAGAATGATCGCTTGCAAACTTGGACAGGACCCTGATAGCCGCCCTTAACTAAAACCTTTCTAACATTTTGGGAGCACGTTCGGCCCAGACTTTAGGTGGGGACAAGACGTGCTTGTCACCTACCATTTGTTTTTCTTGGGCAATCGGCTTGTCCGTGCTTCAGGGGTAAACGGATCTGTACCTCGCTAACCCCATCTCCAAAAGTCTCCAAACCGTCCAAGCGCCACACCTGCCAAAAGAGCCAATGTGGCACAACATGAGCACTTCATTTATCAGCCCGTAAGGTGTGACGATACCATTATATTGCCCGCCCACACCCTACCCACGGCCTGATTGAGGAAATCACACAAAGCCAGGGCGCTCCGGCGCTGCCGATGAAATGTCCCCCTCCACCGCCATCACCATTCGCGAACCGGACCCAAAAACAGTCGTAGATGTGATTCGTCGCAATAACCGACTAACAGAACGGTAAGTCTCACTACGGCGGCACCCCTCCCGCGCGCCAAGAACGAGACAACCTCGACTCCACAACACCCTCAATCCGGCCCAGCCGCCCGCTCACACAACCACCAACCACAGCTGAGTCGTCTCGCGCCGCCCCAACGATAGCTCCCGGATCGTCGCTTTGGGCACCCCCTCGAAACAGCACCCCGTCACGCCAACAGCACACTCCACCGTCACTGGGCGCCTGTGTGCCGCGCGTAGAGTACACTTGTTCAGCGTCGGCGTACAAGTGTATTCTATGCGCCCTTGGTCGACGATGTTCAGCGTAACGCTGAACATCGTCGACCAAGGCCGCATAGCAGTGGCGGCGTCCATGCGCTGGCTGGGGCCTGGTTTCTCCGCTTGCGTAGATCGATGCGGCGCTGGGTTTCTCCGAGATGCGTAAGATTCCAGGAAGGGTTCGTGGGGGGCGGAAGCTGGAGTGGTTGGCAGTGCTTGAGGGTGCGGGGGAGCTGCCAGGTACAGAAACACCAAAACACCGCCGCCCATTCACAACGGCGAGCGATTTCTCGAAGCGAAACGATCGCCATATTGCGCATTGGCTATACCCCCTTCGTGTACGCCCAGCACGGATGCGAATATTTCTAGCGGGACAGCAAACAGCTACATGCCGGAGACAGGGACTGAAAACATCCAGACCCCCGACCGCCGACTGGTTGCGCGCAGCCCTACCAATTGTAACGGATCTACTTATGTGGTAAGGCAAAAAAACCCACCAGGTTTTTCCGCCTTGGCTACGTACTCGGACACCGCGGCCAACAAGGGGAAAATAGCGATGGTGATGGGGATTCCACTTCCACGCTACATATCTATCTCTCTCCATGGAGTCAATCCAGACCTTGCGATACCTCGGTCTTCGCTGCAGGTAAGATTCTTCTATCAGACCTTCTGGGGCACGATTCCTTCCATCGATCACCAACTATTCGCTTCCTTCCGAGCTCCACTTCCAACCCATCTCTTACACCCTTGCCAGCAGGGTTTTTTCCGCTAGCATGCCTTTCCGTTCCTTCATTTCCCCATCGTGCCACACTAAGTGAGCTGGTGCTACTGCTCGACAGCGGGATCAGCGCTCGTATCCCGCCACAACTTGCTATTCGCTGTTCGTAGTCGTGTGGGACAGAGGTGTGTGCGAGAAGACTGGTTTTTCGCTCGGGCACTTTTTTTTGGGCTCCCACGAGTTGTTGGGATTTGGCAGACATGGGGGGCTTGGGAGGGGCGATCGAGGAAAGCTGTGCGATCGCGGTGAGTTGGATTTTGATGTGTGCGTATGCGCGTAGGGAGATGGCCTGAATATCGATGACATCAAGGATCGAGATCTTCACGGGACTTACTCACTGCATACCCCAAGGTTCCAGCCAGCGAGGATCTCCCTGGTCTATCAAACCCGGAAGCATGAAGAGTCACCGGAGCAGAACCCCCAATCGACAATCTGCGGTGGCTGGGCAAAGTATATACGTACAATACCCCACCACGTCATCATCTCGTAATCCCCAAGCCAAGTGATATAGGAACCACCGCAGCCCGTCGCATTTACCCACCCATGACGTGAGAAGGTATATCGTCGACGACTGCGAGCGGGGTGTTTTGAGAACGACCCACTGGATTTGTTAAGGTGAGTCGTCTCGGAGGGCAGTGGGGGTGTCGGTTTCCTCATCTCCTCTGCGCCGCCGTTGCTTGCGTGCGGACTGAGAGTCTCTGTAGAAGATATCTTGGCCGGCGGCAGTATTTTGTCAAGGTGGTGGGGCCGCCGGCGAGAGAGCGGCGGCAAGTGCAAATGCGAAACCGTCCGAGGCGAACCCGCCTTCGCTATCGTCGGGGCGACGGGGGATACTGACTCGAGTGCCGCGGGCGTAAATAATAACTGCCGAACGTCAACAGGCAACAGACGAGCGGGCTTTCCAACCCCCCAGTGCCGCGGTATACCCGCGAACGACGAGGTCAATGAAGACGGATGTATCTATTCCGCCTCATTCTTCACCGAGCGCAATCCCGGGCCTTGTCAGTATGGATATCGGTATTGAATTCCAGCGCCCGCATCCCATGCCTCTGCCGATCACCACCTGTGCAGCTTCCACGTGTACCCCCTCCCAACAGGCCTTATCGCGGGCTGGAATATATTGAACGCCTAACTTATCGAACAATAAGCAACTATCGTCGGCGCAGAACTATCGAACAATAAGCAACTGTTGTCCGCGCAGACTGTCGTCGGCACAGAGCCATCGAACAATAAGCAACTATCGTCGGCGCAGAACCATTGAACAATAAGCAACTATCGTCGTCGGCGCAACGCCCGCGATCTGTGCAGGATCATGTTCTTCCCGTCGCCATAGCCGTGTGGGACCTGTTGATGACCGGGTGGATAACGATACAATAGTAGGTCTGGTATGCGGCGCCCAGGTTGTGAGACGCGTACGACGACATCTACCACGATGTGCTGGCACACGCGAGTCACGAGGGGGGATGTGACAGCGGGACTATTATGGGTTGGGGATCCCGGCGTCTCATCCCCGTTAATTGAAGCGCAAGGTACTCGAGTAGGTGTATCACCCGCATTCATCCGACGCATCACCCCCCTTGGCTCGCAATCAACAATCAACAACACCCCCCTGCCTCGGTTGCCAGCCCTACCGCCATTGGCCACGGGTGGATTCAATAGCGTGGGGAAGGCCTGGCCGGACCGGCTCTACCTGTCGCTTCGTGCGTGGTGTTATGCCCAAGGCGGTCTAGACGTGGCGTTTGCGAGATGACGGCACGGGTGTGGGGAGGGGGGTGGACGTATGGGGCGACACGGGTGGTGCGGGAGAGAGACAGGGTGGGGGGAGAGGGAGAGGGAGGGAGGGAGGGAGATGGGAGTTGCCGGTGGGTGGATTGGGGGGGTGTCAGTATAGTGGATGTGATATAGTGATGTCAGTGATGGTCAGTATAGTGGATGTGATGGTCAGTATAGTGGATGTGATGGTCAGTATAGTGGATGTGATGGTCAGTATAGTGGATGTGATGGTCAGTATAGTGGATGTGATGGTACAGTAGTGTTATCTGTAATGCCAGTATAGTGGATGTGATAGTACAGTAGTGTTATCTGTAATGCCAGTATAGTGGATGTGATAGTACAGATGTGATATACCTGGTCGTGATATCGCGCTGAGTGGACCAGACTATACTACATATACGAGGTTTGCGCCTTGCTTTGAAAGGAGGCTATCGATTTGCCATTGCGATCCGACTTTCTTTTTTCGTGGTCATGTCAGATCATGAATGGTCCATGGACGACCTCGAGTGTTGTAGTCGAGTGTCGTAGTCGAGTGTCGTAGTCGTCGAGTGTCGTAGTCGTACTGTAAGACGGCTTACATGTTCTAGCAAGTACGACCTCCATCAGCCTTACTACCACCGCTCCCGTCGTCCTTCCTGTGATGATGTGGCTATGGCTCCATTTTGGTTTTCTTGTGACCCAAGGCACCGTTTTCACCGTTTTCACCTCCATCAGCCCTACTACGATCGCTCCCGTCGTCCTTCCTGTGATGATGTGGCTATGGCTCCATTTTGGTTTTCTTGTGACCCGTCTTCACCGTCTTCACCGTCTTCCCGTCTTCACCGTCTTCACCGTCTTCACCGTCTTCACCGTCTTCACCGTCTTCACCGTCTTCAGCGTCTTCACCGTCTTCACCGTCTTCAGCGTCTTCAGCGTCTTCCCGTCTTCAGCGTCTTCAGCGTCTTCCCGTCTTCAGCGTCTTCCCGTCTTCAGCGTCTTCAGCGTCTTCACCGTCTTCACCGTCTTCACCGTCTTCATCCGTCTCTGTAGCACGCGGCTGATGCTTTGCTCTGTTTTCAAACCTTATGAGACATACATGGACACATACTGTCTACAGCTAACTCCGACATGTCACCGATGCTGTAGCTTGTCTCTGCTTATCCTCTACCTCGTTCCACAGTAAGCCGCCTGTGACCTACCTGCCATAGCTCAAGCAACTTCCGAACCCGTCTTACTTATTTTTATATTGATGATTCTCAGCCGCCATGCCTCATTGACTTGGCAACCATCCCCCCAGCCTATCTATACCTTGTCTCATCCACGTCACGTCCACCAAGCCGCACAACGCCTCACAGGTCCCCCCCCACTCCTCCCATTTTATTTTGGGTTCTGTACCAGTCGAGAAAAACATGTTTGTCGTTTATGCTGTTTATGTCGTTTATGCCTCCACCTGATTCCACCTGTACGCGTGGAAGAACCGCGCAACAGTATGGTACAGTAATATGGTACAGTAATACCAACCCCTACTATCCCTTCGCCAGCCGTGTGCGAGTCTTCTCATATGTACCTGGTCCATCCCCACTGATCCATCCATAGCACCAGCACCCCTTCCAAGGTCTCCCACTGCCAACCCGCCTACCCGATTTTGTCGCGTAGATCCCACCCACAGCGACCAACATCAAGAACAGGTCCCTCTTCTATCCTGACCTTCTCTTCCTCAAGACGGAGTCATTCTCGTTTCCAAAACCACATTCGTTTCGTTGTATCACAACTGACTATTCCCTTCTTTTGTACCACAGGCCATCATGGTTCCTCCATTGCTGCAGATGGGTTCACTCTCGATTTTGTTACTCGCGGCAGTAAGTCCTTCTCCCCCGTGCCATCACTGATGCGCGGCGCCCGCACGCATGCACTGCTGTAAGCAGCGTCGACCATGTGCGCGCTGGCCGATGGAAGCTTTTATAATAACATTTGGGAATTCAGGTCACACCTTCGCTCGCCGCTTCAGTCAATACTGCAGGTTTGCCAGTGAACTGGTCCTACAAAGGATGTTACGTGTAAGTGTTTGCCCTGTGCTCCTTCCGATCCTCCCGCGGCCTAGGGATACCAATTCTAACAACCCCCTTCCTATAGCGATAGTGTAGCAGCCCGTGTCCTCAGCGGTTCCGCCTACAATTCGGACTCACAAACCGAAGGGGCCTGCGCGTCATACTGTGGCACCAAGGGCTTCAAGTATGCCGGCGTCGAGTACGGCGTGGAATGCTGTAAGTCGCAGTCGCACGAATCCTCCCTACGCACGCCAAGCCATTGAGTCACAGAGCATTGTTCTCTGCCCGGGACAACGCGGTGCAACGGTGTTCAGAGTGCTAACGAAGCTTGTACAGACTGTGGTAATGTCCTCACCGTTGCCGCTGCTGAGGCAGAGGCCGACTGTGCCATGGCGTGCGCGGGCAACGCGGACGAGCTGTGTGGCGGCCCCAACAGAATCAATGTCTTTGAGAACACGGCCACGTCCGCAACCTCTCCAGCTACCACATCCGCAACCTCTCCAGCTACCACGACCGTCCCCACCAACACCGCTGTTGCTGTCGCAGGCTGGACAGCTGGCGGTTGCTACACGGATAATGTAGCTGCCCGGAGCCTTCCACAAGGCGTGGCCGTTGCCGGAAATGCCGCCATGACCATCACGCTCTGCCTGACGGCTTGTCAGGCAGCTGGGTACAGGATTGCTGGCCTCGAATACGCGAGCCAGTGCTACTGCGGCAATGCATTTGCGAATGGCGGTGCGCTCGCCCCCGATGGAAACGCCCAGTGCAACATGCCGTGCGACGGGAATCCCGCAGAGACGTGCGGAGGTCCGGATCGACTCAATGTATTCTTCCACTCAGGCTCTAGTGGTGACTCAGGAACCGGTACGACCGTGGCCCCTCCAACTAACACTCAGCCCGCTGGATCTGGAACCGCAACTAAACTCCCCACAGGATGGTCCTATAAAGGTTGCTGGGTCGACAACAAACAAGGCCGCATCATGAACGGACCCCAGGCGGACCTAACCACCATGACTATCGAATCCTGTATCGCAACCTGCGTCGCCGCTGGATACGCCATCGCCGGACTCCAGTATTCCTCGCAATGCTTCTGTGACAACGAGCTCAGGAACGCGGCCACCCTGGCCGCGGTCGATTCCATGTGCTCCACGCCATGTGCCGGCTCCACGGTCGAGATCTGCGGCGGCGGCAACCTGGACAGCGTCTACGCCGCCCGCGCCATCGATGTCATCGGCCCGGCCGCCCCTCAAAAGGCTGGACTCCCCGGACTCTGGCAATACAAGGGATGCCTCATGGACCAGGACCCCAAGTCTCTCCCGGAGAAGATCGCCTATGCTGGAACTAACACTGGTAACAAGTGCCTGAAGGCATGCTCTGATTACGGTTACAATGCTGCTGGTATGGAGTACGGTGAGGAGTGCTACTGTGGTGATAAGAGCGACCCCTCCAAGGTTGGAGCCAAACTCGTCGCCGAGTCCGACTGCTCCACCCCCTGCCCTGGTGACGCTCGGTACCTCTGCGGTGCTGGCAACAGACTCTCCTACTACGAATGGGTTGGTGCGCCAATTCAGAATTACGGATTCCCCCAGGGTGCCGCAGCTGGCGAGTATGTTCTCCTCGGCAAAGCCCCCGTCATTGCCCTGATCACTACCCAAGGCCTCAACGGCAAGGTAACCTTCGTCGAGAAGTCCGGCACGTCTACTACCCCTGGCTCAACTGGTGCATACGAATGGGATCCCTCTGCCAACACTTTCCGTACTATGCACGTCAAGACCGATGTCTTCTGCTCTGCTGGTCTCGTCCTCCCTGATAAGGTCGGCCGCCAGATCAACATCGGTGGCTGGTCCGGTGACTCGACTTACGGAATCCGTCTGTACTGGCCTGATGGATCCCCCGGCACAGCATCCGTCAACGACTGGCAAGAGAACTACCAGGAGCTGGCTCTACAGAATGGTCGCTGGTACCCCAGCGCCATGGTCATGGCCAACGGCTCCATTCTCGTCGTCGGCGGTGAGAACGGATCTAACGGCCCACCCGTGCCAACTCTTGAGCTGCTTCCACGTGCTGGAGGCGCCCTCTACATGGAGTGGCTCCAGCGCACCGATCCGTATAACTTGTATCCCTTCCTCGCTGTCCTGCCTTCCGGTGGTATCTTCGTGGCGTACTACAACGAGGCTATCATCCTAGATGAGAAGACCTTCGCCACGCAGAAGAAGCTCCCCAACATCCCCGGCGCAGTCAACAACCCTCTCGGCGGCCGCACATACCCGCTTGAGGGAACGATGGTTCTCCTGCCTCAACACGCGCCGTACACTGAGCCTCTTGGTGTCCTGATCTGCGGTGGTTCCACGCCATTCGGCGGCTACGCCATCGACAACTGCGTTTCCACCGTCCCCGAGGCCGCGAACCCAACCTGGACCATCGAGAAGATGCCCTCCAAGCGCGTCATGTCCTGCATCTGTGCGCTGCCGGACGGAACCTACCTGATCCTGAACGGCGCCCACGTCGGCGTCGCCGGTTTTGGATTGGCCTCCAACCCTAACCACAACGCGCTTCTCTACGACCCAACCAAGCCTATCAACTCCCGCATCAGCATCATGGCAAATACTACCATCGACCGCTTCTACCACTCTGAGGCTATCCTCCTTCAAGACGGCCGCGTCCTCGTCACGGGATCCGACCCGGAGACCGATGGCCTGGAGCAGGAATACCGCATCGAGGCTTTCATCCCACCTTATCTCAAGACCGGACGCCCAGTCCCCTCCTACACCATCACCGACAAGGACTGGAAGTACGGCGAGACCGTGACCGTGACCGTCACTCTGCCATCTGGCGGCGTGCCAAAGTTCTCCCTCATGGGCGCCGAGAGCAGCACCCACGGTAACTCGATGGGTCAGCGCACTATCTTCCCGGCGTTCACGTGTACCCGCAACAGCTGTACCATTACGGCGCCGCCGACTGCGCATGTTGCCCCACCCGGATGGCATCAGTTGTTTCTCCTCGAGGGCGGCGTGCCGAGTAAGAGTCAGTATGTGAGGATTGGTGGTGATCCCGGTAACTTGGGCGCGTGGCCCAAGTTGTCGGATTTCAAGGTGCCCGGTTCTGGTTAAATCTAGATACCTTGTGTGTGAAGGGGGGGATGAGTTTGGGGATTTTTGAGATTTGGTTTACGTTGTTGATCGGATCGGATACCGGGGATGAATGGAAATGCTTCGACGTGTGCGCTGTGGGTTTCTCTTTATTACGAATTCTCGGGGTGTCAAAAGTGGAAAGATGGACGGGGAGAACATCAGAAACTATATGATGCCTACTTGTACGGGGTGGGATATGCCTTTTCTACATAGACGGACCAGATGGACACACACTTGTCGGGGTTGGGGGTTGCGGTATTACAGCTCTCTACGAGCATGGGAGGGATTAATTGTTGGGTTGCGAGTGCTGTTGTAGTTAGTTAGTTCGTAATTATATAACTGGACTGCCTGAGGATATTTATGAGTGCTGCTGTTCTGTCAACCAACTGTTCACCGCGGGCAATACTCGAGAACGTGTTGATGTGGAACTCCTGGCGGCTAAAAGTCCAAATTAGGACCATCTGTTCGTATTACAATCGTAGGATTGATTAATCAGTTGCTCAAAAATCCAATTCTAGGTGTTAATGTCCCAGGCAGCACAATTAACTTGATTTTTGATAATCCGCGTCGCCCACCTCCAACTTGGCGCCAAGTGTCCACTACCACTGACCACCGACCCAACCCAACAGCGGAACCACAACCACGGGGATAGAGGCGTGCAATCCGGTGACATCGCGTTTCAAGTCTCCATCTTTGTAATAGACACGTTTTCATTGCAGGTACCAGACGAGAGGCAGTGTTGCCCAAGTTAATCCATCGACTCGATTACAAATGCCGTCCGCATCCGCATAACCAAGACAAGCCAGGAAGCAAGCCAGCCATCATCGGATGCTACGGTGACACAGCATATACCAGCACCAAAGTCATAATCTAACCTAATCTAACATATATTATTTGGCCTCGGCCACCCCACCATCAAAATGGACTGGCCATACCACATCAACACCACCCTCACCACCGAGCAAAAGACCCTCCGCCGCCAAACCATCAACCGCTACGGTCTATACGCGCACCTCTCCCCTGTCCTCCCCATCGCGCTATACTGGCTGTACGTGCTCGCCATCTATGTCTTCCGCGCAAGGCAGACGAGGGGGGAGTATGCGGCTGTTCCGGGGTCGCCGCATGTGAAGCGGGAAGCGGGGATGGCGCCGGGGAGGGCGGCGAGGTGGTGGAGGGGTGGGGTGTTTTGGGTTGGCGGGAGGCGGAGGGGGGGCGTGGAGGAGGAGAGGGTGCTGCATAAGATTGCTGGGTTGGTGTGGGCGGTTTGGCTGGGGGCGTTGTCGGTGCATGGGACTGGTGATGGTGGGTTGGGCGCGTTTTCTCTTGTCTTTTGTTGAGTTGAGTTGAGGGGGCGTGGGAGGGCGGAAGATGGTATGAGGAGGTTGTTTCTATTGTGCTTTGCAGGTTTGTTGGATTGGAAGTCCAAATCTAGCACTTTTGTTGCTTTCTCTTGCCCTATCTCCCTCCCTCCCATCGTCCATGATATTCTTCGTCTTGAAACTAAGGCCCTGCAGACTACCTCCACCTCACCAAACGACTCGGAATGATCGCAGCATCCCAGCTCCCAATACTGTACCTCCTCATGATGAAGAACCGCTACTCCCCACTACGATACCTCCTCCGCGCCTCCCACGAAGAGCTCAACCCCTACCACCGCATCCTCGGCCGCATCATCGTCACCCTCTTCAGTCTCCACGCCGGCTTCTACCTCAACTTCTTCATCCGCGCCAACCTCGTCAAAAACCTCTTCACCCGCCCCGTCCCATCACTAGGCCTAGTCTCCATCATCCTCATCCTAGTCCTCTACATCACCAGCATCAACACAATCCGCACCTACAGCTACCGCATCTTCTACGCCGCCCACTTCACCATCAGCCTCCTCCTCGCCCCAATCCTCTTTTTCCACGCCGCCCCCGTCCGCATCTACCTCCTCGAAACCCTCGCTTTTGTTCTCTTCAACATCCTCACCCGCCGCCTAACTTCCTTCCTCGCCCCCTCCATCATCACCACCCTCCCCTCAACCACCCTCCTAAAACTCACCATCCCCATACCCCCCTCCCACCGCCCCCTCTACGCACACGCACAAGCCCAACACGTCTACCTCTCCATCCCACCCCCCAGCCAACCCTCCGCCGGAGCAGCCATACTAAATCTCTGCTCAAACCCCTACACCATCTCCTCCATCGCCCCCGACACCACATCCCTAACCCTCATCGCGCGGTCTCTCGCCGGCCCAGCCTCCGCGCGCCTCCTCGAACTCGCTGAGCTCCGGAAAGCGCGCCCCCCTCTGCGCATCGAGGGGCCGTATGGCGGGTCTACCCGGTTCCCCAATTTCGCTAGCGAGTTTGATCGGGTCTTACTGGTTGCTGGGGGGGTGGGAGCGACGTTTGTACTCCCGCTTTATCAGGGCGTTAGGGCGGAGATGGAGAGGAGGGGTGGGAACACGGAGAGAGTTATTATGGTGTGGTCGGTGCGGAGCGCGGCGGAGGTGGAGTGGGCGGCGGAGGCGGTGGGGGAGCTGGCGAGTGGGGTTGAGATTGTGGTTACGAGGGAGGAGGAGGAGGGGGGGTCGGTGGATGGGGTTGGGGGGGTTGAGATGTTGGGTTTGGCGGAGGAGGGGGGGAGGAGGAAGAAGGGACGGGTGGATGTTGGTGGGGTTGTGGATGGGGTGTTTAGGAAGGGGGAGGGCGAGAGGGTTGCTGTTATTGTGTGTGGACCGGGTGGGATGGCGAGGGAGGTGAGGACTGCGGTGGGGAGGTGGGTGAATAAGGGGAGGGATGTGTGGTTTCATGAGGAAGGGTTTGGGTTTTGAGTCGTGGCGAGATTTTGATGTTTAAATTTAGATTCTCTATATACGCACAGTTACTTTTCCGAGGCCTGGTCTTCTAATCTGCGACCAACCTACGCCTTCCACTCCAACGACCACGTTTCCTCACCAGCCCTAAACGGCATGATCTCCAAATCTCCCTCTCCCCTCAGCATATCCATCACCTTCGACCCACCCCTCTTCAACACAATCTTCTCTCCATTCGCCTCAACCCCATAAAACTTCCTCCCATACCCACCCAAGAAGCCCTCCAGCCCCTCTATCGACACCTCCTCCTCCTTCAACAACCCCTTCCCAACCGCGCCAACAACAGCCTCAAGCACCAACTGCGTCGCCTCCCCCTGCGTAAAGCACCCCGCCGCCGGCTTCCCCCTCGTCTCCTTCGCCGAAACCGCATGAGGCGCCGAGTCAGAGCCGAAGAAGAACCTCTCCCCCCCCGCCACAGCAGCACTAAGCAGCGCCTTCCGGTCCGCCGGGAGCTTAGCCACAGGCTTGCAGAAGTAGTGCGCGTTGCCGACGACCTCATCAATGGTAAGGTACAAGTGGTGCGCCGTGATAGTCGCCGCGACGGTAGGGCCGCACGCCTTGACGGCTTCGATGGCAGCGGCGGTTGTGCAGTGCTCGAGGATGATGCGGAGGCGGGGGAAGGCCTCGTGCAGGGTGCGGAGGGTGGGGAGGAACTTCTCCTCGGCGGAGAGGACGGTGATGGATGCGTCGGCCGTGGAGGGGAGCTCGCCGTGGAGGTTGAGGATCATGTTGTGCGATTCCATGGCGGCGAAGACGGGGTAGAAGACGCTGTAGTCTACGACGCCGGCGGAGGAGTTTGTGGTCACGCCTGCGGGGTAGGATTTTACGTTCTTGATCCCGGCGGCGGCGGCTTCGGCGATGGTGGCTGGGGTGACGGAGGGGTGGAGGTAGAGAGACATGAGGAACTGCACTTTTGGTTCAAGGGCTTGGAGGCTTGCTTGGTACTCGAGAGCATGGGCGACTGTCGTGATCGGGGGGACAAGGTTAGGCTAGTATATAATGAGCGAAGGAATCTTGGACAGAGGAGGAGGAGGAGGTAAGTACCATAACCATCACGCAGTTTACTCCACCATCTCGAATGCTAGGAACGACGAGGTTCTTGGTGGCACCGTCGCGGAGATGGACATGCATATCCGCCGAGGCAGGCAGCTCCAGGGTCTGGAGCTTTTCGAGGACCATGTCGTCTTAGATTATAATGAGAGAGGGCAGGGTGATGTTGGGGAGCACTGAGAGTGATATAATCGGAATATATTTTAAGTTTCGGGACCCCGCGATTGCCGCTGAATTGGGTCGGGCGGTCAGTGGGGTAAGTTACTTCCCATCAACCGGACTATCGTTGCTCCCTTACCGAGTCAGGACCAGGAACTAGGAAGGGACCCCATGCACCAAAAGTTTTACCATCCATCAGAAACGTTACAAACCACGAACAATATCTCCGTCGTTAGGCAGAGAACCTCACTTCAGTCTTTCCTTCAGGTCGCTAGCGATGTTTACTGTACTATAGATTGGTTTCTTCTTTTATTTCAACTTTCGCTTCCTCAATAGACAGCTTCAACTCCGCAACCCGCCAGGATGAACACCATGGCCTCGCGCACCCTGCGCACCTCCTCGCACCTCCAGCACAACTCCCCACTCGCCAGCATCTTCCTCCAGCACATCAACACCTCAATCCCCCTCAGCCAGCGACACACCCCACGCGCCTACTCAACCGACACCACCGAGTCCCTCACCACGGAAAAACCCCGCAACAACCGCCTCAACCCGCCCGCCTCGACCCTCCCCCCACCCCTCGTCATCCCCCCCAAGAACCCCGACCAATCCTTCTTCCGCAACCTCTTCAACCAAGGAAAAGGCTACCTGACCTTCTACAAAACCGGCGCCCAATTCATCTTCACCAACCTCTCCCTCTCGCACGCCCCGCAAGAGCTCGTCGACAAGAAATACGACGGCGCTGTCTACGAAGCCGTTCGCGACCGCAACTTCAGTCGCGCGCATTACCAGCTCCTCCTCCGCTCCTGGCACGACATCAAGCGCCTGCCTGTCTTTGCGCTGATATTTATCGTCTGCGGGGAATTCACCCCGCTCATCGTCTTCGCCTTCTCAAGCGTCGTGCCGTACACATGTCGCGTCCCGCGCCAGATCGAGGCGGATCGCGAGAAGATTGAGGCAAGACGCAAGACCTCGTTCCGTAACTTGACAATGGCGTTCACGCCGGGGAAGGAGCTGGAAAGGGAACAGCTGCTGCATATCTCGTGGTCGTTGGGCTTGTCGAGCAATATGTGGGATCACATTGGTGGCACACCGGTGGCGCTGTTGAAGGGGCGCGTGGCGAGTCATGTTGAGTACTTGCAGACGGATGATAGGCTGATTAGACGCGATGGGGTGTTGAGTGACTTGGAGGATGAGGAGGTTGCGATTGCATGCACCCAACGCGGGATTGATGTGGTTGGGCGCAGTGAGGAGCATTTGAGGGAGATGTTGGAGAAGTGGATGGCAGCGAGTAAGAATACGCCTATGGAGAAGCTGTTGCTCACGAGGTATGTTTCTTCTTGGGGAATTGGGTTGAGAGAAATGAGGATCCATTGCTAACGGCTCGGCCTCATAGACCGAATGTCTGGCCAGTGCCGGCGAAGAAGGGCAACTGATATCCAAGCACGACGGACACACTTCACGGCATTTGGGCATTCACGGCATCCATTCCGATCTCTGGGACATCTGTATTACCATCTACTACATCAGCCGCGATATCCCATCTCTATGTACACTAAAGCCATCCCGCACGAAGGCGTTCAGGAAGATAGACGAGCTCATCCGCTCAATTGAGCGGAGGGAACGAACGAAGAAAGAGAGCCCAGAAAGGGCTACTATATGTAGAACACCATATTCAGCTCAGATATATTTAATGTACCATAAGCCAGGTTAGCAAATTTAATCAACGTATTCTTGAATATTTAAATATTCAAATATTACGTAAGCTTGAATATTCAAATTCATGAATTATTTATGAATATGAATAACGTGCATGTATAACGAAAGTGCCAAACAAGCGAAAGTGCCAAAATCATGCGGTCGTAACCAACTTTTCGCTTCGCTCAAGGTTGGAGTAAGCAATGTGAACGCGCCCGAAGCGAGAGGAAGCAATGTGCACGCTGTCAAATTGCGACCGTAAGTACCTACACATAGTAATTTATATGTAAAGATACCTAAATAAGCTATTCTACGAAATTATCACTTCCTTACTCCCACTCGCTCCCACGCTCGCTCTCATACTGGCTCTCACACTGGCTCTCATACTCGCTCTCAATTTGGGGGGCTTCTGGGTCAGGAATTGGCTCCTCGAACTCTGGAGGAATTGGGAGCCCCTCTTCGTAGAGCTGGGCAATCATCTTCTTTCGGGCACGCTCTTCCTTCCGTGCCTCAATTCCTGCCCTATGAAGCTGTTTCCGGGCCTGGTTTAAGGCCTGGCGGGCTACCCGGGCTTCTTTAGCTACGAGCTTCTGGGCTTGAAGCTCGGCTTTCTAGGCCCGAAGCTCGTGAGCATGAGCAGCTTGGAGCTCACCTCCAAACTGAAGGCGGGCCCGGCTTCGGCTTGCCCGCTTCTTCGACTCCTCAACCTGCCGCCGAGTAGTATGTAGGTCAAGCTCTATAAGCTGGCCTGAGGCTACAACCTCTTCTGTTCCGGTAAGCCAGTTCCTATAGCTCTCTTTTGAGGGGCTACTAAAGCCCTCCGGAACCCGGTTTTTCCAGTGCTGTAGCCCCTCTTGTCATACTGACATTCGTTGCACTCAGTTTGCTATCAAACTCAAGAGCAAACTTAGAAATCTCCTCCTCAAACCTACAAGTCACTATACATATTTTGGCTTGTCACACCAACAACAAGAGCAATACTACTCAACGATTGCTACAACCGTCTATGATTCATTACACGTCATCGCTCCTTAGTTACCCACAAGATTGGTTAAGTTATGACATAATTTGTCTATAGGGGTACTCTGACCTTGGACCTCCTTTCACTTCCTATAGGCTAGGAACCTAGGAGATGGTTCTATGGGATTCTCTTACGTCGACTACAGTTACCAAGCCTGGTTAGTCATGGAAAGTCATGGAAAATGAGAGAACTACACTCCTTTAGCATAAATAGGATTGCCCTTTCCTTAAGAAAGGGCAAGCAGACAATACAGTAAATCGACTATCACATACTTCCACGTCTTTTGTCGCACTCTCTAATAATAATTTCGACTTGACACTAAAACGTGTTGAAATAGCCAAACACGACAGGTTAGCTTCGAAAAATGGTATAGTGTCGAAAAAATCAACGAGAAAAGATATCATTGTGATAAGTGATATTAAGGATGCAATAATGGTAGAGGAAGAGGCGCAGAAGAAGAGAGAGGCAGAGGCATGAAAGGTCCAGGATGCAGCAGCAGAAGCAGAGATAGAGACACGAAAGGTTCAGGAAGCAGAAGCAGTAGAAGCAGCAGAAGCAGCAGAAACAGCAGAAACAGCAGAAGCAGCAGAAGCAGCAGAAGCAGTAGAAGTAGCAGAAGTAGAGGTGGAGGCAGAGGCGCAGAGAGAGAAGGAACGAAAGGGGCTAGACGCGGACGCCACACAGAAGGCCGCAGCTACTCAGAACAGCTTAGACGCCAGCAAAAGCACAGACACTGAGAACAGCATAGACGCCCAGAACAACATAGACACCCAGAACAGCACGGATGCCCAGAACAGCTCGGGCATTCAACCTGTCGCAGATACGCAGAAATCTGCAGATGCCCAGAACAGCAAGGATGACCAGAACAGCTCGGATGCTCAAATGGTCGCAGATACGCAAAATGTCTTCGACGCCCAGAAGGATGGTGTACTACCAACGCAGAGAGAGACACCAAGGAGTGATGCAGATCTAAAAAGAGCGTAGAGATGCAAATGGGGACTCTTAAAACGGCAAAACGGAAACCTAATGAGCAACAATCTAATGGTGGCGCTCAAAGCAAGTGATTAAGGCCATACGTTCGAGTGGGTACTAAACAGGAGAACTCACAACAGTCCAAATATATCGCTTGAAACAAGCGATTACGGCCATATGTTCAGATGGGTACTACTCACGAGAAGTCACAACGACGATTGGCTATAGCAGGACCTCTACATGAGAAACGTCATAGATGCTATATAAGACAGAGTCGCCAACAGAGAGATAGGCAGAGACATGCCTATCAGCAAGATATACGAACAAACCCCCTATCTACCCAAAGCCTTTTCTCTGCACAGAAGCAGCAGGATGACCTGTTTAATGACGAACGAAGGCATGCATTACTTCGTGCATATCGCAGAATCTATGAAGAAAACCCAAACACTCACCTTGCCAATGCTGGGCAACTCGCCACCCATATATTCAAGTACGGGCGCCCTGCAAAGGTATGGACAGCTGGTAGTGAAGGATCCCATAATGTGGGATTTAGTTTTGATACTGTCTCTATACATGGAAAGTGCGACTGCAAGTACGACAACGCAGATATATTACTCCTTACAGAGGAAGAGCATGCTATATGGGCAGCTAATAATAATGACCCGAAGCTCATTATTATTTGAGACCACAAATTCTTGGAGCGACGACCATATCAGATGCTGCAAAAGTGGTTCAAGGAGATGGAGACAGAGGCTCAAATCTCTACAAAGCCAATGCAAATCGATGTCCAGATACTTAATAAAGATACAAGCAGACAAGCTGTTGAAAATTTAAAGATACAGGACGCGTTTACCTTATGGAAGAATGCAGAGGCTTCTCTAGAAGTTTGCATACAAAATCCGCCTGTTAATTTTCTTAATATTGCAGACTGTGGGTATGGATGCTGGCCTGCAGGTGTCACCAAACACTACAGCTATCTACGGAAGGTTGTTCGCTACTGTGAATCATTAAAATATAATGAGATCAACGTGGGAAAGCCAACATTTCTACCAGTCTGCCCAGTGGATATCCAGCAATGTATGGGGTTTTCAATTGTCGCCCAGCGAGGGGCAGCCTCGGGCTGGCATAAGGATCAGAACGGAGTTTCTACCATGTTAACACTTGAGGGACACAATGACAACAGCAAGCCAGAAGACGTCGTTAAATACTGGCCAGTGTTTCCAATTAACCGCTTTGGGCCAGAAGAGCAGGAGGCATTTCGGAATGGCTTCATGGAGCATGGTGAGAACTGGCGATCAGAACTACAAGGGCCACAAATACCAGTCATTGCACTAGTGTGTGGGGATACTCTTATTCAACCACCTGGTACTATACATGCCCCTATAACCCTCACTGATTGCATTTTTACTGGTACAATGGTTTGGCGAGAACAAGATTTGAAACTTTCTTTGACAGAATGGCTTTTCCTCACAAACAATGGCAGTTGTACAAACGAATCTTTACCGCAGCAAACTCCAGAAATCTTACAATACTTACCAGAGGTAAAACTTGAGCTGGAAAAGTTTGGGTATGCGGTTGAAGAGCTCCCACTGCTCGACTTCTAGATCTTGCACGAAGGATGCAGGTGCTCTACCACCTGTGGCAAGAGGTGTGGCTGTGTTAAGAAAGGAGTTTCTTGCAGCCTAGAATGCCACAAGGGACTTGGAAGGGATTGGGTGTGCTGCTTATCTTTTTTAGCTACCGAAGAGGAGGCATAAACCATGTTCAGGGGAGATTGGGGGATGGTTTGGTGTGCGAGCTTTCATTTTGGCATTTGATTCGGGGCCCCCTTTTTAAGGGGCCCTCTATAATTAGGGGCTGTCGGGGTATTTTGCTCTGAATATATATACCTAATAACTTTTTAGTTACATTACGGCAGTGTTACGGCTAAGTGCTAGTGCTATGGCTAGCACTTACAGCTGCAACCTCACGTGATGGATAACATTGGATATCATGGATATTAGATAACATTGGATATCTTGGATATTATGTTATCCATGTTATCCACAGATATCCCTTTGGCACGACGCCACTATATAAGTAGATAGTATTTCCTTAGATAGGAGCTTCATGCTCAACTCAATATAGTATTCTTTACAATACTGTAACGTGTTACTTGGAAAGCCTTTGTGTTTAATTCCCTGCCGCCTCTGTCAAGTCAACCTTCCGCAAGAAACCTCTGTGTCTTCTATCGTTTAGAAGTCAGCGTTACAGGCAGGTGATAGTACTGTAATTAACAATGCAGTTTAAATTAACAATCTTACTACTACTACTTACATGCAAGTTTTCATGTGGCTATACATCATCCCAGGTGCCTAGTAGGGGCTATCGAAATGTAGCATATTATGTGAATTGGTATGCAACCTACTTGTGTGCTTTCGACAGTCTAACGATCACAGGGCCATATATGGCAGAAAGTTCTTTCCACAGGATCTACTAGCGGATAAACTCACGCACGTGCTTTATGCGTTTGCTAATATATGACCGGATGGAGGGGTATTCCTATCAGATGAATATGCTGACACCGATAAACATTTTGAAGGGGAGTCTGCTGCAAATGATGCTGGGACTAATATATACGGCTGCTTGCAGCAGCTTTATATCTTGAAAAAAAAAAACATCAACACCTCGAGGTCCTTCTTTCAATTGGTGGCTGGAGTTATCGTGATAACTTTGCAGTACCAGCTGCGACACCCTCTGGCCGCTCTCGGTTTGCTTCATCTGTAGTCTCCCTAGTGCAGAACCTTGGTCTTGATGGGGTAGATATTGACTGGGAATATCCAATGGATGACTCCCAAGCTAATAACTTTGTTCAACTACTGTGCAAAGTCTGGACTGCGCTTGATGCATACAGCAACCGACTAAGTATTTCGTATCCCTTTCTGCTTACAGTAGCTGCTCCTGCTGGGCCCCAACAGTACAAAGTACTACACCTTGCTAAAATGGATCAATATATTGATTTCTGGAATCTTATGGCTTATGATTATTCTGCACCAAATACGGCTACTCACCAGGCGAACCTCTTCCACGACCATGATAACCCAAAATCTACACCATTTAACACAGAGACTGCCGTTAACTACTATGTATCACAAGGAGGCATTAAATCAGATAAGATAGTGCTTGGAATGCCTATCTATGGCCACGCATTTAATCTGACAGATGGTTTTCGGCTTCCATCTACTAAAGCCACTGTTGGAACATGGGAGGCAGGTACTTATGATTTTAAGGTGCTGCCTATAGCTGGTTCCAAGGAGTATTATAATAGCACACTTGGCATAAGTTATAGCTATGATGGTAATAAACGAGAACTCATCAGCTATGACAATAGCAGTCGTAAAACAGAAGGCGGCTTGGATTCAGACTATGGATCTTGGAGGCGCCATGTGGTGGGAGAGTAGCGCTGATGCCAAAGGGGGAGACAGTTTGATTGAGGCAGTCTCAAGAGAGTTGGGACGAGACAATGGCTCAGGGCTAGACACTACCGTTAATCGGTTAGCTTACCCAGATTCGATTTACGCCAACCTTCAGGCTGGGATGCCAGACTCCAAATCTTGTCCAGGATCAGTTGTTACCACTTCAATGAGTATAGCTACTTCCACCTTTATAACCAGCTCTCCTACAGGTACTAGCTCAATTGCTATTGCCTCTCTATTTCCGTTCGTTGCATATACTGAACCAGGCTGTAAGTGTCTAGTTATATGGCTTTATATATCCCTAATTATCCTTTAGGTACTGGTCTTGTATCTACGACTGACGATGTTTATGGGGGGGACCGAACTACTATTCTTGGTGCATTTTTTTCTAGCTTTAAAATTATTCGTCCCCTTCAAGGGAGAGAACAGCTTGATTTCAGCACCGGAGATCCAGATTACTGTGGGCAGTTCCTGCATTCCTACTGGCCGCGAGACTCACTAGGTAAAGGGGAATAGGGGAACTAAAGATCTCAAGTGCTAACGTAAAGCAGTAGGATGTGTTGATATTGCTAAATTTAGGTGCATGCGGCTATGGCTCAATTAGTTTATATAGAATTAGAACATCGCTGAAGATGGAACAAGAAGTTAGGGCAGAATGTTTCAGATACAACGATTATAATAAGGGTAAAAGGCGAAGATATTGCAAGAAACGAGTGAATATGGTGAGTTGGTTGAGTTGAGAGAGTGGGAGGGGCGAGGGTAAATAAATGGCAAGCGACGGAAAAGGTCAACTTCAACTCCTGAGAGTGGAAAAGCTGGTCTTATCTCCTGATAATAATTACAATTTCCTATTTATTTGTGTGCATAGATCGTACCTAGCGTCCGTTCCTGATCATACTTATACTAGGTCGTAATACAAGAGATCTAGTTAACAGGATTGCACAAGGACTCACCCTTGTCAATATTGAGAACCTCGCCAGTGACAAAACGATTTTTCGCCAGGAAAAGCACACCTTGCACTACCTCGCTCTCAGTGCCATTCTCTTCGCCAACGGGCACCAACTGCATCTGTCTCCCCTCGTTATAAGATGGGAAGTAGCCTGGCGCAATACTGTTAATGTGTACATTGAAGACTTGGAACTCGTACGCCATCATTTTAGATAGGTGGATAGTAGCAGCCTTAGAAGCGCTGTATGAGAAATAGCCACTTAGGCGGGATTGGAGTCCTGACATGGAAGCGATGATGATGACGGAAGCTTTAGCGTGACCATCGCCGCTACACTTCTGGAGCAGCGGCAGGAAGGCTACCGTCTAGCGGGGTTAGCAAGTTAGGTAGCGTAACGACAATGAATAAGACAGACTGTGAAGTAGATAGCAGATACATTAGTGTTAAACGTCGAAAGCCATTCCCTCTGATCCTCGGCGAACAGCATCTGCTGCAACTCTTTTGCGTTCATACTAGGCGTCGTGCCGCGCTCGCCTTAAGACCCTGTCGCAGTGACTAACAAGTTGATGCCGCGGTGCTCGCATTTCTCAATCTCGCCTACAAGGTACATTAAGTCCTCGGTGTGGTTTCGAACCAGTAGAGGAGCACATAGCGAGTTACACTATAGTGGGGGATGGTAAGGGTGTAGGGTTCAGGGTCGATGCTGACCTGTTGCGGTGGAGGGATCAGGGCTAGGGTTGGGATAACCGAGTCGGGCCCATTTCGGGTACTTAAGGAAACAGACTCAACGGGGTTCCCCCTTCATCTTTTTTGTATCCTTCGTAGTAGACCTATAGGATAGCATCCGTTTAGCCTCCAACTCGCACTCTCATATGCTATTACTGTGAGCTGGGTGCCCTGTGTCCTTACAGTGCTCACCGGGCGTGTGCTGGTTATCAAGTCCTTAATTATAGGGTTGATGATGGGTTGGTGATCTAAATTATTGCTTAATCAATGATGCGTGGACAACGGAGGATGAGAACGGACTACAGTATTATCTCGTTAAGTCGATACATGATTAGTCGATTTTCTGGATAACTCGATAACTTTCTTCGGATCCTTCCATTCGTCATACAAATCACGATACACACGATATTGAGTCCCTTTTCCCAATTATCGACTTAAACTAATTACTGGACTACTCTTAGAATACCTTCAAAATGCCTTTGAAAAAGCTCTATTCTATGTCTCTTGAACAGCGAAAAGCCCTCCGAACTTGGCATCAATCTCACCATCCGAAACCTACACAAAAGGCCACTATACAGTGGTTCCCCAAGAAATACAATCATCGACTTAGCCAATCTACAGTCTCAGAATCCCTTAGCTCTCAATTTTCGGACCTTGACGATACTTCTAATACTTTGGAAACAAACAGCTCTAAAGCTCAGCGTCGCTGCGCTGTCGCCTGGCCTGAATTAGAAGCTGCTCTTTACGACTGGCAGAGGCTTATTGAAGAGTGTGGCGGCATTACAACTACAGAAATCTTACAATCAAAGGCGAAGATTATCTGGAATCAGCTACCACAATACCGTGGACTACCTATGCCAGAATTTAGCTACGGATGGATCGTAAAGTTTCGACAACGGCATAATATATTATATCAAACTCTACATGGCGAAGCTGGATCTATTGGTGTCACTGCAGAAGAACAAATGAAGGCTATACAAACTATTGCGGGGGAGTTTTTAGAGGACAATATTTACAACATGGATGAGACTGGGCTTTACTGGAGGATGAGCCCTTCAAAGGGCTTTACAACACGATCAACTCCAGGACAGAAGAAGGACAAAGCACGCATATCAGTAGCCATTTGTGTTAATGCTGCTGGAACAGATCGACTTCCTCTTTGGTTTATTGGAAAGGCTAAAAAGCCTCGAGCTTTACAACATGTTGATGTAGGGGCAATGGGTGGGGTTTGGAGGTGGAATAAGAAGGCTTGGATGAATCAATTTGTTATGGCAGATTGGCTAAATGCTTTCTATACTCATATTGGTACGTCACGTTCTATACTGCTTACAATGGATAACTTCTCAGCCCGTATCGCCGCAGTGGAATCGACGCCTCCTCCTCCAAACATACGAATTATCTGGCTTCCTCCAAATGCGACCAGTCGATATCAACCTCTCGATCAAGGTATTATAGCCTCTTTAAAAAGCTATTATCGTCGGCAATGGCTCGAGTTCATGCTCGAATATTTTAGCAACAACCTGGATCCAATCAAAACAATGACAATACACTTTGCAATTCGCTGGCTTATTCGATCATGGCATCACGACGTTACAAATACGACTATCTACAATTGCTTTCGAAAAAGCACGATTCTTTTATGCCCAATACAGCTTCCTATACACCCACTCCCTGTTCTAAACAACTTATATACTCGAGTACAACAAGCTGGTCATATATCAGACGCTATGGACATTTCGAACTTTTTGAATCCAGCGGAGGAGGGAATACAAGAGGTGGAGGGAGGCTTAGATGAGGACACAATTCTACAGGAGGCGATGGCTCCATATATACAGGTTTCCAATGTTCAAGATGATGACGATGAGGAGCCCCAGCGTCCTGTGCTCACCACACAGAACGCTGTACAAGCCCTCCAAGTTCTGATTGAGTTCTCAGAATCTGAGAATAGTGGCATCACGGATCCAGCATCATTTTTGCGCTCTTAAGAGCGCGTGGAGAGGCAATTAGTGGCCAAACAGGCCAATGAGTTGGTTCAAGGCACGTTGGATGGATGGATGGTTTAGCTGAGGGGCTACTCCGGGTCTACTTCAGATCACTTTCTAACTCGATATTTCTATAAGTCGATATATTTATGCATGACCAATTACATCGACTTAATGAGATAATACTGTAGAACCCATCTTCTCCCGACACATCCTTGCAATCCATCAACGCTTTAGCGAGGTTACTGGATGAAACGAATTATAGCCGCTGGACATGTGGGCATCACAATACTGCTAGCCAGACTCTCCCATTCCTTTCGTTCCTGATCTTCTCTTTCCTCTCTCTCCCTCCTGAAGATTGAGCAAAGATGAGAATACGGGAGTAGGTTGAGATGAGGATGCTCAGAAGTCAATCTTGCCTCGCTGGTTCTTTTATCCACAAAGATTTATAGAAAGATTGAGGGTCTTATATGTCTATTCATTTGCGCACTCTCCAATTAGGGAGCACAGCTATTTCTGGAAAGTCTTGAAGACTGTGGCCACGAAATTGGATAGGCGTCAGATTACAAGGAACTGCTCAGCCATAGCTCAAAGATGACTGCTATGGAACACGATAGTAGGAGATACTCTAATATTTCCTATTTCGTCTGGTGTTAACGTACATGTATAGCGAAAGCGCCAAACAAGCGAAAGCGCCAAAATGATGCGGTGACCAAACCCCCCAACTAAATGTTAAATTCCTCAACAACAAAACATGCCCCATAAAAACGATGAAAGCCAATTAGTGCTAGCTATCCAGGCTATGCAAAGCGACCCAAAGTTACGCCTTCGAGTTGCTGCTAGGATCTATTCTGTGGACCACCGCAAGCTAGGTCATCGTCTAGAAGGTGTACCTTCACGACGCGATATCCAAGCCAACTCACGGAAATTAACTAACCTAGAGGAGTCCGTCCTTGTTCAGTATATACTCGACCTAGCTGCCAAAGGGTTTCCTCCTCGGCTGTCTGTTGTTGAAGATATGGCAAGTCGACTACTTGCAACACGCGACGCGTCACGCGTTGGGTCGCATTGGGCTTCAAACTTTGTTAAGCGGCGTGTAGAGCTCCAGACACGCTTTCAGCGCAAATACGACTACCAGAGGGCTAAGTGCGAAGATCCAGAAGTTATTAATGGCTGGTTTGAGCTTGTGCGTAACACAATTGCGAAATATGGTATCGATGAAGCAGATATCTACAACTTTGATGAGACTGGGTTTATGATGGGCGTTATCTCAACTGCTATGGTTGTAACAAGCTCAGACGGGCGGGCAAAAGCAAAGAAGGTACAGCCTGGTAATTGGGAATGGGTTACAGTAATCCAAGGCGTTAGTTCTCAAGGTTGGGCAGTACCACCATTTATCATTGTTGCAGGCAAAAACCACCTTACATCTTGGTATGAGAATAGTGGATTTTCAAGCGATTGGGTGATTTCTGTTACTGAAAATGGCTGGACTACAAACGAGAGAGGCATGGATTGGATTCAGCACTTTGAGAAGCATACAAAGGCCCGGAGTGTTGGTGGTTATCGCTTGTTAGTCCTTGATGGTCATGAGAGCCACCACTCAGATGAGTTTGAGGAGTACTGCAAGGAACACAACATTATTACGCTTTGTATGCCTGCTCACTCTTCTCATCTACTCCAGCCACTTGATGTTGGCTGTTTCGGCCCGTTAAAGCAGGCCTATGGTCGGCAAATTGAAGATATGATGCAGGCTCATATTTCTCATATTACAAAGGATGACTTCTTTCCTGCCTTCCACGCTGCATTTAACACTACAATGACGGAAAGTAACATTCGAGGCGGGTTCCGAGGGGCAGGGCTTCTTCCATTTGACCCTGAGAGAGTGATATCTACACTTGATCTTAAGTTAAGGACACCAACGCCTCCAAGCTCCCGCCCAGGTACTGCTCAACCTTGGGTTTCTCAGACACCAAACAACCCAATTGAAGCTATGTCACAGTCTACATTTATTAAAACTCGGATTTCACGCCATCAAAATAGCTCTCCAACCTCAATCTATGCAGCTGTTGACCAGTTTACAAAGGGTGCATCGCAAATAATGCATCAATTAGCACTGCTAAAGGGAGAGAACCAAAACCTACGACAGGCAAATGAAGTACTAAGCAAGCGCCGGAGAGCTAGGAAAACACGACTACAGCAAGGAGGATCACTTAGTCAACAAGGGGCGCAAGAGCTACAGGATGAGAGGGATGTTGTGCAGCAGGTAGAGCAGGAAATAAGGGCAAGCCATGGTCGGAAGCCAAGGGAAGAAACCCGTGCCCGTCGCTGTGGCAAGTGTGGTGAGACTGGGCACAATGCGCGCACGTGTCAGATTGTAATAGACACCTCTGAGGAAGAGGACTCCGAGTAGTTTCAATTGATTTCTAATGTTGTGGTAGATTTATCGCAATGTTTGTCGTGAGGGTAGATAATTTTGGCGCTTTCGCTTGTTTGGCGCTTTCGCTATACATGTACGTTACCGGTTCGTTCAGTATTGATTTAGATTAAATACAGTAGCATTGCAATGGTATGAGCGACCGAGTCAAGCTCCGTCATCATCCAGACAACATCATGACTAGATCATAGCATGAAATCAATTTTCTAATCACTCACCCTTCATCATTCTCCACGTAATATCGAGCGTATATCATAGCAGAAAATCAATTGCCTAATCACCCAGTTATTCATGCGCGTCCACATGTCTGTGCTGTGAGGAAAATAAAACTTCAGAGCATGATTATAGATGCAATTGCTTCGCTAAATA